CTTATCATGCTATACCGACAGACACGAAGTTCTGTGAGTAGATGGAAATTAGCACGTTACTCCTGAGTAATGGAGGTTACGAAGAGGATGTCTTTTTCGACTCAGAGTATTAGCGGGCCTCAGTTATGCACTAGAATAGAGTGACTCATTGTCGAAGATGATGGCAATAGCGCATGCTTGTCATGCGTTTTAGGGCTATTTGTAAACGGAATCTAGTACTAGCTTGGTAAACGAAAAGCCCCTCAGCTATTTAGAGACTTACTCACTACGTATTGTTAGGCTAAGAAAAATTCACTACCCCATATCGTCATGCCTGAGAATACGCCGTGTGCTGGTTAAGTTCAGCGCTGTCAAATCAATAGATTCGGGAGATATGGATGATCATTTATAATTGCTCTGCTATTGAATAGCTGAATAGCTAAATCAACACTCGGGCACCCCCTTTAGTTATCTATTGGACGAATATTGCACGATGAACAGCTAACCTCGTATTTCCCCTCCCGCGTCAGACCCTGAATGTAACCCGTTCCTTGACAAGATGACTGACTCATCCTCTCAATTGCACATCACATAGATAAGGTCTTCCCACACCATATCTCATAACCTTCTCGCCCACTTAGACCATCGTTATCTCGAGTAGAAGGCATCTTTATAATGTCTCCGTCCCCGACACCCCAAAACAGCAACGTCGCACCTATTCCCAAAGAATATGCCCACCAGACAGACCTAGAAGCCATAATCGCGCGATACCGAGCCCTCCGCTTAAAAGGCTGAAAGAGAGCCCAGAAGCCTTCTCCTCCAAGTACGAAGACGAAGTTGAGTTTCCGTACGAGAAGTGGCTAGCTCGAGTGACCAACCCGCAAGCGCGTTCCTTCATCGCTTATGATAGCCAAAACGCCAACAATGGGGATTCTTTGGCGCTTCTTTTGAGTCAAGAATGGTTGGGCACGGTCACAATAGTAGGACCTAGGTTGCTGCCTGAATACAACGAGATCCTGTCAAAAGCACCATGGGATGTGTTTCTTCCACCAGACGAGCGAGTTCTGTCTGAAAAGGAGTCTCATAATGCGACTTTGGTGTATATGCTTGGTGGTATGTTTGTCCTCGAGACGGGAAGACGAAAGGGGCACGGTCGTCGGCTGATTGAACGGGCTGTGAGTGAGGCACGGACGGAAGCTACTGAGACAGGGGCAAGCCGACTCTTAGTGGTGTCTATCGCGGAACGAAATAATGACGCTGCACGACGGTTGTATGGGAGTTGTTCGTTTGATGTGTGGGATGATGAGCTTATATTGCAAACCCCACGGCATCAGGAGTGTGTTGCCATGGTCTTGGACATTAGGTTAGAGGCCGAGTGGGCTGATAGTGCAGAGCGATGAATAGACAAGATGGGCTATATGATATGATTCATGGGGTATATATCTGCTATCGTATATTCTGAACCGGGAAATCTATGTAAAGATGAGTAGCACCACCATGGCAACAGGTATGGCAACGAGGATAACAGTAACGATTGACGCGCCGACAACATCACCCGTTGTCACTGTTGTTGTGGTAGAAGAGCTACCTTCATCATCACTCTCTCCAGCTGTAGGATCACTCGTACTGTTTCCTCCGGTTGTTGATGTGACGGGCGCTCCTGATGTATTCAGCCCGACCATGTTTGCTGCCAGGATACTCGTAACGCTCATCTGCTCTTCCAGACCATTCCAACCGTCCCAGGTTGAGTTATACCAGACGACACCGCAACTGTTGTTGTTATGTCCAGTGCAGGTTTCCGCAGCCGCCACACCGGAACCTTGAAGTTTGGGAATGATGGTGCTGTATGTCGATGGTACTAGTAGAGCTGTAAAGGCCAACCACATGGAAAGGAGCCCCTTGAAAATAATCTCGTTGTTGTCACAGACCTCGGTCGCTTCGCACGTGTAGTCGGACATGATGTTGCCGCCGTACTTGGTCGGGAAGAATCCGTCAATAGTTGCATTGAGTAGGCCATTCACGGCATTAAGCCATGTGCTGCTGCCGTTCGTCTAAGTAATGATGCGCAGTCAATAAACGCCTACACTAAACCCAAAGATTTCCAGGCAAGGTGGAGGATATCGAACTCACATAGTTATACATGTATGCGGCACCGCCAATGAATGCGCCATAATTATAAGTCCACTGCGTGTTCCCTTGTGACGTACAATTATCATCTACATCCGTTGAATCGGCGACATTCCAAGTATTAGTGTTCAATAAAGGAGTCGAGGCCGACCAGCTCCAGATCTTTTCAGCCCAATCAGCGTACGTCTGGTTATTGGTATAGCGAGCGAGGCGCGCAGCCAGTTGAAATAGACCACCGTTCGAGATGGAATTCTTCATACGATACCCGGCTTCGTAAGTGTAAATCTGCCAACGCATTCCTCCGCCGCATGATGAGGTATCCCACCGTTTAACCTGTGTGTTGAACACTCCCTGGGCGAGAGAAAGCCACGAGTATCCATCACTCACTTCAGGGAACTGCAGCTCAGCAGCCGTAATCGCAGCCAGCCCCCAGAACATTTGATCATCGTTTCCCTGCTCATAATTAGGGCCTTGCAGACAGATACTCCAACGCAGACTACTATTCTCACGAGATAGGAACTCCAGTTCGAAGGCATATAGTCTCCGTCTCCTGCTTGCCATTGCATTCCCACGCTCACTTCGTCATTGTATGTCGTGTCGCCCGTGAAGTGCCAGTACTCGATAAGTGTCATAAACATGGCGCCGCCTTCCCACCAGGTGTCGGGTAGCTTTCCAGGAATATTACCGGACTCGTTTCCGTGATAGTAGTGCATCATTCCATATGCCGCTGTGCTGGCCGCATCTTTGATGGATTCTGTAATTGCAGCCGCCTCAAATGAGCACAACTTCATGGTTATAGGAGAAAAAGGCGGATGAACGTACGCTCAGAGCTGACATCCACAGAAAAAGCCTTCACTGTGCGCAGCAACTGAATCCCCAAGTAGATCAACGCCCCTCCATTCAACCATTTCACTCCGTGAACCATCGTGTCTAAATTCCGTTGCCATATACTATTTGGTGCAGGGATCCTGAGCTGATCATCTATGGTTTGAGTGTCAAATCACGACGCCAAATGCTTTCTGAAAAGCAATGTCCAAGGATTGGAGATAATATCGTATAAGGAAACCATCTTCTTTTCATCAAGGTTGAAAATTTAGTCGCCTGGAGGGAAATGAGATGGTGGAGTTCCCCCCTTCTACCAATAACTCTGCTGTTTTGAGGGCTTCTGTAGTCTACGTCAGCAGTTAAGCAATCTGAAGCTTTAGTGGAAGCGCCTTGGCTTCTTCTACTGCCCGGCATTTGGCTGGCGGCTATGAGTGGAGTGACATTCATACGTCCTTCGAGAAGGTGGATCACCGGTTCTTCTTGGCACAGTTTTATGTACTGTGCAACAATTCACGTTATGAATTGTCTGACGTAGACTCCTCAGGATAATGTTCGGTCTTATTTGTGGGACGTCCTGTTGACACCACGCAGTCCTTGAAATCCAATAGACCTTGAGTATGGTGGGAATTAACTCGAGCGAGTCCATGGCTGGGGGGCTCCTTCTTCACTATGAAAACCGTGCTCGTTATTTGGGCTCTCTCCCTCTTTGTATTTTTATTTTTTTCTTTAATTGCCTCAAGAGATTCTACTAGTACAAACAATGGAAAACGCCGCCAAAACACCATATTACACGTACGTGAAGAAGCGCAGACTATAGGACCTACTGCCTATGTATCAATCAAGAGAGCTGAAGCGCCTGAAGGAAAACAATTCAGGGCCCCTGACGCTGAATATTTACTTCTGCTAATTGTCATGGCTCTCGGGCGTACGGAGTACGGTATAGGGTTGAATCGGGATCGTTAAAGGGGGAGGCACTGCAGTGAGGCTCTCCCGGTTCATGAGCCCTACGGCGAAGCCCTAAAATACCTTCTCTTTATGTGATGGCAAGTCTCAGCTATTTTTGAATCTGTTGATTCTATCGTATTCTCTAAATAAAAGTTTTACTTTGGATCATTCTTCCAATTGCTAGCTACCATTTTTATTTTCCTTTTCCAGTGGACCACGCTAATATAGACGCTTCAAAGTGCTGGCGTAGACACACACTGACTGGGCTTCATTAGCGCTGCCAAAAATACTAGTCCTCCCATACTACAAGTAAACCAAGTGGGGGAGCAAGGTAAATGATCCGAGAACGCCGGGAGGTTCGGGCTATGGAAAATTATTTTTTTGTCTTTCTTTTTTTGAAGAAAATGCATGTTTCAAATGGTCTTCCGAAACAGCCTTGCAAATCAGTATTCACCAATAAAAGATTGTTGTCAATGGATGTGGACTTGATGTGTATAACAGCGTGGTCTGGTTAGGGCAGAGGGCGGGAGAAAACTCAAGCGAGGCATACGTATGCTCCGATATCACATTTCGGGCAACCACGCAATCTGCATTGTCAACCACAAAAGCCAAGCTTTGAACCGGATCCACTCCTCATAGGCTACAACAATACTTTGAGCGGTTGTCCTTTCTCTCCCCACCGTTCATGGCCAATCGACAAACTTCCGTGTCAATGCCATGGCGACGGCTGAGGATGTCCTTTGCATCGCGTGGCTGGAAGCGGGACAGCAGAGACAAGATGATATGGCTCGATGCATCTAATGACCAGTGTCGTTGCTTTGTATATCCATGGTTTATAGTCTAACAGACCTAGGAAGAACCCAGGAACAGCAGGTGTCTTGTCAAGTTGCCACTTCCGACTGATGGGTACGACGCTTGCAAAGGTCCAAGATTTGTCTCACTCTTATCTCCGATCTGTCAAAATTCTTATCCATCTCCCAGCCATATGCCTAACGTTCCCCGTATGCCCATTCTTATATAGTTTGTCCTTGGTCATCTAGCACCGCCCATAGCTGAATTAGTTGATCCCATCTTCAATCCACTCGCAGTGACTTTCAATCCCGTCCCTCTGCACAAAGTGTAACATGACTCTTCCATCGGTCTTGAAGTGGTCTGCGACAGCAGTTGCACTAGTGGCACAATTGTGCACTGCGCAAACCTATTCTAGCTGCAACCCTCTAAAAAGTATGGCATTAACCGGGTCCCTTTTCCTTAGCAGACGTTTGCAGCAAGTACTAATGAGAATCCTACAGAGACCTGTCCCGCAGATGCAGGCCTGGTAAACTCCACCTTATATACTGACTTCACCTCGGGTGAGTCAGCGTTCAAGTACTGGAATACCACAGCCGGCACAGTGAGCAGCACGTCGCTGGGTGCTGAGTTTACTATCTCCGAGCAGGGCGATGCTCCCACCATCGAGAGCGAATTCTACATATTCTTCGGTTATGTAGAAATGAAGATGAGGGCCGCCAATGGCACTGGCATTGTCAGCACGCTAGTGATAGAATCTGACGATCTTGACGAGATTGACTGGGTATGTCTTTAATCATTGAACTCTGTCAATGAGAGGGCTAATGATGTCAACAGGAACAAGTCAGCTCCTTTGATAATCAAATCCAAACCAACTACTTCGGCAAGGGCAACACCACTTCGTACGATCGTGCCACCACAGTGACCGTCTCTACGCCTGAAGAGACATTCCACACATACGCGATCAACTGGACTTCTAGCAAAATCGAATGGCTTGTCGACGGAAGCGTTGTCCGAACCCTTAACTACGCCGATGCGCTTGACGGCGAAAACTTCCCTCAGACCCCTTCCCGCATCAAGATCGGTATCTGGGCTGGCGGTGACCCCGACAACGAGGAGGGTACCATTGAATGGGCCGGTGGGGAGACTGACTATGACGACAGTCCTTTCACCATGTATGTGGAGTCGATCAAGGTTATCAACTACAACCCTGCCAAGTCTTATACCTACACCGATAAGACTGGCTCCTACACCAGCATCAAAGCTTCGAACGTGTCGACTGCTTCAAACTCGACCACATCCACGACGTCTCTGTTCCATACAAACACCAAGTCATCCAGCAATAGCTCGTCCTCGTCCTCCAGTGCAAGTGCTGCATCCAGCACTGCCTTCAGTGGTGCTTCCACGCTGTCAAGCCCCTACCTCGGCGCTGTATTTGTGGTGGCGCTTGTTACCATGGCTGCTGGGATGCTCCGTATTTAAGCGATGTATAATAGGGGCCCTTTGTTGTGTCTCGGTCTTATCATTAGATAGCCAACTTCTTTACTGTCCTTTGCTTATTTTTTTCAATTCGTCGCTCCTTAGCCTTGTATTCTCACTGAGAGGAATACACCTCGTACAATCTAGTCGAATGACAGATATCACTCTGACCCCGACAGACCTTAAGGGCGATACTAGATAGTAGCATAATTGCTGCTGTAAAAGAAACATGGCTCCATCAGATCTATCATATGTCGGAACAGCTGATTGAAAGGAAGTAACATATTGGGCAACATAATTTACGTCAATCGCAGGGTGAAAGTACCCCAGAAGGACTTGAGGGTTTCCACGTCATGGAAGTGGCAATGGAGCATAGCTTTTTCTCCGCGAGAATTGTTCTTTCCTTCGACTTGACCACCCTAACGGGGCCTCGCCGAAGCCACCAAGAGTGTGACACTGCTTGGTAATGGATCCGGACAACTGATTAAGCCGGTAGCAGCCAGCCTTGTTAAAATATAAAGCTGCAAGGTAAAAGTAACATTGAAAACAGATGATGGTAGATAGACAATGACAACGCCGTTACACGCATAGCCTAGCAAATCAATCATCTGTGGTTTTTGCTGGCATCCCTCACCACAATTGAAGGCAATAAGTCCCTCGCTAGTTGTTCAATAATATCCCAACTCTCACTGTCAACACCTTGTTGTTCTTCCAAGGCTCCGAGCCTCTTTTCTGGGTTTTGAAAAAAGGCCTCAACCTCCAGTCTGCTCTCAGTGTTATTATTCACTAGCCCTTTGATATGATCGAAAGCAAACTTCATCACATCAAAAGTCTTTATCAATTCTAGAGTATTGCAGTTGACTCCGCTCTTAATCCCCCTGTGTGTATTGTGCATGGCACCAAGCCTGACGCAGTGTATAATGAGCACAGCCAGGCCTGCTGCCAGAGCAGTCGCAACTGATGAACCCGTCTTATTTGGTTGAACTTAGGGTCTCCAATAAAGTTGCCAACGTAGCCAGGAGGGGATTCAGGCTTGAGCATTCTGATACGGCTTACGAAGGCATACATTATGCTAAGCCACTGGTGTTCATCGATCTTCTCGGTCGGTGTGGATTTGACGGATGCAGGGGACTTGGAATCTGCATAACCTTCAGACTTGGCTTTCGCCTGGCTGAGGGAAAGAAATTCGATTTGGATATCTTGTTGCATTCCCAGTCTGCTTCGGCTATCATTTAGGCGATCTTTAAAATTTTTTACTCTCTCCACGCTATATGTTTTTGAATCGAGTGGCATCTGTTTGGCACTCTTTTAAATAAATTGTCTTAGATGATACTTGGAGGGTATGGAAACGCTGACCTCTGTTTCATGAATATGAATAGTCTTGAGACTTTTCACCTGGGCCAGACCATCAGGCTCGCTCCATGCTCGAAGGATGGTATTGCTTCCACTCCATCGGAGATGCAGTTCCTCAAACCTGGTCCAATTCCGGCTTGCTTTTTTTATGACTAAAGGGTCAAGATCTACCTTACCCCAGTCCAGTATTTCCACATTAAACCCTTCAAGTGATTTAAAGATGCTCTCATCGCAGTGTGGGTTGTCTTTCTTCTCTACTACTATTACCTTGATGATATGTTCAACACCTGTGTTCGCTAGCCGTCCAAAGAAATGCTGCAAGTCTTGTTTGCCGGTAGTATTTCTATTATTACGCCAACTCTATCATTGAGCGATCATTGAGCTATACCACGGCCCAATTTCATCTAGTATTCTATTGGGTGGTCAGCCTCTACCTACTTGTTAAATCTTTGATTAATGCTTCTTAGTACATGATGTAGCTTCAGTTCAGCATGGACTATATATATAGAGAGACCTACCTATAAGATACAGCAAAGATGGAACTCTCGTTTAAATTGACAGTCATTGGCAATTCCCATTTAAGTGATTCACATGACTGTCTATCTTTTGAGGATCAACAGGAAATCAAATTGTTGCCTCGTTTAGAGATATTCTTTATATCGAAGTTTCCATATTGAAGACAACTTCAAAGTTGTTCGCCCCATTTGCTGAGTCAGCGGAACACATGCGGTCGGGGTCGGAAGAATGTAATGATCCGTATCCACCTGATTGCGATCATCGCAACCAAGCATCCACGTTCCTTCACTAGCATATCCGCCTCCTATTTCACAGACACAATGTCATCCTCGGCGGAGAACTCTCCTTCCCCGGTCCCGGAGTCCTCCAATGAGCCCACGCCGCAATTAGACATTCCTCCCAATATCCTACAGCTTCGCACGGAGATCTTCGCACTAGAGTCCCCGATCACGGTTTCCGTGACCGAATTTAACAATGCGTGGAAATATTTAGACAACATATACGTCCGGAACCAGGCCCGGCACGGACAAAAGAAAACAACCACATACTATTGGTGTCGACTATGGCGTACTAAAGCCTACGAGCCGAGCGTGTCGGATGAACAGCGTAAACGAAAACGGACAGTCCGCGAACCAATTGGCTGTCCATGTCGGATCAGGATTGTCAGTGATGGCTATTATATGACTATTACCCGAGGCAAGGAGCCGCACAATCATGATATCTCTGCACTCGACTATAAACTCACCACCGCTGCCCGGGAGCTTGCGGCGCAGGCGGTCGCAAAGGGCAGTAGACCTAGTTTGGTCGCGCGAGAACTGAAGAAGAGCGGTATTGGCGGTCGTATAACTTCTAAGGATGCTTGGAACGCTGGTAATGTCTGGGTTAGCCGGAAAGAAGGACGGCCTGCGTGGCAGAAACATTACCCTAAAAATGTAGGTTTATTCTTCAATAGAATGAAATACCCTTTCTCTGGGCGACATTGCTGTCCGACCGACACTCCTTCCCTCGTTTGTTTTGCCCTACTATTGAGTACTGTATTTGGCTTGGTCCTGGCGACTAAATGATTCACCTTATCAGTCCGTTATGGAAGCAATCGTGGCCAATGAACCAGGGCCTCCTGAGGTGCTACATCTCGAGAGTTATCCCAGGCCTCCTCCAAAAAACGGGGAAATCCTAATTGAAGTCAAAGCATTTGGTCTTAGTCGCTCTGAAATCCTCGCCCGGCAAGGCCATTCAGCCGATGCCAAGTTTCCGCAAATAATGGGTCGGGAGGCTGTTGGCATTGTGATAGCGGGTGAGGGTGCGCTGGCGCCTGGAACGAGAGTCGTTGCTATGATAAGGGACTTGCTTCCAGAATATCCGGGCAGCTATGCACAGTACACTCGTGTCCCAGTCACTCACGTTCGAAGAGTCCACCCACTATGTAAGCTTTCTTGGGAACACCTTGCCGTCTTTTCAGAAATGATCCCGACCGCGTGGAATGCCCTGTTTCGCGCTCTGCGTCTTCATCCGGATGATCGCCTCCTAATCCGTGGTGGCACAACAGCCGTTGGTCTTGCAGCAGCATGTATCGCTAAGAGGCATTGCTCTTTCATAGCCTCTACCACCCGTCAGGAAGCCCGGAAGGAACTTCTTGAAGGTGCGGGGGCTAATAAGATTCTGATTGATGATGGGTCTTTATCACAACAGATCAAGTCACAGGGACTGGAGTTCACAAAAGTCCTAGATCTCATTGGCACAAAAACTATAGCTGATTCCTTACAATGTGTAAGACCATACGGAATTGTTTGTTTGGCCGGAACGGTAGGCGGCGACTCAACAATTCCGGACTTCAATCCAATGGATGCTGTTCCTTCTACTGTATCCTTTACAACATATAAGAGCACCACGGAAGACTTCAAGAACTTCCCACTGGACGTGCTCTGCCATGAGGTCGAGACTGGCCACTTGAGACTGCCGAACATACGAATTTACTTCTCTAACCAGATAGTTGAAGCACATCGAAGCATGGAAGAGAATCGTTCGGAAGGCAAAGTCGTGGTGCTTTGGTAAGTGGATAGGGCCTTGTCGCTTCACTCGCGATATGTACAATATCATTCTCTGGACATATTTCCAGCGTACCGTATAATCTACTTAATTACGGAGCCATTCTGGCATTCGATGTTTTCGATCCTATTTGGTTGTCGACCAAAGCTGTATGCGGGTCTCTCCAGCTTCGCTTGCCCCGGAGAGAACCACAGGTGCGTCAAGTGAGAAGCCAAAAGTCACATTGGACTGCTTAATCGTCATTTATGACTCTCTTTGATGATGCAAAGAACGCATGGAAACCTAGATCATTTGCTTCACAACACGTATATAACGCTATTATTTCCAAAATATCAAACTTAGGACAGTTTTTCGATAACCAGAAGGCTAGAACAGGGATCGGGTCAAGTATCATCTATTGTTTCCTGGCAAGACAAGTATTCTCGACCAAGACAACTCATCCTGAAACATAGAACAGCAATCCCTCCTTCTGTTAGCTGCAGAGCATTGTCAAGCAGCCAATTCATATGAGACACCATGTATTTATGCATGGAACGGACAACTAGCCGGGGTCTCTCTCCTTTTAAAATCCTCAAAGATCGCTTCGACTTCAGCTTGGCCTTTGTTCTCCATGATCTGAGGGCCGATTGCTTTAATGTCATAACCTTCGTCGCGGAAAGGGCCATTCTTGGTGGGTACATTTCCGGTTCCAAAGAGCCGTACCGACCAGGATTTAGGACCCCATCGGTTTAGAAATGTCGGCTTTACATACCATGGATTGTCTAACCATTCTTTGACAGCGTAGCGCCCAGTGTATGGATCTGGAGTTGCATCCAGAACCTTGACGGCCATGAAATCTGGCCGGGGTAGGCTGAGGTAGCGCAATATGAACTTGCGCATTGCCACCGAACTAGTAACTAAGGAAGAAAGAGTGATTCCCGGTTCGCGATACCTAAACCTTCTGTCAGTAACCAAGAATTCGCGAGGAATTTGGTGCCTTACCCCATGCTCACTCGGATGTGTTCATCTAGTCTTGTGGCAATGATACGCTCAACAACAGGCCGGAGTATCGAAGGATAATTGGCCGTCTCTAGGCTCATTAAGCGCCTGCTAATGAACAATGTGGACTGTGTTGGTTTGACGGCAGTATTTTCGTATTCCACCGTGAAGTCGCACAGCTCCTGCGCAAAATGGATTCCGTCGGCGAAGCCAGCTTTACCGGACGGGAGTAGGTGGAATGGAATTTCCATCGCCTCCCCCATACATCTGTAAAACACACCAACCGCACACTTCTCGACATCTGACAGCTGCCGCCATTCATATTTCTCTATTGAACGGAATACATCAACCACCGCAGAGCCAAGAGTATGCAGCATATCTTCATCAAGGATCTTGCCGGCCTTTCTGTACCTAGAATGTATGTAATTCATGCGGGCGAAGGCCATTACATGAGCGTCGGAGCCAGCCTCGCGATCATGGATCTCATTCATTATCACCTCCGTATCAGCTCCGCGTTTTGTATTACTCTTCTCGCTTCGCTGGCCGGTAGCGACGAAGAGATCAGCCACAGTAGGAACCGAGGCAGTCTAGAAGAGATCAATCCTTCAGTGCTTGGTCTGAAGCTATGGCTGTGTACAGCACGCACCTTAAGTGTTGTCATCCTTGTCGAGCTACGCAGAGCAAACGGAAACTCAAGCTCTCGCAACTGACGTATAATATCATGGGCCTCCTTGACAGTCATGCTGGACAGAGGACGACCGGTCCGTCTGAACTTCGACTCAATTCGATCACATCTTTGGAAACGGAAATATTGCACAGCCAGGACATAAGCCCCTATCAACGCAGCGGCGGCGAGGAGCGCTTCGGATGTGTTTAACTTATACATCTTAATCCTGACAATATCAAACACAGACAAGATGTCAATCGAAGGCTGCGAAGGCATGTCTGAAGCCTTGTTTCTTATACTATTCACTTTCTACCTAGCGCCACCTAACCACATCGCCACTCTACCAGGAATTATACAAACAGAAACCTCATCTATGTTACTATCCTTCTGATACAATATGATGGCTTACAGCAGACGATGAGCTTTCTTGCCATGCATTCCTTCTTAGGGTAATAGAGTTGAAAATGACATCACACTTCACGCTTTCCCCAAGCCATATCCTTAAAGGGAAGGAGAACAAAACATGTTATAAGCCTGCCTTCAAGTGCGGTTGATATCATAATCTGAATTCTCAGTCCGGCAAGATGTCAGCGATGGGAAAATACTGATACATCTAGCTATCATTTAGTATAGGCTAGCTTCCATACACCTTTGGCATCCCTGCAGATCTGGGTATAACGCTAAGGGTCTCTCCGGGGAAAATAAACGCACCACCTCATGAATCCGAAGGGGTAAGTGAAAGCAATAGGAACTCCCCTTAGCTGACGCTGTTCAATATCCCCCATTGAATGTGCCAACGCATGGAAATAAAATCTTTTATCCCAAATATGCGGTGAGGATCTGTGCATGACTTGGGTTTCACTAATTATAGTTCTTACAGATCCTTGCCCCTTAGCCATATGGCCGAAGGCACAAGGGGCCTTTGAGACATATGCAGACAGCATCCTCGTAACTCCAGGGATTTCATTCTATATCTGGGCTGAAACATAAAGCCCTGCAACCTACCCAACGTTACCCTCGAGTATCCCCGTTCAAAGTCATGGCGAAGAGTATAGGGTATAGTGCTTGACATTACCAGTTCTCTAACCTGCTTTACTGTATGATTTCTGGGAGTGACACTAATAAGTTTGCCACCCCACAGGATAACAATCCTCCCTAAAGATTGTGTATGGTTGTCATCCAAGCGACTTGACCCTGAAAAATCCGGTAAAGCTACCAAGTTCCAAGCACCCGGAAACCACCCAAAACCTTAAACACAGAGCCAAACCAACACAGCGGCTTGCCCCCGAGTACCCCAAGAATGCTGGTTAACAACAGAATATGTTCCGTGTACCTCGCGATAGGCCGGGGAGAATCACAGGGCTCATCGGCCTTTTCGCGGTCATCTTCGGGAATGGCGTAGCCATGATGATTTTGCCTGGGCTGTTAACCTAAACTATCCGCGTCAACTTTACGATCCTGCCGGTCGAGGTTGTAGTCAGCGGGAAGGCCTGGAAGAAACTGGTGATGGCCAGGAAAGGGAGGTGATAATGATGGTCCTTTGGCTGTTTTGTCGTTCTTTTGCTGGATTGTGCGGATACTGCCTGTAGACACTCGGGATGAACGGCCCTTGGCCGTGACTTACTTTGCCGCAGAATACTGGGAGTATAATTGCAGTCTATACCAGAAGAGAGCCTGAGGTAGCATACAAAAAGCTCTTCGGTACCTCATGCCATTATTCGCCATATCTGATGTTCTTTGTTGAGTGGAAGCTCCCTTTCAGCAGCCTGGACACTCGATCCACTACAGTCATGACAGATACAGCACCTGAATTCAAGGCTACGAATAAGCCCTACAAATGGCTCAAACGCGAAATCGAATCCTCAGATCCCTACAAAGATTATGTCAAGATCTGGAGACTATCCATTGAATACACAAGCGGGGGCGACTTCGTGCAGAATCTCCTTTACGCATATACATTCGCCAACTTCGTTGCCACAGAATGGGTCTCAGATGTGATGTGGCGTAACGGTAGCGGAAAAGTGCTCACTCAAGCGACGGATCGAGCCAGCGAGACGCAATACCATTTTTGCACCTGGTGGTACTATGGACCGCATCACCCCGAAACAAGGAAATCCATTGACACCATTAACAAGCTCCACAGAAGCTATGCCAAGAGCTACCCGGGTCACTTCTCACATACGGACGATTATATCTATGTCCTTTGCTTCTCGCTATCTCAGCAGACCGATTACGAACAAAGCTGCAGCTGTCTGGGATTACAGAAAAGCAGAAGATAGCAGCCCATCTGTTCTGGAAAGAGATGTCTCGTCTGTTCTTAGTCGAGGTACCTGGGCAGGATTGGAAACCCCTTTCGGAGTTTTCCGGCTTCCCGGAGGATTGGGATGGGATGTATAGCTTCTGTGAGGATGTCGAGGATCATCATATGGTAGTCACCGATAAGGGCCACATGATTGCGGAGGCATTGTTCGATCAATTTGCATTTCGGTATTTTCCCCCTCTACTCCGGCCCCTGGGCCGTGCTTTGCCCATTTCTCTTAGTCTTCCTCAGACGCTAAAGGCACACCGGATCAAAGAAGTGAACCCGGTCTTGGCCTGTATGACTCTCTTCGTGATTGGAACATTCATATGGATCATGGAAACATTCTTTCCTGATCCAAAGATTAGCTATCAAGAATCTCTGCGGATGCGGTCAGCAGATCAGAACAGGAAGGTCAAAGAGGAGAATACAAAGGTAGATGAGGCTTTCCCTGCGTGGTTTGCCCGGCAGCATCAGGGACGTGCAGCATCATGTCCATTCACTGCACCTGTGAAGCAGGGCTTATAATACTTGTGCCCGTGCCATAGACAGATTTGTTCCGGTTGTTGTGGAGCTTGGCGATGTTTTCTTTATTGAGCGCCTTTAACGTCAGTATATAATAGCCGGACAATGAAACGAATAATACATAGATGGTATCGCTAATAGAGTACATACACATTATTCCCGTCACCTAGATGGTCGCCAAGCTAGATAGTCCAATGGCCATCCTATCACAACCAATATACTCACCTCAGCTCCCCTAAATTGACGCTATACCATCTACACTCTTCTCTAAATGCCCATTGGCGACACACACCCTATCTCCAGTGCCAATTCCACGTAGAAACCCCCGGGATACTTGAAAAGAGATTTAAGTTGCTCTTAACAATCATAATGTGACCCCCCAAGTATACGATACTCTCCAATAAAGTCTGCCTGCCGTTTGATTCTCCAACCCCCATGGAGAAACGGGTGATCTATTATAACAAAGACATCAATTGGGTTGGCCGGCCGATACGTTCCATCCTTGGAGCACATCCTATGGACGACAGAGATGTGATATGCAGCGCCGTTCGGAATGACCCGTCGCAGCCTGTCGGGAATAGGCTTCTGTGGAGACGAGTACCGCATTTGGAAGTAAAGAAACTCCTTAACCCAGTCCTGACTGAGGTCTAGGTTTGGCTTTGGCTCTTGTGAGAAGAAGCCAGGACCACGAAAGCGATTTAACGTGCTGCGCCATAATCTGTTCCCGGGGAATTGCTCCTTGAGGATAGCTGTCCTTGCAGAAATGGTCTTTATGCTTATGTCGAAGGGAGGGATGTTTTCTAGCACACTTGTCGTGAGGATTTCTCGCGGGCTCGATGAGTCGCGGAACTTCCAGTAGTCGTGTATATGACCCAGTTTGGCTGCGCGGTATAGCCCGTCCTTCATTTGGTCGCTGGAAAAGATGCTTTCTAGCATGTCTTCATCACTCAAAGGAGGTTGTGCCTGCTTTACCTCGTCAAGATCAAAGTACTGCCGTAGTTTGTATGGATCAATGCCCAGGCCAGCTCGACTGGCCTCGCGAATCATCCAGACTAGAGGAATATGACCTAGTTTCCACTTCTCATCGGTGTCTGAGTCAGTGACTCCGCCAATATCCTACACAAATTAGAAGCCCATCGGGTGCCAAAGGGAAACAGTAGGATGCCTACCGCGTGTCCACCCGGAAACCAGAGCTCTTGGAAGTCATGCATACACTCGGCTGCTTCGTAACCCAAGTTGGGGCGTAATGAAGGGTCTTGTTCGTCAATGGCCACGGCGTGGCGGACGACAAGACCAGGATGTGTAACAACAGATGGCAAATTTTCCTCTTTCCGACGACCACTAGTCCCCCTTGCCAAGTTACAACCAGGTGTTATGTTGACCGAATCAAACAGACCCAAGAAGGTAGCTGTGCATTCGCGGGTCCAGCCTCGAATTGAAGTCAATTCAGAAAAGTCACCTCTCGCTGAATCGGGATGACCGCGCGACACCGCACGATACCAGGCTTCGTAAGAACCCCATATGTCATGTTTGACATGAATGTGTGGTGTACACATTCCTGTGAATTCCAGAATCTGAGCCAGCATCTGTGCTACGAAACCACCGCTTGAAAAGCCAAATATGTACCATTTACTCCTGCGGTCATAGTTGTCCACACACCACTGTTCACCAGTTCTATCTTCAGCATTCGTGGCACACAAGCATCTTCAGGATCAGAGAGGGGGTATACCTTGTGCGCGCGCATTACACGCTTTTTAATATTATCATCCGCGGTGGATTGATCGTAGTAGCAAACCTGCGAATTGCCGGCATCGCTGACAAGGTCGTGTATGGCCTGAATCGCAGATCCATTACCCTTGCGAAAGCCATTATAATATCCATCATCAAAAAATAAAATCATGTTGCGCTGGGGTTTGCTGAGGCTCGCGTCTGGGTCTGTGAATTTTCTCGCAGGTTCTATAACAGCCTCCTCGAAGCCCGAGTAGATCTTCCTTGCATATATCTCGGAAGGCTCAACGAACCGGAGGTGAGCCCATGCCAGGTGTCTGTGTAGGCTACGATTGATGCGAATGAACTGCGAGTCACTCCCAGCTAGTTGGCCCAGCATTACAGCTACTGGCTTAGCACGGTGATCCGCCGACACCTCCTGGCATTCTAAAAGGAGCGCTTTTCTTTGCTTGACGATTTCACGTCCAAAGCTTTTCCCTCCACCACCTCTAATAGTAACAAGGGGTAACTGCAGTCGGATTCCCTTGTTAGTCACTGAGTAGGGGGAGCTATTCTTCAGAGATCGGAACGGGACGATATTCCTGGAGTTCTTGAAAAAGGCCGGTGTTAGTGCTAACAAACCGGTGGCGTTGAAGCCTTGAAGGTCAGAAGCATCCCAGGCAAAAAGACTTTGATCATCGGATCCTTTCATGATCTCCTCCTGCAGTCTGATAAAAGCCTTCCTGCCTTCTCCGTAGAGCAAGGGCATATTCACATGAAAGATACCCATGAGACAATACGCAGTATCTTCAGTTCTGGTTGTTACCCTGGACGAAGCCCACGACATCCTCTTTGCGACGCTACAATCGCCAAGACGGGTCTTCCCTCGCAGAACGCTCTCGTCTATCAGCGTAACCTTGGATATCAGTTGGCTCAGATCATTCTTATTTCCTATATCAGTCCAGTCTCTAGAAAGAAAAACCAAATTCGGCGGAGCGATCAGTTCCTGCAACGTCCAGCCCCGTTTGAACCATTCACTTCTCTGAAGCTGAGTGTTGATATTCGCTGGATTCTTGCTGGGATGCACGTCCTGAAGGTATGCATAGCATGTACCCGCCAATTGGTACCATCGGAACATGGAGTTGATGGCTTCGGATAGCTCGGCGCTGCTTTCCTTGTTGATGCAGCAAGTGTCGATCCAAGCGTAGTCGTACCCATCTTCAGCTGCCCGTTCGAGGAAGCGCTGGATTTTCTTGTATCCCTTTGTAGCCTTTGTCCCGTCTTGCGCCAGGTGCACTAGATCCTGGAAACTTGTTTCGGCGTCCCCCCATCGGTGCGACAGGATTGCATACTTGATCTCGCGCTTGTTGATCTTGTCCTCACCAAATTCCTTCAGCTGCAGGGGTATGCAGTTGGTGCGGAGTAAGCGCATCCTCGTGAATCGTGTCACGAGCGATGGTTTGTCATGTAGAGAAGAAACCAGATGTATACATGATAACCGAGTGGAACGCGATCATTGCAGGTAGTAGTGATTGTCCGACTTGCGGGGGTCTCGTGCTAATTAAGTCAAGTATGAAGCGCCCAGCCACTATCCCCTTTCCGACGTAGGTCTCAATCCTGCCCAATCGGGAAAGGATCGAACCATGCCCTAGATATTATCTCGATTGCTATAGCCATACCCTAATTGGACTCGGTCATTGTTGAATACGATATGTTCTAAATCCCAGATGCAGCATCCAGGACGATATGATATTATTCTCATCTATATACAGATGTTCTGCACTATGTAAGAGCTTCAAGTCTAATGTTATAGCCCTGTGAAACAGAAATTAAACGCCAACATGACGACTTAATGCAACTTCTAACTCTATGACTTATCCGACACCCCAGCCTCACTGTCCATTGAGTCAGCAGTAGACATCTTTCTATCTTCCCTGTAACTCCGGAACGTATACAACGCACTCAGCGCCATACCAAGACTACCCAGTCCGATGGCCAGATACATACAACCACGGTAACCCTTCAACACGTCGCCAGGCGTGTGACCCCCATTATTAATGTGCACCTCAACCGTGCCAGCGAATCCCAGACTGAGCGAAATGCTGTAATTCACAACCGTCGTAACAAGCGACGCAGCGACGCCCTGGTGCTCTCTGCTAGACGCGTTGGAGAGCATCAACGTGGCCGCCGGAAAGGACATATCCATGCCCCAGGGGATAACCAAGAGGCAAACAAACGTGAGCGCCCAGTAGGTTTGGTGCACGGGCGCAATGGCGAGGAAAATATTCCCGACGGTAAAACAGGTCATGGACGCGAGCATGATCCAGCCGGGACGGACTCGGCTCATAAGATACCCGGTGGTGAAACAAGCCAGACACCCCACCACGCCGGGGGGCGTGAACTCTGCCGATCCAAGCAGAGGCGATACGCCGCGGAACTGCGCTTGGAACCGCCAGAAGTAGTACACCCATATACCGAAGGAACCCCAGCCGCAGGCGATGCAGCCCAGGACGTATAGAACGTCTGCCGTGAATGCCCTCATTGGGACAAGAGGGTTCTCCGAGTAGTGAAGCTCTGCGATGAAGAAGGCGACGAGAAGCAGAACCCCAACGATGAGAAGCACGTACACGTATGGCGTGCTCCAGCCAACAATGGGCGCTTGGTTCCAGGCAACATTGATCAAGACAAGTCCTGCGATTCCCAGCGATGACGCGAACACGTCTAGGGTCTTGAGGAGTTGGAGGAAGGTGTACTGCTTGAAATCCGTATGCTGGACCGGCGCGATGACTATGCTGCCCAGAACCGCACACACCACGGAGACAATCGCCATGGTCCAGTAGGTCCAAGGCCACCATGCTAGCTGGGAGAAGAGCGAAGAGAACACTGCCCCCAGAATTGCACCGTTAGGGGCAGTGGCGCCGAAGATGGCAAAGATCATGTTCTTCTTCTTTCCGGGTGCGTAGGTTGCTCCCAGCACCGCCAGGCCGTTGGGGAGCAGCATTGCTGGGCCCAGGCCCTGCAGTACTCGGGCAAAGATGAATAGCACATGGTTGGAATACACACTGAGGCCTGCTACTAGGGACCAGACTGCAAGCCAGATGTAGCCAACCAGGAACATTCGGTGGTAGCCGAAGACATCGCCGAAGCGGCCAAACACCAAGATGAAAGTCCCGACGGTCAACGAATAGCCAGCAATAAACCAGGACAGCACACCGGGTTCAGTGATTTGGAAGCTGTCCCCAACGATATCGAGTGTCGCCACACATACTCCTATGTTTGCCTGCGTGATGAACTGCGACATACAAACAATGATGATAAACGCGACCTCGCGGATCGGGGAGAAGCCATCCGCGATAGAGTGGGCCGAAGGTACAGGCCTTAGCTCATCAGTCATTATGATGGATATGAGAGGTGCTGTGTCATTAAATCCGATAACAAATTAAGTAGTATACTAAGCCATTCCGGTTATGGCCTTCAATATCAATCTGATCAGTTTTCGTATGTCTCTGGGGTATATGCAGGATTTTCTACGGACTACGGACTTCCCCCTTCACATTCAGCTAGGCCCGACGGCAAGAAAAAAAAAGTTGGATGTCAAAGTGGGCCTAGGAACCAGTAGGCTGCCCGATACCGCATCCCAGGAGATGAATTGGACCCGCGTCGGCTTTTGAGCTGCTCTTGAGACGGCAATTAAGGTGGATCTTCCGTGGGCCGGAAAAAAGGCCATTTTTGCCACTCTTCCCTAACAAATATCTGATTGATAGTTATAAAACAAACGTAACGCCGACCTTGAACACGCCACTGCCACCGTTTATACCCTCATAAGACCATTATATAATGTATGGAGACGGTCATGCGAGCCGGTTAACCTCACATCACTGCAAATATAGCCGCCCTTCCGAGTCAAGCTCCGAGAAAATGCAATACAACTGCACCAACCTGTCGTTTCCAAGATTTACTTTCAATAACTTGGCTCCTATGACTAGGGCTTTATGTGATCGTGTCATACCCCAAAGGGGTTTCACTTGGTCAAATAGTTCTAATAACTAGGTTAGCTAGTGGGCTCAAATCTCTCGTTCTTAGGACGCCGTATAGAGTTATTTGGGACTGTTTCTCTTATAGTCTGTCGGACAGATCACTCTCTTTTGCAGAAGAACAGTTACCTTAAAACTAGAGAGTAGACGCTTTATTCCACTGGCGCATGGAGTAACTCTGCTTTGGGCTTGAATCCGCTTTCACACTCACATTAATGATGCGAGAGTGCAGGTTTGAAAACCTGAGTATGTGGGACGATTGAACGAAGATAGCTGTCCAGTCATGCACTAGGCATGCGCGATGACCGTTTAGGAGCTTTGTTGCTTACCTGTGGTCTGTAAAGTCCAGGCTCTAGACTCTAGAGTACATATGAGTGGGCCTCGAGGATCGCCGGTATGATACAATCTGCCCACTGAATGGGTGGGGCTCAAATAAAGTAGGATGTGTAGGTTTGTGCCAGAAAGCCAAAGTAGGTCCTGTTGCTTCGTCCCTCAGTTATAGCTTTCAAGGCAGACTTGAGTGCAGAGCGAGGACATTCTTAGGGCATATTTGTCCTCGCCTTTCCAACTCTATTTCGAATTGAACTTCTGCGTTGGATTGAGCTGATGAATCGGGTGTTGACAAAACAAAGCCTCCGAGAATACTCCGTATATTATACAAAATCATCAGGATGTAGCGTTCCGAGGAATTATAGCCGCCTCAGAGCCTTAGGAAGAGAATACTCATCATAACCCGTCGGACGACCGCCCTGACAACTACTAATTGTCGTCCGGAGATTACTTCTCGAGTCATATAAGTAAGGTATACCGTACGCTCTGCATATTCAACTACTCTAAACTAGAATATACATGACTTACATGTAGTCAACGAATTTCATTGAATAAACACCACAGCCAAACTATCAACCCTATCTCTATAACCCCTCCATTCTACCACTGATAGCAACAAAAACCTCACTCCCCAAGCACAACCCCCCAATCCCCCTCCGCCCAAACAATCTTCAACTTCCAATGCGTAATCTTCCACAACCCATCCCCCTCGTCCCTCACCACATCCATCTCATACAGACTCCCCGCCAAGAAATACTTCGTGCCAGGCTGTATACCCTCGCCGGGCCGATAATGCTGCGCCAGCGCCGAGGCAGTCAACGACCCCTTCTCCTCGCCATCTTCGGCATTCACTCGCACATTACTCATATAGTGAATCGTATCCAGCTTCGATATATTGTCGTAGCAGTCTTTGTGGATCGACTCGAGACCTTCGAGCACTCGACCGTTCAGGTCGAACGTGGCGTCTTTGGTGAAGGCTGAGTCGAAAAGAGCTGTGTCGGCGGTGTCGAAGCCGCTGACGCAGCGGTAGAGGGTGTCGGCTATGGCTTCGCGGGTGGTAAGGGAGGGGAGGATGCTTGGGTAGGACATTTTGGGGGTTTGTCAATATAAGGAATATGTGGGTGTTGCTTGGGGTTATCCTTTGTGTACTGTGCGGGGGGGGGGTGTCTGGTGTGAGTGTGTGGTGTTATATAGATTAGGGTGAGGGTCTATGCATCTAGAGATGGCATGATGACTTGTTACCAGTCTTGTGGTTTGGTTCCTGTATTCTGCTGGAGGCGGACTTTGAGTGGATATAAACCTGGCTTTGCGTAAGTCCGGAGGTTAACTCCGTGGTGTGAGAATGGATATCGATAGACCCATGATGTTGGCTGATGGGGCTAGTGCATATCATACCATCTGCATGACCCTATAACTTGGTAGATCCTGGACTCCTGGCCGGGACATGCTATTGTCAATAAGGAAGACAATCCAACGCTAGATCGCATAGAAAGAACCACATAACCGGACAAGTAAAACCCATTGATCGGAAGCTGTTCAGGGTTCATTGCCGCAAGACTTTGGTCCTATATCATGGTCTATCCAACAGTCTGGGCGGAGATAGCGTAGCCAACGGAGATAACTCCTCTGGCATAAATCCGGTCAAGAGATCTCAATAGGCTCCACCCAGGGAACGACTTTCGAGCTGATTCAGGACTGCTTTTTGCTCAGTGATCGGCCCCGAAGTGTGGGTAAAAGATAGAAATGCGTTTGCTGAGCACTCAATGAGCATCAAGCCAGAGCCGGAGCGATCTGGGATCAATTCCAAAGCAACGTACTATCACTCAATTAGTACCTATCAGCATGATAACCGTATATACACACTACTGTCGTAGAACTTGATGGAACTATTATTCTGGATGAATGTGAAATCACTACAGTGTATGTGAGAAACAGCTAGGTTTTCATTGCCCTTATCATTATTTCAGGATGGAACACGTCCAACAGACTGGGCTGATAACAGGAAACGTAAATGAGAGGTCTATGAATCCTGTTCACAACGAATCAGCTCACCCTTCCTTCCATGTCTTCCTCCCCACAACAATTCACACCGTCACTATACTCCTAGAGTACAATTAGCTTCTCGTCAACCATAGTGACATAAGGGCTTACCTTGTTGAATTCGCATACAGATCAACCAGAGTACGAAGCAATCGCATTCGCAGCTGCACCGTTGAAATTGTAGCATTTGTTAAGCTCGAAGGACTTTGTTGTGGAATCCACATAGCCTCCTTTAATGGCCGTCGCCAGGTTCCCGCAGTTACCGGGCGCGAACCAGTACCCATACTGATGCTTGCCTCCCCAGGTCGTGATCTTGAAAGACTTGAAACCCTTCGGCCAAGTGGCACAGGTGTTGTCCCAGGTATTGACGCCCTTCTCAACGATCCCGCCGCAGCTGGTGTCACTGTAGGTGTCAATGACGAAGGCGGATCCGGTGGCAGTGAGACCAGCCATGACGGCAACAGCGGTAGTGAGGAAATGCATCTTGAAAGGGGAAGAGATTCTTGAAATTGGAATGATAGAAGATAAGGTAAAGGATGGGGCTTGCTTTGCTAGAGTATCTTGAGCTGATGAGTTGTGTAGATGTAGAGCAGCGGAAGAAGGGGGGGAGGGTTTATATACTTGAGCTGCTGTGGCATTCATCCATGCTCGCTTTACTCGTGCCCAGCATCAGCAAAAGTGTATAGCCTCATCATAACGCAACTGTAACCTATCAGAGACGCACAGCAACACAGGTACATACGCGAGGCCTCCCATCCATTCCTAACGGTAGGAGTGCCCTTTAGGCGAGCGACTCTAGCCAATTGTAAATGTAACAAAGCCCACGCAGGACATTTCTAACGGAGTAATCTGTCGATCTGTTACTGCAGGGGGCCTCGATATTGGCAAACCCCTCGTATAACCCAGCCCAACCCAACCCAACCCAAAGCCTATGTAGGGAATCTATAGATGACCTGTCTAAATTTATTTCTCTATACAACCCTATATTTCCCCGGTTCATATATAAATGGGTAACTAACAAATTACCTTATGCAGATTACAGGCGATAGCAGGAACCTAATACCCATAATAGGGTAGAGAATTGGTTCTCAGATCCAGCCCATAATGGGTTGGGTTCGGGATTGGATGCGATCTGCCGAAGTCCGGGGGGCCTTGGACGCCTTACGGGTCGATCACCACCTTGGCCCGGGGCTATGCTACAAGTGGAGAAGCGTCAACACTTAAAGCTTGGGGGTGAGATGAAGATAGTTCAATAGTTGCTGGTTCAATTACTGCTTTCTCACTAGTTTTGGGGACCCGATGTAAGGCTTCTCGCCAGCCGAGAAGTCCGCCTGCTACTAGTCCGTGCGACGGTCATTTGCTTTACCCCCTTGCTAGAATTTTGCAATAACTATACATTGTATCCAACTGTACAGTTAAACACCCATCGTAACACAAGCCTTGGCAGTCGGCCTCGCATCAGAAGGACCATCAACTTGCACTGAAGGAGAATCTTTATTCCATCCCTAACAACGCAGTGAAGAATACGACGACGGTTTACTCCGTGCACACTATTTGGTTTCAAATACTGCTTCGCAATGACATTCGAATCGAGTCATTCAAGTCGGATATATAGATATTTTGTAGCAAATATGAGTCTGGACAGATAATAATTGTTTGCAACATCTGATAGTGGTTAAGGAAGTAAGTACCATATCAAGCTTAGAGGAGAGTAACAAACACTATGTCGTTGTTTAGGGGGCAGATCCAACTTATATTTTAATGCATCTAGGATGCAATCCCAAGTAACCCTTTGGCACCAATCGTGAAAGGGACCCAGGCGCGCCAGAACTCCCAGTTATGTGTGGCACCACCCCAGGTCAAAGGAACCGGAAAAGATTTCCAATAAAGATAGCCGTGCCAATGAAATTGATCCGTCTCTTTTTGCGCTTACAGGTGGGTGATGGTATGCAGCCTGAGGCAGACAAGCACGAGTCCAGTGCCAACGCCAACGAAGGGGAACATGAGATATAGCATTCAACGCTTGCAGACAATCCTAGCAAATCCAGCGCTACATTTGCTGTAATCTGGATCTTGCACACTAATTGCTGGCCGACATATTGTGGGTAATCCGCTCAGAGGTTGTATAATCTTCCATATTGTCTTAATAAACAGCCTCCCCATGCCACTCACCAGCCTAATAAGTGGAACCACCTGCTGAATATGCTCTCTCAGAGCATGACTAGTCGGTGTGCGTTAGCTTGACAAACAGCTATCCCAAAGTCACGCCAACTACTAGAACAAGCTTGAATTAGGTTACCAGGAACAATACTAGTACCTAGGTCTTCACCAATCCTATAGTGAATCTCGTATACAGAACCTTTCGAAATCAGTTTCGGAACTACTTTCCTCGATCGATTCCCAAGCCCAAGATGCCAAGCCAGCTAAAATAGGAAGGGAGATCACTTCCCTGGGCGAACCGTTCGGCCACAGCACATGCTTGCCACGGTTCTGGGGGTCGGGAGTCGGGCCCAAACCAACCAGCGATACGCCGGAGTATACAGCCACTTGTCTCCGCCATGCCCAAAATGCCGCTGCGGAGACTAGTCCTCATTCGGCGATGGACCCCCCCCCCCCCCCCCCACCATATTTCATGGTTAATGAATCATCTACTCCAAATCGATCGAAAAAAAACGTCAACGGATTGCATCAGGATGAAGACGGGGTGATTATAAATCATGCCGTGGTCAGAGTCTGCCCGCACATGATACTGTGTCACCCATTGGCTATGGGACGGGGCGGTCGGTGACAAAAGCTTCACACTACGGGATACCTAAGTAAGTAAGATGATTACAATTTGTAATACATTGAGGGGGATTTCTAAGCGCTCAGCCAATCTTCCTTGATATATATTAAGCTCTCATCCGCCAGCCGTGCTGGACCACATCATCCATCCACCTTATTTTCCACATCTCACAGCCAAGATGACTACCCAGAAAGCAATTGTCGTGACTTCGCCAAAGCAAGAGGGCCTAGTAACCGATCGCCCCATTCCCACTCTCCGTGATGATTACATCCTCGTCAAGACGGTCGCCGTCGCCCTAAACCCCACCGACTGGAAGCACATTGCGTTCCTTTCCCCGCCCGGCTCATTGGTCGGATGCGACTATGCCGGCATTGTCGAAGAGGTTGGAAAAGCCGTCAAAAAGCCCTTCAAGAAGGGTGATCGCGTGTGCGGTTTTGCACACGGAGGAAACGCCGTACAGCACGAAGACGGATCCTTCGCCGAGTACATCGTCGTCAAAGGAGACGTTCAGATGCGCATCCCCGATAACATCAGCTTCCAGGAAGCGGCCACGCTGGGCGTGGGTATCACGACGGTGGGACAGGGTCTGTATCAGAGTTTGAAGCTTGCGCTCCCGTCGGAGCCGATCAAGGAGCCGGTTCCCATCCTGATCTACGGTGGCTCGACCGCGACGGGCACGCTGGCGATTCAGTTTGCCAAGCTGTCCGGCTATACTGTGTTGACGACTTGTTCGCCGCATAACTTCGGTCTGGTTAAACGCCTCGGTGCGGATGCGGTCTTTGATTATAGAGATCCCGGTTCGGCGGCTGAGATTCGCAAGTACACCAACAACAATCTGAAGCTTGTTTTTGATACGATTTCACTGAAGGAGAGCGCTGAGTACTGCGAGAAAGCTATTTCCAGTGACGGTGGCGAGTACGGTGTTCTCCTCTACGTTGGTATCGATCGTGAGAATATCACTACTCGCCACACTCTTGCCTACACGTCCATTGGTGAGCAGTTTACCTTTGGTGAACATATCATGCCTGCCAAGGCGGAGGACAAAGCGTTTGCCGAAGAATTCTGGACCATTGCAGAGAAGCTGTTGGCCGATGGCAAGATCAAGGTCCACCAGCCAAAGGTCAACCCCGGTGGCTTGCAGGGTGTCTTGGAGGGGCTGAAGCTCTTGAAGGAGGACAAGGTTAGCGGGGAGAAATTGGTGTACAATGTCGCTGAAACGCCTTAGAAGACTATTTGCTTAATCTTCGTTATACGTGGTTTTATAGGACGCTTAATGTACAATAGTCCTCCAACTGGGTGGAATGTCATAGTAGTACCAATCCATCTTACCTCAAATCTCTGAATCGTGTTTACCACCCCATAACCTGCACCCAGAGTATCAATATTTTATCCAACTAAACCTGACCACGACCATTGAAGCCAGTGAGACCAGACTGGTGGAGGCTCCCATGAGTCCCATCATCGCATTCAAAATGGGGGACTTCGTCTTCTATTGCACTATTTCATAGCTCAGCTAATCCTGTTCCTGCTGGATATAATACTACTCTGCTAGGTTTGCGCATTCACAAAGCACCACTTTGACGAGCTGAATGTAGTCATGTTAATAGATCTAAATCGAAGATCCTCGACATCGCCGTTGATGGAGTCTGAATGGTGTGAACGAGATGAGCACACGCCAAAGTTAACGTCATACGCACCGAAAACCGTTTAGGCTGAGCTCGAATTGCCGAGCTAAACCTTGTTGGGAATCACCCCTTCTATCGACACGTGACTGGATGCGCAATGAAGTCCTCGGATTATCTTGTCCAAAGGCAATCCGTAGAGGACTCAAGATTCGTCAGAGAAAAAGGAGGTGTGTGAGACAGAAAGACTTGACGTCTAGACAGGTGTACGACACCTGATCAGGAAGACGGTGTTGTTGTTGTTGTGAGATCCCGCGCAGTAGGATACTTCCCCCTACTATGGGTGCATCAAGGTTCGGGGAAGAATCAGGGATGATCTCTGAACGATCATGGATGAGACGCCTTTTGCCAGCCGCCGTGAACGATGATTTGCCCTTGCCAGGGGGGGATTGTGTGGGTGGATGGATCTACCAGTCAAAAGTGTGGTTCTGCAGCTATTGCGCAATCGACGTGGGCGCCGAGGAAGCCCCCTGATTGGCTGGCATAGTGGATGAGCAGCTGTCAAGCCATTTAGGGTGGCACTAGAGATGTTGTATGAGTATAAGAGATCGGAGCGACAGAGATGGAAGACTCTGAAGTAGTATATATCTCTGAAAGAATGGAGAGTGATGGCCATGGTGTTTGCCCTGAAAAAAACCGGTTTTCCTCTGGCGGTATGACGCAGCCAATGATACAGGTCAATTGCCTCGGCGATTGACAGACGCCGGCGGGAGTCGCCGAGCAAGAAAATGTCACCTTGTGGTACCTTCGCCCAGGAATGCCACCACCTCCACTCCCTTACCTCGTCCCTCACCCAAAACGACTGCCCCCCCAGAGTGCTTGATGGCCCCTTCTTCGGCAGAGAATGGGAGACCGGTCCGACCATCACCTCCATCGGGATGATGAGCCCGTCACTTCCGTCACCGACCACGAACCCAGACCTCCGTCGCCGACTGCCACGAGTCATTCCCGCGGCGAGGATCGTGTCGAACGAGACGCGTTAGAACTCCACGAAATTGAGACACAGCTGGATCATGAATTCAGCTGCTCATCGCCTTCGATCTCCTCCGGCGAGTATCGCATTACCACTCGCCGGACGGCGTCCCGCTCCAGTCAACGCACGGAGCGAAGTCGAGCGCCACGGAAGGGGCTCTTAGGGAAGGTGGAACGCTTCTGGACACACAACGTGGTCTTGACCGTCCCGCAGAAAAGTAACCGCGATCACTTTGGTAGGCTTATTTTATGCCCTTCTTCATACCATGGACCTATACAAGCATTTGACCTCAATTGAGGCTGTGCCATGTTACTCGGCCTATCTCTTTCTGGCTTAAGCTTTCCCCGTTTCTTTCCTCTTTAAAAGAAGAGCACATTTTCTAATGATAATAGCGCTGGAGCGGACATTCCTTGCCTATATCCGGACATCGGTAGTCATAGCAATGCAAGGCGTACTAATCGCCCAGCTCTTTCGCCTTCAACAACAACCATCCCCCGAGGATCGATTGACATACTATGAAGTGGCTATCCCCCTTTCAGTAACGTGTCATTGCATTGCTGCCATTGTAGCAGTGATAGGAGCGTGTCGTTTTTGGAAACAGCAGAATGCTGTCGCGTTGGGAACCGTCCATGCCGGCGGTTGGGAATTGAACTGCATCGGACTGCTAATCGCATTGGTAAGTAAATTCTCCTTTAGCCACTAAATGAACCAAGAAGAGAACGACGGTGGCTAATCGGGCGTAGATAATCTTGGCGCTTTTTGTCTTATCGATCGTGATCATTGTTGAACTTGAATAACACGAACCAAAAGCTCGAGAAAAGTAATAGACTTGTACTGTACGGCTCTTGAAGGGGTATCATGTTCTCAACCAATAACATAGCAATTAGCATTCCTGACGAGCAGAGAGACGAGACCATTCTACACCAAAATTTACCAAAACCAAGCGTTGACATCTACACCATCCAATCTGTGGACATATCTTTTGTAGGTTTCTGGAGGCACGCTTTCGTGAATGTTGTACTCTATTGCATTTACGAAAAGTGGTAAATGTAATCTGATTCAAAGTTCAAAGGTGGATTGCAATCTAAGGAAGTCGTACGCCTAATACTAGCTATGATGAAAGAGAGACAACATACATGGCTCATGACAAAAATGCCGCAAAATCGCTCTAAATGCTTGCAAATGAACAAAACGATGGTATAACCAGGAGAAAACATCAACATCATACAACCAGTTTCACCCCATCACCAAGCCAAAACCTCTTTCTGGGTTCCACAAGCGAGACCCGAGCAGATCTCCTCATCCTTCGCGCTGACCTTGGCGTCGTTGGGCAACTGCTGCCTCGCCGGCCAGATCTCATGGCCCGCCTTCTTCTCTCGGTCAAAGTGCTCCGTGACGACCTCACGACAGGTGCTCTGGAAGAAGAGGGGAGCCTTCTCGAACTTAGGGTGCAGCTCGCCATTGACAAAGACGCCCCGGTTGAGATTCTTCTGTGCGTTGTTGCAGAGAACCTTGTCCTCTCCCATGACGCGCGCATACATGTCATTGATCAGGCGGAAGTCCTCTTCCTTCGCCTCCTTATGTTTCCAGATTTCATAGGCCATGATCGAATGATTGGGACCCTTCGGGAGGAACTTTTGAACCATCATCCAATGTTTGCTGCATGCATGGGTCAGAGACGTTGTCAAGTTTCAGGTTGTAGATCACAGATGGGAGTCAAACTTACGTGACAGTCATGGATGAGTTGGGGAAGTAGTAGGTACTAGCAGTGTTGAGACCTTTCGCAATCTGCTCTGGCGTCGATTTGCAATGGTGCTGAATATGTCCGTCTTTGACATCGCTGTCAAACGAATCCAGGTTGAGGAATGCCGGAATATCCGCGTGGGTGGTGGGGCAGTGATAACACTCATTGAAGTTATCCGCTAGAATCTTCCAGTTGTAGTCGCCCTCCATCTGATAGGTATGGTCGAATTGGTAGTCGTCGAAGTTGATGCCGTTCTCCTGGTATCGCGCCTGCTTGTCGACGTCCTCAAAGTGTTCCTCCCAGGGAACTTCTGGTACTTCCTTCGAGTCCATGTTCACCCAGATAAAGCCGTTTACATCGACCTTGACGTGGATCCGGAAGAGACCGTTCTTTTCCTTGTCGAATCCATCCAGCTCCTGATAGCCGGGTGCCTTGGCCAGCTTCCCGTTCAATCCGTAGGACCAGCCGTGGTACCGGCATGCGATGATTTTCTTGTTTCCGCAGCCCTCCTCCTCGATGACGGGGTACGCGCGGTGTCGGCAGACGTTGTGGAATGCATTGACGTTGCCCTGTCGGTCACGGTTGATAATGAAGTCGAATCCTGCGACCTCGTAGCGGAGCCAGTCACCCGCCTCCTTGAGACGCGAGCTGTGGGTGATGAACAACCATCTCTTGGAGAAGATAGCACGGCGCTCGAGCTCATACATCTCCGACGCGGTGTACCATGATGCCGGCAGAGCACGGACAGGCGTTGGCTTAACCTCCGCACCCTTAGTAGTGGAGGCCTTGCTGCCAAAGTTGAAGTAGTGAAGCATGGAAGTCATGGCTAATTGTGAAGAGAGAAGGTCACGGTAATGTGTCCCAGAGTTGCTTCTGTTCGTGATCTTGCTAGACAGGTCCCAGCAGTGGTGATGAGACCCCCCTTTTTATGTCCCTCCTGACACGCCTTCTGATATCAACTGATCGTAATCTCGTCCTTATCAAGGTCCACCATTGCCACTATGAACATGACACATAGCTAAACTGGATTTGGAATGCGTAATGAGAACATTGATAGGACATTTGTGAATGTCCGCCTTGGTTATGGACTCAATAACCCCATGGGGTAAGAAGCCCACTTAGAATGGGCATGTTTTAACCAGAATCAGTCGTGGAGATCCATAATTAGGACTGGCGGCACTGGGGCCGCGACGGCCTTGATAATCGGACCCGTTCCCGCGGAACGCCCGAGCAAGGGTTGGAGGCGTCGGCTTTCCCGACGAGCTTTTATCACCCACATTTCCAGCTTCACCTTGCTATTTCGAGGCTATCTGGCGCTTTTTTTCTCCACACATTTCTTTCCTCTTATCTTCAGATGTCCACTTCAATTTACTCTGTCCGCTGACAGCGCGGATCATACCCTCGTTGCTTTGATATTGAATTTTCTATGTACTATCATTCCACACAGGCGTCACAGCACGGTCCCCCAATGGCAGAGTTGAAGACAATGTTCATGAAGATTCAAAGAACAGGGGTCAACAGACATATCTGGTACCCAACCACAACTACTACTCTACAAGCTATACAACAGCTGATCTTACCATCCCAGCGATTGAGCAGGGAAAAGATACTTCTCGCCACTGCATCGACCCGTCGAAGGTCATGTGAGGGCGTTACTGGAAACTTTTCCCCAAAATGGACAGGTACCAAACACGGTTATCGACAGCAAAAATTGGCTACTGGGCGGTCCGGTGACATCGAGCCAATGTAATCAAAACAGCAAGCACGCATAGCTATTAGTCGGGACCTAACCCGACGCCAAACCCCTCCTCGTCGGTTGTCCCGTGGAGATAGAGAGGCTCCACCTCCTGGATCGCCGAAATAGTGGGTCCGTTCCAGCACCGTGCCTGGATCTCTGCCACTAAGCAGATAAGATACTCTTAGTGCTGCAGGAAAGATGCACCGATTAAACTGGTTTGGGCATGCGGAATGAGAACATACTTTTGCCCCTCAATAACTATAACTTAAACCAGGAAAATCTGTACACTAATCTATAGAATGTGTGTGCGTTAGGCCGTCATGGTGACCGAAACGTCCCCACATACCAATGCCCAAGAACCGCAACCCCGCGCCGATGCCGAACAGGTATGCAGATGATAAAAGGCCGGGATGAAGGGCGATTTGTCCGGGTTCAAGCCGAGATTGCATTTTTCGGCTGACCGCGGAGAGATGGTCAATCTCTCCGAGATGCTGCCCATGCAGCATGAGCTAGAAAGAGTAATACATGTAATGTCAAGGGACGCTCCGTAGGACTGGTTATCACGCCGGCACCCGGGGATAATCCGCATTTCTTACTGGGTACAAGTTCTTGTTCCTGTAGGGGTGGTTTGTGAAGTTGTGTCACGGAGTTATACAGACATAAGATCATCCAGCCTGGCATTGATTCCGATCCTCGTGGAACTAGTCTGCGGCAAATCCGAAAAGGGAGCTTGTGCGGGCGATCCCATGATCAATGGGGTATCCTACTTGGACAAAGACCTTTGTCTTTCGGGTTTCGCTATGTTCTTTCATAGCCGAATCTCTTGGCGGCCAAAAAATGGTCCTCTTGGCCATTGTTCATGCCTACAAATGTTCTGCTGGAAAAGATGCGAACATGTATTCTTGAGTATGGTTTGTGTTCGCCATTGGAGTCAGTCCTTACGCCTTTCTCATCCATTATGTCTTGAAGCGATTCGGGTTCAAACCACGAGTGATTTGTCCTGTTCCAATTCTAATATATTCTTTCGTAGAATCGATAGCACCTCTGATCCTCCATGTACGAAGTATCCCGCGATTATTGACTACCAGCGTCCCCAGGGCATACCCCTGAATAATCGCGATATAGTTATTAGACGAACGCTTACTTAGTAAGCAAGGGAAGCAACGCGTAGGTCATGTGCGTGTATATGAAGTTATTCTCTTGCCTTCCTAGGCAGGCGGTGGCAGAGACATGGTGTGTAGATAGCCTCGACGGGGGGTCGGCAGCGGCTCCCTTTGTTGTCATCAACTCACCCATCAACGCGTCAGTGTGTGCCATCATTATCCACGCGTACGCCGAATAATCTGGGGTATAAACCGAGTCTGTGGCCTTTGGTTATCGATCCTCTTTCCAAACACCACTATCAGGGACAACCCATCCAAGCAGCTGAGCGCACGGCTCAGTTTTAGCAATCTCACTGCATCATCTCTGCCGCATCTGCAGCGCTATCTGGACACCCATTGGATTGTCTAACGAACCTAGATCTATTCATCGTACTAAGAGGGACAGCAACGGAGTCGGAATCGATATCAGGCCATTCAGCAGTGGCTGGGTCCAGCCTCTCGCAGATATAAACTATGATTCCCTATCCGGCAACCCGATATCCGTGAACTATCCCATGTTAACTAGTAATCTTGGGTGTGGCCTACCATGGAATGAATGCGATGTCCCCACTCACCAGTCAATTACAAACCATGTCTCCATCAAAGCTACAATTCAGGGGTACACCTAACCAGCAACAACGGGATGATATCCCTTCCAGCTCATGCAAGAAAATGAAGTAGGTAATGGACAAATTCAAATCAAAACCACGTATGGATTCACTATATATTCATAAATATGATTAAAGTCTATGTCTAAGAACACATCGGTATCCTGCACAAGACCGCACAATTAAAACCTCTCTCTAGCTGACCAAAAATACAAAACATAGAATGGTATCTGAATTTTCCGCTCCCCCCAAACTGTACATATGGGTGTCAATCGTTCATCTGCCCGAGAAACATCGTTTCATAAGCCGTTGATGATTGCGTCAACTGGGTATCGTTAGTGGGATTCTGGTGATGGAGTAGGAGAAAGCTCATCTTACATTTACAGACCGTTACCAACGATAGCAACGACGGTACCGACAGGGACAGCAACGCCAGGGAGGCCAAGGCCGGTGATGAGACCAGTGAGAGGGGTGGAAAGAGAGATGAGGAGAGCACCGCCATCCTGGCCGACGACGGTGACGAGACCATCGACCTCGGGTCCAAGGTCCGCGATGAGCTCGCCGAGGGAGGAGGCAGAGGCAACAACGTTGCCGAGAGGAACGCCGAGGGCGGGGAGACCGAGACCAGAGACGACAGCGCCAACTTGAGGGCCAACCTGGACAAGGAGGGTTCCGACGTTGGGGCCGGTCACAACGAGGACGTTGTTCAGCTGAGGGGCAAGGTCTTGGAGGAGCTTGCCAGTGCTACCACCAGCACTGGGGACACCAGCGGGAATGGTGCCGGTCGAGGGAGTGGGAACACCGGAGGGGATGGCTCCGGTGCCAGTCGCACCACTGACAGCGTCAGTCAGGGGCAATTTGCTGTTGCTACCAAGGTTGCCCAGAAGGCCACCGAGAAGGCCGTTGAGGTCACCAAGGTTGGAGAGGATGGGCAAATTGCCGAGCAGGCCATCGAGGAGTCCGCGGTTGTCCAGGACGGGGGCACCAACGGCAGTGGAAGCCAGAGCAGCGAGAACGTAAGCGATCTTCATTTTGAAAGGTATGTAAGGAAACAAGTGAGAGACTTGAAAGATTGAGGATTGAAGAGGAATGAATGGATGAGTGAGTGAGTGAGTGAGTGATTGATGCTGAGGAAAAAGCTGTAGTTGGGAGGGTTAGCAGCAGGTTTATATAGGGTTGAACAGGGTGATCTTCCTCTGCCGGAGACCTCCATGGAAGTCCTGAAGCCTTCTGGGCATAGGTAGGTGGGGACTTTCCACAGATCCAGCACCTAGATGGAATCGGAATGATGGCAATAATCTCGTGTTGGTGGAGATAGTACCCATGCTATTGATTACATGGATTGCGTTAATAGGATGATTGACAGACGATCTTACTCCGGAGTGCAGCCAGCCTTCTGTGGCTTTGAGTCCTGTACGTAAGGGTATTGTTTATTGTTCTCGGTTCACTCCCGTCGCCAATACACAGTACTTCGTACAGTTAAGCGGGTTGCCCGTTGCAATTTGATATATCAACAGACTCAGCCAATGGTCATGTACCTTTGTATTACGATATGTCTGTTTCAACAGATACTCGAGCATGATATCAGTATCTATCCCTGGACATGTGGTAACGAGAGATCAGGGCCCCGTAAAGCCCCTTTAGTTTCGGCCAATGCAGCTTTCATCTCGAGAGACTTCCCACTCCATAGTGAGGGGCCAGGTGCTAATGAATCGTTGAACTTTCCTATTCCAGCTCTTCAGCTGTTCCACAGACCGTGTATACTTCGCATACAAGATGCCCGGGCTCGTCTATCGAACAACATTGGCCTTACACACCGTGCTATTCTGAATGTTAGTGCCGGCAGATCTCGGTCCGCCAGCTTGACCATCTCCATCTTGACCAAAGCCGGATCAGACCCAATCAGCTGGAATGAGGTTCCAGATGAGTGGTTCACGAAAGGCGTACCATACTACGAGCTATACCTGCGCTATGGCATTGGAAAGTGGTTCGATTTGTGTTATTGATTGGGCTAGTGCCACTTTGCAGATCGGAAATGATGTGAGCCATTGGGCCCTGCCACTGGCGAGAGGCTTAAAGGGTTCAGTAGACCGGGTCCCTGTCGATCGTTATATTAACACACATCGAGATGCGTGGTAGATGCACAGGGTAGTCTCCACCGTGGCACTTGCTCTCTCCAAGTCTGGTTCCGCTAATGATTATACTTCGGTTCCAGCACCCCAGCCTTTTGTGAGTTTGTTGTGTAGATCAGTTGCTTATTCGGACGATACGTTGAGGCCGCGCCCAAACTTAGAATTACGGGTCAGTCGGCAAACCTCCGCGGCGCAAATCGTTACTTTTCTGCATAGAGAGCGACATGTAATCTCGACGGAGTACCCTCTCGCACATCCTAATGGCGCGATTTTTCCCTGCGTCGGCAGTTAAGGTTTTTCCTGTTTTCTTCTTTCAGCCGAACGAAACCCGGTGCACTATCGACATAGTAGATTGAGTGTAGATCATCTCCCCCACCCACACACCTTAGTCATTGAGAAGATTCGGTAGTTCGTTCGTTAGTTAGATGGAAAATGTCAAGCTAGAGAAGTGCCGGTCAATCCTCTTCACGAAAGGCAACCGGCTTCTCGGTACTAGTAGGATCGAGAAACGCCTGGCTGTGTTTTTGATCCCAGTTGCATCACCACCAGCCATCCGTCTGCAGGTATGCCATGTTTTACGCATCTTCCAGCATCGCTTACCAAGCTTGTCCCGCTGCATCCCTAAAGCAGACTCCAAATGTGATGCAAGGAGAGCAATGTCTATTTATAGGGTTTCACGCCACTTCCATGGGCCTTTTAAGTTGCCCGGAGATGTAATCCGTGGGACAATCCCCTCCGGACTAGTAATCCAAACCTCGACGATCGGGTACAGCTCAGAATGACCTGGGGCTCAGACTATTCAGCTCGCTGTACCTCTTGCTTGGCCTCATCAAGATAGGGGAGGGGGGTAATGTACTCAATCGACAGGTCACAGGTCACCGGGGGGTCGTTGGATAGACCCTTGCATGGACTCCGTTTCGAAATGAAAACCCACTCACTCAAATAATACTTTCGCACTCGGTGTATCCGATTTCGCCATGTCGCAATTACAAATCATAGTACTTTTCAAGGCCCGGAAAATTGTTCCCTGGGGCTCGAGAAGGCGGCATGCGCCACATGTACTCGTTGTAATATATCTGTAACTTTTACCGTATGGAACATGATTACACCGGTGTCGAGAAGAGTCCTGTAGTTGGTCTTGTAATTCTCGATACGCGCGGGTGGCTTCACCTGCGGCGCTCTTGGCATCTGGCGATTGTCCCCAAATGGAATCACTCTTTGATGGTATTCAGAGATGCAGTGTGTGAACACAACACATCATGTGCTGTGTCCAGTATATATAAGCATTTTCATCGTTGGCTATGGGAAGTTACAGAGCTAGCTGCATGGTGAATTACGTTTCGGGAGCTGTTGGCAGTTGTGTGATGTGTATATTGTCGTGAGTGGTATACTATCTGGGATGTAAATATATATATTTTCAAATAGTACGATTCCACACAGCCTCTGATGCCACCATATCAGATCTTTATGACGATATACTGTCCAATTCTGCAAATAGCTCTGTACCCAAGCAACCTAATTGAGAATCTGATATATTCTTTTCATTTTTATTACAGGTTCAACTGGTTACTGGCTTTACTCTGGCATTCATTCTCCTGGTGTTTCTAGCATGTGGCATGTAAGTTGGCTTCATTAACCTCTCGCTATGTCTATAGTTAGTTAATACTGCTCGCTGCTTAATAAACAAACAAATGCGTCTCTAGTTAACTAAAACAGGCATAGCTGGCTAATACCAGTAGCGCTCTAAAGGCAGACCACCAATAATCGGGACCGGCGACATGGCCCGCTGGCCGTCCTCGTATAGACAAAGCATGATGGGATTCAACCACACCGGCGTCGCCCATAGGAGGAACAGGCCCACCCACACGTATCCCAGCACCCGCCTAAACAGCGGATTCAGTCTCTCAATGCGCGCGCCACACAATGAAGAGACGACACTCTCCAACATAACGCCAAGCGCCTGGAGACAGAAGAACCACACAGCCCCAGTTTTGGCTCGGGGGACGCCGAACGCCAGGTCCATTCCCATGTGGACGAATCCGGACACGGTAAAGGCGAATAGCACACGGGGGTAGCAGGCCCACCGCGACTTAGCGGGGATCCGCAGTACCGAGAAGGAGATGAAGTCTGCGTTGGAGACGAGAAGCGTGCGGAAGGTTTGGTGCCACGCCGTGCTGGAGGAGAGGGGGGGGGGTTTTGTTAGCTGAGTTTTCCGTTTCCAGTGATGAAAGGCTGGCTGGCTTACCCCCATAGTCGTGTTAAGGACCACGCTTCTGTCAGTGAATGGGCCACCGGTGGCCAGTCCGCGGGGTCGTGGATTCCTAACCCGACGAACACCACGCCGCAAAGGCTGTATATGCCTATGATGGATGCCCTGCATACGATCCCGAACGAGATGGTCGTCGTCGCCTGCGCTAGGATTGTTCGTGCCGTCGTCCCGTGCTCCCAAGGGGCCAGAACCCTCTTGCTATGCGATAGTTCCGCTATGGCAGCCGCCAGACGAGGGTCTTGGGGGTCCATGGTGCATAGATGGACCAGTAGGAACGCGATCAAGACCTTCACGCTGGCCTGCAGCACGAACTTTAAACGGGACGGTACATACTGCGGATTCGTCTCGTCGAATACGGTGAGTCTTGAAATCTGCCACGGCGTGTTGATGCGGCGATAGTTGAACGCTGTGTTTTGCGACCAGAGAAGTCGACGGAAGAGGGTTGACGTGAGGGAACCGGAATTCAGAGCTCTACCGCCAGACCTCTTGGCCTCCTCCCACTCAGCCTGCGCCTCGTAGGACACCCGAGTCAACACCAGCATATCAATCGCGTTCAGCACGTTCACCCAACACATGGCCGCCAGTGGCCCTCCCACTCTAGTGTCCCCGAATGATTCCGCAACGCGCGACTGGAACGAGTATGCTAGAGCTATTACGATCGCCGCGGCCGGGGACCGGGCAACCGATTGGGACGGCGTAAGAGCCACGGTCAACCCCGTCACCAGCTGGACGAGGCCCCATTGCGCGAGTGGGACACGCCAGGACTCAAAGGCAGCAGGGTCCATGGTTGGGGAAAGTGACAGAGGGTTTGGGAAGGGGGGGGGGGGGGGAGGTACGGAAATCGAGCCGGCTTTCACGGCGATTGAGCTGAGTTAGGTTGGGAGACTAATTTTTCAGATTGCATTAGGGTCTACGATTTGGTTGGTGATCAGCGCGTCTCTTTGCGGGAAAAAAAAGAGGCAATGATATTGTCACTTCTGACGGCCCTGATTGGTTGTTTTGACGATACGAGTCAGATTGCTAGTGCTGGGAGCCTCGAATAGCTCCATTTACTAGTGCTCTTGGACCGTCTTGGTTGGCTGACATGGGATCGTGCCGATCTCCTTACCGCTTCTGGTATGTGGGCCATCCCGTATAGCCTCCGCTGGGATGCTTTGTCATGTTCTCCTGAGCCACCGAACGGAGTCTGGGCTCTATGCCCCAGATATGGCAGAGAAAGTACGGAAAACTCAAGGGAGAAATGCTTATCCGTGGCTAGATTTATCGTCTGATCACTAGTCACGTAACCGGTAAGCGGCTGGCTCAACCCACGTGTGCTTTCGCGTCTTCTAGAAATAAAGGTATTCCACTAGCAGCTGGACTAGCCCAATTATCAGGGGGTTGGGCATCTGTGGGGCTACAATTGGTATCCTTTGTGAGTCCGAGAGCAGATTTGTCTAGGAATCTTATTATCCAACACCAAGTCAAGCCCCCGACGAGGAGCTCAGCAGCTCAAGATGCCAAACTTTCCTATCATCATCGAGGCGAGGTGGGATCATGGATCTCCATGATGATACGCCGGACAAAATTGGCGAACAGCTGTACATATGACAGCAGTACTAGACACAGAAGTTCAGAAAATAATCCCCGCCTCTCTGAATCTCTCGAATGCTTCCAACCAGCCTTCAGCCGGATCCCGCTGCTCCGTAAATCCCACCGATCTCAACCTCTTGGGACTGAACTGTCGGTCAAAAGTAAGCCACCATCCAACCGAATCCAATTGCTTATTCCCAATGCCAACGCCGCAGGTCAGGCCTTTTGGAATCCCATTCTGAGCAAACAGATGGCGGTATTTGTCGATATATTCACTTGGTTTCAGCGCGTCGTCGTCCGCGGGTCCAACCCCTTTGAGCCCGAACCAGGCTGCGATGACCGGCCATAGGTCGCTAGCGCTGACGGGCATGTCGTTGTCCACCATGTTGATTATCTTCCCACCGCATGACTCGGGATGCAGCGCTGCATGGATTGCAATGCGACCGAGGATTTCCCCCGACACAGGCGTGTACAGCGACCGATAACCCGCTTCGCTTCCGGGGAACGGGACCTCTATCTGTTCGTCGGTGGAGCCTCTATGATTATATGCATATAAAGAAAGGTATTGCGCCCAGTGCAGGGCAAGAGAGTACGCAGAGCCGTTGGGAGAAAACCCAACCACTGCATCCGGGCAGACCTCAGTCCAGGTCCAATTGCGCTCTTTGCTGGCTTCGGTTAAGATCTTTCGGAACCATGGATATGCGACTGTTTTGGCGTAGTCTTCTGGTAAGCTGTCGGCCATGGATTCTTCGAGTGGTGGCTGGAAGACACCACCAGGAGTGTAAATCCCGTAGCCCTGCTCCTGTTTAATCGCCACTCGCCGCGATGGAACCAAATGCTTAGCTTACTCTGGATCCGCCGGGATACACAAACGATCGGAGCCTCGGGGCGACGATGTTCAACGCGTCGGCGAGTCGCTGCATGATCCCGCAGTTTTGGTTACACTCTTGGATATGGTCATCGTCGAACGGCGCGAAGACTGATCTAGATTAGTATACTCTTTCGTGTAGAACCCCCTGCTTCCGATCGATACGCTACCGAAATAAAAGACGTGGGTGATCCCTTCGGCGTCCGGGACCTTTTCTTTCAGTTGCGTCGCTAGATCATCGCCGGTGGCCTGTAGCAAATTGATCCCCGAAACTAGCCCAAAAGAAGGCCGGTTCGGTCCTGAAGGCAGATAGAGATCAGCCTCCGAGACGGGCCGATTGAGGACGGCGGTGACCCGAGAGAAGCGGCGGGACGAAAGCAGCTGGTTCAAGGTCGCCCATCCGAGCAGTCCAGCTGCCCCGAAGACGATGGCATGAGAGTCGGTCGCCATTGATGTTTGTCTTTGAGCGTCCGAGGGAAGTGCAAGTCTGGTCGAGGTTCCCCCGCGCTCACTCAGAGCCATTTTAAGGTCGCAGGAATTTCAGGCGGCGTCCATTTTGGGGGGAGTGCAGTCGAAATGACTCATCATGAGTGCACACCCGTCAAGGAATAGACTTGGTAGAATATACGAGTGCTCATATCATATTATATTACCTTTTGGCTCCTCTCTGTACTCACTTGGCCCTGGCGTATCAAAATAATACTAACCCAGATAGAGATCAATATCTGTATCTACATAACCCTCGGCTGTTGTATCTATTATATTCTAGCGCTGACTAGGTGGATAACCTAAAGTGGTTTGATTTTTACTACTATATATTGTCTATCGTGGTTTCGCTTTATTACTAAGATAGATTTATTTCTTAACCAGCTAGAGATTTGAATTGTATTTCATCTGTGTCAGTATACCCGCAGAATCGACTCTAATAACCCTATTTTAATCTATAAAGTCTATAAATATATTCTAGATTAGATACAGGGTTACAATCTTTTGCTACAGTTCTTAATATTACTTATCTCGGTCGTGTCTTACAGGGATTAGACTCAGATTTCCCCACGATAAGCCGGAAGGAGAAGAAGCGACTCAAGCAGGAGAAGACGGAGACTAAGAGAGCTAACGAACCCTAGAAGAACACTTCCTGCCGCAACAATGTGCCGTTGGGGTCATGATCGTCAGGCAGAGGGCTTGTAGAAACCAGACCTATCGACCATATAGCTCAGCCCACCGTGCAGAGTACATTGGAAGTATGTATTAGAGCCACCCAATGTGAATTGGCTAGCAATAGGAGGGCTTCTCTAGCTCGCGAACATGCAGGACAGGGTGGAAGAAGCGTGTTTATTCATCGTGGAAGAGGGGCCGCCGAAGGAAGTTGACTTTGGTTCAGTCAGCCTGGATGGGAGAAAATCTCCATTGTAGTTGATTGAATACAATACACTGACATCATCTGTTCATGGTGGAGAGAAGTGCTCAAGCGCACTAAGACTGCTCCCAGTTTCTATTAAAAACCAGCTAATGTAGGAAGAATATCGTGTGTTCAAGCCAGGACTCTTACACAGTCGACAGCATGCTACCAGCTCACGAGCCATTGCACTGGGGCTTTCCCCATGACGCCAATCTATGGTCCCTTGCGGCGAGAATGATAGTGTACCTAGATATTATGAACAGACAGATGAGGCCAATGAAAAGCGGAATGACGTTAGACCTAACCCTCCAGAGCAAGAGTCGATGTCATATATACCTCCTATATAGATCAATCCATCTTGGTTGGTTATGAGAGCGATCTATGATCCGTCCATGTGGCCGCAAATGGCATTTTCATATCACTAGACCGGTAAGCTTTCCCATCAAAATCTTCTACTTCCTTAGAACCAGTAAACAGATCCAGAATCTCCTTCTACCTCCTGTTTTACTTTCAGGCAGATGATAAGGCTCGCCGGATATAGATCTCGGAGCCAGCGGGAATGGGAAGAATCGAGATAGCAGTGGCCCTTAGCCATTCAGGGAGCCTTGTCTCAATTGAAACATGCTTTTATTGATATCGCGAATTGACAAGGAATGACTGCCACTCGGTATGTGATCCACGGTTCCCCTCGAGCATGAGGTCAGATATGACCTCACCAACCGCACCGCACGAATGAGAACAATCGACAATGGAAACCGAAGCTTCGACTTGGAGCAAAGCTAACGCTTATCGAGAAAGCTATTATCCTGTCGGGATCTAGATCGATCGGCCGCCCATGACGAAAGATATAAAGTCTGACAGTCCGCTGGGGTGGCTTGAGCAAAGAGTAGCATAACACAACAACACACTGCAATTTGCTTCAAGAAAGACATTTCATAACCCCAAGGCAAGATGGTCAAGAATCTTGTAAGAGGCAATTGTTGGTCGATACTATCGCGTTATTAATCAGGTCCCTAGACATTCGACATCCGTTACGACAACGAGCTAGCCCACGACTACTATGGAGATGGGGAAAAGTTGACTAATCGGTGCGGATGCCAGAGGCTTTACTCCATTCATTCATACAGGCTGATATCCATGAGCAGTCTGCAGCAGATTTATCACGACAAGAACCTTCAATTCCCCAATCAGTTCGATTCCACTTCCACTTACCCTCCGATTCACTTCATGTCGTATGTGCCTCGTGATCCAGACTAGGCGCAGAACTAACTGTAGTAGGGTGGAGGCCTCGGACGATGCCAATGTTGAGGATCTGAGGAGCGTGAATGTTCCTCCTGGCTTGAATGTTGAAATCATAGACTTCGAGGACTAAGCTTTGGGAGCTTTTGGACTTCTGCACATGGGATTTGGGGCTTGGTTTTGGGCGTATGGTTTGGTTATTTATTGGGTACTCTATAAGTCTGTGTTTTCCACGTACGGTAATAGGCCCGTAGGAATGCATGGGAATGAGAAACACTTGTACACACATTGCGATGAATGATGTGCTATATGCCATATCAACTGCATACTTCTACATCTCCAAGCAGAAAAGGAAAAGGCTCCTTGGATTGGTGCGACTAGAATATTCTCAGGGTGTGCCAATCTTTTGAAGAGATGGCAGTATGAGGGACTCAACCTCTTTCTATTCCTCCCTTCTTAGCATTACCCTACCGTTGCTAAGAGAGAATTACATGATGGGTTCCAGATAGCCCTTCTCAGTAGAGTGCATCCAACAGATGTGGGGGTAGACACCAACGTATATGCCAGCTCTCTTAGCATAGAAATCCTTGTATTTCTTCATTCGTGTATGTGACGTCGACAACGATACCTCTTGAGATATAGATGACTAGGCGGGCGAGAAAGAGAACGTCTTCCTGGTCGCTTTAGTGTCGTTCGGGGCCGTCATCGCAGTCTTTTCGCTTTATCTCCATGGTTCATCTCTCCAACCGAGTATGCGCAAAGGCGCATATTTAAGCTGTTTGAGCAGAAGACATAACGAAGTATAGAATTCTCTTGGATGGTAGCAACGACTGGGGAGCTTTGGTTCAGTGGTAAACCCGTGTATTTGTGTAAATTAGGTGACATCATATGTCTCTTGCCAGAAAGGATAGGCTATCCATCGTTGAAGCTGCTTGACGGGATTTGGTGCCAGTCGCTATGTGTGCTATTCCACTGTAACGGAGTAGAGGTCGCAAGTGCAATATATGTCCTTCGTCGACGCTACTGGGGCTTCATCCTCTAGTAACTTTTCATCCGCAGAGAGAAAAGGAAAATCAAAAGTTAAGAAAGCCATCCAGTGCCGATAGCATGTTCATGGTCTAGAACAGGGTCTAAAACGATAGAATGTAATGCAAATCTTTGGAAAACCCTTGCTCAGACGCAGGCTATCGGCTCTATACCACCACCAGACGAGACATCCGCTCTCCACCTACGTCAAAAAAAAACATGCGAGTTTCACCAGAAGAAGCCCCACTAGCCAGTTTAGGTTCTACTATCTACTCCTTCTGCTGTAGGCAAAGAAGTCCCGCAGCGTAGCATCGATCAATGTGGGGAGGTAACCGTGACAAGTGGTGAGGTCATCGTGTACGTAAACTCGACGATCTCGTACAGCCCAAAAGAACAACGGAAGGAAGGGGGGTTCAAACTCGATAGACTCAAGCTTTTGTTGGTCCCCAGATTGTTGACTCCCCCCCAGACCAAAAAAATCATCCATATAGTCCGACCGGGCCGATCATCTCATCCCTTGCATAGATCCCGTCAGCGGCACTGACGATCACCACCATGGTCCACCTATCCAGAGTGAAAAGGGGCAAGCAGGCCCACAAGCCTCAGCAGGAGCAAGACCAAGGCGAAGGCGCGGCGGATCCGTATGTGTATGGAACTCATTATGCCACCGAGGAGCTGCCGGAGCATGTCATGTCCGAGCGGGAGATGCCCGCCGATGTTGCTCTCCGCTTGATCAAGGATGAATTGAGCTTGGATGGAAACCCTCTGCTCAAGTGCGCTTTTCTTTTTCCTTCTCATGCTTGGATCTTGATCTGATGGCATTCTAGTCTGGCGAGTTTCGTCACCACTTATATGGTAGGTGCTTTTTGTTGGTTTTGCGTGCGACTGACCCTGATGTATGCTAAAATCGGAACAGGAAGATGAAGCGCAAACCCTCATGACCGAGGCGATGAGCAAGAACTTCATCGATTTCGAAGATACCCGCAGACTGCGCACATCCAGAACCGCTGCATTAATATGATCGCGAATTTACTGAACGCGCCCGTCACCGCAGAGAATGGGGACCAGGATTGCCTCGGGACGTCCACGATCGGATCATCGGAAGCCATTATGCTGGCGACCCTGGCCATGAAGAAACGCTGGCAGAACCGGCGCAAGGCCGAGGGGAAAGACTGGACGCGTCCGAATATCGTCATGAACAGTGCGGTGCAGGTGTGTTGGGAAAAGGCAGCGAGATACTTTGACGTCGAGGAGAAGTACGTCTATTGCACCGATACGCGATACGTGATAGATCCGAAGGCCGCAGTGGACATGGTGGACGAGAATACAATCGGTATCTGTGCCATCATGGGCACGACCTACACGGGACAGTACGAAGACGTCAAGGCGATCAATGACTTGCTCAAAGCGAAGAAGATCGACTGCCCGATTCACGTCGACGCAGCGAGTGGCGGCTTTGTGGCGCCGTTTGTCAGACCAGAGCTGGAGTGGGATTTCCGACTGGAGAAAGTCGTGTCGATTAATGTCTCTGGACACAAATATGGATTGGTAGGTTTTGGCATGATCCTACGCGCTATGCTTAGCTCTATGCTAACTGACTGGCTGACCAGGTCTACCCCGGCGTCGGTTGGGTCTTCTGGCGCTCTCCTGAATATCTACCCGAAGAGCTCATCTTCAACGTGAACTATCTCGGCTCCAACCAGGCCACCTTTACGTTGAACTTTTCCAAGGGTGCCTCCCATGTTATCGGCCAATACTACCAACTGATCCGACTAGGCAAGCATGGATATCGGTCGATCATGCAAAACCTGACGAAGATATCGGATTACTTCGCAGACGAGGTCAAGAAGCTCGGATTCTTGATCATGAGCGATGGCCACGGTCGCGGCCTACCCCTCGTGGCGTTCAGAATGAAGCCCGACGACGACCGACTGTATGATGAATTTGCGTTGGCGCATGTTCTTCGCCAACGCGGATGGGTCATTCCGGCATATACAATGGCTCCGCATAGCAACCAGTTGAAGATGATGCGTGTGGTCCTGCGAGAGGACTTTACCATGCATCGGTGTAATATACTGATTGAGGACATCAAGGCCGCGTTGAAGTCATTGCAAGAGATGGATGCCGAGATGATCCAGAAGTACACACTGTATGTTGTCGACCCGGCCAATACGGAGTACCGGCTAACAAGAACAGGCATCTTAAGGCGCACAGCGACAGGAAACTACCGCAGCAGCATGCACATTACAAGCACGAAAAGCACTCGTTGCAGGGTAAGACTGGCAAGACGCACAGTGTATGTTGAGTTTCCGTCCGGACGTTGGGCTCTGTCCAAAAATGTCTCTGTCAGAAAACCTTCGCTGCTGTCATTTTCTCGTAATTACATATCAGATTAGCCAGATTAGCCAATACAAACGTTAATACCTCGAGAACAGTTGATGCACTGTAAATGCCAGAGACAGTAGTATTACACCCGCCCCTAGAACCAGCAGGGAAGAAGTAGGAAGCGACATCCAAAGCAACAGCATGACAGTTGGTCAAGTGGGAATGAAACACAAGGGCTGTGACTGACAGGTAATGCGAGTGCGATGTGATTTGCGACAAGAGATACGGTCATCTTCGAACTTCATGTTCTAGTGCGCATATGAATCCTAGGGCTTTGGGCATCATGCCAGAACCACGAGATCATGCCACCTCGTCGTTCATTAGTGAATGGCTGGCCTAGGAATAAGGGAAGCAATGTCCCTTTCGTGGTATCTATCCACATAAGTCATGCTCTGCTCCTTTTGATCGCCTAACCCAAACCCGCACCTTCAGTGGAGCCAAGGTGACAAATTTCCCAACCAAATGTGACCAGTACATATGTCGAGACCGGCGTTCGCATGTCCAGTATGCATTGGTCCAATCAATGGACTCGTGCCTGTCCACGTCAAGAGCCAAAGTCTACCGGCTGCATATTGCGTGAACTTTAACCTGTTTGGAGAACTCAATTGACGGCCGGCAGCGCATGGCAGTCTACGGTCAGAGAACCCCCCCATCAAATGTCGGTAAGCCATATGCCCAGGCTTTTCTTGATGCCTAGAAAGGTATATTGGTGGTGGTGCATTGGCCGTGGCCAATTCACTCTGACTATCCCAAAACGATGGTTGTCGATGTGCACTGGTGGTGGCGCGTTGCCGAGAAAATTTAACCCCCGTTTTATGCCCAGTCATCGACACAGTGGATTTATAATTGCAAGTAGAATTGGGTTATACGGACATGGCCGTCTCTTGTTCATCATCAAATCCTATGTTTGAAGGCATTCTACGACGTTAGGTCACGGGCCACCCGTGAGAGCATGGTTGCTTTTTCTCAGAATGCAAGAGAATCTTCGCTGAGCCCACGAACCATCGGAGGCATCCTATGCGGAAATTGGTGGGTATCGGTCTGGGGGATTGTCGGCTAGATAACAATGCACGGTATAATAGTTGCAACTGCTGTTCCCTATTCGGTCAACCCGAAAAGACACCATTATATGATGTATCAGGTCCGTCTCGTATGACGCCAGCCGAACAGCAATAGTTTACTTCCTAGAACAGTAAACATAAACCTTGGTCGTCAATAATAGCATCCGTGCTCCGCCGGCTGCCACGCTCCGGATCTTCGTAGCGTATTCTACAGAGTACATGAACTCCCATTTTGACGACGATCACCAAGCGGCTGCGCAAACGCCTGCGTCAACGACCCCAGAAAATTTCCTCTAGGGGATTTGGCTCGGATAGTCTCCGACACTACAGCTGATATACAATAGACCATGTGGGATATTGGCTCTTGACCGCTCCGTTATACAACTCACGCTGGCAATACTCATAAATATCAGACTTTGATGGTCGTATACAGCTATCCACCCGAACGCTATTGATGCTTCTTGATTAGTTTGTGATATATCGGAGACAGATCATATCCCGAGAACGATAGTTAACTGTTAGAGGGCATTATAAAGATGACCGTAGTAGCGGGCTTGTCGGATTGCGTTTATGCCTCCATTGAGTTCCGATCCGGGCGTCTGCTTTCCTGACATCATTTTGTATCCAGGAGATACGGGAAAATGCAGCTTTTCTTTTTAGTAGTCGTGTTGGCTACTGCCTGCCAGGTGCAGGCCAAGGCCGTATTTGCTCACTTTATGGTAAGCCTCTGCTGTTCCCTCCCAACTTCAAACTTTTTCTGATGTTTCTTGTAGCTAGGGAATAGTGATAACTACACCAAGGCCAACTGGGAACAAGACATTTCCGCGGCCAAGCAGGCACACATCGACGCTTTTGCGATCAACACAGGTTTTAGCCTCTCCATTCATCAAATGCTGAGCGATGCATTCGCAGCTGCGGATGAACTAGACTTTAAGCTATTCTTGTCCTTGGACTATTCGGGGGATGGACACTGGCCGCAGGACCAAGTAATAACGTACCTGAAAGACTTCACCAAGCTACCGGCTTACTTCAAAACCGACGACAACAAACCCCTTGTCTCGACCTTCGAGGGTGACCAGGCTGTTGGCGATTGGAAGAACATCAAGGATAAAGTAGACTGCTTCTTCATTCCGGAATGGTCTGGGTTGCGTCCGGAAAAGTCCATCTCCTATGAACAAGTCGACGGCCTGATGAGCTGGACTGCCTGGCCAAATGGCACGGACCCAATGACCACGGATACCGATCAAGAGTATATGGACGCCCTCAAGGGGAAGCCGTATATTATGCCTGTTTCGCCATGGTTCTACACCAATCTGGTTAGGTTCCACAAGAACTGGGTGTGGCAGGGGGATGATCTCTGGTACACACGCTGGCAACAGGTGCTCGAGCTGGAACCAGAGTACGTGGAAATTCTCACATGGAATGACTATGGCGAGTCGCACTACATTGGACCGATACACCAGAGCGGCCTCGCGGTCTTCGACTACGGGCAGGCGCCCTTCGACTATGCCCAAGGTATGCCCCATGACGGGTGGCGAGACTTCCTGCCGTACATTATCGACCTGTACAAGAATGGAGGAAAGGATGCTGAGATCGACGACGAGGGCCTCGTCAGTTGGTACCGAGTCAACCCCGCGTCTTCGTGTTCCTCGGGTAAGACGACGGGAAACACAGAGTCCCAAGCGCAACAGACGCTGGAACCGCAGGAGGTCCTGCAGGATAAGGTTTTCTTTTCCGCCCTGCTGGAGTCCGCTGCTGACATCTCGGTCACAATTGACGGGAAAAGTCGAGCGGCCAGCTGGACCAATACCCCGGACGGAGGGAAGGGCATTTACCACGGCAGCATCCCCATCAATAACCAGACCGGGGCTGTGGTCGTGACCCTGACCCGCGATAATGAGCTATTAGCCGAGATTGACGGCCATCCTATCACGTCGGACTGTGTCAAAAATATGACCAACTGGAACGCCTGGGTAGGAAATGCCACCTCGAGGGCTCCTAAACCTTCTTCGCCGTCGGGGTCGTCCAAGCACGAATCCTCGTCGAATCGACTACTCCTATCGGGGCTTGCCCCTGCGGCGGTGGCGTGGTCTCTTTTCTTTGTTCTGTTATAATGCCGGCGACGACGTGGAGTGAGGCATGAGATTCATGAGGTCGGCGACGGCGCTCTAGGAATGGGGTTTGGGGGAGAAAAAGTACTGGGATACCCAACGTCTGGTCTAGACCAAAGATAAACATAATGGATAATCTTTAATTTTCACTGGAATCACCCCGGCCAATCTCCCTTGGACGTATTCTGCAGTCTAGACTATAATCAGTAGGAAGAAACGACCCAGTGTGCGGGCCGTCGAACGGTCTATCCACTTGGCTGGGAGGCCCCAGGTAAGCGACGAACGTTCATCAATCATTGGAGAACGGGTTGCCATAGTGGACCATTGGACCAGTCTTCATTCAGAAGGGAATGCCTCCACCGGCTCCACTGATCCATACTTTGATCGATCTTTCAGACCCCGAAGGGGCGCACGGTCGTTTAACAGTCCAGAATTCAGTCTCCTCCATTGAGGAATGGCACTGTAGTATCCCATCACATTGTTTTCATTGGGTTAGACATGTTGCGTATTGGGGTGTTATTTGAGCAATGGTCGACGCGCTATGGTCCATGTTTACAGCGATGCATATGGGCTACACGTTCACAATCGAGTGTTCTTGCGACTTCAACACGAGATAGATATTACTTCGACTCTTACATGGGTTGTCAGACATTTTCGCTGAAAAGGAAGTGACTGGCACGGTGGGGCTATTGGCGAAAGCAACGGTGATAAAACCTCCAGACAATGCTTTCTGTCAGTGCCAAATAAACTTTCTGTGGCAGCTGTTCAAGAAAAGGCGAAGCTATCGAGCACAAATAGTAGGTGATAGCGAAAGACCGTTTACAGAGAGGCCGTGGAGAAACGAAGAAGGCACTGGGTAATGCCAATGTCAGAAAAGCCCCTGCTGGGGATTCCCCGATGCTGGCTACTGCCTCATCAGGAAGCTGCGCAACTCACACGGGGTATGCAAGATCTGCATGAGGTAAAGGCTATCCACAGATTATGAGGGGTGGCAGTCGAATGGCAGGCAGTGAGTGGGTGGTGAAGCCAAGTCTATGACACCACAACCAGCGTTCCGTTCGCCACACTGGCGGCCAACTCCGGTGGCCTGCAAACCCAGGCCAATCTGGGGAAACCCATGCAGCTGAGAAAGCTCGAATTAGGTTTCGTGGCTAAAATCCAGCCCTACTCTGACTTGGCTATCGTTCAGAGCCGATCGTAATTGGTGGCAATGGGCTGGAACGCTCCAGTCATGCCATAGAGGGAAGATAAGAAAGTCTAAGGATGATATCAAACTTTATTCCTTGGCTTTTGACATCTTGCACCCATGCATAACTTCTATAAATCCCCTGGATGTACCCCTGGCCCTCAGGGGAAAGCGGAATTGTCATCCTTCGTTATTCTCATAGACTAAGTAGAGGTAACTTCGTATCTACTGCTGCGCATACCCAAGAGTCAGTATGTCTGGGTCTCTCGAAACCCTCGCCAAACCCTCGGCCTTCTTTGTGCGCCAGGTCTCTCGCACAAGCACAAACGCTCGCATTCCTCCTATCGCTCGTCGATCTGCCTCGCCCCTCCCCTGTCGCATGGCCGTGTTATCGCGTGACAAGCTTGAACGAGAAGCGGCAGCCAAGAACCCCGACTTGCGTCGTTGTTTAGGCCATCAACGACTGCTTCGCCGCTCAATAGAAGCTGCCCAAGAGGATGCGCGGAAGGCCATGGCATCATTCAGGTTAGAAGAAAGCGACGAGGACGAAATCTTTGAAGAGGACTTTGAGGCCCCTCCTAGCCCTATGATTCGGGAGCAGATCACCAAGGCTGTCAAGGCCATGGTCAAGCGTCGTGCCGCCAGTCAAGCCCACGAGACCGACAATGGGAATGCCGCGGCGCCGCAACTGATGCGCGTGAGCTCCAAGAATGATAGCAGCTGTGACTTGTCGGCGCGACCACCCAATGCCTTCTACAAAACTCCATCAGTCACAACGAAACGTCGCAAACCTACTACCAGATTTACCCTTACCCGACTGTTGTGGTCGTCATCCAGCCAACCTGTGCAGACCATGGCTAGCTGACGTTCTCTGGCGGCCTTGTTGTATCTCGCAAAGATTCGTCAATCTTACGACCTCCTCATTCTAATGCCTGCAACACTACCTCTGCATTTACAACAGCGATGACAAGCCATCCTTGCGACCATAGACGTCCTTCTTCTACCATTTGCCCAAGTTCGAGCGCTTGCATGTCTATCAACTAGACGCTGGAGATAACCGAGTTCGGTTATGCTTCAACTGTGATTACACATTACGATTTCACGAAGATAAATGTATCACATTGACTTTCCTTCCTATGTACATATCTAAGCAGATTTCTCTGGTTGCGGTTCATGTATAGTTATCTTGGTGTTGAAGCTGGACTACAACCTTAGAATATATACTATGGGCCCAAATATCTGTTTCAAAAGAACTGGACTAAGCTTTGTAGCCGGCTTTTCTGCTCCGTATCATTGTAGAGAATCAACAAAAAAGCTGTACTGAACAGGAAAGGGAAAAGACAATATGTGTCTTGAAGAACGGCTTTCAGCACTGATTACTCACCTTCCCCAGATATCCACTACAGGGAACCAGTCCCCACGCTCGACCATATACCACATCTAAGTCTCGGTGCTCTCTCGCGAAGGCGGGGTCTTGGGATCGGATGAAGATCCCGACTCACGAATATTATACGTACAAATAGCTCCGAAATCGGCGGAACTCCAAGGGTCGATAACAAGGGAGGGGGCTTTCTTACCTAGGAAGGGAATGAGAGTGGCGCCGATGACAGGTTAAGTGGAGAAACCTGGCAGGCGTTTGTACTTAAATCGAGGTTTGGCCAAAGCCAATCTGGAAGATTGTTGGTCGTAGCCCTGCTTACTGTCTGCCGCCATGGGGGGTGATTCAGATCATGTTTTTCCAGGGCCTCTTCAAAGTATAGGGTAGCTGAATTTGCCATAAAGGAATCTTGGTGGAACTTGGATAGAAAGAATGTTATACCTTATAGTCCTTCGCCCCACTCCCACCAACTTCCTAAACGGGATGTATGACTACCAGTCACCATCGTCGGAGATATTATGTCTTATACGCCTTCGCAGTTCGCTAAAAGGAACTTTTTTCTTTCAAGGCACCTTACTATGTTGTTCATATTTATTAAAGAATGACAATTCATGCTTCTGATTGGTTCCAAGGGTGCAGATGAAGGCCATATCTTCGGTCACAAGCATGACCAATTGGCCTCTACCTGGACCTTCACAGGGAACACGCAGGTCTAGACAGTCCATGCCGATCTCGCATCATGTATTCGACGATCGCGTCTCTCTGTGGCCCTTGCAAACGAGATCGTCCATATATCTTCGACTGGGTCGTCATCCTTTGATCTGTGACCTATCCAAGCCTCTCCCCAGTACTTTCTTTCGGCGGCCATATTGATGTCAATACGGTTTGTACCATCCGTCTAAATGCGCGCTACCGCTACATGGCAGTCCTTGGGGTGGAATACACGTCCAGATGTACACATCGAACTCGCCGGTCAGACGGAGCACTGCCCAAATTCCTATACAACCGGTGATATAATTGAGGGGGCTGTCTCCATCGGCGTTGACTGCGAGACCAGCGTTGATGAGTTGGCTATCATATTTGAAGGTAACTCCACACTGCTCCCATCATACATGGCCTTTCATTCTTTCATTCTTCTTTTTCCTTTCGGTTTCCCCCCCCCCTTGCAACTTGTTCGTTTTTACTCTTCCGCCTCCACAAGATGGGTTGTCTTTTTCTGATCGTCACGACGTTAATGGAGGAGTTACAGGATTTTCGGAAACGCAACAATCGCAAGTCATAGCACTTCCAAGTCAAGCAAAGGCCTGCCATACCTTCCTTGAGCTTCACCAACCCATTGGAGATGCCGATTATCCGACCCGGCGTACGTTCCTGCCGGGCCGAATATACAGGTTTCCCTTCATTTTTGTGGTCCCGGAGCGGCTGCCTTCTCCTACGTGTGGTCACGCCAAGTGCAATATCCACGTCGGGCGTGCTCACACGTTGCTACCCCCGAGTTTAGGAGATCCCATGCTTGCCAGCGATGGCCGCTCTTTGCTTGATGATATGTCGTCTGAACTGTGCCGCATCTCTTATCGGATCCGAACTTCCCTGACGAGAAGATGTCTGCGCGACAGAACGGCGAAGGAAACATTGAGGGCAGTCGCGAAAAAAGTGCGAATCATTCCGGCGATGGAAGAAGAGCCACTATTGGCGGTACATAATGACGGGAACGATTATTGCATGCAAAATGTGAAGGATATCAAAACAGGCGTCGCCAGAACAAAGCGAGGTTCACTTGTGGTTATCGCGTCCCAGCCAAGTCCCCTTCAACTGTGTCCACCGGGTTCTCAATCCCCATCGAATGTCTGTACTACGGTGGCTACGGTTTATCTGCGATTTAACCCGGCCGGAGATGAGCCGCCCCCCAAGTTAGGGTCCTTGAGCAGTAAGCTCAGCGTTTCCACGTTTTACGCGATCACGCCGTGGGCCAACTTTCCAAGCCCGTCTTACGTCGACTCCCTCGGAAGGCACCACTACACCACATCCGTTTCGCTATCGTCACTATGCGTTTCATCAACCAAATGGACGAAGCATGGCGGTGTCCGAATGCCGGGGAAGAGCGCGTTGGTGGACTTGAGTCGGACCGAACCATTCCCTACGACCTCAGCTACAGAAGATAGAGGCACGTACTACACAGCTGCGGTGATTGTCCCCATCACACTGCCGCGGACGAAAGCATTTGTGCCCACCTTCCACTCATGTCTGATCGCACGGACATATGCGTTGGATCTGAGCATATGTTACCACACACCGAACGCCAGTCTGTTGACTCCATCCATATCTCTCCGCCTGCCAATCCAGGTCACTTCATTGCCGAGATCGCAGCCTCTCACGCAGCCTCCGCTCTATAGCGAGCTGCGTACGACCGAAATCGCGATGAGACAAGGCGAAAATTAGCCCACGATATGCCACCAGTGATCCAAGGTATCCCCACTCTCTCGTGCTCGGATGGAACGGTAGTAAATATCTTACGGAGTTCTTCTTCAGGACGAACGTGACTCTGTGAATATATGCAGGTTTGTACGCGATCTTATTCGCCACATGGAGGCCCAAGCATGTATAGATCATCAAGGAGAAAAGCCGAGGAAAAGAATGGAGGAAAGACAAGGAAAGAGCGCATCTGCATTCAGAATCTGAGCGAGTGACATTATTCGAGCGATGATTTCGGCGGCGATTGCTTTGTCCTGTTTCCCCGTGACGTGGATGAGCTTTACACCGCTTTTGCATGGCGTTGGACATGGCTTTCTGTGTACTTTTTCTTTTTATTTTCAGGTGAATTACACGAGTTTCCACAAGGCAAATAGGAGCAAATGACGTCTGGGATTGCATGTGAGAGACTGCCAACCCCTGGTGAGGGCGCATGATCTCGAGTTGGCAAAGTATATTTGGATGGTGTCGTGTTCGAGTCTCTTTGATCTGAGCGCCGGGGCATACCTAAGTACGACTAGTAGTGCTCGTAAGGACCTTTATGGCCCGTCGCAGGTTGTGGACGTCTACGCAATGGCAGGGGTGCAATTGTCAGTGATTGGGTCCCGGCCAACCACGAGCTGGGATTGGACGAAAACCCCCCGCCTCCCGCTCCGACAGTTTTTCCCCGACCACGGCTGGTGTCCAGGCTCGTGACATGCCGTTGTCTTGTCTGGCCTTGTCTGGTCTCGTCCTGACCAGTGCTGACAAGATATATCTCTCCCTTTCTCTCTCTCTCCCTCACACACACACTCTCTCTCTCCGCTCTTAGATTCCTTTGAATACTCATCTTTCTTCAGGTCCACTCAATTGTGCAGTAGGATGAGAGCCCGGGCGGGATATCTTGGAGAAGTACCTCGTCGTCAATACTCCACTTCTATATCCTGACAACCTACCCAGGATCATCTGACCGGCTTCCTCCCCGGATTTGAAGACCCACGTGGGTGATATTCTTGGCATCGCCTGTACCGTATCAGTCGTCTTACGATCTCTTTGTTGGTCGCCAACTGCTTTTCTCCCCTTTTCTTTTTTTTTTTTTGGATTCTCTTTCGCTGGACTCTCCATCCCATCTGATACCTTGACTTGGTTGTTCCGATCCCCTCTCCCCATTGATTGTGGTCGACAAGCCAGCCGCGAGAGGGATTAACTGTCGGCATTCCTGTGCCAGACCTCCTCCACCATGGCCGACGATGCGACTCGCGTAACCCCTCAAGGCGGCATCTTGGAAGGTGGGAATCCGTCGCAGTATGACAAGAAAAATCCCATCGTGATATTCATCATTCAGGTGAGCCAACTCTGCAGCGCCGGAGTCTTGAACTGCGATTGCCAACTAGCATTTAGGCTAGCATTATCATCATCTTGTGTCGGGCGCTGCACTGGCCGCTGTCCAAGATTCGCCAGCCTCGGGTCATTGCCGAAGTGATCGGCGGTGTCATACTGGGCCCATCGGTCATGGGCCGCATCCCAGGCTTTACAGAAGCCATTTTCCCGGAGGCTTCGATCCCCAATCTGAACCTGGTGGCAAACCTTGGTCTCATCCTGTTTCTGTTCCTCGTCGGCCTAGAAACCGACCTCCGCTTTTTGTTCAGCAATTGGCGCGTGGCGGCCAGCGTGTCGGCGGCGGGAATGATTCTGCCGTTCGGCTTTGGATGCGCCATCTCCTACGGCCTGTACAATACCTTTCGTGATGAGCCCGGTACGGTCCAGATTAACTTCGGCACCTATCTGCTCTTTATCGGTATTGCCATGGCTATCACCGTAGGTTCCACGCGTCATTTTTCGGAGCCCACTTACTAATCATCCCAGGCATTCCCCGTGCTATGTCGAATCCTCACGGAGTTGAAACTACTCGGCACCAACGTCGGTGTGATCGTGCTGTCGGCCGGTGTCGGCAACGACGTCGTGGGCTGGATTCTCCTCGCCCTCTGTGTCGCACTGGTGAACGCAGGGTCTGGACTAACAGCGCTGTGGGTTCTGCTCGTTTGTGTGGGATACGTGCTGTTTTTATTCTTTCTCTTCCGGCCGCTGTTCTTGCGTTTCCTCAACAAGACGGGAAGCCTCCAGAAAGGCCCTAGCCAATCGGTGGTAGCGGTGACCCTTCTGATCGCGTTGGCTTCCTCCTTCTTCACTCAAGTAATCGGAGTCCACGCGATCTTCGGTGGATTTCTCATCGGTCTCCTCTGTCCTCATGAGGGTGGGTTCGCCATCAAACTAACGGAGAAGATCGAAGATCTCGTGGCTGCTCTTTTCTTGCCTCTTTATTTTACCTTGTCTGGTCTTCAAACCAACCTGGGATTGCTTGATACTGGGACAGTATGGGGATACGTGGTCGCCGTGATCGCGATTGCATTTATTGCCAAGGTCGTTGGTGGCGCATTGGCGTCCAGACTTTGCGGCCTTCTCTGGCGGGAGAGCTTCTCTATCGGCGTGTTGATGAGTTGTAAAGGTCTTGTCGAGCTAATTGTCTTGGTGTGTTCTCCTCCTTCAGGGTGGCCTCGTCGATCTTTCGCTAACGCGATTTAGAATATCGGCCTACAAGCCAATATCCTCAGTACTCGTACCTTCACCATGTTCGTGGTCATGGCGCTCGTTACGACTTTCGTCACGACCCCGTTGACGACAGCTTTGTATCCGAAGTGGTACCAGGTCAAGGTTGACCGCTGGCGCCGTGGTGAGATCGACTGGAACGAAAACCCCATTCAATCCGATTCGCGCGGTAACAGCGTGGCGCTGGCCAAGGAAGAGCTTCAAGGCACGACTGTTCGACGACTGCTGGTTTACTTGCGGCTTGACGGTCTATCCAGCATTTGCACGTTAGCCGCCCTCCTGGGGCCCAGCCGTCTTGCTCAGCCTCCTCTCCCCAAGATGCATCCAGACAAGAGAAAGTCCCAAACAATGTCTCCAGAACCAGCGGCGGAAGAGTTGGCCCCCACGGAGGTCGAGGAAGCCCCTGCGCTCCAGGTGCATGGAGTTCGGTTGATGGAACTAACGGATCGTGATTCCAGTGTCATGAAAGTATCGGAAATCGAGGAATATACGCTATGGGATCCCGTGGTCAACACTTTTCGCGCATTTGGCCAGTGGCATGACATGTCGATCATGGCTGGTGTCTCCGTGGTGCCAGAGCATTCCTATGCTGACACAGTCGTGGGAATGGCGCGCGAGGAGTCTAGTGACCTTCTTCTCATTCCTTGGAGTGAGACTGGTGGCATGAGCGAGCATCAAACCGGACTCGGTATTGATGAAGCGAGCCGTTTCGCTAATGGCCCGTACACCGACTTCGTATCCAACGTGATGCGCCAGTCGTCATCCAGCGTTGGGGTTCTGATTGAACGGAGTATCTATAGCCGTCGTACTCGTAAATCTCTTTTCGCGAAACGATCGTTCAGCGCCATGAGTGTTCGCAGCTCCGTGTGGAACAGCGCGCCACCAGCAGCCGCACGCGCTCACCATATTGTTTTGCCTTTCCTTGGTGGAGACGATGATCGATTCGCGCTACGCTTCGTGATGCAACTCGCCCAGAATGACCAGGTTACCGCCACGATTATCCACATCGATGTGGCGCCGTCTCCACCTCAGGCTCCAGAGGTGCGCCAGAGTTTGCCAACTAGCACCACGCAGGACAAGTCTTCCAGTCAGGTGTCAAGCACCCTCCCAGGATCCGAATCAGATTCTATCTATTTCAGCGCCATGAAGGACTCCCTCTCGGAAGAGCTGACCTCTCGGATCGTCTTCAGACGTGTCAGCGCATCCAGGAGCAGCACCGACGCCGTGGGTGTCGCGGTGACTGCCGTCAAAGAAGAGATGGGTAAGGTCCCGCAAAAAGCCGGCAACATCGTTGTGGTGGGCCGACGCAACAACCGAGTGGATCTCAGTGACCCCTCTGCATCCTCGCAGGAAGAGGTTGGCGCCGAAGCCAGCCGGGTTCTGGGACCGGTTGCACAGGCAATGGTCCGTACAGAGAACCGCATCGTTGGTGATGTTCTTGTTCTGCAGGCTCGTACGGGTGCCGTGGGTGCCCGGTAGAGGCCTTTTGACATGAGCCGTATATATATATATACCCTAGATCCTCGATTTGTACAAGCCTGGTAGTTGTTTGGTGTTATCTAGTTTTGCCTCTCCATAGGCAGGTAACATGCTTGTCTAAATGATCGACCTATGAACTTCCATTTTGGATCCATTAAGTCTCTCCGTATCTTGAACGCTCACCGGATCCTCCAAGGCCGACCGGTAATGCAACAAGGAATGTAGAATGCATGATCCCTAGAGATACTCCGTAAAAGTCACACTACAAAGAAGAGAAAAATCTACAAACACAACACCCAATGAAATAAAATATGTACTTTTCCATAAATGATGACTATTATTATACAATCATAATCATATCCAATGATGTATCTACAAAGACACCAACATATCTACATTAATCATCCACAACTGAACTCCCCCTCACGAGCGAGCACAGATCATCTAAAACCCGGTATTGGTCGAAGCCAACTTCGACCTCTTCCTGAGGGCAGGACCCCACCAGAACAAGACATACGGAATGAACGTCAAAAACGTCGCCACCAAAGCAAGAATCAGCCCCGCATACTGGCTGCCGACGTTATGGAAAAACTGGGACGCGAAAAGCGGTGACACGGCGCCGAGGGTATTGCGCATGAAGCCCTGGCCGGCGATGGCGGACGAGGACGACTCGCCATAGCAGTCGGAGGTGAACGAGTAACAGGACTCGAAGATGAAGAAGATGCCGATGGTGATGAGGACGAGGGCGATGAAGGGCCCGATCCAGTGCAGGAAGGCGTACTGCGTGAAGCTGTAGATGAAGAGGCCGACGGGGAGCCAGACGGCGCCGAAGAGGGCTCCGTACAGGCGGGCCTCGGGCGGCGCGACCCCGTTCTGCGCGACGATCGAGTTGTATTTGCGGATCTGGAGGAAGTTCAGAGCGAACCCGATCGTGGTGCCCAGACACAGCGAGATGTAGGGCAGCCCCGACACGCCCTCGCCCCAGCCCTTCTTCTCTTGGAAGGTGATCGGGATCACGGAGAGGAAGAGGAAGGCCAGGAACCAGGCGAATGCGATCCAGAGACCGAAGGCGAACACGACGGGCTCGGTGATCAGCATCTTGCCGGCCTTGACGGAGGAGTTGTACAGCATGGTTTTGATGTCCGGGGCTTCGAGATCGGAGGCGGCCACGTAGCGCTCGTCGCCGGTTTGGCGTCGGATGATGTCGGCGCGTTTGCCGAGGGCGACGCTGCCGCGGGTCTCGCGGAGGCAGAAGAAGCAGACGATGCCGAGTGGGATGTTGGCCAGGCCCTGGATGCCTTCGACCCAGCGCCAGCCGAGGGCTTGGTCGATGAAGCCGGCGTAGATGGGGGCGCCCACGGTGCCCAGGATGGCGATGTAGGAGAAGCTGGCCATGGGGATGGCGCGCTCTTCGGGGCGGTACATGTCGCCGAAGGTGCCGCCGACGAGGATGGTGCCGACGCAGCCGAAGAGGCCGAGGAGGGCGCGGCAGACGAGGATGGTGGCGATGTTCTTGCCCAGGGCGAGGCCGATGAACATCAGGCCGAAGCAGATGTAGGCGCCGACGTAGATGATGCGGCGGCCGGCGAGCTCACAGAAGGGGGCCAGGAAGAGGGGAGCGAGTGCACAGGTAAAGTTGAAGGTGAAGAGACCCAGTTGGCCTAGGATGGTGGATACCCCCAGGTCCTTTGTCATGCGGTCGATACCGGAACTGTAGGCGGTGGTTGCGAGACCGATGAAGAGCGTCATGAGACAGAGCAGCAGCGAGATGAAGGCCTTGTATCGGGGGTCCCAGTTGAAGGGATTCTCCTTGTCGCCCTCGACGAAGTCGAGGAGGATACGCTCCTTTCCATCGTGGACGGTGGCTTGTGTGGCGGTCAGGGGGAGGTCGAAGTCAAAGGTGGTGATGTTTTGTTCACTTGATGATAGGGAGGAGCTGTCGGACAATGATTGAGCGTGTTTGCCGCCGACCACAAAGCCTGTCTTGCTTGTGGCCGGGATGTGTTGTGAACTGGAGGCGGCATCCTCTGTGTGAGACGAGAGGCCCGGTTGGGGCTTCTCGGTGTAGGCCTTCTCGTTGTCCATATTAGTGGTGATTAAAGATGGAAAGAGATGGACTGGAGTAGTGAGAATGGGGGGAGGAGAAGAGAACCGGGGTGAGAGGAACAGGCACTATTATAGTACATTGACCATGGATGGATTCAACTTACGACCCTGCTGCACCCTGCGTCATCACACTACGAGAAGGGCAGAAAATCACGCGGTCGCCAGCTAAGCAGTCCACAAACCACATCACTTGAGCAGTCAAAGTTTGTCGTTTTCCGTTCTCCACGGGGGCCGCTGTCCCCGTTCAGTGTTGGGGGAAGACGCAGTTAGGGACTTCTCGCAGTGGGTCGAAGAGGCTTCCATTTTGGGAAAGTCTATAAAACTTCGGGGAAAACCCTCATTACTCATCCACGATATCAGTGGCCCTATCCAAGAGTCAGGCACTACAATAACCAGAGATCTACCTGGATCCCGCAAACTCTTCCACGGCTCGAGGCGAATCTTTCCTTCACAAATCATGACATTGTCCCCTGTGATGGTCAGGAACAAGGGGAGAGGCAAAATGCCAGATCCAGTTTCAACGATCGGAATCCGGCCGAGATCAACGGAGAAGAATGAGGTCAACCCCCACGCCGTCTCCAGTTCGGCATCCCGAGGCAGGGCAAAACGCCGCCCTAACTCCATACTACGCTGCAACTTCCCCCGGCCCGACTCGGTCAGTTGCCACCCCATGGGCCTCAGGATCCCACGCTATTCGATCGGGGGTCGATATGGATCTTCGGGTCATCTTCGGGGAAACAAACCGTAAATTCTCACCGCTGCTGACGCTCTATCGGCGCCCCCGACCACTCCATACCGCAGTGACGCTGCAGTATGATATATCTTCTAAACCTTCATCCGCATTTGTGCAGCACGAGCAACACGGTGCTTTAAAGGTTTTTCTCAAAGTTGTCTCTCTAGAGGGATGCCCACGGGCAGTCTACAGGAATCTCCGGTTGAGTGTTACCCACATTTTTAAAATCCTCCCAATGCTTGGTACGGTTCCACATCTCAAACTTACCAAGCTCGCACTTTCCTATGCGATTTAGGTAAGAGCCTCGGCATTGCCTATACCGACCGAACACCTCTTTTTCCGGTCCCGAAAAAAATCCAGAAGCCCTATACATCCCGTGTAGCTCATTGGCTGGCAAAGGCTTCTCAGATCTCCTTTTCTGGACTTTTACTGGCACCGAGCCATCTGCTCATGAGATCTGGAAAACCTGCCGGGACTACTTGATACTACTCGTCACACAACGCGGTGCGACGTCATCCCAAAAGAAATTTTCGAAGGCTCTCTCCTGACGCCTTTGTGCGTTGAAAATTTGTTTCATTCTACTGTGGATCGTTGGAGAGGTCGATCATAACGTTTAGAATCGGGATGTTTCGGGTGTTAGGATGCTTCTGGAACTCTGTGACTAAACATTTTCTTACTCTAGGGAGCGTAGGAGGAGAGTACTCCGTAGATTTATGCCTCGTATAAAATCTTTTATTCTACTCCAAATCTCGTATCAAGAGCATGGGGGTCAATATAGTGCCCCAACGATCGGCTCAGTTGCCGTCCCGTCGAAACTTCCATGAAGAATCACTTGCCGAGACGGTTGTGATGGACTTCTCTCCCGTGTTTCACGTCAAAGCGACCTGCCATGATCTCTTCTAGCAAACCACTAGGCCGTATCAATCGGGCTTCCACGGAGATCACCAATCTCTCATAGCCCTGTAAGAAGCAATCCCTCCGTGGCTGCATCAAGCCAGTTACGTACAAAGCTTTTCAGTGTCCTAGATCAGGCACTGAAGCATAGCAATGCATAGACTAAGTCCAGCTATGCATCAATAAACAAACGCCACCGGCTTCCATCTCACCTAACATCATCGCCGGCCCGGTCCAGGAGACCCTCGTGTTAGGACTCGACCATGGTTTCCACCTGTTGTATATGTCATATGACCCTGATGGATTTTGCTCTTGGACCTATTCGCTTAGTCTACTTAGCCTCACCTCTCAGTCAAGTCAGTACATTCTAGACTTTGCTGTTTATCAGCGTGCATCCGGCCTTTCCCACCATTATACGAGTGGTGGATCATATCAATAGATTGCTTCCGGGACTAGTCCGGCTAAGTTGCCTCGCGGGGGGGAATGTGTGATGTAGCTCAAGTTTTCAGGACATGGGGTCTGTCATCGTGGGGATGTGATATTGCGACAGTAGGGTTTTCGACACGGTTGAGTGGCTGTTGATTGATGGAGGACGGCAGACGTAGTGTCCGAGTTCCGGTGGTTTATCATTTCCAAGAAGACCTAAGACTGATGGGTAGATAGATGAATGGGACTTTCGCTTTCTCGGTTGTTTACTTGGCCTTATTGTTTGTGCCATGATGAACAACTCAAAATATATATCGATTACCACTGACGTATAATGTACCAATCCTGCGATGTAATGCCCTCACGTAAACTTGAAATCTTGGATTATGTATAAACGATCCATAGAAGCTAGTGAATCTACTCCAGATAGCCCAAGCCATGGCCCATTACCTCCAATACAACCAAGATTGCCGAAATAACCACAACCCTAGAACAGCGTGCCATCCCCCAAAATCAAGATTGGACTAGACTTTGTCTCCGGTCGATTCTCCGCCGCCAGCTCCCTCCCAGCCTTCCACGACCCCGACTCTAACACTTGAGCAAGGTTCAGCTTCTCCTTCCCCAACTCGGTGCCGCTCAGTGCAGCATGCAACTTATCCAGCAGCGCCACGGTAAGAGCGCGCCATTCGACAATCTCGTCGCTTGTCGCCTCGAAGGCAGGCAAAGCGCTACCCGAGTTCGCCAACCCGTGCTGCAGACTCTCGCTCTTCAGAGTCAGAACTCCTAAATCAACGAACAGCCCTCCGTTTCGGTACTCGGGAAGTCCTGTGGCGATCTCGGCGTTTTTCCACTCCACCCCGAGCAGCCGTTCAAACGGTACCATTAGGGAATATGCAAGCCATTGCGTCAGCTTGTGGAAAGGCTGGATGTGTGAACATTTGGACTGGCGACCGGCTTTCTGGGCGTCGTCTGCCAAGGCTTTTAGAGGCCAGGCGTCCCCGACAGGATGGCCGTCTATCTGCGTTCGAGAGGATGGCCAGATGGGCAGGAGCACGCTCTGCAGGGTTTCCCATAATACTTCGAAATCGAGACGGTTGGACTCGTCGGCGCGGGATTTGAGATAATCTTTCGGTCTGTGTCAGCGGCTCATCATGAGATGGATGGGGATGGATGACTTACCGACAATGTTCCCAGGTCGACCCGTGTCACCGAAGATATTGGGGAGACTGAGCAAGGAGCGACCGAGAGATTTGATCAGTTCGACTCTTGCAGGGACCCCGACGAACGGGTTAGCGTCCGTGATTTGGAAGCCGCGTGATAGGGTGGTGGCAGAGAAGTCCTTGAGAGAGGCGCCTGTTTTTCTTAGCAGGAATCCAAGCGAGGCGGTTTAACAATGGTAGGGTGACAGACCTAGAACAATATCCTTTCGATCACTGGCTGGAAGAGCAAATTCGCCATCGTTGAACATATGCAACGTCGCAACCGCAATGCCCTCGCTCCGGCCAATGGCAGTCTTACTGCCCGGCTCGGTGAAACGCCATTTATCCCCTGCTCCAGCATCGAGCAGAACCGAAACGAAGAACAAATCGACTAGGCTGCGAGCTTGTTCGTCCTTGTCATATCCCGCCGCTTCCCATCGCGCAAGGAGGTCCTTTACACGGGCTATCCCACCGACGTCGAAGTGCTGCCACCGGCCGTGAGGGGGGATCTGATGGTATTTGCCTGGACCAAAGTCGCGCTGGAGAAGGTCAACTTGTGAATGCCTGGATGGCGGCCGCGGTAGCATACCTTGATGATGTTCGCTACATATTGAACTGCGGTGTCGAAGCGGTCTTCGTGATATTCGAAATGGTTGATTTGGTTGGCCTCAGCGAGCTGGAACACACGGTGAGCGCGTTCACGGACAGCCTGGAGGCTGAGTATGTACTTGATCTCTGTGTCCATGGTCATGATGAGGCAGGTGAGTGAGCTGAGTTGTGAAGGTTGTTGAGGTGGGTTATCTGATATCTCCAGACTCCAGACTGAGGGGAAGAGATAAGATAGGGCATTATTTATCTCTCTGGCCAAATGCGGGGTTGATGCCTCATTATGTCATCGTGGATCAGTCATGCTGGGTTTCAATGACTAAAAGTTACCCTTCAGACAGGTTCATACGTGGCAATCTGCATGATCGCTGAAGTCTTATGATTTGCCTACATAATGTTGTCGGTTGGGCGTTGTTTGGTTTGGATGCCTGAGGCTCGAGGCCAGGAGCCAGGTTAACCCTGACTGGAATAACTGTCTAGGTCACTTTATTCCCTACGAACCAGGTGCGAGACAACGAAGATCTCTGTCGCGATGAAGTTTAGGTCTGACTTTCTTTGTCCACTCGGCTGCTATTATAGGTTGATATATTTAGACTGGTTCAAAGGCCCTGGGCATTCCCGTTCCTCAAGCGATTTTTCAGACTAAGCCCTACGCCCAACTCAAGGCCAAAACAGTTTGAGACACTGAAATCCTCAGTTCGTGGACGTAGAAATCCCCTCAACTTTGGCTCGGCAGGGAGCTGCAGGTCGAGCATAATACTAGTCATCCCGGAAGAATTAACCTGGGTAATTCCTCTCCCAAAACAGGACGGTTGAGCTCGGTTCTCGCCAAGCCTCCTAGACGCAAGGGGCGTTTCCGAAGCCATGGATTGCTCTTACAGGCCAGCTAATGCGCTGAAGTTCTCGATAGGTATGTCCAGTGAGGTTGGTCGAGGATGCCACCAGCAAATTTTATTGAATAGACGACCAGTCCTACACGCGAGCATGCCCACTGGACAGTGAAGCTAGCGCGAGGAATATTCACCAGGCGTGTGTGAACTCTTTTCAATAATGTGGCTTGACTATAGACTGGGATTCTACTCCCATACAAAGGAGGATTTCTTGGACACGGAAGGCATAGGGCTCTGAGTGTTGTTGAATTGAGCTCAATATATGGAGTGCAGGTTTTGTTCAAACTTTGTCTTGCGATCGATTACGAATATATTTCCCGTTGGAAGCACCTCAGCCTGCAGAGTTAGACGTGCATGTTCATTGGCCCTCGGCACTTTTGTTCGTATTAGCTGACTGCAGTTCGTGTGATGTGTATGCACCCTCTGTGATGTGTACAGAGCTAAGCATCTTCTCTCGCTCCGATCGACAGCAGACACTGTGCAAGGGAAGCATTTGCTCACCGCTAGAATATTTGGCTCAGGTCTTATAATTCTTTCAAATTTCGCACGCACGCCGTGCGCACTGCTGAACCTTACAAGAGAATATCCAGTATAATTGTACCATCTTACGAACTGGCGCAAAATGGGAGACCCTTCGGTGCCCATGGTGGAATGTATCTCTCAGCGAAGAAATTCTATTCGCCATGGCAAGAAGCATTCCTATACCGCATCTGTTTTATCCTCCTCTCGTCAGCTACGTGAGCTCGTGGATGGGGGAAAGGGAGTAGTGCTCGATGGACACTCCTTGGACCTAAGCTCTGTCTTCGCCGTTGCTCAGTAAGGCACGTCCGTTTCCCTGGCCTTCCGTTTTGTTAATCACCAATTTATTAGCAATGCACTCCCTGCGTCGATAACGGATGATACAGATGTGTTGGATCGAATGCACCACAGCGTAGATGTACTAGGCCAAAAACTAGCCAATGGCGAAGTCATATATGGTGTGAACACAGGATTCGGAGGAAGCGCAGATACCCGAACCCAGGACTATGGAACACTGCAGAAGGCACTGATTCAGCATCACAATGCTGCGGTTCTACTCCCGAGCGATCGCGGCCTTGCAAGTCCTGTCTCTAGCTTAGAGCACTTGAAGAGCCATTGCATGCCCGTTCCGCTAGTTCGAGCAGCTATGCTCACGCGTTGCAATTCACTCTTACGAGGCCATTCCGCCGTTCGGGTCCAGGTTGTCGAACATATTCTCACTCTACTTGCTCATGGGTTGACCCCAGTGGTACCACTACGCGGCAGCATATCGGCTTCTGGAGACCTGACCCCTCTAGCCTATATCGCGGGCGCATTGGAGGGTAATCCGGATATCTCAATGCATAACGCTGCTGGCGATCAGATCATACCTGCTGATCAAGCACTACAAGAGGCAGGACTCGTACCATTGGACTTCGGTCCCAAGGAGGGCCTGGGCCTCCTAAACGGCACTGCTTTCAGTGGCGGCGCAGCTAGCCTCGTTCTCTTCGAAGCGAATCAGCTTGTTCTACTTTCCCAGGTACTCACAGCCATGGGCACCGAGGCTTTACTTGGCACCAGATACAACTACCATCCATTCATAGCCGATGCCCGGCCCCATGACGGACAACGAGAAGCGGCAGCCAACATCTTCAAGATGTTGACCGACTCTAAGTTGGCAAAGAATCCTACTGAAGGCAGTGAGACCGCCAACCATGGCGGGTTGGCACAGGATCGGTACGCCCTGCGAACATCGACCCAATGGATCGGACCCCAGATAGAGAATATGGCATTGTCCTTGAAACAGGTTGTCACCGAACTCAACTCCACAACGGACAACCCGCTCCTGGATCCAGAGGAGGCCCAGATCCATCATGGAGGCAACTTCCAGGCAGCATCGGTCACGTCTTCGATGGAAAAGACAATGAGTGCGATGCAGATGTTGGGCAAGATGATCTTTTCCCAGTGTTCCGAAATTATCAATCCGACCTTGAGTCGGGGTCTTCCTCCCAATCTCAGTGTCGACGATCCCAGTTTATCCTTTGCGTTCAAGGGGGTGGACATCAATATGGCGTCGTACATGTCTGAGCTAGCCTATCTGAACCATCCTGTCAGCAACCATGTTCAGTCGGCGGAGATGCACAATCAGGGTCTAAATTCGTTGGCCTTCATTGCTTGTCGCTATGCTGCAGATGCCGTGGAAGTTCTGTCGCTGATGACCGCCACATACCTGTACGTACTCTGCCAGGCACTTGATCTGCGGGCACTTCATTTGGAATTCGTGAATGATGCACGGGTCCAGGTCGACGAGATTACAGCTGAGCTTTATTCATCAACGTTTGGTGCTCGTTTACCGGCAGTGAAAGTCCAACTCTGGGAAGAATTGATGAATCACTGGGCACGAACGAGCACTTGTGATCTCACAGAACGATGCCAGCTAACCGCAAGTTGCTCTATTGGAGTTCTCCTAAACTCCTTGGCAGCAGAGAGTAGTCCGGCCAACACTGCGCTGACCGGCTTTCAATCAGCCCAGGATTGGCAAACCCGAGTATGCCATGTCCTAGCACGAAGCTATGTAGCAACGCGAGAGACCTTTCTCAAGAACCAGACGACCAAGTCATATCTCTGCAGTGCGTCACGCAGTTTCTACGTCTTTGTCCGGGAGAAACTTGCCGTGCCAATACACCGAGGTATCGCCGATCACCCGACCTATAATTCGACGGAGCGTCGCAAAAAGGAATGTATTGGAACACAGATTAGCAAGGTGTACACCGCTCTTCGAAAGGGTGAATTCCAAGATGTCCTGCTGAGTTGTTGGCAAGATCGTCGTTGATATCTTCAGGGGCTGTAGGATGGAAATTAGCCAGCAATAAACACAAGGTGAACTAGCAAATCTTGGAATATTCTATCCGACCTAGAACCGCACGATATGGGGAGCCTAGTGTCCATTGCTGCTATTGAATCACTTCAAGTTCCACTAGGCTTGCCTTGATGATTATTAGTCCCGGTTAACCCATATTCCGTTCTCACTAGCCCGGCCCACGTCGGGAATATTCTGTGGCGCTAGATAGATCAATTGTGTCTGGAATGCCTGCATGTGGTCGGCAACTAATGAATTATTGGCTTGTAGCTGCTTTCCCAGCCCTTAGCTAAGATGCTGTGGCATGATTCCTGTCGTAGCCTCCGGGGTACTCGACCTTCACACTAAAAATAACATATATCCACGATGGCTTTCAATAGTCTACGGGGTAGCTGTAGTGCCTCTCGTATCCATTGTGTGTTCTCGATGCTGTCTGGGCCTATGGTAGACTGTAGGTCCCATTTCATGATATACCTCGGTCTAGCAGGATTTATTCTTACTCTAGACTATTGATACTCACATGGAGACGGATAAAGAAACCCATTCCCCTTAATTAAGAAGTGCTTTTCACGACGAATTAGTTGCCCTGTGCTCAGGGATCCAGCTTGAAGTTCTCTCAGCACTGCCTCCTGTGCAAATAATTTCCGGCCTAACCAAGGCGTATATTAACCGCATGAAGAGGAACGTTGCCACACGGTCAAAGACAGGCCTAGATGCTGGTCGAAAGCGTCACAAGCCGAGTAAAAATATTAACCTGACCATGATTTGATTGGATACTGTTTAGTGCCGCTGGACTGTTCATTTCACACGCCCAGGGACCCTGGCAAAGCGATAACTCGCCCCAGGGTTCCGCAACTTCGGTAGAGTATCTAGACGAGAGAAAGGGTGCCTCGTAAACCCTGACGCCATGTGGCATCTGGACCATGACTTGAAACCAGATGGATCACAGATTCATAGTACAGGGTCAAAGAAGGGACTCCCAGACACCTATTTGGCCACGGGGTCGATCAGGGCCGAATGCTCCGTCTCTTCTGTAGCCTATCTACGTGCCGCTGATTGGTGGGGTAAATGCAGCGGGCAATTGCTTGATATTATCCGGCCTTCCGTATGAGACTACGAGTAGTACTTTGAAACGCAAGCTAAGCGTGGCGTCGGAGCACCTCTCTTTTAGGGAATGGCCGATGCGCCGCTGAAGTGGAGAATTAAAATGGACCCTGATATCGGTCGGAACGGATCCGAAGCAGTTGGACCGCCTGCAAATTCCCAGGCTTCCGATGATAATCTATCAAGCCCAGCGCAATCATGGTTCCTGGCGGCTAACGTGCACATCACTCCCCTTCGTGTCCACCCTGTTTTATCATCCCGTCTCTTCGCTTCTGTTCCTGCATTAACCTGTCACAGGCGGCGGATTCGCCAGGTCGATCTTGGGCGCCCGCTATCTTCAGACTATTCCTACCGGTATTTGTGTCGAGCGTCAAATGCCATAGCCTTCTCGCAGACAGTCTTTCGTTTCCATGATTCTCTCGACGCCTTCTTGTGCACTCTACAACAGCGTGTATCGAAGAGCCATGTGGGTTATTCCGAAAGGGGCCATAACCGGTACTCGGGATATTAGTTCATTAAGCTACAAAAGTGAACCATCGGAACCACCAATATCGAGTGAAACAATTCAATATATAAAACCACTGCCAAGCCACCGCTGCAGCACTAGAAGCAAGAAACCCAATCGGACTCCATAGCCGGTGAGGTGGTCGGTGCTTTTCCACTGCCCATGATTCGTGCCGGGCATTTGAATCAGGTTAGGGTATCTCACGGTCCTTAGCGGAGGTGATCCCACCAACTGTAATTCAGGCCAGAGGCCAATCAGCCATGATTGCCAAGTCGGATAAATCAAGTAGAGCCCTAAGCTAGTGAGGATATGAAATTTAACTGAAACGTCTCGTTCTTGGCATCAGCGGTTGACGCTTCTTGGCAGGGCTTCGCTCATCTCACGCTGGCCCCATGCCGAACCGTTTAATCTACGAGAACCATGAGCAGAGCTGGAGGTCGTTGCTGATGTGTATAAAAGGGCCTTCCTCCGGGCCATCAAGAGGTCTCTTTTCATTCCTCAAGCCTGGATAGCTAAACATTCCTTTCTGCTTTTGTTTTCCTACTTACATTCACTCTTTACACTCTTTTTTTTACCGTCCTAGTCGACGCCTTACACTCTTTCCATTCAAAATGAAGTCCTCTACCTATGGTATGCTCGCTCTGGCAGCGGCTGCTAAGCTCGTCAGCGCTCACGCCACCGTCCACGCTGTCTGGATCAACGATGTCGACCAGGGTGAAGGTAACAGCCAGAGCGGCTACATCCGTACTCCCCCCAGCAACAGCCCTATCACCGATGTCACCTCCAAGGACATGACCTGCAATGTTAACAACAAGGCTACCGCCAAGACCCTGGAGGTCAAGGCCGGTGACAAGGTCACCTTCGAGTGGCACCACGACTCCCGTAGCGACTCTGACGACATCATCGCTTCCTCCCACCTTGGCCCCGTCATGACCTACATGGCCCCTACCGAGAAGGGCACTGCTGGCAACGGCTGGGTCAAGATTGCCGAGGATGGCTACACCGATGGCACCTGGGCCGTCGATACCCTGATCAAGAACCGCGGCAAGCACTCCATCACCGTCCCCGACGTTGCGGCCGGCGAGTACCTCTTCCGCCCTGAGATCATCGCTCTCCACGAGGGTAACCGCGAGGGCGGTGCCCAGTTCTACATGGAGTGTGTCCAGGTCAAGGTCACCTCTTCCGGCTCCAAGACCCTCCCCGAGGGTGTCTCCATCCCCGGTGCCTACACTGCCACCGACAAGGGTGTCCTGTTCGACATCTACAGCTCTTTCGACAGCTACCCCATCCCCGGCCCTGCTGTCTGGGATGGCGCTTCTGGTTCGTCTTCTTCTTCATCATCCGAATCCGCCTCTGCATCTGCTCCTGCATCTACCAGCGCTGCTCCTGCTCCCTCTGGATTCACTACCATCGCCAAACAGCCATCCACCACTTCCACCCAGGCCCCTTCCACTGAGAACACTCCCACTGAGACCTCCACCACCTCCGCCATTGTCTCCACCACTGCTGCCGCCTCTTCTACCACTGCTCCCGCTACTCCCTCCACCACCTCCGCCATTCCTTCCTCTGCTGCGCCCACTAACTCTGTTCCCCAGCCTAGTTCCAACGCCGGCGGCCTTGTCAAGGAGTGGTACCAGTGCGGTGGTATGAACTACACCGGTAGCAAGCAGTGTGAGTCTGGTCTCACTTGCAAGGTGTGGAACCCTTACTACAGCCAGTGCCTTTCCCCTGAGCACGCTTAAGTGAGGATTTGAATTTGAGAAGGAGGGGGGTTGTTTTTTTTTTTTTTTTAATCAGAATAGAAAATAGACGGTTGGTGTTCGCGTTGTCTAGAACTTTGATCTTTTGTAAACTGTATAGTAGACAGTGTCCTTCTTTTCGGCGTAAGCTTAGTAGGGTCTTTCGCTCTTTACCATTTTCCCTCTCTGGTCGAGGGCAGTTAGCTCTTGTCCTTGACAAATAGTTTTCATACTCAGCTCAATCTGTCGTTCTTCGTGGTCAGGGGTCTCTGCTTTCGCTCCTCGAAGTACACATCGTTTGCGGCCCAAGAATGAAAATGATCATATATTCTTCCTGCTCCATACTTCTTTCTTTTGACTACCATTTGCCGCCATATGGACGCTTCTTGACAACATGAGTAAATTCCAGCAACCCTAGCTCTATTCTGCATTTTGTTGGAACATTTGCAATATTACAAGCGCATAATGAATACTACCCATGAAAAGATATATATCCAAGTGTGCAACAGGACGGCGCAACACTCCACCATGGAACATATATATTCCCAACACTACTATCACCACAACCACAAGCCGACATCTTGCAGAACACCACACATCCTCATCACTACAGAGAATCACTCCAATATATCTTCAACTACACAATTCCACCAGACCCAACTCCATCGGCAACCAAAAAACACAATCCCCGGCCCAAGCCCACTAATACGTTTAGTTTTCCCCTTGTTATTCCTCTTCTGGAACCCCCCCGCTCGCACTATACCGGAAAAACTGTGGGTCGGGCCCACCACCGTGAAACTGCAGGATTACTGATCATGGGCTTGCGTTTGGGGTGTTTTGTGGGATGAATCTCGGGACATTTGATGTGCTCGTGTTTTAGATGTGAATGGCAATTTTTGGAGGTTTAGGTCGAGGTTGGTTGGCTGGGTGGAAAGGAGGGCTGAGATGTGGCTTTTTTTTGTCGGGCTTATTTAACAAGTCGATATGCAATACAACGAGTTAATGATGTTCTGGATTAGGGATACGATAGATTGCAGTAACTACCGACCTCGCCTTAAGTATCGCGCAATCCGTTTATACCTATTGAATTTTCTACTGATGTGTAGCGCAAGATGTGAACTTCATGGTGAGAACCAGAACCGGAGGGTTGCTGTAGTTGTCATTCTGACTGTGTACCTCGATCAAATCATAAGAGCACAGGATACATGGGATAGGCATCTAGCTTGGCCGCCGCAAGGGTGGCTATATTCCTGACAGCAGATTTTACAATTCATGCAATATACGGAGCTTTTTCTTGGAATGAGTTGGGAAGTTGCGTACACTGAGATGTATTGGTCACTAAAAACGACATCGCAGTGAAGACCAGAGAAACCCGAAAAGCACAGTAGGGAAACACAAAACTGGCTCAGCCACTAGACTCTATTCCTGATGGGCCGCGACCATTAAGCTTGGTCTGTCTAGACCCCACATGGCGATGATCGTCGGTGGCTTGAATGGAGGTGCCAACGTTCGCATGGTACGATCCGCCAGTCGGAAAATATTATGCACGCATCAGGTCGACAGCCCCGCCTGTACGTGTGTCTGACCTGACTTTGACAGCTTCAGATCCCCTGCAAACCGTCGCACCATGGGTCGCGTCGACGAGTTTGCGGCGCATGCATTTGATTACCTGATCGTCGGTGGAGGGACCGCAGGCTTGGTGCTAGCGGCGCGTCTGAGCGAACGCCCTGACATCGTGGTCGGGGTAATCGAAGCCGGCCCTGTGGCCTTGGATGAGAAAGCAATTAACATTCCAGGTCTTTACGGTTCGACGATCGGGTCTCAGTATGACTGGCAATTTGAAACGGTGCCTCAACCAGGACTGTCAGGTCGGAAACTGCCCTGGCCTCGGGGCAAGGTACTTGGCGGCACCAGTGCCCTGAACTTTATGGCATGGAATCGTGGGAACAGAGAGGACTACGATGCTTGGAGGGAGTTGGGTAACCCAGGATGGGGCTGGGATGATCTGTTGTAGGTGTACCAATCGCTGGGGTTTGCTTTATATCGACTAACCATCGAGAAGGCCGTACTTCCAACGTTCTGAGACTTTCCACCCTCCCGACGTTATTCACCAACAGCAGTACCGTTCCTATTACCAGGAGGAAGCACATGGGAGTGCTGGACCCCTTCACACAGCGCATATCCAGAACTATGGCCCAACGCACCGGTTTTGGCACGCGACGCTCAATGCGGTCGGCGTGGATACCAGTCCAGACAGCCTTGCCGGGTCAAATAGAGGAGCGTGGAACATGATTTGTACCATGGATCCCATCAACCAAACCCGGAGTTACTCGGCGAATGCCTACTATCAGCCTATTGCGGCACGACCGAACTTGGTGCTGCTTACAGAAGCCATGGTGACAAAAGTACTAATCGAGAAGGATGATAACACCGACCGGTGGGTCGCGACGGGAGTCAACATCCTCTGCGATGATGAGGAAAGGGAGGTCAACGCAGCAAGAGAGGTTCTCCTCTCGGCGGGAAGTGTTCAGTCTCCACAGCTTCTGGAGCTGTCTGGCGTTGGCCATGCCGACGTCCTGAGGTCTGCTGGAATTCCTGTCAAGATTGAAAATTCGAATGTCGGAGAGAACCTTCAGGAGCATATGAGTATATATGATCCTTCGACACGCAAAGGAAGCGATCACTAACCGGTGATACAGTGACGGCCACGATCTTTGAAATTCCGCCTGAGATGCCCACCCGGGATGAGCTATTGCAGGACTCAGCGCTTCGGGAGGCGGCCAGTCGAGAGTATGAAGGCTCTAAGTCCGGGCCATGGACGATTCTTCCGTGCTCGATCGCATATTGTTCATTGACCCAGATCATCGGTCAAGAGGAACTGGAAGGTCTCCGGTCGAGAGCGGAGTCATTGGCCAAACAGACAGGCAAAAAGCGAGACGAGATCCTAGCCCGCCAATTCCAGGAGGATGCTAACTTGGGTCAGCTCGAGTATCTCTTCGATGTCGGGAACTGGAGTCCATACTGCACATCCGAAGAGGGCAAGAAATACGGTACGATGCTGTTGATGCTGCAGTATCCCTGGTCCCGAGGGTCAATCCACCTGCCACCCAAGGACCCGGGCCTCCGTGCGACTATCCATGACAAGCCAATGATCGACCCACGATACTACCTTGGTCATGGAGCGTTAGACCTCGAGGTTATGAAGATCGGCCAGCGCTTGACGGAGCGAATCTGCGCCACGAAGCCACTCTCGGACATCATTCGCTCCCGGGTATTTCCTCCGATGCCTAATTCCGACGCACCAGTCGGCATGGACGAATATGACGGGTTTGTGCAGAACTATACGATCACTGACTGGCATCGTAAGTTTGCCTTTCATCAGATTGCCACCGCGGTGGACTAACATACGACCAGCGATCGGAACCTGCGCGATGGGAGGCTTGGAAGGGGAGAAGTCCGGCGTGGTCGATGACCGTCTACGGGTGTACGGTATAACCAACCTGCGTGTGGTCGATGCCAGCGTCATGCCTCTCCAAGTCAGCGCACATATTCAGGCGACGGTATATGCCATTGCAGAGAAGGCTGCCGAGATGATCATCGAGGATATGGATGCAAAGTTGGGCCCATAAGTAACTCTGCCTGGATGGTATCGGGTAATATTGAATCAAGAGTATCTAAATCTGTTATACACTCCCTGGTTAGACGGGGATGACTAGTGTTCTATATCAAAGATTGAGAAAGTTGCCTGGAGGTTCAGTTAGGTGCACAAAGTATAGAATCTGTCCCACAATGTTGACCTTCATGGTTCCTCCTGTGACTTGAACATATGAACCTTATTTTCAGCAATTAATCTCAACGTATTCCAGCTACTCTTTGTTCGCGATGTCCTAAGCTCCATCAGAGCTTATAAACATGGCTAAGCTGTATCCACTTGGGATGTAACCTTCCACACTATCAGTGCTTATCTTATAGGCCAATTGTCTCTTCCCAATGCGACTGAATACATTAATATAGGACCCCTGAGGTGATGGTGAGACAGCTTCTGAAGGACTGTCCTTAGGGAAGGCTTCCTTCCGCGTATTATAACAAGAACAATCTACCTGAGCTAGAAAACGTGGTATATGGGAACTTGTGTTTAGCCGGCTAGCGTCTCAGTCCTGAGGACGACGACGGAGGCCGATAGAAAGAGTCAAAGCAAGTATTGGAAACCTGACATGGCTGCGGAAGTTGGAAACTTGGAAGATTCGCGTTGCCGTTGCTCATGGTGTAGTAGAAAATTGGGGTTCATCGGCCCCAGCTCGTGAAAGTGGAACCGTCGTTAGTAAAAAATATCGAGATGTATGCCTAATTAATGACGCACCATGACTCATGCCCTTGGATGTAACATAAATCGATTCCCTAGCCGTTCCCAAGATTCTGGCCATATATAGTGGTCCTCTCTCCGATCCCCGATCCATCTCGAACATGAACATCTCTCAGTGCACATCGCACCTTCCAGACGACAAATACCTCTCGGTCCTCGGAAACAACCCATGAGAATGACGAGCGAAAGTCAAATCCATATCCGACCTGAAACGCAAACCGACGCGTTATCAATCGACGAAATCATTTCAACTGCGTTCCTCAATGCTGAGCATACGGATCACAATGAGCAATTCATCGTCCGCGGTCTCCGCGAAGCGAACCAGCTATCAATCTCTCTAGTCGCAGAAGACGAAGCCACACATACCATTGCGGGCCATGTCGCTGTCTCACCGGTGAAAGTCTCGGATGGCAGCGAGAATTGGTACGGGCTAGGGCCAGTCGCCGTATCACCCGAGTATCAAGGAAAAGGCATAGGATCGATGTTAATAGAACGTGTGATGGAAGGTCTTCAGACGCGCCATGCGGCTGGGTGTGTCGTATTGGGAAACCCCAAATACTATACGCGTTTTGGTTTCAAGGTGGAGCCTTGTCTGCAGCTACCTGGAGTGCCACCGGAGTATTTTATGGCTCTTACTTGGCGTACGCCAACACCTACTGGGACTGTATCATATCATGAAGCTTTTGATGTGTCGGTATAACTGGCATCAGTGCCCTGCTATCTTGACATGAATGTCATAAAGAAACGGGACAAGCACCAGCTACTCGAAAGTTACAGCTTGTCAACTTGCCAATGGGTTGATTAAGATTTTAGGCTTACCACCCGACTTCGATCCCAAACCCGACATAGAAAAGTCAGTGCGTTTGCCCACAGCCTACGCTGAAACCTAGTTTATATTGGAGATGAGGGGGGGGGTCGGGGGTCTTCCTTAATGGTTAACGTGGAAAGTTAGAAGATGCAGGACATTAGGAGACGAAAGGTATGGAGGGTGACAACATGTTAAGCGTACTACCACTTTATGAATTATACGATGAGGTGAGCATAAAGAATTAGAGAAATATCATCAAGTGATATCAATTTCCTACATTCATTTCGTTCCTGACCCTGCGCAATAAATACCTGTAAAACTCTCATAAATCCCTCAGCACATTATGAAGTTATTCCAGTATGGCATCGAAAGTTGTCACTCTGCTCACTCTGATACAAGACTTTGCATCTGGTCAATCCACTGCACGTTCTCAAGTGTCTCGAACTTCCACCTGCTGTTCGATGAAGGGCAACTGCCTGGCGGTTAATGCTGCGAACCTGCTTGATAATTTGCTACTGGTCATACAACCTGTACAATGATAAATAGGAGACCTAGAAACATGAGCGTCAGCCTTATACAAAACATGGGGCTCACTTACCCGGCCCTGTTTGCTGCGGTGTATGAAGTTCCACCGGCAGCTATCGGTACAGATACCGTAGATCTCGGTTTTACGCCCGGCAAGTCTGTGGGCACGGTGAATCATGACTTTTTATTTATAAAACATTCAGTCATTTGTCTTGCCCCGGAAGATATATCTAGAAACGCAGAGACTTACCCATGGGCGCAAGTGGTGAGCGATCTCCAGCATCCAAAGGACACTCCCTGCGAATAACAATTAGGTTGGTATCTAGTTCATCGCGCTCACCATACCATAGGATGTTGTCGGCAATACACTCCAGAGTATATCGGTTTCCCTTGATCGTATGTGGCGTAGAAACCTTCGGCAGAAAAGCGAGGTACAGAGTGTCGTCGACATCGGGTGCAGTGTGTTTGCGAGCGTTGGTTTCTTCCCTTTTTGCAGTGGCGAGAATCGACAGGAGAACAGCTTCAATCCGGCAACGCATAGCAACAGTGTCTGGGGATGAGATATGTAGCGCCAGTGCGTAGTCATCTAGTAGCTGCTCTGGGCAGAGTTAGCATGTCGTCGCCCAGTGTCCGGCACCGATACCGACTTGCGCTATCTAGCATCTCCCCACTCTCATCCAGGACCAAGCTCCATTGTTTCGCAGACTCTCGTCGACTCGCGGAGCGTAGTGCTACATTATTCAAATACTCGCTAATGACTCCGCTCCGGTTAATCTCCCCTTCATTTGTATTGACATTCTGGTCCATGTCAGCATGGAGGAGGCACTTCATCCAGTGCAGCAATTGACGGTAGATCTGTGCCATAGATACGCATAGGTGTCATAAAAGATGAGGGACGACCGTTCACAGCAGAAGAAGGATCCTTGTTGGCATCCAAGGCCGCTTCATGATTAGGTAACCCACCATCTAATCATTAACTATTCAGTTGGACAGCCAGGTTCGTCAGGATCCGATTCACAGTGCAACATATCTGTCAATGTGTCAGTGAACCTTTAAGAGTCTTGATGATACCCGTACAGTCTTATTGTCACACCTCTTACGCCCCCAACACCCTTTACCATCATTCCTCCTCATCACTGCTTTTCATCACTGCTTTCCATCCTTTGTTGCACGATTCCGGTGAGAACGATCCAGCCTCAAAATAACGATGACATATTCAAGCCTAACAGGATCAAAATCAAGGATCTCGATGGCTTCTACAACCCGAGCAGACGCGCTGTTCCACACTGCCTACGTGTGTACGTAACTACGATAGAAGCTCACGAGCTATGAAGAATCCCCCCTAGCGGATTATGATCTAAGGCTTTGGGGGCGATCTACAAAGCTGACCTCAGATTGTGTTTGAGTTCGCTTTGTCTTGAAACTTGCGTTTAGCTTTCGTTGGTCTGTCTTAATGCATCCGAGTGTTCATCAAGGAGGTGGGAGGCAGCTGGGCGATGACATCTTTGTCGAAGTCTCTATAGCAAGTGCGGTTGAGATTCTTGTCTTTCACTTTTCCATTCATTTTCAGTGGCGCATTGAAGACAACACATGTCTTCAGTAAAACATTGACGTGTAGAGGGTTCGCATCATGAGGTATTCCACTGGATACTCATCAAAGATATCTGGGACTAGTTCAAGCCACTCGGGTTTTCCCTGGCAGTAGACCGTCGAATTGCAATAATCCCAGTATTCGGGATACCAGCCAGCCAGATTCCAGTCAATTAGTGTTATCTGATAATCCGGACTTCCATCTTCACACACTCCTTTCTGTTCAACCATCACGTTCTTCGGCTGGAGATCCGCATGGGTAAAGACAGTTTTATGTCCCCTGAGCGTACGTTGGATTGCTTCACGAAGCAGGCGGACGTAATACGGCGACTCTCTTTGCCCTAGGCATTTTAAAAGGCCATGATTCAATTGCTCCTCATTGTCAAAGGGACCAGATATGCTCGGGTCATGATCAAGAGTAGAGAGAATACCCTCGTAGTAAGGTGTGCGATTCAAGTTCCCCAAATACCCCTGGGAAGGGATATGCCGCAGTTCATCAAGCGCCTCTTTGATGCGTTTGCTGACCGTCTTCTTCTGGTCTTCCGGAAGAGACGGCGCTAACTTCTGCAAATCGGTGCCGGGGACATGATCCATGATAATATATCGCTTCTGGGTCTCCGGATCGACAAAATGATCGTGGACTTTGGGGACACGGACCTTGCTGTTAGCAGCCACAAACTTCATGTTCTCTCCTTCTAACGGCGGGATGGAGGTGCCCACTTTGACCGCGAAGCGCTCTCTTACTCGGACGACCTTGACGGATCTGCTCGGGTCGCTGAGGATATCAGTTGATGCTTCGATTTCGGCGACACTCGGGAGCACAATTCTCTCGTCGGCCATTGTATCAGTGGATGCAGATATTATCAACTGAGTGTTGAAGATAAGAAGACTGACAAGGGAAGAGTGAAATGGTCGAGGGCGCTTCTTTGTTGTGGTGACAACACAGGGCGCAAACTGTACAAACAACAGACAGACTAACCGGACTGGGAATATGAGTAGGGCTATCAGGTGCAGGACATATTCCGTAGAATATTGAGATAAGCTCCGCTGTAGATATAATATACCGACCAATACTCCATTGAACCAATTCTTACCTGCCGTGATGTCATAATATCTGGTGTTGGTCTAAAACGACTGCGGCTGCTCCCAGGTAATTGTGCTGTCCTGATGTATCCGACAGAACAGCGATGTCTTCTGATACCTGCCTACTAGTTAAGGCTTGATATAAGGCCGATCTAATTATCAAGATGTCCGATCGACAAGATTCTGGTTCGGATTCTGAGAAAGCCACTATCGCAGACGCTACTGTAGGAGTCTAGGCAGATGTTAAGACTCTCCAGCAGCTAAGCTCTTCCGGTAGAGTCGTGCAGTGGAAGAGGGGCGAGAATCAAGCCCAGAAAGGCTTCAAGGCTTTTAGTTAAGGTTTTGAAAGATGTCTAAAGGAAGGAAATGAAGACACAGGACAACACAATACTGGCCAGTAAAAGCTGGAAAATAAGCAGCAACGAAGTGATGGGACCGTTACAGCTTGATATAAGCACTGCTGTCCGGAGTAGGTCGTACTCTGTATTAGGGTGGGCATCTAGCTCAATCTGTTGTGGATCCCACAACTTTCCCGGTTCATTCCGTTACGACTTACCAGAATATTTCATATGTATGAGACAGTAGCTGTTTCATTCTCAAGAAGTGGAACTTCGTGCGTATGGAGCCATGTATATCTCCGGTGCTAAATGACTCTCGGCCCATTAACAAGTTCATACTCAAATGAACGGTTAGCTCGTCATGGGGAAACAGCAATTCTTCTCCCCAGTCCTCCTTTGGCAAGACTGAAGTTGCCTAACAGCTCCTTCTGGGGGGATCATCAACCCTTCGGAGGTCACTGGGCCATGCCAGCTTTCCTGTGTACATCGGAAAGGGCGCCATCCCCGCCCAAAATACGAGTCTTATAATGCTTTGACGCCAGCTTAATAGCATCGACATCGTTCCAAGTCAATGTATTCATCGCATCGAAACGCCAAGACAGCGATACAGATGGAGACGTAGGCCACCCCACATGCAGCATACGAATGGGTGCACGATGGCCATGATACAAATCAACATTTACTCATTGGCTGGGCTTGCTGAGGACTACTGACCTTGATAAGAAGGGGCTTCTATAGGCGAACTATAAATATACTTCTTCAAGTTGGACTGGTCACCGGTATAGTGTAAAAATCAGGTTATGGACCTCCGACACTGCCACATCAGGGCTGAGCGGGCGATGATCAACACAACTTTGTCGGCACTTAGCATAAGGCGACGTGGGCCGCTAAGCTTCAAAGAGATGCAGGAACCCCAGACCAACGTAATTCCTCCGCTGAGTGGTCCCCAATGAGAGAGACGGAGACCATAATAATATGGTTATCATTCGTTTGCCGGAGCCCTAATGCGGGTCCAACATACGCGGCGCCAAGACGACCATATCTTTTCAGGCTCAACAAGAACCCCTGCGGAAAAGCCGAAGAAACCATCGTATTGCATCTACTCCGTATTACGCATCTCCTGACGGGATGACAGGCACTAGAACACCATCTCCTGTATGAATGGTCCATACAGGAGCCGGCAGGGTCATTGCCGTCTTGCTCCGATGACGTGGATTTCCCGAAGCCGTTGACATGCCTGGGTTATAAATATATGACTTTCAGACATCCATCAGCTGCCAACCTAACAGAACCAAGATCGCTCAGAATTCTTCAGATATACTCTTCGAGTGGTAAAAGGCTTCTAGCGATATGCACTTCTCAAAGCTCCTCCTTCTCTCCGCTGCGACGCTCGCAGTTGCGCATCCCGGTGAGAAACATGATCCGCATGTGCTGAAGCGCGAGATTCACGCTCGTGATGCTCTTGCTGCCCGGTCAAAGCGTGGCCTCGATGCATGCGCCACTAGTGAGCATGCCAAGCGACTGCAGCAACGTAACGTCGCCCGTCGCGCCCGCACCGTCCGTGAGCTGCGCAACGCCCGTGGCGTGACTACCAGTAGGTCTCCCAGAACAGCAAAGTAAACATATGCTACTCATATACTCACAGTTCCATTAGGTCCCAAGAAGTGGCGCCGTTCCTCCGATGATCTGGAGAAGTGGGAGGCTGTCAACCACAACATGACCGGCTTGGTCGACTTCACTTCCGAGACCCCCGAAAGCTCGGTCTTCGGCGGTAACACCAGTGCCATCTTATCCCCCACGATCACCGACGGACCATACTATGTATGGGGCGAAGTGCAGAGGAGCAATGTCAAGGAGGACGAGTACTGTGACGGCGTTGATGTGTACTTGGAGGTCCAATACATCGACGTCAACACTTGCAAGCCAATTCCAGGTGCCTTCGTCGATATCTGGAATGCCAACGCCACTGGTGTGTACAGGTAAGTGCTCACAAGTCACCTTCCTTGAACACACATTGCTAACATCAGACAGTGGCATCTCCACTTCCGGCAACTACGCCGCTGACGGCTGGGATAGCACTTACTTGCGTGGCATTCAGGAATCTGATCAAGACGGTGTTGTGGCCTTCCAGACCATTTTCCCGGGTCACTATGATGGCCGTGCCACTCACACTCACCTTTTGACTCATCTTAATGCCTCTGTCCATGATAACAATGGCACACTCGTTGTGGGAACCGGCAGCGTTGCACACATCGGTCAGCTGTTCTGGAACGAGGTCTTGCGCTCCGCCGTCGAGGACACCTATCCCTACACCACCAACACCCAAGACATCACTAGCAATGCTGATGACATGTGGTCCATCGAACAAGCCTCCAGCTCTTATGACCCATTCCCCGACTATGTGTACCTCGGAAACGATCTGAAGGATGGCCTCTTTGCCTGGAAGCAGATTGGCATCAACGCCAGTGCCGATTACACCGATAACTCCTACTACAGCATTGCTGCTTACTATGACGAGAACGGTGGCCACCAAAACACCGACAGTGCTGCATTCGGAGGCGGTTCTGGTAGCGAGGGTGGTATGCCCTCGGGCTCTCCCTCCGGTGCCATGCCTTCCGGCACTCCAATGTAGAAAATCCATGCCTAGACACGGCCTGGTCTCTTTTTCCGGCTAGGTGAAGGTCTACTCCACTATGGATCGAGTGTGTCTCAGCCTGAGTGCCATAATTCACATCACCGGTCAAGTATGATTTTGAGCCCAGCAGGTCAATTCTCACTATTCGCATACAGTGTACATATCGATATCTCTCCTTCTAATATGTATCTTCACCTACCTAGTATATTATATCAGCTTTTTTCTAATGAAGAAATTGGGCTATACCTTAGCAATGCCTCCAGCTTTTCTTTTCTTTTCTGTTTTCTTCCTTGTGTCTGTGTCTTATGGCAAATTCGCCTTAATTAACCATCACACCGGTGTCTCCCCACGTAACAAATCAGCCATACATGACCGGTGTTCTGCAATTCCGCTAGTTGTAGCTCATTTGATCGGATCTTCTAAGACATGAGCAGATTGTTGTTCGTTTTACCAGCTTCGTGCCAAACCTCGTATTGGTTAACACGTGATGCGCCCGTTGTGGCGATGCTCGCATCCGACAGATCAACATCCCAACATCGAACTGTTTGCCAGGCAGCAGGCCAGTTACTCTTCTCTCAAATTCAGAGCAATAAGGCGCATACATTAGGTCGTTTATTTCCAGGAGATTCTTTAACGGGCAGCAGATCATGTCTGTCGAACAACGTCTCATAACGCGGGGCGCACAGGATGACATTCGCGCCCGAACAAGCAACCTTGGGCAGGCTGTATTCCAGGTGCCACTTTATCTAAATCAGGAAAAGTTATATCATGCGCGGCGTCCGCATAAAAAGTCGCGAGCGGGCTGCATAACCTGTAAGAAACGGAGAGTCAAAGTGCGGATGTCGTTTCCGGCGGCGGTTCTGGAACTAATATTGAGCATGAGTGCAGTGCGACGAGGGTAAACCAGCTTGCGTCAAATGCCAGAAATATGGCGCATCGTGCAGCTATCCTACTACGTCGTCTAGAAAGGGCTCTAGCACCGATGTAGCATCAAGCGCGCAAAAGCCAGACAACACTACATTTTCGTTTGCTCTCAGCGATCTAGCGACTCGGATTGAGGCGGTGTTAAATCTAGATACAGGCACCAATGCTTCTCTGGTAGAGCGCAATGCTGTCCATCCAGTCAGCATGGTTGCCTTCCAACATTTCATTAAGTGCTCTACCGAAACCGTTGCGAACCCTTCTCTCAGAGCCGTCATGAGGAGCGACATGATCCGGGTTTCGCTTACGGTAAGCTCCAGTCCCGTTGAGGACTTGATCGGTGTAGCTCCTAATAGCTGAACATCCCCACAGAGTCCATATTTGATGTATACAATACTTGCAGTTGGCGTCCTTCACCTCAATCGCATATCCCCCGGAAATAAAACGCGGCGGCTTGCGGAGACATATTTCTGGCAGCGCGCAATTAAGCTATACCAAGCGGCGCTTACCTCCAACGTTACTCTACAGAATGTTGATTCCCTCCTCTCAACGTGCATGTTTATGGGGCTCACCAGTCTTTGCCCTGAAAATATCAAGCCAACGGACTCCTGGGTATTATCCGATAAGTCCGATGCAATGAACTGGCTTTGTTTACAGAGTGGCCTCCGATGTATAATAACCCTCGCCCAGCCGTACCTTGATTCCAGCATCTGGGCCTCGACATTCCAGCGTGCCCACGAAGATGAACTGCAATTCTTGGAGAACGTAGTTAAACAGGGACGGGAGGGTCTCAATCCCGATCTGGCTGACCTCTGTGGGATTGACGAATCTACCACGGCCGAGACAAATCCATACTGCGAGCCTCTCGGATTGTTGACAGCCTTGTTCCAATTAGAAAAGAATTTCAAAAATTCGGCGAAATGCGCAGAATTCATGGGGAAGCTGTCCAACGATTTTCTTGCGCTTTTGAGACAGAGAGATCCGCCAGCCCTTTTGATCCTGGCGCAGTGGATGGGTCTTATGTGTACCATGTCCGAATGGCAGCCGTGGGTTTTTGGTCGACTTGTCAGTGAATGCATCGCTATTTGTATGTATCTAGAGCATGACCCGGATCCCCGGATATCGCGTCTATTAGAGTTTCCGGCTGGCGCGTGCGGATATTCCTCTCGAGATGTTTCACCCAGCATTTGAGGGCAATAAACTGAATAGACCTTATGATCAATGGAGCATGTTACTATCTTTGGCTGAATGATCGTTCTAAGGTAAACGATATCCTCATCAAAGGTGCCTGATAGTATATATCACTATGATGCATGAGTCAAATCTTGTTCGTTGGCAAATAAATTCCCGTTGTACAAAGCAAGGTACCGTGGGCAACAGAAGATATATATAGTTTAGGGTTGAAGATAGTAGTTGCTAAACCTGAAGAATATTCACTATTGAAAAGTTCATGACCAAAAGGCTTCCTGTAACACAGAGTCATAGAACAAAATACCACTAGATCTCGAATATTGGGAGTATAGCTAGGTCTTGTCCCTACTACTGCGTTGTTTGTATATCCAAGCGAGGCCCTCGCAATTATGAGACTAACCCCAATCGGGTTCGAGCAACAGCCGTTTTTCTGCCGTTGCGGATGTCGTCACCGCTTCCCAAAATAAATCAATACAAACAACATCCATTTGCAGCAACCAAACTATATGTACTAAGCATGCACCTCTGCGACTGCTCATGTTAGCCCTGTCCTTAGTGCTTATTCAGCTATACACATTCTGCTGGCTCGCTGGGTCACGCCCAGCCCTGAACGCCATGACTTGCCAGTCATGAACCCTCAGGACAGTGCCGTTTGGCGCTGGCTTCGCGATGTGCCTTGTGAAAGGGTGGCTACCCCACCAGATACGGCGCCATCATCGCCATCGAATAACTTGAAACGGAAAGGAACTAGAACTGCCCGATCTACAAGTCCCGCGAAACGACAGAGGATCCTTGACGATGCGGATAATGTGTACCCTGACCAAAGTGCGTCCGCGATTGCAGCTACAGAGCTTTCGGAGAGAACAAAGCCCTTCTATCGATTGCCTTCCAGCGCGTCGAAACGCGCAGTGAGTCCAGTTCGAGACTTGCTCAATGATTTGCGAGCGTCGAAACCTGCTGTTTTCTGTGAATTACCCTCTACGATTCCCTTACCAGAGAATGCCTACGCTTTATGCATCACCCTTACTGAAGGTCTACACGAACGGGTGATACCCATTGGCCTGAAGGTAAATCCAAAGCTATACCAAACGAGAGAAGCCTATAGCTCACCACAAGCTCCCTGTTCTTCACTTGCAGGACCGAATATCTTCATCTTTCCCCCTCATGGCGAACGAAATATCGCTGTCTGCATACGATGACACAGATGGTCGATCGGATCGTGAACTGGACACTTTGGGAAACTATCACGGAAATACTGAGCGAAGCCCGGGAATCGAGCCTATTTCAACAGGATGAGAATGCGTGGTACACCAAGGTGGTCTATCCTATGTTACACCTTGCATTTAAGGGCAGCATGCTCAAAGTGGAGAGCGTGTAAGTCCTTGGCTGACCGTTTACTGTCCTTTTCGCAGCAATTTCCAGCTGACAGAAGACACACAACCAAGACAATCCCAGACGATCAACCCTGAGCTACTCCCGATAATGCCGAATAACTACCGCGTCCAGAAGAAGTGCGATTATGCGTTTAGCTTTCATAGAAATACTCAGCAGGTCTCTGATTTATATGGTGCCCTCACTTGTACAGGCGCAGGCGGTGCATTGAGTCAAACAATGGATTCGAATACGAAGCGCTGGCTGCTCTTTTCCGGGCTTGCAGTCAAACATGAGAACGGTGGGAAGGATGAAGCACTTGCCCAACTTGCTACTTGGATTGCGGCGGGGATGGAAAATACTAGGAAACTTTGGAGTCGATCCTCCGAAGAGGTACATCCGTATTGTGACCTGCCTCCAATGGTTGGGTGGACTGTTGTTGGCCATGACTGGCATACTTGGGTGACATTTGGTGCTACTGATAATGGCACGGACAGCCTTGTTCGTACCTGTCTTCACATATTGTGTGAGCTTAGCTGATACACTGGTTATAGTACGTCGTAGGACCTTGGAGGGCGGCTGCCGCGGACACGAGAGATGTGTATGGAGCTTTCAAGTTGCTGAAGCTTTTGCGTAGGGCATCGGCTTATGCGAGCACTACGTATTGGCCTTGGTTGCGGCAAAAAGTTCTCGAGCCGCTGTGTAGTGACAGCTAACTCCTACTAGTAGTAGATACTTGCATTCGTAGGTAGTCCTGAAACTGATTTGCTCGGGTTAAGTCCCTTGCCGCCGGGCGTTCACCTGACCGCTGCCTGCCGGATTATTCCTGCTACCGGTACCTAGGCCGTAACTTGCAAAGTGTATACCCTATACCTAGTACTCCCATAGATCACTATGGGCAACGGGGATCGTGACATCCTGCGCCCTGATTTTCATCATTCAAATGAGGTCTTGACTCGCTCGAGGTCCACATGGTCGGCGGTAGCTTCAGCGGCTCAGTCTGCGACCAATTTGTCTTATTCCTGCTGTAATATCAAAGCCCTTCTCAATAAAGCACCGTCCATTCCCGAATCCACCGGTGCTACAGACCGTATCGGGAGCAATTCCCTATACATAGAGGGGTATGCGAGTTGGTCAGTCTCGCCAGATGATGGTCATCCCACTTGCGAGTTACCAACCCGGAAAATGACTGGATTGCGAAATGCTTACATCGGGGGTTCTAAGCCAAGCACTTGCAATCTCTCCAGCGAATATATATCAGAATGGAGCGGGTGTGATGCTCTGCTCGAACCTGTGCCTAACTATCTTGGTGTATTTGTCCTCGGTTGGTCATACATTCTTTCAGCACGATTGATAGAGCTACGTCGATCCACAACGACAGACAACGTGGTCTACACTGACAGAAAGGCTCAGTGGGACTGTTATGACCAAGAGTATAACGACCAGCCAGCTACGGCTGATAACTGTATAGCTGATATTGGAACCGACGATTTGGCTGAAGCTCAATGGTGGGCTGCAATTCTCGCAGAGGGACGAGGCTGGCAGGCCACTCTGACACGAGATGGTAAACAGTACTACCCACCGTGGGAATGTCATTTGAACAGCAGTCCATTCAGGCTACGCCATCGCGCTCAGCTTCCGCCCTTGACTTCTAATCTTAACACTGAGCCACCGTCCTCGGCACAAGCACAACAGTACCTTTTCAACCTGGCCCGATATCATGACGCTTTTGATCAATTGATTAGCGCTTTGGCTGCCACCATGACAATACCACTGCACAACCGGTTCGGGGCTAGTATCACCTTGCCTTTGCCCAAGCCGGCAAACAGCCCCATCTCGTACCGGAACACTGAGCTAACGTATCGAAACCAAATACCAGCAACTGCTGAGATCCCTCATTACATGGCTTTATCATGTATATCCGGCGTGGTTCCATCTTGTTTACTTAGTTGCTTCTGGGAACCAGATGTCCCATGCAACCTAGTCAGCCAATGGTTGAACCTCCCATGAGGGAGATCTTTCCATCTTTACTTCGATCGAAGAAATACTATGCCATTGTTTGTGCTATGGCACACCGCAGGCCAAATATAGCTCCGCTGTGGCTGGGCTCCCTAATCACAGGCCTCCTGCCCCGAATATTTCAAGTCTGTCGTTCGTATTCACCAACAGTCTACCTAGAAGCGGTCACATGGACTGCTTCTCCCAGTCGTTCATGGACCCGCAATACCACCGTCTCGCGCCTGTCCACAAGAGCAATGGCCTAGAAGTAATCCCCCGGGAAGACGAATTCCGCCTGTTGTTTCTCACAGACGTGGACTCGGAAACGTATAGAAACCCACCACTCTCTCCATATCGTCCATTTGGCCTCGTGGAACTCCAGAATACTTCTATCAATGTCAGATTGCACTACGCCTGTAATCATCAACTAAGCTACCATTGCTGGAACTGGAAATGCGAAGGAGGGCAAGTGGTTCGCGATTTCGGCATGTCATGCGGATTGAAAGCTGTAGAATCGCGCATCGAGCCTACCACTTTTAGGACTACTGTCTCAAAGCTGGCTTGGATGATGCTTGGCTTCGCATATACAATGCTTTATAAGTCATCACTGGGGATCCCCGCCTGGGCGCCCATATACGGAACGCTTGTTTCCATCTGTTCCTGGCTTAGGGGTCTTACTCCAACAAGCCCTTGCGAAGGACCAGATACAGAGGAAGTCTTTGACGATACACTCTCCGAGCTCGCGACACGGAATATATTCTCTTGGATCTTCTTCACTGAAGGTACTAGACCAGAAGAAAGGGAGCTGTGGAAGCATGAATGGCTGGAACTGTTAGTCGACAGAGATGTTGGTGCAGAGTCCAGTGAGTCTACTGAGTCTGAGTTGGACGATGGGGCAGACTGTGAAAATTTGCGTTTTGTCTATACGTGGCGGGAGAATGGTGTGGCACAATCGGTATGATATGTCCATCGCCGCTTAGGGTTCTATTCCGATCGCTCTGTTGTTGTGGCTGCGACTCAGTCTGGACGTGTCGGATGGGTGATATTGTAGACGACATAGAAGTCGACGTGATAATTATATCATGACATGGGTCTCTGCATGAAAAGTGCAACTAGGGTTACAGCAGTACCCCCTATTGAGGAAGCAATACAAGACTTACTCCGTGTTTTGGCCCTCACCGTAAGGACTGTATACAGGTGATGCGCTGGAGGGAATACTAGCCGAGGATATTCACGATGTCATGATAATTTACTTCCTGGTCCATTTGAGTGGCATCTTTCCTACTTGTGGTAAGGACTGTAATAAATACGAATAATACTCCGAACCACACTAGGTACAAGAGGACAGAGCAAGTCTTCAACACCAAGATCTTAGGATTAGACAATTTAGTAGACATACCCGAAAAGGAGAGAGAAATAAAATCTCAAAGGGGATAGAGGGGTTGGACAATCTGTCGAGTATTAGAATACTACCGTTTCTCGCTTGTTGAACGTTGCAAACAGGCTACTTTGACCCTAGTTATTTACCCCCGGATCCATCATTTCCGTGAAGGGTATCTCTTCTATCCCATGGGGGTATCACCGCGAGTATAGCAGCGCACGAGTATCTGGTCCCGATCCCAGCCTCATTTCCATATGTGATCTGACTGAAAGCCATCTCCTCATGCTTTGGCTCCGTGAGCCATGTAATCCCGGGGAGATGGTATGCGGGCCACACATGGTGGAGCACCTACAGAGGCTGTGAGTGCCTGACATCAGTAGCTCTGGGCTGGAGGAAAGCTTACCTCGTCCATCGGCATGTCGTTCCCGAATTCCGTCGTGTCGTAAGGTCGCAGCCATGATCCAACCCGTGCTCCTTCTTCTGCCAGGGAGCTTTCCCCTGTGTACGGAAGGCCTTTTTCTTGTGCGAAAGCAATTGCGTCAGTCATACCCTTCAGACGTCGCGTCATCTTCAAAAGCTTCCACCGTCGGTCGATATCGGCAAGGTCCTCTCGACTGGCGACTTGCGGCAGTACTTCAGTAAAGTTCACGGCAAGTGGTTTGTTCCTGGCCAGGTATGGCTGGAGATTATTTGAAAAGAAATAGCCACCACACTCGCCGATATAGTGGAAGCGGCCTTTGGTGTGCCCTTTGAGCCCTAACTCGGGATTTTCGGGGATGTACGTCCCGTCGTTTTCCAAGACGGGTAGAACCTGCACATCTAATCCCAGGGACTGGAAAACAGAATATAATACCACGTCTGACCCTTTAAGCCCTGCTGGGAGATTATGGGTGGTGGCATTGGAGGTATGAGGGTAGGCGTGCGAGCAGAATATGCCAAGAACACCGCCTGTGCTGGTTAGTTTGACTGTAGTCGCCGCTGATTGAGCACGGCAGGCTTGGTTTAATAAAAGGACTTACCGTCGTCCAGAAATCCTGGTTTCATGAGACGGTCCTTGACCCAGCTGTACAATGGTAGTGACTTGGGATCCATTATCGATTGAAGCACGCTGTCTGCTCCGTTTGAAACGTATAGATTATAGGTCAACGTGATCCGATCTCCTTCGGTTATGGTTTTGATCTCATGTTCACAGTCACTATAGAAGGCAGCCCACTGGATGCTGGTCTCGCTGCCTACAGCCCAATCAAAGTCCACCTCCCTGCCCTGGTGCCTTACGAGGAGGTTTCCACCTTTGAAACGAGCAGGGAGACAAACAACCAAGGAACCAACTTGGCTCTGAGAGCGGGGAGTGTCAACGTGACTACGGAACAGCCCAGATGGCCCCGAGTAAATCTATGGATCAAGTTAGCTAGGCCATTATGGAGGGAGACATTGACGGACATTCATCTTGTAAAGCTCCGCATAGATCTTGCGCGATCCTAATCTATTTGTTGTCTCACCGAGTATTCCAGGAAGCAGCACCTTCTCAATAGCTTCGATAATCCCAAAGTCAGAAGGGTGGAAGCTTGTTGCAAAGTTTTCCGGCTCTAGTTTACCGGCTTTTCGGTAGGATAGATCCATCACATTCTGCTCTCCGCGACCAAAGCTGGCCGGACCACAGCTGGCAATCAGGTGTTGTAGCACTTCGGGGCTCGCGTCTTCCGCGTCTGCTCTAAGAGGTAGTGACAAACGTCGCGCTGAGCCATGTCCCACCGACCAGAAGATGTTAATGGGACCTGATACTCGCGGGTGGTTCTCAGACGGTGCAGCCTTTTGTGTAATAGGTATGCTACCCCCACATGCATAGGAAGCCGTAGTTCGCTCCCCTTCAATGAACGTCTTCAGTTGAAGACATGAATCCACAAAGCTGTCTTGCGTTTCTTGCAATCTAGGGAATGAAGAGGCTTTCACATGTTCACTCGGCTGATGACAATGCTTCTCCATTAGAGTATCCAAAAGTGCATTGGAAACTCCATCTCGCTTCTTGGCATTGCTACTCACTTGGACTTTATACCATCGACTCTGCAGTCTGTTCATCAATTTCTTGACCTTCAAAATGTCTGATTCGCCATCGAGATAGCCAGGTATTAAGCGATTTAGGTTTTCTCGCAGTTCTTCTTTGATTTCCTCCAATCTGGAACCCTCAGATGCTTCGAAGGTGTCGGGGGCATCCAAGCACCGGACAGGGTTTATGTTGATCTCCTTCATGCAATAGATGAACCAATCCAGGCAAGCGTCTAACTTGCAACCCTGCTCAAGTCAGTATGGCTTCGACACCTATAGATAGCTTCGTAATGACCTCAGTCATGACCCGATTCACTTCCTCCTCCATCTCAACGACTGTATGGGCATACTCTTCGATCGGGACTTGCCAATATGACTCCTGCCTCCAAACGTGCTCATCAAAAAGATGGCCGCCTTCGTCGTCACTCATGGTGAAATAGAATCGGAAAGACTCTGAGCTAATTCTACAAGATGGTGGCCGGATGATATTAGATAGAGCCAAGGATATGGTTCACTGAGATACGAGGCTCATGAAAGGGCAGGATTCAGGAGGCTTTTATGTGTTCATCTGTTAGTGAAGTCATGGTTATATGACGTGAAGAGGAATACTCGGTCACTGGACTGTGCCTAAACCAGGGGTGGTGTTGCCTGAACGGATAGGCCACAGCCCAGGCAGCGATTGCCCTAAGTGTAACGATGACTTAGGGTTGCAAGCCCCCGTTGATCTCTACCTAGAATTCATTCCTTGTGTTCATATCAGCAAGAACCACAAACGAAGTATAATCACGTCAGGATTGCTGCCTCGATAGACTGCTCAGATGGAAAAATACAACAGATCCCTCCTTCTATCCCCGCTGGTCAGCCCTGGACCAACATACCCCTCTGTACCAATTTGCTCCTCCATAAGCTATGCCAGTTTCCTCAACGATGTCTTGCTTCCATGACTAGCGACGAATCGACAACCGTGTGTTTTCAGCCGACCAATGATGTATCCTTATGCTGGCTGCCCATTTCGGTGAAACTCTACCGTGTACGTCTGGGATCAGATTCTACCTGTTAGTACCGGCGTAACGTGGCGGATCAAGCAAAACTGGAAGCATCTCCCGCCTCTTCGTCATAGTGACCAGTGATAGGTATATCGGGCCGTTCCAGCAGATGGAATCATTTTAGATTTCCCCGTTGAAGTATTCTGGACGGGGTTGTTGCAGAAAGGGCAGACTGCAAAACACCCTCGGCATGCAATAAGTGATCTTTTGCTAGCATCGATCCCAAGTTTAGTAGGTTAATATCATCTGTCCCCTTGGAAATGTCTTTAATCAGACATTGCAGAACGACCTCGTCTTTATGCATACAACATGGTGCTGTCCTCGCGTAGGTGGCCAGTATTCGTAATACAATACCAAGCCCTATGATAAGTGTTAGCTAGCACAAAAGTGTAGGCAAGGATATCTCCACCTAAGTTACCGCACGTAATATCAGTACACGGCCTACGTAGTGGTATATTCTGCGCTTAGTGCTCCTACATGCGAGAATGCAATGTTGCCTCACTCTACTGGTCAGTCAGCTATCGGCTTCACCGCTGCAACGCCCCATATGCAATCGGTCTTGGGGTGATTGCAAGGATCTGGTGACCCAAGGACCCATGATTATTATGCAGCTCGAGCGGGGTTGTACCTCTCAGGTCTGAGCACTAGAGGAACTTCAATGTGCGCTTGTCTTTCATAACAAGGTCATGTTGTACATCTCTCCGAATAGTCCATCTGTGAAAGCATACCCATCTATACAGACATGATGGCTCTCTCGCGCCGTGCAAGTGGCTCCAGCTTCCGCGAAAGTCTTTTCTCGTCACCAACGCCTGCATACAACGGTATCATGAGCACAAATAGTCCACGCCACCTCGGACTAGTCTCAACGGCCTTACTACCGTATGCCGCACTCTAGATTTGTTGACGTATACTTCTCTGATGGGGGAAACCGGTTGACTAGGGTTAATACAGGGCCAACCGCATGATCGGAGCAGCAATATTCTCTGTCCCGTCCTCGATCATAGTTTCCGTTGGCAGTGCAGGCGCCGCACTCTCTTTATGGGTACTCGGACTGACTCTCTCACTGTGCGGCTTTTACATCTGGCTGGAATTAGGGTGCTTGATGCCAAGCAGTGGAGGAGAGAAAGTATACCTCGAGGCTGCGTATCCCCGACCGTATCGACTTGCTGGCACTTTATTTGCCTTCTACATACTGTTTGCATTTGGAGGTACGGTTACGTAAAACCAGAGAACGACGAGAAAGAATAGGCTAATTACCCAAGTGCGATCACGTAGGCCTGGCGAGCATTGTTGTCGCCGATAACTTCCTTCTAGCAGTCGATTGCACTGCCTCTGACCTACAGAAGCGAGCACTTGCAATTGCCGTTTGCTTTATAGTCGCAGCGATCCTATCCGTATCGCAAAAATGGGGCCTCCGTATCATGAATCTTCTGGCCTTGGTGAAGATGGCCATATTGCTGCTGATTATATGTACCGCCTTCGCCATCACTGTCGGCGTGATTCCGAGCAAAGGCCCTACGGACCGGGGGACCAATTTCCGGCAGCCGTTCGCAGGGTCGTCGAGCAATATCTATGACTATACCGTAAGTCTGTTTAAAGTCCTTGGTTCGTTTCAAGGGTGGAATAACTCCAGCCTGATCCTCGGGGAGGTCTCCAACCCACAACGCACCCTCAAGATGGCTGGTGTATTCGGCGTGGGATCCGTAGGGGTCCTCTATCTTCTCGTTAATGTCTCCTATTTGATCATCGCCACGCCAGACGACATCAGGCAAACCGGCCTACAACTTGTGGCCCGCATACTGGGCAGCGTGTTTGGGAGTGCAACGACACGTGTGACCGGCGCCATGGTCGCACTCTCTTCCCTAGGCAGTATCATGTCGGTTGCATTTACGGTATGCAGGGTGATACGTGAACTTGCTATCGACGAAGTGATCCCGGCATCCGGCATCCTTTCCACGACCACTCGCTCCGGAAATCCAACACCGGCAACATTTGTGTACCTATTCGGGACGTCGGCGGCAGCATGGCACTGATTCCGTTCGGTATGTTGGTTGCTCCATCCATGAGGAACAGTTGCAGAACTCTGACGGGCGATAGGTGATGCCTATGACTTTCTCATTGATGCATCGCAGTACCAGGCCGCGATGATCAATTTTGCGGTAGTAGTTGGACTGTTTATCATCCGCCGAAGAGTATCGGCCACGGAGTATCCGTTTCGTGTGTGGACGTCCATCGCCTATGTCTTCCTGGCTGTTCAGGTCTATCTCCTTGTATCGCCATTTTGGAGCCCCCAGGGCCAGGGCGATACCAGTCTGCCATACTGGCTCGCGCCGATGGTCGCTATTGCGGGCTTTGGATGCGGAGCGCTGTACTGGTGGTGGGCTCGAGATAAGACTGTTACTCGAGACCCGCCATTCCGCACCCTGCGTGACAGAATGCAAGCGTACGGGTCTGTGTCGGCGGCTTGAGCTTCGAGATGGAATGGCCCAATGGAGAGTCTTAGAGCAGGGTCCGACGAGATGGTGTGTAACTCGTTGCTACTAGATAAGCTTTTGTGTCCCTCACGGGGAGGTTGGTTCTTGTCGCTCCTTGCAGTCCATGTATTGTGTGACTTATCCTAGGTCAAACTCCAGCCTTGATTGAAATAATTTCTATCAAGTTGGTCTCTGCTATGTGTAATATTCTACCAATCACCGTGTCCACGGGGTCCAGTGTTACTCTCATTTGATAGCCTTCCCCATAAGTACTTGTTTTGCATGTATACAGAAGGACTTCCTGGCCACACGGCAGACTGTATTATACAAAACACACCGTACGCTAGAGCTGAAACACATCCTTACGCTTCCGGATAACAATTGTAGCTCTGGGGCAGGTTGTATAGTTATGACCCTTGACCAACGTCTGCTCGTTCCGATCCTTGACGAGCTTCATGTCGTAATTCAACAGCATGTGACAAAGGGTGACCTTGATTTCCATGGCGGCGAAGAACCGCCCCGGACAGGCCTGCTTCCCATGCCCAAAGCCGAGATAGTTGGGACTCGTAGAAACAAACTGCGTGGATAGGTTACGGGAGGCGTTCTCGTTGCGCTGCACAAACCGATAGCCATCAAACCGCGTGTCTTGCGGCTCGATGGAGGTATCGAGGGTTTGATGCGCGGCAACCATAATCGAGGTGCCTCGAGGAATGCTCGTACCGTCGGGTAGGACGACCTTGTCCTTTGCAATCCGTTGCATGGCAACTAATCGACAATCAGCCAGGTTGGCAGACCGTGGAAGGAAGATATATGGTCGCTTACCTAGCCCGCCAGGCCGCAGTCGCTGGCTCTCTTTCATCACACTATCCATCAGCGTGAGCTTCTGAAGCGCAGGTTTGCTGAGCCCTTCGTTTCCAAAGACCGAGCGGATCTCCTCCCTCATCGCGTCTTGCAACTCGGGGCGCTCCGCGATATCGGACAGGAGGTTGCCCATGGTATCCGACGTGGTATCGATGGCCACAAACGCGAAGGAGAGCTGCATGGCTGCTGCGTCGTACGGGCGTCCCTTGGCACACTCATGGAACCACTTGAATGTCCCTAAGTTGCTCGACGTTGGCTTCTCAGACGTAGACGTGCCGTCGCAGCTTGCAATCTTCTTGGCTATAACGGGGTCTAGTAGGTCTCGCGCTTCTTGGAGCAGCATTCGGAGCTTTCGAGGTTCAGGGAGGAAGGATGCGGCGAGGGCGCGTAGGGCTTTCGGCCAGCGACGCAGGACCCGGGCAACTAGAAATATCTGCTCGGTATACTCGACCACGATGTCCAACCAGCGGCGGTCCTGACAGAGATCGTCCATGAGGAAGGCACGGGACATCACTTGGGCGATGATGCCGTCGACAGAATGCTTGAGGGGGAGCTCGCGCCACTCTTGGTGGTCCCCTGGTCAGCATCAACTGTGAGCCGTGGGGAGATGGTAGACAAACCAGGATCACCAGCCCAATATTGCCGAAGAGCGATCGTTGCTTCTTGAGAGATGGGGTCCACAAGCTGGGCTAAAGGATGACGGTAAGTACACGTTCACTTCAGGGCATCTCCAACGACACAGCAGTCACTACCCCTCTTGACATACGCAACGATCGCGACAACTTGTAATTAATCACATCCCTCACAATGCCATTGTCAGCGTTCAATTCTTTAAACGGCTCGAATCCTGCAATATGCGCATGGAATTCCTATTTCTCTCACATGAGCACAACCACAGAGCACGACCACAGTCACTAACTGTAGGCCTCACCTCATTGAAAAACGCCGCCAGACTAAGTCGATCCTCATTGCGAATCATGTGCGCATACCGCGTCGGGAGCACGAGTCGATACTGGCTGTCCGAGAAGATATAAAACGGGCCTCGATGCTACCCAGGACACAAGGAGTTGCAATCAGCTGGTGCTTTGTTCTATCACGTAGGGGCTATGCAATCATACCTTCTCCAGACCCTCTTTAATCATAATCGGTGCCGCGGCATGATATCGGGCTTTCGCGGGCCCGTACCCCAGTTCGTACCATCGTCGGGTGTTGTACCGGGGTAATTGAGATAGACCGAACGTGTAATAGAGGTCGAGGACAAGTGGGCAGGCGAGGATGAGCAGGACGGTTACAATGCCAGCTTGGAACGCGAAGGATGTACTGAGAAAGGCAGAACTCGTGTGGAAGCCACTTAGCCAGAGAGACATCATGGAAGGCTGTACTCGAGATCTGGTGATTCACACACGAGCAAGGTGAACAGCATTGGGACTCTCCCTTTCAGTCTGCTGGGGTGCTCACAATCCAACGCATTTGATGTCTCTGCGCTGGCGGATCGGCATTTCTCCTGCAGTGTGCACCGCTCAGAAGAGGAGGCGAGGATCAACGTGCAGCCTGTTGTCTGCGAAAACAGGGTCTGGCGTTTCGCCGGCGGTGGTTGACCTGAGATGGACTATCCACATGACCATCACCACCTTGCATAGTTGCATAGTTGCATATTATGCATGGCCCTTCCCACCAGTAAGGGGATACGTCCCTGCAGGGCAGATCACCGCCAAATCTGATAGATATTACGCCAACGGTGTAATATTTCCCGCTGTTACTAGTAGGCCCAAACCACAGGGGCGGTGGAGGTTCTAGGCTCGGCCCTGGCCGTATCCGCGTTCTTTCTGCGTATTGCAATCCAACGGGTGCAGATGGGATCCGTGCAGAAGTCGTCCAACCGTGCTCGGACCTCTGGTCGAGGGTGATGAGATTGTAATTCCAAAAGGTATTATTCGACAGCTATGGTGACTCGAAACCTGGCATGAACACGCTCATATGCAGCCTATGACGGGAGATTTATCCGTACACTCGCTGTCCAGTGGGCAGCCTCGGCATGTTTGGATCCAACAATGCCATTGGATTCTCATAATATGTGTTGTCTGTCACACTTTTTGTGGTCGAACCGGTCCCTGAGAAGATCTCGAGATCGGCGATTCCTTCTTCATCAGTACTTGCTGTAGTCTTCCGTTATATTCTGTACCACATGAAACTTAAGATAGGAAGACGGAGTACGAAGTATGTCAAACCATTTGTTATACGTAGCCACATTAGATACGGTCATTACACAATGGGCCCGGACCCTTTCGCTCGGACCCTCATTTACGGTACCAATACGATGGCCTGGGGAAAGCTGGGCTGGCTGAGATGAGTATGGTATCCACCCCGACCCACCCTGCAATGCAAAGCAACCCTCCAAAAGTACGTACCCGGACGAAGTGGAGCTGGTGTAATTGATGGAGCGGACGGTTATTTCCACGGCCTGCGCCAGGACGGGCAGGCGATAGGGCGCTATTGGTGCGAGAGAACACCGCATACATTGCCTTGGCCATGTGAGTAATGTGGGATTTGTCAAGAGGTCTCTGGCATACCATGTACATACATGTTTTTGCGCTGCATGCTCGGCCAACGGAAATCCACAGGAGCCAAATTGGGGCCCATGATGGTCTAACATAGGATATGGCTGCGGGAAATTAACTTCCATGTCGCAGGTTGACAAGGCATGATAAGGCGTTCATTCCGCTGTCCGGCTTGGAGGGGAGTAGGAGCATTACCCCTCGTTACGGCGGGTTGAGCATAGCAAGTGCCCCATATTGAAACCAGCCTTCAAGGGGAATCATCCCTCTACTGGCCTCCGCCATGATGGCAAACCCAATCCAGCATGACGTCGCCGAAGATGCCGGCCTCCCTGTCATCTCCGTCAAGGCCCTGCTGAACGATGATAGGAAAGCCAGGGAGGACCTTTTCCAGGCATGCACGTCCCTGGGCTTCTTTTACCTGGACTGCCGCGACCATCCGTCCGGTCAATTGATAGATCAGATACGGGATGTCGGCGACACATCTCTGCGGTTCTTTGATCTCCCGCAGTCGGAAAAGGACCAGTGGGCATCGGACTGCAACTCCTACGATGACGAACAGGAGTACAGTTTCATGTAAGAAGACAGTGATGGATATGGGGAGTCATGGCTAACGTTTTGGTGTCAAGGTACAAACCAGCGGGAAGAAGAACAGGTGTAGTGGAAGGAAAGAAGGATGGATGGGAAGGTATCCTGGTAAGCTCCGTGTCCTACCAGAAATGAATACTCCGGTATTCTAGGTGTTAAGTAAGGGTCCAGATATTTGAACATGCTTTAAGCCAGTACAGGAGAGATGCTTCCCTTCCGGGTCCCGCATCCTTCCAAAATTCCCGATCTCTCCTGGAAACGACAAACACCTATTTGGGTGACATCGGCCGCACGGTGCTAGATAGTCTCTCACGGTCGATGCAGCTAGACCCCTCCCACAGTCTCGCCCGATATCATAAGAAAGACTACGCATCGCCCACCTCCCTGGAAATCCTCAAATACCTCCCGTACACACCGGAGAGTGAGAAGGTGGGCCATGTCCCGCATACAGACATGGGGAGTCTCTCAATGGTGTTTGCCGAAGTGGGCGGCCTCCAGGTGTTCCATCCTGGGAAGAACGCCTGGACGTTCATCGAGCCGAAGCCCGGACATGCTGTTTGCAATATTGGAGACTCAGTCGAGTTCCTCTCTGGAAACATGCTGAAGTCTTCTTTGCATAGAGTGGTCCCGGACCCTCGACAGAAAGACCGGATCAAGCTGTCCGTCGTGTACTTGATGAGGCCAGATACGGACACAGTGTTTGTTGACAGGGAAGGCAGGGAATGGAAGAGTGTCGACTGGGGTAATATGAAAGGGAAGCTGTTTCTAGAGGCCGGTAATGCTGGGCCTTCGAGCACTGTGTTGACCGGCCGCAAAGGCCACAAGGAGTTCTGGGAGGACAGCAAGATGGTGACGGCAGCATGAGGGTCGATGACTGTGAAAGACCATTTACAGTGGTGCAGAATTGGAGGATCACCATTGATATATTTAAAGCCGCTTCATTGTCTATATATATTTTGGTATACTGAATAGCCTCCATAAATGAAGATTTGGGAAAGATACCTGGTTCATGTATATGCGGTTGTGGCACACAGGTATGGGAATTCCAGAAAGAGAACGCATAGGATATGAGGGAGCGAGAGAATGAAATAGTGGTTAGTCGTGACATAGGTGCAAAAGATAATTAATGGTAACAACTTCACCTCAGGACATTCCACATACTAGAGAGAAAGACGGCCAGTGCCAATGGGACATTCATTGTTACATCCGCAGAGTATTTTGAGTGAGACGGGATGGGATAACAGGCTTAACTGCACAACAGCTCTAGGTCTTATTTTCACTACACTTCAAATGTATAATAAATGAACAGATGATGTATTTGAGCAGAAAGCCGACGAAACGAAATATAATGGAACAGAAACCAAAGGGGAATTCGAAATCGAAACTAGACCGTAAGGGACCTGGTCATCAAGTAGAGGGTAGGGATTTCGACAGCTGTCCATTTTGAAAGGACACTGGCTTGCGACTTTCACTCTTATTGCGTTGTCTGGTTGCAGGAAGACTCGTTAAATCTATTGCTTCATGATCATAATTTCTCATCCAGACAACTATCCACGTTTGCTCTCCCCATTTGATATCCACTGCAAAACGTCGCGTACTGGCCACGGTCTTGTTCAAGCTCTGTGCAGCATACTTGCAGGCTGTCTCGCTCACGTAAGACTATGTCGGCCAATCTATCGGAGGTTTCTGGAGACAAGAGATCCGATATTACAACCTTCTCTTGCAGTTCGATGAATGCCAGTAGTATGCCCAGTAGCAGTGGGAGGTTGGCCACGGGAGCCATGGCATAGCGGTTCATTCGTTCGGCAAAGGCAGAGGGATACGCCTGTAGGATATCCGTTATATTACCAGGCGACGGGAGCTCCAAGCGCCTCATAAGTTCCAGGCCCATCTCGACAATCCCGGGTGAGTCAGTGCGTGACATCTCATCCATCCCCGCAGCCACGGGCCCCTCTCTGGCAAACCCCATCTGAGCACGTAGAATCCGTATGACGGCACACCCCATTTCACTAGTCGTCAAGGCTGGTGCGTAGACAAATCCCTCCAACAGACAGCCATGCATGAACCAGAGAGGCAGTAGATTGGGTAACCTAAACCGTATTGGGACCGAACGTGATAAACTACCTGGCTCTGTCGGCAGAATGGCTGGAGGAGCCTTGAGGTGGCTGGCGTTGTTGAGGTAAATATTGTCTTGATTGGTAGTGCCAGTAGTGACGCTGAACTCCTTCTCCTCGTCAGATATGCGTATATGATCGACATTCGTATAGCAGAGTGTATCAACCCATCGCTCTAGCACGCCGAGCTCTCGATCAGTAAAGCAGCCAAACATGCGACCTCCCCAGCGGAGTTCCTGAACAAGTTTACTCTTCTGACTGTCGCCCTTGTATACCCAGGGTCGGGCTTCGGTCAGATTCCGTAGGAAATCCTTTTGCCATTCCGGTGACTGGAAAGAAGCTGGGTCAAGCCAATCGACCATGGTACGGGACCCAAGTCTGGCTTTACTTGTGCAGTGGATGCCTCGAGCTGCTTTCACTTTGGAAGCGAAGATATTGAGCAAGTCCGACTCCAAGTCCGGGTTGGGGATATGTATCGAGGGGTCTGTGGCTACAGCGTTGGTGGAGCTAGAACTAGCATCGCCGCAGAACACGAAACCTGCCTGGATGCGTTTCCAGGCGCAATCCATCGCTTGGACACCTTCGGAGTCTCGGATGTGATCCAAATACCGAATCACGCATTCGGCAGCCATTGCGGTATGACCGGAAGCGACGTTATCAATGGAAATGTGTAACAAAAAGTAATAGGGGTCTATCCCAACTTCGCGGAGCTCCGTTGCAACTACAAGTGTATCAAGCTGAAGCCCCTCAAAGCACAGATTGAACCCGAGAAGCTCGGGCAGAAAACAATCGGGTGTGAGCGAAATCAATAAATGTGCAACGGCCGCTCGCCAGAACCGAACATCATCCGCGCCATGGTCTGTTTGTATAAAGCCTGGACTAGACGCGCAAGGTGGAACGTGCCGATGCTTCTTAAGAGCTCCTGGTACACGTATACATGATGCTTCTTGCGATCGCCATCCCCAAGCTCCTCGGACAAGATTTGCCAGAGCCCCTTGGATACGGGTCTCAGGTTGAACGGGGTGCTCACGCCGTTGATATGTCCCAGCCAAGCACCATCAACAAGCTTCAATGGGGCTGCTTGTTTGAGCCACCTGATAGCGGCGTCCCGGTCAGGGAAATGTTCCCTCTGGCCACTATTTCGCCGCCGGGCATGATACGCTTCAAACTGCTCGGTCACTTGCTCTTGCTGGCTTTGAACAAATGCCAGCAAACCATCCCGGGAGTACCGTTCAATTAACAAAATGTCCTTTCCGGGATTATCAAAAGACTGCTTTAGAGCATCGGAGATCCATGTGACAAAGGATTCCCTTCCTTGGTCCAGAACCCCAGGGTATTGCTCGAGGTTCTGTAGCCGATGATATAAAGTCTTGTAGAATGCAATGCTCTGAGATGCGTTCTTGTCACTAGTTTCCAATAGCTTCGAAGGTGCGCGGGGGATATAACGATGTCCTACACCTAAGCGGGGTGCTAATTTACGTTTATCGACACTGGCTATGACCAAAGCAAGGATCATAAGGAAGACCACCACCATCGGTATAGCCAGCTGGTTGAAATCCATTTCTGAGCCAGGTCACCCTCTCACGCCAGTATCAAGTAAGCAAGCCGGCACAGGAAAAGAAAGGAAAACGGGAGTCAGCACTTAGAGAGAAGAAAGATGGGGTCCGTGAGCTTGGGTTACTCTCGGCAACAAGTAAACATGTTTACTCGAGGTACTATCGTATTATAGCCGTGACTTAGGCTGATTATCTGCAAGCCCTCAACCGAAGGCCAGGTAATCGGACCAAATACCCAATGGAGCTTATTATGGGCATGCAAGTAAGCGTGGCACGCACCTCATGACGATTAATAATTCAGCGGGATAAAAATCGAAGAGGGGAGCAGACTTTACGCTGACTTCACACTAAACACGGTTACATTAGAGGTATGTATCAAGATGCTGGTTAGACGGAAAGGTTGTTCTGGCTCTGCAGCACGATTTGGCTTCCGAGCCCTCCATGGCAGGTGTGAGGGCCATGATGCGTTGTCCTGTATGTACCCTGCAACTAGCTAAGCTAAGAATACACCCTTGCCAGGATAGACTCCTCAGCGAGTAGCACCTGCATTGCTCATGGTGGGGCATTACGTACGGAAGCGATGTGGCGTAGCTGACTTAAAGGAAGTAGTTGAGTTGCGTTGCTCCTCAGAGAAACAAGTTGAACCCGCCGTGAGATTCCTCTCCATCATTGAACGAGGTTGAGTTATTTTTCGTTTCCTACTGCACTTAACTGCCAAAATGAGTACCACCGCCGTCATTACGCAGAGCAGCCAGGACATGGCTTCCATCGGAAGTATCAGCATGGAACGAATCCTCGCCAAGGAACCCGCGGCGCTGAACGACCTTCTGGAGGCAGCTCGATTTCCAGGATTTTTCTATATCGACCTTGACGGGGCGTCTACTACAGATCTAGTAGAGGATGTGCCGGAAATGTTCACTCTCGTCAAGGAGTATTTCTGCCAGCCTGAACATGAGAAGATGAAAAACGTCAACCCTAATTACGACCGTGGGTATGTGGTAGCACATATGGCAAATTCGGAACCCAAGGCTAACATCGAGTTGGTAGGTACAAGAAATACGCAGACCATGAGTCGTTTGAGGTGAGCACATTTGCCTCGTAGGAATAATTTATCAATGGGCTAGAGGTCTAACAAACAAAAAGATCGCCTTGGATGACCATTCCAATGGACTTTCTGGTTATCCGGGCTTTCTGCAAGAGCACAAGGAGCCACTGATGGCGTTCTCTGAGGGCTGTCACCAGCTAGCAATGGACCTTCTTTCTGCCCTCTCTGATGGGCTCAGGCGACACGATCCCGATCGATTTGAGAATAACCATCGGCCTGAAATGCCCAGTGACTCTGGTTTCAAGGTGTACTGCGCACCGACCCAAGCCCGGCTAGCGGATGTTAAAGATAATACTCATACCGACGGTGGAACGCTGACATTGATGTTCATCAGGCATCTATGCATGCAGCTAAAGAACCCGCTGACAAACGAGTATCAGTGGATCGAGCATAGGCCAGGACAAATGGTGGTTAATGTTGCCGATTCCCTTCAGAAACAATCCAACGGCCAGCTGCACTCTTGTCTTCACCGCGTAACGCAGCCAGGAGATGGTGTGGAAGAGAGGTATCTGCTTAGCTATTTCCTGAGACCGGACAAGAGGGCCTGAGATCTGTACAGCTACGTCGGATGCTTTCTTACAGGCAAAGGCGTTTCATGTCCGCAATGGAATTTGACGAACTCAATGCCGACAGTCTACACGCCTATGTTCCACTTTCACGTTGTGAATGTCTGAGTAGTCTTCATATCCATGCTACCTAAACACTTTTGCTCATCCTTGTAATTTAATCCAACTTGAACGTATCTCGAAGTTGGGGCAAGCTCGGTTTACAAATGGTGTATTGACGATTCCACCGACTTAGCTGTGACAGACATTGCGACGTCCCATCCATTTATGTTTTCCAGTAATGTGCGACCCAGGACTAAGACGCAGTACTCAGTTTCATTCCTGCATGCATCCTGCACACTATTGTCCTACTTTGTACTTTATGTGACTGATGCAGCCAGAATATCTTATTGAGGCGTAGTATTTGCATGATAATGTGTCTAACAGGGACATTCACTTCGGTATCTTCGGCTGTGCTATGCTACCAGAACTCTCCTCTCACACCACAACTCGCAGTTCTGCTTACCGGGCAGCTAGTAGATAGTCCCCTGTCAACTGTGTTAGCAAAACTGAAGCCTCTCTGAAGAAGGCTTCAAACTTGGCACTCACAAGTAGGTCCAGAAGGGGACTCCCAGCGAGCAGTTTCCTGCAACCCGGAATGATTGAATTGTTCCTGCATCTCTTCAGGGCCATACTTGTACCACTCGGTGGTCAAAATGGTTTCACCCTGTTTGATCTCCAGATCCAATGGCTCACAGCTAACGTCTCGCTTTGCTCTGATCACATAGCGGAACGTGGGAGTCTCTCCACAAACGCCCGTAATCTCCCAATCCTCGGGACGATACCACTCATGACCAAGAACACGGTTTGAATGATGCAGGCCATTTCTGACAAAATCATGCCAGTGCCCCTGTGGGTCATTGTACGAAAGCCATACTTTCTCGACGTCCTTGCACCCATCCAGACCAAGGAAGATGCGATCTCCGGGCCGCATGATGGCAGACCATTTCTGTAGGTCCGCCACGGCGATATCAAACCTATCATTTCCGAAGATGGAGCCCAGAGAGAAGAACCAGCGCGGTGCGGTGATCCTGTCGGACCATACTCGCGCGTCGTCGAATGTGCCCCACAGACCATAACACTTGACGTGTTGGTAGGATGCCGGGAGAATATCCATGCATTTAATCAAGGACTCCTTGGACACATCTAGCGCATAGTAAGTCACATATTTCTGGATTGATTCCAGCTGATCGAGGATTGGTTTGATTTTATTCACATCGCTTCATTTCATGTGTCTTGTTAGCCCTAGTTGTATACCGTCATTTTTCGGTACATACCCAGCCCCCAGGTCAATCAGAACTGCGCCATCTGGAATATGCGCGGTAATCTCGTCTGCCCAGTGGTGGAGCAGGTTGATCTCATCTCGTTTGTTGTAGAACTCAGGCAGAGCAGCACACTTGTGCCACATGTCTAAGCCCACTTCATCACAGAGAAGTGCAGTCGGCAGATGGCGCTGGCCGTCGGGCTTTGCGAGAAACCTGTCCTCTAGCATCTTCCGCAACGACACCGACACGTCCCATGAGCCGATATCGATGACAGTTCTCGGTGGAACCGCTTCCGTGACGGCTGTAGATAGCATGATTGTCTACGTTGCTTGAAACGGGACGAGATAGCAGGTGCGCCTGATCTCACCGAAGTGGCCTATGATCGAAAGCAAGCACTCAATACGTTCTTCCGCCTATAGAGTTCCCATATATGTGTAAGAGCTACTGGGGCAAAGCACGAGCTTCCACAGGTGGGGATCATCTACGAGATTGAGCTTGGTCGGTGCCGGCTACTTCGGTTTGGCTTTGTCTACAGGGTATGAATGAGACCTTGATTGGTGAAGGCATTGCCTCCTATGATCACTTTCCCCTCTTCTCGGTTATCGTCTCCCTTGTTGGTGTTGCGAGGTATTTTTCGACGGTGCATCAAAGACTTGCGTGAGGACCATGACGATCGTGAGAGGGGTGGGGAAGTGCACCAAGTTAATGCAGGTGTCCGGCTAATAAAAAGTCGCAAAGCCTAAGTTTCATGATAGCCTTGGAATCACCACAAACTGATGTCAACTTGCATACGGCTGGCAGATAATTGCCACGGGCAGTCGTACTCGGAGCACGGAAAGATCAGGGAAATACCAACGAAGAGGATGCATCTTCAACTCACCAGCGCCAAGCCACTACTGCACCCCTCAAGCAATCTCAATATAGTGGAGTTACGTTCAGCCAGCCGCTGAGATCCCCTTTCCTGTTTTCTGCAGAGAAGTCTACCCAAGAGCCAATTGAGACCAATGATTCATGATATTCACTCCACGGCTCGGCACGATACGGTTTTACCAATGCGTGAGTTCCAAGCCCTACCCTGTGCTCATTCGACCATATTCCCAAGGGGCTTGCTTCCAGCAATTTCCGTCAAATCCGGTTGGTATGTCAAGTGCAAGGAGTGCATGCGCAGGCCTGCAGGCGGAAACAGGACCTCGAGCGTACAACGCAGTTGCTTGTATTTTTTTGTATTTTTCTTGCTTCATATGTCTTTTTGGGACAAGGAATGGGACCCTGCGTATTCGTCATTCCGTCGGCTTATTCCGTCTGCGCCGGATCTCACGCGTCAGCGAGCAGGATCTCAACGGCTGTCAACTTCGTCAGCCGATGCTCAATTGTTCGAGAGCACTTGAGCTCGAGCGGGTGCCCTCCCGGCATGGAGAGTGTTGCTATAATGCTCCAGAGCTGCCATTATGTCCCCGAATCACTTGTGGAGAGTTCTTCTAGCACTAATATCGACCATTCACCTCCCCTAACACCCCAGAACCACCTTATCCCATCCTACAGCCGCCATGACGGGCGACAAGCGCCTACGCTTTCCCTCCAGCCGAGTCCGCCTGAGCAACGGGGCCGTGATTGACGAGCTCTTGGCTGAGGGAAAGAGGATTCATGGCTTCTGGGGTATGTCAATTGCAAGCAGGTCCGCGACGGGCGAGGGTATACCGCGGTAGCTGACGATGCTACTGTTTGTAGGTACCGCTCCAACGGGAAAACGTTAGTACAACGGCCCGCCCCGCCACTAGAGAGTGACCCATACTCATCCACTTGGTGCCCCTCAGCGCATATCGGATACCTTGTACCACTCATCAAGATCGCGGAGATGGCCGCCGCTGGGATCGATGTGAGCATTGACACACTGCCTGTTAGGTGCCGGTATCCAATATTCGACTAATAACACCCGCCAGTTTAGTATTTACTTCGCCGACGAATATGCCTACCTGATCAACTACAAACACCCCAGGGAGCTGGTGGATTATCGTACACAGTACTACGAATTCCTTGTGCGGGCCAGCGTAGAAGCGTTGGGAATCCCGCAGATGGAAGACCACTTTGTCCGGGAGTCCGACCTGTTCGCCTCGGTGAAGCAATCTGGTGCTGATCTGAACCGCCTCTACACTTTGTTATCGATCGACGATGTGCGTGCGGTATCCCATGAAATGGAGACCGCCACCATAACAAGCTCGCTTTTATGTCCTGCGCGCCAGGTCCTCTGCGAGGAGTACTTAGGCGCGGACTTCCAGCTAGGAGGACAAGACCAGGCATGAGATACGAGAAGAAACCCCTATACTACCCCGTGTCGATAGGCTAACGATGAGTATGATAGTCCGGTGTCTTCGCCCTGGCGGAAAGGATTCTCCCGCACCTTGGGTATCGAAGTCGAGCCCACCTGACAACTGAGATGATTCCTGGGTTAACCACGCCAAAGATGTCCTCCTCCCATGCCGCCGGCACTAAAATCGAACTCCTCGATCCATCGGATGTCGTTTGTAGCAAGATAAACGAGGCAACATGTGTCCCGGGGGTTGTAGAGGGGAATGCTTTGTTAGCGATCGCGAGACACATCCTGCTGCCCCTGTGCAGGCTTCGTATGGCCTTGGAAGGTGGACTACACCCTTTCACTGTGACCTGTACCACTGGCAAAGATAATGCCTACTTTAATTACGAGGACCTAGAACATGACTTCTTGGCCCACTCCTTGACACCGGCCGAGTTGAAGGCATCGGTGGCAGCAGGCTTGAATCTTGTTCTAGACCCCATTCGCAAGAACTACGATTCGAGCGAGGATTGGCAGAAAGTGGCCGTACTGGCATACCCGGAATGATGTAAGAGATCGTGGGAAGTGTTTTACAGGCAGTTACAAGCAGGATGCTTTCATATGGCATGGAAATTAGACATTTCTCCCAGAGACGTAGTAAAAACATACAACATGAAACCGGCCAGAATCGGGACCGTTAATTCCTTAGTGAGTCTACAATAAAGCCGCTCTATGTTGTAGCATTTGGGGGTTTCGTCAGTAAACCGCAGTTGGCCTACGTGTAGAGGACGCAACCAACATTGATGAAACTACGAATGTGTCACTAATTGCCGACGGATGTCAGCCCATGTTACGGTTTGCCTCCTTTCTTCCTAGACGACACAGCTGCGTAATGGGCTAAAACGGCGCCCTCTATATCGTAACTACCCCTCGACGCACGGTCATTTCGGGGTGGCCTTCTGTCCAGTGGACGGCTGCATCGGATCCCCGTCCTCGAGGCATTTTGTTGGCAAACGCGTATCGCGGCACAGAAAGCCTGAGGATGAGACAACCCTGGAAATGGTTGATATGGTGCAGACTAGTTTAGGCCGTGCAGGATGGACACAGTCGGTGGACGACGCTACGACCGAATAGATTAATCACTAGAGCGACGCTGCATCCCTGCACCTACAGATGATGGGCGTCGAGTTTGGCGCAAGCTGAACTGGGCACATGATGCCGCTCTAAGTAGCTGCGATTGGCATTGCAGAAACGAACCCCTCATCGTTGACATCAAGGTCTGATCCCCGGCAATAGGGGAATCTGCTCTGGCGGAGTGGGGGTCTGCCACTGTCCTCGTCTGCTATCCTCAAGAGAAGACATTCCCCTTCCCGCCTCGTAGGCCTAGTCTGCTCTATGGCTTTAAACTGGGTCATAGCCACCGTACCACACTGACCATACCACGGTGGTTCCCAGATTCACCCTTCGTGTCCGTGTGGAATAGCCTCCGCCTTTCACAGCCCACAATGTCTGCTGCCTCTGTTGTCCCGGTCCTGGACTTCTCCCTGGTCCATACCCCTCAGGGTCGACAGGCCTTCTTGGACTCTATGCTGGCAGCCTTGCGTGATGTAGGCCTCTTCTATTTGAAAAATCACCCGGTCCAAGCTTCATTGTTTGAGGAAGCTCGACAAGAATGTGACGCATTCTTCAGTCTGCCCGATGTGGACAAGGCCGAAATCGACATTGCGAATGTCCCCAGCTTCCTGGGCTATACGAAGGTAAGGGATCCTCATTGTTCGCCAGAAGTCCATGCTAAGGAGGCCTCTTTGGTTCAGCTTGGGTCCGAGGTGACCGCCAACCGTACCGACTGGCGAGAGCATCTTACCATTTCGACTCCACACCCTGCGCCGACGGGCGGGCCAGCCTATCTGAACCTTCTCGCACCGAACCAGTGGCCTTCCGCTGACAGGCTTCCAACTTTCCGAACCGTATACGAACGATGGATCGAGCAAGTGTCTGATGTCTCCAATACGATGCGCAACCTGGTCAGCGAGGCCATGGGGATCGACCCAGAGCTAGTGAGCCGGTTCTTCCAGAACCAGCAGCACCGGCTTCGTCTCATGAAATATCCGGAAATCCCCAGCTCGCAAGCAACAAGCAAGGATCAAGTGGGATTGGGCGCTCACCGAGACAAGGGATTCTCCACGTTGATTTTCCAAGCCTCCCCCCATCGGTGCTTGCAGGTTCAAACGCGCGAGGGGAGATGGACTGACGCTCCCCCCCTTGACCATACATTTGTGTTTATTGCTGGTCAAGCCCTGGAGGCGATGACCCATGGGATCTGTAAGGCGCCCTGGCACCGGGTGGTGACTCCACCTCCTGGCCTGGGCCCCCGTTACAGCATTGCGGTAGGCACGGGGATTGGCATGGATACCGCTGTGGCGGCAAAGGAGACCCAGGAAGCACTGAACAAGCTGCGAGACGATATCTTACAGCGTTTCCCTGATGCACGCGATGAGTTCAGGACCTTCCTGGCTGGCACCAGGGACGGCGAGAGCGTCGGCACCCAGTACCTGGCTCAGTACCTTGCTAGCCACCCCGATATTGCAATCAGATGGGTAAGTGTGCCCCTTGTATGTCCCTACTATGAGAACTCCAGGGCTGACGACCCACGTCCGTCTGTCGGGCTGTTTAGTATCCACAGTATTCCACCCCTGCTTGCAAAATATAACGCTGTCTCGTGAGTGTGCCGGGAATACAGGAAATATACCCCCCATTGCGCATATATCGCCCGCAGGGGTTCGTAAGCCGTTCGTAGGACCAGATGGCTCGGTGCAGGGATGATGAGTGATGACGGCTCAGCGTGATTTGACATCGATTGAGCCTGTAGCACACGGTAGCATACTTGGAATTTTCCACCGCCTAGTGAATGAACCGAGCTATTTTGGACGACGTGGGCGATTGTTTTGCGTGGCTTCTGGAGTAGCAGTAATACGAGTCCGGTAGTAGTAGCACGAAACGCGATGGTGGCTCGGCGGCTAGGGCCAGTGTGGCGCCTGGCAGCTAAAAGCTCTGGAAAGATAAGAATCTTACAGGTCTCTCGCACCCGAGCCTGCTAATCATACCGTCTGCACGGGGGGTCTGGCCTTCCTTGTTGGGCAAGTAAACGAGAGAATCAAGTCCTAATGCGACCAAAGAACCACGACTCGCGCATCCCCACAGCCAATCCACGGCACCGCAATATCAGCAAAACCCCGCCAGCGAGGAGGGGGTGTCGGTTTCTTTGTCTAGATAAATACCGGCCGGGTTGACCTCCTCGTGTTCACTCACGTCCTCCTTGTCTCTCGACTTTTTGGCCAACCGACCGGCAAAATGGGCCGCACGCTGACCTATCCCAAACGATCCGCGAACACCGTCAATCGCTACAAACATAGAGGTAGAACCTGGCTGACCGAGGGCCATTCGTGCTTCCCCTGTTTCATGCATGCCTGCTAACTTGTGCTGCCCGTGACATAGCCACCTATGATCTCGAAGCCATCCATTCCATCGTCAATGTGGCCCCCGTGCTACACGTCTCCCTGGCCGACCCGTCGGAGCCCTTTCCCGTCCTTCTGCCCATGATCGGCCATATGGGAGACTTCCACCACCCCTCCTCAGGTCCCGATGAGCCCCTCGATATATATATGCATGGATACGTGAGTTCCCGTCTGATGAACGAGGCTCGCTCCGCGGCCGCGTCATCCCCGGAGGGCGGGCTCCCCGTGTCCATATGCGCGACGATGGTCGACGGAATCGTGCTGACCCTGACCCCCAATTCGCACAACTACAACTATCGCTCGGCCGTCATTCAAGGATACGCCCGGCCCGTAGAAGATGATGCCGAGCGGCTCTACGCAATGGAGCTCATTACCAATTCCGTGGTTACAGACCGGTGGCGTCATTCTCGGGTGCCCCCGGACAACGCTGAGATGCAGTCGACGACTATTCTGCGTGTCAAGGTAGTCAGTGCAAGCGGTAAGATTCGTGACGGCGGAGTCACGGACTTGAAGAAGGACTATGAGAATGAGGAGGTGACCTCTCGTGTGTGGACGGGCGTCATTCCCATCTGGCAGACCATGGGTGAGCCTGTTCCCAGTGCAGGCAATCAAGTTACCCCGGTCCCGGAGCATGTCACCTCGTATATTCGTGTTCGAAATGAAGAGAGCGAACGATATGCGAAGAACGCGGTGACGGTTCCTTTGCCCAAGGAAGAGATCCACTAGGGGCAGCCTGAGTACTCAGAATTAGATGTAGACCACACACTTCGCGTGTGTGCCCTGGGGCCTTCTTATGCGTTGCAATCAGTATGGAATATCACAGTGCTAATTCTCTTACATTTCCAAACATGCTTGCAGCTAAACCGGGTCATGTGGAAACTCTTAAAGGAAGGCAATACGCGGTCACATCTTCTACAGCAATACGGCCTACGTCTGAATCGTGGCAGTCCAGCGAGAAACCCGAAATAAATTACCTAGACAATAAGAGCAAACTAAAACAAAATCACAAGACACTATTTTCTTTCATATACCGTTTAAGACGCAGGAAGCTACCCCACCGCTTCTGTAGGCTTTCCATTCCTCACACGGCTATGCCTGCAGCTCCCGGACCTTCTGCCAACCACGCACCAGGTCTGGAAGAGCACTAGGTAGACTTGCTGAGGGTCTTGAGGAATTTGATGGGAGGCACAAAGAGGTACTCGCCGCCTCGAGCGATCACCCAATTATCCAGACTGACGTGGACAGTCTCCTCCTTGCCATCCACCATACAGAACTCGGGTGGACCTGGTGGCACAGCCTGGCCGCAGAATGGATCGAGCCCGGCCCCCTTGGGCCCAGTAGCGGGCTCTCTCTCGGGCCACTTGTTGTTATTAATCATCTCTACAGAGAAGCGGATTGATTAGCGCATTCCGTCATTCACACGATTCCTGCCACCAAAGGGCATGAGGAAGGGAGGTTGCATACTCTTCTGCATGAACGAGAATCCATTGTCAATATCGCTGCTGTAGGCCATGAAGAAGATTCCACGGTCTTCCTTTGTCTTATGATCCTTCTTTTCCTGCTCAGTCATCTCGGGTCCATAGGTGATACCACGGCGGAAGATGGAACGAGTGAAGCGGTCTTCAATGTCGGCGCGCGGCCGTGACTTGCGAATATGCGCGGCAAATGGACATCTGCTTTGGGTGTCCGCCGGGTTGAAGTCGAAGTTGTTGCTGTGAGCCAGGTCGGGATTGTCCTGGTCCGGTGCCATGTCGATTGGAGCTCCTGCGTTGATTTGAATCAGGATAGATCCGTGGATATGTGGAGGGGCCTGTCTTACCGCTCCGCCACCGCCCCATAAACTTCGCGGCGAGCTGTTCGCTAGTGAGGTCATGCTTTGGAGCCTCATCCTCCAGATATCTAAGTTTCCAGACGCGTCAGTGCTTGCTGATCACAAGTCACAAAGTGTGACGCGCACGTACTTGTTAAACTCTGGAACCATGCATTGCAGTTTCCGAATTGCGAGGAAGCTGCCTTCGTGGGCCCAGTCAGGTTGGCAGATAGGTTGCCCCCGATGGCCGAGGAAGAAGATCCTGTTAGGCAGTAAGCCTCATGGCCGTTACGGAGGGACTCTTCTGGAGGAATCCTACCCGGGAGGGATCAGTGGCGGGGCTTTCTCTCCCTCCTCCGGCCGGTCTAACCCTTGAATCTTCGGCTGCGAAATGCCGTCCTCGTACCCAAAGCTATCCACTGGTGAGCTCGTGCATGTGGTTGGGTGAGATTCCTACTGACTGTTCTTTGCTTCCATTGGGAGCGTCTCTGTCCTTTCCGGAGAAGACTATGACTTCCTCAATGCTGGTGGTAAACTTGAAGCGTCCAACGAAAAGGGCTTGAACGTCATTCCACTTCTTCTCGACAATCTCTTTGCTGCTACCACCAACGTTGATCAGGCCGTGGATCTCCTTGGTCTTAAAGTCCTCTATCCAGTCTGTCGCCTTGTCACGGCCACCATTTGCATGGTCGGTCATGTCCGCCAATTGCCCAATCTCAAACGCCTTGCTCTGAATATCGCGCTTGCCCAGCTGCATTCACCTCATCAGCGAGTTGGTCTGTCAGATCATTCGTGCGGGGACGTCTTACCAAAGCCAAGCCTTTGCTGGTAAAAGAGATGTTGACTCCAACCACGTCGAGTAACTTGGGGGATTCAGTCCCCTGGGCAACAGCAATCTTATGCTGTCTGATAAGGCCTTTGTCCTGCATCGCCTTCTCACAGTCGGTTATGTGTGGGACGAGGCGGCCGAGGTGGCTTTTGAACCTTTCCACATTGCTGATGCGGAAGAAGTGAAAGTCTTCATACTTCTTCGATAGTCCAGGCCTGGCGACTGTCAGGCAGCTGAGCGTAGTGTAGGGAGGTCTTGACCTACCAGATATCACCTTGGACATTGTGCTTATCAATGCAATCCGTGGACATTGTGACAATGGACGGTTCAGGGAGGTTCTCTGGCTGAAAGATCTACTCAATCGGACTCTGATGAAGATGGATGTGCTGCGATCTTGCTGCCAACTTTCTGGCATCCGGGGGGCTATTTATGTCTGCCCTCCATCATGCTCCACCGCTCGCCTCACGTACAGGACGGAATAGATTCAACAAGTGAAATGATGATCTCATGCCCTTTTACCGACACTATTGATGCTGGCTATGCTCATCCAGGGATCATCCATCCTTTGGTCGCAACCATGCTGTGATCACAGTGGGGAATGGACAAATCATTTCCCCAATGCGATGGATGTAGCACACCTGAAAAGGCGTTCGATAGATCAGTGACGATTGCAGCAGATGCCTCCGCCATGCGCCGATCCGCTCTGGCGCTCGTCTTCCGGCGTTACAAGATGGTATCAAGTCGAACCACGGACGGCAGCATGTCGGGAGGCTGAACGCGTCCTGGTCTCCGTCAGCAGGTTCTACGATATTCAACCACATGTTGTCGTCATAGCTGGCATGTCCCGACTGGTCTCGGTCTAGACTGTGGCAGCAATAGCCTCAAGACGTCTTAGACCTTACAATCCAGTACGGCTTTGAGTTCATCGAGATCCTTGTTCCATATCCGAAAGCAGCCTGGGGTCATCATCGATCATGTGGGAAGTATCCAGCTCTTGCGAAAGTACCGTGGTCCTTCATCGAAGCACCAGAGGCCAGCTGAGAACAGATCTCTGCACTCGGAGCAGCCGTGTAGACCTTTGCCTCGAGCAAGGACCAATAGAACCGCGGGCTTTTCGAATCGGAGCGCAGCCTCTATCACAAACGTAGCATTTCCACTATTTGGATTTCTTCTTCTGTCACGACGGCGGCGCGAATGTTCTCTCGATCTCCACTCTTCGCCGTAACTCGCCGGAATCATTCAAGACACTCGTAGCATGCTCCCTGAAGCGACCACAATGGAAGCCTCTTTGCGTAATGTGTGCTAGACCAGAGCTGACACCTGTGGTTTACGGTGGATCTTTGCTTGATATGCCTGATCTGCGCTGCGAACGTCCATCCCTGTGAGCTGGCTGGAATCGACTATTCACACTGACGAACCGTCACGGCAAGAGACTGCTAAGCACCACCGTGGATAGGAGGTACATTCCCCTTCTGAAGAAGCCAGGGCACTGGAACAGCCTATTCCGTCGGCTGTCTTACATGAACGGGTCTTTTTGGCGCAAGGGACCTACCCTCACTCTAAGCAACACATCGTTGTGAAGAAAACATCCCTGTTGCATGTCACTGTATCTGCCATTCCTCCCCTTGGTGTCAGTTCACGCCCCCTACCCATCACTTGCTGGTTCTTTCCGCACCGTAGAGGACGATAGGCATTCCAAAGAGCTCGGACGCAGTCCAAGACAGCAGGGATCGTCTTCTGCCGTGTAACTTACTCTTCAGCTAGCCATCAGCAGCCACTGCCAACCCAGTCAGCATTCCGACCCGCTCTTCCCAAATAGACCTGGTTGAGCCGTGAATGCGGGCCTTGCGGGTGCCCACTCGGTGTCTCCGTCATGCGAGCCAATCGTCGCGTTCGTATTTCCAGTTTGTGATCATGTATAGCTCTGGATGTTATAATGCAGGGGTTTTCGTTGGCCCCCGGTCTGGTGGTGGGGGGTTATTGGAGCCCCTGCAGTCTACGTTGGACAGCTGAAATCCAGTTCTCCATGTATTTTTACCGAAATCTTGGCATTTTACACTAATGCACGCACTTGTCATCCATGCCGTAACTTGCAGACTGTCCTTTTCAACACTAATATCACCAGATGACGTTGTTCATCGACTGGCAGACTTCCGACGGATCCGTTCACTCGCTGGGGTCTGCCCGACGAAGGGCACCACGTAGCAGAGGAGCAGTCCACCAGTAGCCCTCGTTGAACGAAAGAAGGCTAGTGACCAGAGGGGGTACACTGCATAAGCGTCCAGTCAATTCCCGGAGACGTACGGAGTACACCATACACATGCAGTGTGTGAAGCTTGGCAGCATGATGTCCGTAGTTGGTCCATATTGTGTATGTCTCACCCTATCACCTGCGTTGGGCGGAGTTCCGGCATGTCAACAGCACATATTTTCGATGCCATGCTGGCTGCTTAATTTACCATCTGGCCTCGAAGACGCATTGGGCCCCTCAACAGGATCGGGATCGGCATGAATACTGCGGTATGACTGATCGATCGTGATTTGGAGTGCAGCTGCCGTACTTTTGCAGGGCTGCGTCTCTCCGTCGCCCTACCCACCGCTTCCTCCCTTGGTTCTTTTCTCTTTTAGTTCCATTCTAACTTTCCTAGAACCAAAAAGTCAAAGCAAAAAAGCAGCAAAGAAAGAAAAAAAAAAAAAAAGAAAAGGTAAAAAAGTCCTCCCAAGTGCCAGACGAACCCACCGCTTGTGGCATCTTCCGTGGAAAGGACGTAACGGTGCCAGCCGGCGGGCGCGGTGCTCCTCGTCGGCTCGCTTCCATCGCGTCACCTCTCATGTCCTGCAGAGAGTCGCGCAAGATCTAGAGATCCAGGGTAACCTTGGGCAGCCTGCTATAAGTATCCGCGGTGGCCCGGGAGACCAACGGATCCCTGTTCGTGTCGACTCGCATCTCTGCCACTACGTTCTGCCGCTTAATATCCCACACTTCATCGTGAATCATTATCCATCTAGCACAAAGATGGCGACTAGAGAGTTCCAATACGATCCCAAGATGTATGTCCAACCCCGCACTATCTAATCTACATCCGCGTTGTTCCACTCACTCCATGAGAACTAACGCACTACCCCCAGACACCGTCCCCCCAAACTGACCCAAATCTTCCACCACCCCCTCGACAACTGCCCCGGGAAATGCATCATCGGGCTGGTGGCGGAACTCGGCCCCGGCACCGCTCTGCCACCCCATCGCCACGGTGGGGCGACGGTGTCCGGCTACATCCTCGAGGGAACGATCTACAACAAGATGAACGATGAGCCTCAGGAGACCATCACCAAGGGTGGGCAGTGGTTTGAGAGGCCCGGGTGCCATCATAGAGTCAGCGCCAATGCCAGCGACACCGAGCCGGCGAAGTTCTTCGCGACCTTCGTGATTGACGAGGAGGCGGTGAAGCAGGGAAGGTTGATGGAGATAGATGAAGGATATCAGCATGTTGAATGCACGGTGGAGCAGTCGCCTGGCATGAGGGGTGAATGTAAATGTAAGACTTGATTTTTTTTCCAAGGGTCATCGTGGATGCATGGTCCTTATATATAGTTGGGGGGGTTGAACAGCGTAAGGAATGGATGTGTGATTGGGAAGTTTGATATTGTGAGATCATTCCGTCTAGTGTAACTTACGAAAGGCAAAGAATGGTAGGATAGAAATAGTCAGTAAAATATAAACCTAGCCAGCCACGGCTTGGGTTTCCCTCTTACTTCGGAGACTCTATCCGAAGGCTGGGTATATATTCTAGGGCGGAAGTGCAAATCGATGACCCCGAGGGTCTAGAATGTTGAACTGCATATATCTTGGTCAAGAACCCACTATATTCGTCATAAATCTCTGTTCCATGGAAAGCTTCGTATTATGATTCAATAACATACGGTCACACCACTCCTAATCCAGATCCCGATAACCGAAGCCGTTACAATATAATAGTGTACGTCTGTACTACCGGTTCATACAGCCTATGAAGAAATAGAGAGCGTGTCCGACTGTTACAGCCTGCAGAAATTGGCTATTTACTATCTGGGCTACCTAGGACGATGTCATAGCCAAGGGGGAAAGGCCAGGGCCATTCCACCACAATAGATTAGTATCGAGTACACCGGGACAAAAGCTGGGAGTCGCTTCTTACAACTAGTGTCAGTACCAGTGCCAAATCGCCAGAGCATCCTTCATTTTCTATTTTGGAACTATATGGACGCTATGAATAAAAGGACGGCCACCGTCACCCGCCAGCATCCATACAGCCCCTCAAGCAGGCCCAGATAGTGTCACAGTCGTCTTGTTGCATGCGGCAGACAATGGGATCTTGTCAAACCGGTCACGTATCCAAGGCAAGTACTGCGCCTGGCCAGCAATAAAGGCGAAGTCATGATTAAGGTCGGGATAAATATACAGCTGCATGACACTGCTAGGGAAGGTGCTGCATGTCTGATCGTAATCCCATTCTGTCAGGTTTGCATACACCAACTCATCAGCGGTTCCCTGCAGAACCAGCATGGGAGCTGCCAATTCGTGAGTGCCGGCACCATTGTAGCTCTTTTGCCACTCAATGACATCCGGATGGTGGATCCAACTGGTATTCTTGTACAGCTCTGGCAATGTGAGGTTCCCATAGACTGTTGAGCCAGTTACCAGGCATCCCTGCTGAGCGATTGGGATGCGACTTGCGACGATATCGCTGACATAGTTCTCGATCTTGACAGAAGGGAATAATCGTGAGATGGACTGGAGAACAAAGATGGAAACAACATCATGAACAGGGCCATCCCCGGCGAGGCGCCACGACTGTGGGATAAGAGAGAGGGGGCGGAGCGCCGGGGCCCCTGAAACGGCGCCCAGGAAACCGCCCGTTGCGTTTCGCTTTTCGCGTTCATTCACACGCCATGCAGTCATGCCGCCCTCGCTGTGGCCGACCACGACCCATTCATGAGTAATCCGATCCTGGAGCTTCGATCTCACGGCCTGGAGGGCAAAGCTCACATCTAGCGCGTGTAATGCACCGGATTCATACATGAAGCCCATGGATATATCGCTACCCTGACCGGCGTAGTCGGGTGCAATGACGGCGTACCCTTGCTGGACCAACGCAAACGGGCCTTCCCATTCGTAGTACAGCTGCTTGTTATTCGAGGGTGCACATTGTCGCGTAATGCCCGCCGTTCCATGTGTCCAGACGACTGTGCGGAGTGGCTTTCCGCTACCGTCTTGATTTGTAAATGGGAGCAATAGGAAAGCACTGGCCGGTATGGGGTTACCATCGATGTCCTCACTCATGTAGAGGAATTTGGACAGTGTCGTTGCCGGAGGAGTATCATAGCCAACTGTTGTGTACTGCTGGCTGGGTACGTCTTCCCATCTGACGATGTCGCCAGCAGCGTAATAAGAGATGTTTGCTGGATTCGCGTAGAAGGGGTCGGTTGATACATTAGGACTCACCCAAGCAGCCTTTTCCTGTGTGAGGGCTTGCGCGATGCTCGCTTGGCAAGTAGCATTGCAATTGTCTGGGAAGCTGTAGGTCGGAACCACAGTGGTCGAAACACCAATAGATATCAACAAGGCCACTATGGCCGAGAAGGACATTGAAAGCATTGTCTAGCTTATAGGAATAACTATATTCTTGAATACTGCTTGATATCTTGGAGCCAGCTCCTAGACTCTTGTGTAGATAGAGAGTGTTCAACTCCATACCCATCATATTGTAGTTCCCTTGACGATGACGATCATTTATACATCAATCTGTGCTTGCCTTGAACTATCTCAAATGAACCATTCACTCCCGACTCTATATGCCGTCGTAAGTTTATGTGCCACTGGCCGGGGGGATCGGAGCGATCTATCGAGTGTCATTTGGAAATCCACCAGGACGATCATCGAGCTAGTTTCGGCTGGAGCGTCGACCTTCCTCTTGTGGAAACCAACATATTAAGCAAATTTATGATAAGCGGCACCTCGACACCCCCACCGAATCTCAGTCATTTACCTTTGACAGACCAAGTGACAAATTGCAATTCATTCGGCATCAAGTATTAAAAGCTATGCCGTTTGTTCTGCCGGCTTTACTCCTGCCGCAGGATACAAGTTTCTGGCTCTATACCGAGGCTTCCGAAGCAGCAAGCTGTACCCAGCTATGGGTGTATTCAGTGAATCTGGGTCAGCTTTCAACTCTATTGAAGCGCGACTCAGATGAAACTTGTGTAGGGGAGTAAGACTTTGCGTGTCCTGTATTTCTCTATGATAACATCAAACATATTAATCAACAATATGACGGGAGAGAAACATTGGGATGTCATATTCTTCAGTCGCTCGGACTCGCTCCCCTTCCAAGATGCAGCATACTCATACCATGCGTGGTTTAGAGAGCTCCATGGTTCAATGTAATTAACTGCCGCTAGAGATAGCCAATACCATTATAAACACAAATTCCGGGAAGTTTATAGAAGGGAGTTCTGACCTCCAACCCCATCACTGAGATTGGTCTGCATTCCCATAAGCTCTTCTCGTGGTACCAGCGGTCAAGGCCATCCCAAAGATGAATAGTTTAAACGAGTCTAGCGGCGACACTATCCACCACACTGTAGTGCATTCATACTTCAACACAGGTTAGCCATATTGCTGTTGTGCACAAGTATACCGGGCCAGAATGGCTTGACAGTTTCTGACCACGAAGACCTAAGTCGGGTCACTGGCGTACCCCATGTCTATCGGGCAATATAAATGACGGCCGACCCATCGCCCATTGTCTGATTGGGTCTATCTTATGTACATACATAACCGGTTTCTATAAGCAGTGGCTACATAAAAAGCAGTGGGCCTGACTGAGGCAACCTTACCGTTGCCCTCTCGTGTTTCCTGATGATTCATTATTTTATACGTTCTGTACCTATAACCATAGCAGTTAACCTTGATCTCTGTGGCCGGTATCTAGATAATGACCTTGTCACATCGATATCTCTTCTTCTTGACAAGGCTGGTGTCCCAAATCTTCGTTGGGGCAATTATCTACTGTCAGTATATGGCGTTCCTATAATTGTTGAGTGAATATTCTGCTAGAATCTCGTATTTGGCCGCTACTATGTGGAAGCAGGGTGTTGCTTTCCTCGTGCCAGGCGCGCTGGTAGATATATTTTTCTCTATCCTCTCAACGGCCGGCTTATACCCTGATACAAAAGACGCAGAATACCTATATACAAATCCGCGACCAAGTCCTCGTTCCTCTGCACATCTACATATTGGTAGTGAGACACTGGGGTTACTACACCGGAAATCCGATCTGCTTTGGGCCTTGCCCGACTTTGAAGCCACCCCTACAGTCTGATAATTCGGACATTATGACTGCATCAGATATTCGGCCTCCTCTAGCAACATAAGGCGGTGGTAGTGGGCGTTTCTCTTCTGAGCACTCTTTTGTTCGAATTCCAAGTGCCCAGGGTACTGTGAATCTCTGCTGCTTCTACTTTGTCGTGACCATGGTACCATCTGCGCAAGTTACTGGATAGCACTTTTAACCCATATGGTAGAGTATGTTGATGCGGTTGGTCTTTTCAACGAGGATAGCTTGGATGAAGTGCACAGATCATTTTATATTTCTATAAAATATGGGTGTTCAGATATATTTGGAGCTCTGGATGGACTCCGTAGTAAGTTGATGAAGTGGCAGCTCATTCCAACCAAATAAGTATTCCACGTAACCAGGTTAGACAGCGTTCCTCAACCGATCCATAGCTAGATAGAAGTTGTATTGAAGCTCACATTTTGTCGCTCACCCCTTAGCTCAAACGTCGATAACTTTCACACTATCGAAACCAGGTGACTGGGAGAAATAATACCCTCTTTGATTCGATACTACTCTCTTGCCAGTTGCTGGATCCTGGTAGTCACAATTGAGATGGGTGTGCCCAAACCCCCAGAGAGCAACGACTTTCTCCTTCCAGCATGGCTCGTTTGATAAATCGGTCATAAATCCCGAGGAGATTTTACTGTTGCGATGCTTGGGATCTATAACATTTTCGTGGGTTGAGGGACAAAAATGGGTCAAAACAACGACTCTGCGCTCGGGTTCGTGGCCGGAAATCGACACAATCTCTCGATTTAACCATGCAACGTCCGCATTGTGTTCAGCCTGGTGTGTTTCTACCGACCAATCGTGAATGTGATAAAAGTCGTTTATACCAAAACTAACGCTTTCCTTTTGTTCTGGAGCGACAGATGAGAATAGAGTACAGCCGAGAATGGTCACTGTCGGTGAGATGTCATAGCGCGTTCGATCGAGTAGGATAAGCTTTCCAAGCCCTTCATTTCTTTCTGCAGAGGCATCAATATCACCTTTGAAACGTTGTATATCGGATTTTGTCTCGGTCCAGCTACTATGATAGGCTTCATGGTTGCCTAAAACCAAGAAGACGAGCCGGAAATTTTCTAATTGCGTGCGGAGAAAGAGAAAGAAGCCCTCATCTTTGACGTAACCAATGTCACCAAGCAGTGCCAAAAATGGTGCCTTTGGGTCAATCTTGAACACGTCGTAGGCAGCCGGCGACTCTAGGTGGATATCTGACAGTATCTGAAGTTGGACATTCTCCATCGTCGACTGCTGAGAGGAGAAATGGATGCTTAGGTTGAGTCGGTCCAGCCGGGATGTGCTGTGCGGCGCTTAATGAGTAGCCCGAGCTGGTGCTCATGTGACTATGATTATCAGTACAAAACGTTCAGATGCAACCATGGACCAGTGGCCACACCGGTTCAATAGACTGCAGTTCTACAAGGTCTCGATGATATCGTCCAGTATTCCTCGCAAGATAAGGCCTGGTGGAAAGCATGGTCAGCATTGAACTAATGTGGCCGGCTGCTATCTCTGTGTCACTGCTGGCAGGGCTCAGGGTATAGCTGTATCAGGTGCCACCCGGACAGATCAGACCCTAGAGCTTGAATATAGTGACCCTTTCGTCTAGTATGGAAGATAATTGCCTGGACACGTGTTCTTTTAGTATGGAATTGTACGCAAGGTTTGTATATTCGTGGTTCAGCGTAGCTTTGCCCGATGTTGTATGCTATTATAAAATATAGAGCTGCGCTGTGTAAGGCGTCAAGGACAATTGTGTTGTTGCAGTCATATAGTAGTGGAGTAACTCGGGGCTTTCACCGGCCGAAGACAGATCAATTCAATAAAGGTAACAGTTGCTGGCTAGAAGTGATGGTTGGTGTAAGCCGAAGAAGTTCCAGGTTAGGTGACCAACTACGAGCAAATCTCTCCTGTGATATTGATTCCACGCGAAACTACCTTATGTAGCTTCTTCCCAGGGCTGTCATGGCCGTGCTCAGGAGATTTTACGATGTCGAAAGACTCTGTCCCTCGATATTCTCCACGGACCCATTGGTGTTCCTCTGCACGAGGCGGCATTCTACGGCCAGCCATCAATCGTGACGATGCTCTTAGACAAAGGGTTCGGTATACATCGCGAGAGCAAACAGTATGGAACTCCTCTCCAGGCGGGGCACTCTCGTTTATATCTCGACATTGCTATATAGTTAACAACTATATTCTATCTGGCCCATGTAGTTGGCAAAACCAAAACTATATTTAAAAAGGACAATAAGCCCTACATATGCATATTGTATCCCTGGCGCATATTGTTCTGGGAGTCGTTGATGGATGTACGTGCTGATATGATGCACGGCGACAGCTCTGGAAGAAATGTGGATCTAATTTATTTTGTCACTGGAAGCGCCAATCAATGAAATTCAGAATGATACCAAAGGCCAAGATCAATAGGCAGAAGTATAAGTTAGTTATAACGAGTTCCAATATCAAAAATGTCTATACTTCAACGTAGAGTGGGAAATGGGAGGTCAATCTACCTTGCCTCAACATTCCGTTCACTGCGAAACCTGTCAAACTAGCGGATATGACATGAACTTGAAACATTATGAGTAATCAGGTATCACTCGGGTGGTGTTCATACATGCTGTGACTGAACAGAATTGAAGATAATAATTCCTGTATTATAACGAACCCTTGCTGTCGCAGCTGAAAATTTCCGAGATTTCTCCTCTGATAGTGGGTCTAGTAGTAGACCAACGTCGCAACCAAGCTCTAGTTGATCAGGTGAATGGTTGGACCCTTTCCCCCCTGCCTGGTTGGGCCATTTGTGGACCGTGGTGGCATTAAATTGAATCCTTTTAGCATCCAAGACCCTTTGCTGGTAACTGGGTACGGGCACGCTGAACATCCGTGTTCCTGTTCACCAATAGTTCTTTCGACCTCGACAGATGCTGTGGAACGGCCAGAAAGACTGTGTTGTATATCAGACGAATCACAGTCAACGTATGGTCGCATTGGCAGTATTTGGTGGTATCAGCAGTGGATACTGTAGGGTTGGAGGCAAGACATTGATCGACATTCGCGACTCGAAGAATTTCCCAACACTGGCCGTTGTGTAGAACCATCCACTCGGTAAACTAGACCAATTAAAATATATTGACTCACCTCATATTATTGGACTTTCCTCGCCTATATGCTGATCCCTTTCTGTTTTCTTCTTCTTTAGAGAGGCCAACTTACTTCCTCTGAGGGCTCCAGCCAAGACAAGCTGCGCCCGGCCATCAAAAGGGGAGTATGCACTGGAGCGTACATTTCCCGCCCTGGTTAATGGCATTGGGTTATGGTTGATGTGTAATATGTGGGTAAGCATACGATGAGCCATGTTCATACTTCTTGTAGGCTTCGCCTCAAAGATCGTATTGCTCTCCTTCGTCCTCGGCATTTACCACGAGAATCCTTAAGGAATGGACCCATTTGCTAGAACACTAGCCATTGAAACATGGACTCTATATGTGCTTGGTATTGTCCAATCTCTCTATCTTTGTCTTGCTAGCTAATCAAGTGCAAACGACAGGTGTTATTCTCATCGCGTGTCGCATGTACGTGTAGCAGTTATCTACCCGATCCATCGGTCCTGACAAGACACAGGGCCTCGCGGCGCATAGCCCGGAAATCATGGAAGAAATTACAAACTGATGACTACCTAATGGTGGCCATTCTGGTAAGTCCATCTGTGTCCACTGGGCATGCTATGGACTGAATCCTGTAATAACCACTGAGTTGGGGAGTGTCAGTTTACTTTTACTGGAGTCGTTGTCTGCGTGAACGAGACCGCACAACATGGCAGCAACTATATTCCGCTAGATAAGGCACTGTCACTCACAGAGGAAGAGCACGAGGATGCCATCTACGGCAGCAAGATGACCTTCGTACTCGAACACTTCACATTGGTCTCTCTATGGCTGGTCAAATCCTGCTTACTTATTATATATAATCGACTAACGTATGTCTTTTCCTGGTTGAATACATTGGCGCTGTTCATTATTGATATTGATCCGCAGGTTGGGATTGAGAGAGCACTTAGCGGTTAAGGTACTTGCTGTTTACGTCGCAGCGTCCTTCGTTATAATCGAGATTCTCTTCTGCACTGTGTGGTGCGGCCCGCCTATCACGATGTATTGTACGTTGTCCTTTACCCTATAATCATACCGTTCCGTTTAGTAACCCATAATTTGATATAGGGGATGTCCCGACCAAGGACCGTAAGTATGCCCGTATACTTCGTAACAAGTTCAACTCCGTTGCTAATCCACTCTCAGCACAATGCGCTACCTATTATGACCACTTGATCACAACGAGCGCGTTCAACATCTCATCGGACTTGATGATGCTGTGTATTCCAATACCGCTTGTCCTGCGTTCGAGAATCCCGCTCAAACGGCAAGATTGTCTCAACCTAACCCTTGAGTATAACTACTAACCTACTATAGGAAATTGGTTCTTTGTGCTGTGTTTAGTCTCGGGTTGGTAGTAGTATGAACCAGTATTAGAAAGCGGTTCACCGAGTCGTTACAGCTTACACGAGCACAGATCCTTATGGCAATCCTCAATCGATACGTCAACTTCACCGAAGAATACACCGTGAGCTTCTTGGTACACACAACCGCCTGTCTTTCTCTGCCCCCATATCCCCCAGAATCGAGTCCTATCTCTAACTAACTTCGACAGCGGTGGTACGTCGCCGAAGTCGCGACGGCCGTTTACGTGGCCAATGTGCCACTCCTATGGCCCCTTCTTCGAGAGCTCTTCAGCCTGAGCTCCTTCGCAAACTCATACGGCAGACAAGGCGTGTCATTCCCCAGCGGCCGTCGCACAACCAACACGCATCACTCGCGGTTACGGTCACGACTGAGTCACATGGAAGAATCCACGGAGTCTATCGTGCAACACTCGCAACCCGACCACGAAAAAGGAGGATTCAGATCCCTCGACCGGGGGCTAGAGCTATCCCCCATTCAAGAACGGCACTACCGGGCCACGGTCACGACCGAGGACGTGGAGCAGCCGGTGGAGAGGAATGTTTCACGTCGCACTAGCCAGTCTCTCTCGGGGATTTTCCGGACGGTGGAGGTGGTGCAAACGAGAGAATAAGATTAAACTGGCCCGTCACAGTTGGTCAGTGCGCAGTGAACTATCGATCTTTGAATTAGTCCGGAATAGGAGAATAATGATACCCCTGCCAAGGGGCCTGGCAGTAAGACATCGTTCATGCTTTCAGATATTGCCAAGAAGTTGTACTGTGTAGCAGGTCTCGACAGGGCTACCTTGGGTCCGCAGATTACCGAGTTCATTCACTGGGGTTATGTTCTTTAGGGCAAGGACACAGCAGAATCGAGGCAGATCAAAGGGGGGTATATGTGACCCTTTGAGAGGATCATTCCAAAAGTTAATCTACACGAGGCGACAACAATATCGGCGGAAGGCCAACAACGCCTTCCGCCTTGGCGCCTCTTTAGTCAATCTTAGCCATGGTCGATCACTTTTAGAGTGATGCCAAGAGGGCTTGTTGGACGGCAGAAAGTCTATGACGGTCGGTGGAGAGTTCTCTTCAATAGTCTCATGGGCTAAGGTAATGTTAAATAGATTTTTGGCGCATGACTGGAAATTCCAGCCTACCTCACTTATTATTCTTGCAGAAACCTGACGACTATCCAGCGCCATTGAATGTCCGAGTCCAACTCCTCTAGTAGGTGATTGGAATGTCTTCCATATGTTGCGGGGCTTACTTCTTCTAGCGCAGAGTGAGTAGCCTACATGTAATGAATCTCAAAGATCTCAAGGTTGTTTACCGCTCTCTCCTAATCCCTGGGAGCTTTGATTCTTGATTGCTGCTGTCAAGCCCCTTGATTCCCTCCCGCAGACTACAATATCTGATAGCCGACATGGAGCTCGCAGCGTCGGACACAACGCAAATGCAGCCTCTATTTATCCCGGGTACTGTTCTCTTGGTTGATGGTTAGCTCTTCTTGTTCTTTGTCTGTCCTCTCTGCCCTTCCTTAGCCTTTCTTCTTTTTCCTTTTCTTCAATTGGGTAGCCTCCCAAACAGTGCATATATAGAATATGATAACCGTTTCCAACAGACACACATGAGCAATCCACGAAGCATGCGACCGGAAAGCACACCGAGATTGTCCTCATCCCATCTCCTTCAGACGATCCAAACGATCCCCTAGTATGCAAATATCCTTTCCGGAAATGACGTGTCAACTAATCCAACCGACGGTAGAACTGGTCACCAGCGCGGAAGAAGCAGCATCTCATCCTACTATGTATCTATACATTCTTCATGAACGGCTTGTATTCGACCCTTCTCAGATCCCTCCAACTTGTCCGAGAAGTTTAAGCTCATTACTGTCAGGATCAACTTCTATGGTGTCGCTTATGACGGCCTAGCGCCGGATTTGAATACAACGTTCGACGGCTTAAATACGGGGTGTGTGCTTCTTGGAATGGGTAACAACTCACTTGACTTATTGTGATTCGACGATTAGGAGCGCCATTTTATTTCTTTTCAGCGGCGTTGGCGCGGCCTTCTGGCAACCTGTGGCCATGAAGATCGGTCGTCGCCCGGTGTATATTATGGGACTTCTCATCGCCATGGTCGGCAGTATCATCGGAGCTGTGCAAACCAATTGGGGAGTTTGGGTGACATTTAATGTGTTTTGGGTACGAAATGACTGAATTATATACCGTCAATGTTGACTTAAAACTAACTGCGACAGGGTCTCGGATGCGGTCCGAAGGAGGGCCTCCCCCAGATTTCCTTGCAGGACACTTACTTTGCGCACCAAATGGGATCGAAAGTTGGATACTGGGCACTATCTTACAGTGCCGGTGCTTTCATCGTCGTAAGAAAAATCCCTCGGAAGGGTATAGCCTCAGACTAACCAGGCCAGCCTCTTGTCGCGGGTTACGTGTATGTAGATTTGAGCTGGCGGTGGTGTTTTTGGATCACTGCGATCGGCTTTGTGGGTTCCTTCCCCGGGTTCAAGTGGCTTTTTGAACTGCTGCGCTGACGTTGTCAGGCTACTATGGCTCTGGTACTATTCTTCGGCATGGAGGAGACGCTTTATCCTAGATCGTACAGCACACATCAAGCACCACTTCCACGAGCACGAACCGCGGAGAAGGGCTGTAGCCCTGCTGAAACTGGATATGTGGACAATGGGGTCAAGATGAAGTCCTACTGGCAGACCCATCCGCTGCACTCATGGGGTGTGAACCCCAACGGAGCCTGGCGCGATCTCTTTCTTCGTCCGTACCAGCTCGCCTTCTTTCCGCCCGTTCTCTGGGCGGGTGTGTTTACCGGTGTCTCGATTTGCTGGTGGGCTGCGATCTTCACAACGGAATCCCGTATGTAGCTTTTGCTTCCAGACTTCTGAGGCCCCTGGCTAATTCCCTGCAGAGTTCTTCACCGGTCCACCGTACCTATGGAGTGGCGAAAAGGTAGGCCTCACCAACGCTGCCGCACTTCTCGGTTCTATCCTAGGTACCGTATTTGCAGGAAACGTCAGCGACTGGTTCATCATCGTAGCGGCACGCCGTAACAACGGCATCCGAGAACCAGAGCACAGGCTTATCCTCCTGGTCGTGACCGCTGTCGTTACCTCGGGCGGGTTAGTCCTGTACGGCAAAGGGGTAGAGGTCGGACTTCACTGGATATGTCCTGTATTCGGGATGGGGTTAATGGCTTTCGGATTCACTGCATCTTCCATTGTTGGAGAGGTAAGATCTTTGAGTTGTCCAACATTATATCATATCCTTGCAGAGGCTGACGGGAGGCAGACTTATATCCTCGACTCCTATCGGGCAGTGGCACCAGAGGCCTTAGTACTGATTAATATCTTCCGCAACTTGATCGGCATGACGTTTGTCTTCGCTGTGCAGCCGTGGCTTATCCACTCTGGTTATGGTAATGCGTACATCCAGATGATGGCCATGGGGCTTATTGCGCATTTAACCGTGATCCCGATGATGATTTGGGGGAAGCAACTGCGCGCGATGACCGCAGGGCGATACGTGCGCATGGTCGAGGCGAGTGGTATTCCTCGGGAGTTCGCCTGATGTGCCCTTGGAAATCTCGATCAGCTACTGCTTGTATCGCTATTTAATGCCTCTATGATGCCAATTGCAACTGGCTGAGAGCGGGCCAGTAATGGCAGGTCTGACTACTAGTACCTTCGAAATACCTCTATAACCCCCATTCCGACCCACTCTGAACGTATATAGGTGACCTTTCTATTAACACGGATTAAATAATGGTAACATTAACTCTCCACCCAGGCAACTTTAATCTGAAAGCTTCTTTAAGCTTTCAAACTATTCTAGCAATTCTGACCGACTTGAAAGAGGAGTTAATGCTGATCCAGTCGGAGCTTCGGAGGGTCTGTTAGGCACCCTTAGTAGAGGTTTCCATCTCGGTAACAATAAGAACTTGATTTGCGCAGATTGATGTGAGGGATGGCATTCCTGTCCTCCCATTCCCTTATACTCGGGTCGTTGCCTTATTTTTGTCCAAAGCCCACGCGTTTCATTTGTATCTATGTGTCATCGGACCTTTGACATCCTACTCCAGTCCCGACTTATGCAAGGGGGCGTTGATGCCGACATATCCTGATAGTTAGTTAAGACAGCGCCAGGAATGTCGGTGAGTTCAAACAAAAATAAAAACCAAAAAAACAAACTTTAGAAACGACGACGTAGGTGCGCAGCTTTAGCAGCCTCTATACGAACCTACAACTGTTCTGGGTAGACATCATCATCAGAAGCGGCGAACCACAACGGTTGATATAGACACTTGTAATCCTATGGCGAATGAGACACTATCCGAGTGCCTTCAGCAGCTTGAGCATTGCGAACATGATATCGACGGGGAGCTCTCTCCTAGTCAGGAGGAGAAGCGCCCAATTTCTGGTTTTAGGGTTCGTTCCACCCACAGAGTCCAGATGTACGTGTTGACTGTTGCAGTGGTTTCTGCTGGTGTCGAGCACTTTGACCGGCAGCTTCCTCTACGCATTGGACAATACCATAGTCGCCAATATTGCCCCGGTTTGTTTTCTTGCCCTCTTTGCTCTGCAGGTGTTGTGGTAACTTATCAAGAATCTTGGCAGGTTATCGTGAATCACTTTGACTCGGTTGAAGATTTGCCATGGATGTCGGTTGGGTAAGTCATGTTGTCAGCGCAAGACGTGTAACAATTTTCTGATAAAGATGCCCCACAGGTTTATGATCGGAGGCGTGGCGATGGTTCTCATTGTGGGTCGATTGTATACTCTCTACAACGCCAAGTGGCTGTACATCATCTTCACAGTCCTCTTTATGGCTGCTTCTGCACTCTGCGGCGCCGCTCCAACGATAAATGCTGAGATTGTTGGTCGGGTATTCGCTGGTGTAGGTGGTAATGGAATCTATATTGGAGTCCTCACGCTGCTATCGCTGAATACGACAACCCGTGAACGTCCACAATATCTCGCCTTGACGTACGTATAAGGATTGAACATCGATCTAACATAATTAGGCTAAGTGAGAGACAGTGGGCTAGTCTGGGGCCTAGGAACTGTTCTTGGTCCCGTTGTCGGTGGTGGATTTGAGTTGTATACCTGGCGCTGGGCATTCTATATCAACTTGCTATTCGGCATTATCCTGCTTCCGGTCTATATTTTTGTGATCCCGTCCAACTCTGTAACACCGGGACTAGCACTCCAGCAGAAACTGACCACTTTCGACTGGATTGGAGCTATCCTCAGTGTCTCAGCATTCACAACTCTAGTTATGGGCATCAACTTCGGAGGAACACTATATGACTGGAATGGAGCGCAAATCATTGCTCTTTTTGTTGTATCAGGTCTATTGTGGGTAACATTTGTCTTCCAGCAGGGCTTCGCTATTGCCACCTCCTTCGAGAACCGGATATTCCCAATCCATTTACTTAAACGAAAGGAACCAGCCCTTCTATTCATTGCATGTGCCTCGGCTGGTATAGTCACTTACCCAAGTGTGTACTACATCCCGATCTACTTCCAATACACCAAAGGCGATAATGCAATCCGCTCTGCTGTCCGGCTGCTCCCGTTCATCTGCATGCTGGTCGTGGCCATTCAGGGAAGCGGGATCATGATGTCCCGAATCGGGTACTATAAGCCATGGTATCTGGCTGGAAGCGCCCTTGCCCTTGTTCCAGCAGTTTTAATGTGTATGCGAACTGCCCCTGGAACAGTTTTCGAGCTTTGACTGAGTACCCAAAAAAGCAAATATTGTGACAACGCACACGTCTCCCAGCGTGATATACGGTCTTGAACTGGTTCTTGGATTAGGTGCCGGGTTGTACACTCAAGCAGCATTTGCGGTGATTCAAGCTGTCACACCGCCGTCAGATAGCGTTGACGGATTGACTCTAATGATACTTGGTTCGTCGACTCTATACAGAGATCAAAGTATTGTACACCAACAGCTAACATCACGGTAGCTCAGCTTACCGGAATGACATTGGGGCTCTCCATTACCGGTGCCATCTTTGTTAATAACGCTCAAAACCGTCTATACAAATTGTTGCCAGACCTTCCCCGGACACAAGTCTCCCACATCGTGTCCGGGACCAGCAGTAAGCTTCTGAGCTCATTACCCATGTCTATCCGGGATCAAGCGCTGGATATCATTGTGCTTGCGTGGCGTGACGTGTAAGTTAGATATTCCTTCCTGGTTTGATCGTCATCCTGCTCATCACACTCATGCATTGAACAAGTTTCACCTGTGTCTACGTTGGCGCAGCTCTTAGTCTCATCTGTGCAATCTTCTTGGCGGTAGGTCTAATGCTTACTTTTCCTTTGTGTCTCTACTGATCTTGTACAGAATAAGCGAGCCAATATCAGGGCTGGGGCAGCTGGTGCTTGAGGTCTATCTCGTTTTTCACAATGTTGAAGCTAGGAGTACGTGCATGAGCTGCGAAACACTCCTTCCTATCAGCCTATCTTTGCTCTTTACACCATAGTGGATTTACGAATACAGCGGAAGAGACAATACTATACATTCAATGCTTTGTGTTTGGAGATGCCTATTCGGTTTCTAGTGCATGTTATGCGCACAATGAACACATTTCCAACGTAGGGGATTAAGATAAATATTCAAGGTATATGTCGACCAATAATATAGATCTACAGTGTCGGAGGAAGGGTATAGAGTGGTCTGTTCAACAAGTTTTTCTATTGAGGCTCGAACTTGAGTTTCCATTGGAATGTATACTATCACACCGGGGCAGGATTAATCTCACACAAATACCTATGTCACCCTGTTACAAAGGGCTCTATAGCTCAGCGAACATGAAAATATCCCATCAATGTGCGTAGTCATTATCTCCCTATTCAAACACCAATAATCACTAAGAGTAATCGGAAGATAACCCAGCCCGTCACTCAAGCTCCCCCACGGGACGAGTAGCAGTGAACATTCTGAAGGGAGGAACACGCAAGAAGTCATCCCAGTCGATATCGTGCGATAGAGGCTTGGCGAAATTCTGCCACTGGAAGCCACGCAGACCAGCCAACTTGCTCGTCTTTTCATACAACTCACGAGGAAGATAAATATTGTTAAATGAGAAAGGTGTCGACGCAAGCAGAGTCACCTGAACCTCCAAGCCGCCCTCATCCAGCTCCCCAACTACCTTCAGCTCCTGGCCATACTGCGCCCCGTGGGGAAAGGCTGCGAGATCCTCCAGGATATGGACATTAGGCTGATGCCTATGATTCTCCCACCCGGCTTCAAGCTCTTGTAAATGTTCCCCCACATGTCCATAAGCTGGCTCTGATTGCGGCTGTAATTCAGCAACCAAGGCGCCAGGACGATATCAAACTGTCCGAATTCGAACGGCTGGCCACAGTCCGCAACGTGGAATTCAAGTCGGCTGTCATCTTTGGCGCATACCCGTGCGGCGTCGACCATCGCTTCGGAAATATCCACGCCCACGGCCTTGCTCGCGCCCCATTCGACGGCCTGTCGGCAATAGTAACCCAGACCACATGCGAGCTCAAGCACAGTTTGACCCTCGATATCACCGAGACAGCTTCTCAGGGCTGCAAGCTGCAACTTTCCGGTTGGGAGATTGGGAACGTCACCGTAGGCCGCCCCGATGGTGTCGTATTGCTGGATCGTCATGTTGAAGATAGCCGGAGAGGGGAAGAGAATGGTTCTGCTCTCGTGTAGAGTAAGAGGGAATATCAGTTGGTAGGCAACGAGAGAAACAAACTTGTGATGTTCCTAGTAAGAGAGCCCGTACTCTGACAGAATTCAGCTCAAATTTATACGCTTGTTGGGCTTGGGCACTGGACCAAGGGCGCCAATAGAACGACGCCATATACATATTCTCGACGCTAAAATCAATCAGCAAATAGGATATAATTCCCTTCCCTTGCCTTTGACATTCTCTACTTACTCATCGCTCATAGCTCTCACATCCTTCCTTGTTTCCCTCGACCCAACCTTGGCAAAACTGCCTGCTGCTCCCAGTTACTCGCTCAACCTATCCCGCTATGTAGCAAGTGGAGCTGGAGAATTGTGAGGCATCTCATCCTGGGGACAGATAATACAAAGCCATTTACCAAGAGACCAATATTACCGGCGAGATACCTCTCTCGCGGGCCCTGGCGCCTACACTCGCCGCCAAAAGTGTCCGTTACAATGCGCGTTTTTAACACATTCAGTAACTAGACAATAGCCAATCTTTACGATATCAAAATATATTTAAAACAAGGTTTATAATAAGTTCATGAGTAGATATGGAAAAGTACTAAATAGAGATACATTAACTGTTTGATGGATCGTATACCAAGGTATTTATAGATATTATCGTTAGAGAACTACTATACGGTGTACTAAATATTAGGTGAAAAAATTATTATCGGTTGTAATATTTCTTAATCCATATTCATCTAAATTCACTGGTGAATTGCTCTAATTCTCAATGAATAGTGACTATTTAAAAACGCTGGTTGAATATATATTGTGGTAGAGTTCGGGTCGTTTAAACGGAAACCTTTTGACATTGAACTGTACTAGGTAGCACACTACATAGCTGAAGGTGCCGCATGTCCCACAAGAATGCCATCTACAGTGAAGCACCTTGATTGGATCTCAAGAAATTGAAAGGTCCTTCCTGTTAGAACTTCGGATTGCTCTCTCTTTACTCTTGCCCGTCTGGCTTGGCTGCGGCAAAAGCCTGTATAAAAAATAGTATATTATCAGGCATGGAGGAATGCAACATGACACAAGATGGCATCCACATACCTCCCCCCGGGCCCATAACCTTGGCACATTCGGCCCCTTGAGCAGATCATTCCATTCCACTCGTCACTTCCATTCCCTTCTGTGGTATGACACGATTCAATCCTCCTTACACAGTCGAAAGGAAATCGTATCCGCTCTCGTGATTGTTTTCGTAATGACTGGCGATGCGCTCCGGACTCGCTCACATGATGAAATATTTGGTGTTGTGAGGGATACTCATATTTAAGACCATGTCAACAAAAAAGGTACTATTTAGCTGAGGAGGGAATAAGAAGCAGAGCTGGGAGTTCCAATAAGCCATCTGTTATTCCAAAGTCATCTGTGTGCTCCACTGCTGTTGAGGTTGTGCGATTGGACCCTTATGACCCGATAATTATTATAGGGGCAGAAGTAAGGGCAGAAAAAAGCAAGGGCCTCTTGAAAACGCACAGAAACAAGGTTAAGATGCCATTGCCCATTTTGCCAAGGCAATTAATTCCTCATATATTCTCTTTCATAAGCTTGCGCATTGAGCTTTGGCTTACTTGGAATATAATAGTGAAGGGTCGTTTTCTGTGTAGGGCTAGCGCCCGAGGAGTTCCTGTGCAGGAGTTTCCTAGGCAGAATTCGTTAGTGAGATGGAATTAACAGCCACTTTTTGAAGCACCTCATTACATAATTTGGGCCTGACTTATCGAGTTGGTTGTTATTGTTGCGTCCATGCTGTATAGTATAGACTGTGGCCTATTTGATGCAAGTGCCTTGCCGGCAAGTGCGTGTTGGACACAGGAGTATCGAGAATACCTTCGAGCCTTTAGACCCGGACTTATCTGTAACCTCCATGTTTACTATATTACTATAATGGTAAGATATAATGGCTTAAATTTGAAGGATAGGTTAAAGAAATATCTGGCCCAAGCCAAGATTGCTTGTTGACTGGCAAGGTAGCTTCTTCTGGCTATTAAAAATATCTACACAACACGGGTTTTTTATGGAGATTGGTGAACCCGTTCCCACAAGCCTGTGATATTACGCTAATCCCTGTCTTACTGGCACAAGTGTCTAATGAAAAGTTCCGAAGTAATAGTAGTTGGGTCCATAGATAACAAGTGGCGTGACAACGCAATTCGATACCGGTGGTTGTCAACCCCTGCTAACAATTTGATAATTTGATAAGAGAAATGGCACCGATCTCCAAGACTTGAATACTTCACATTGGAAATTACAAGATGGCTACAAATCTAACAACTACAGCCTCACTGCCTATGTTACCCAGAAGACTTTCCAAATACCCATTCCTTTACCACCTCTATCTCCAACAACCCCAGCCGCCCACTCTGCTGGACAAATGATTCCGAGAAAGCCTGTTCCACTCGCAAGGTCTAAATTTGGAAGCAAACAAACAACTGCAGGCCCATATTGAGCCAGCATAGATGTTTTCTCAGTTTCCACTACACAACTCTTGATCCCAGTGCGGGGGCTACCTATAGTCTGTGATTTGTCGATTGCACGGAAATGGAGGGAGGCTACGTGTCGTGTCTCTTAGCGAGCGCCTTCCCTGCACTGGGCGCTAACTCAGCCTCTTGTATTCTCGCCAGGACACGAGATAGTACTCTCACAACCTCCATATATGTCTTTCAGATTTGCTTTCGTTGTTGGACTGCCAACCATCCTTGAGAGAAAATCTCAAAAAGTATACTAAAACGCATTGAGGCATCGGGGAAGCGACTGCGATGCAGAGCAAAAGTGAGAACAAGCATTCATGGAAGAAGCGCTTTCGGATCAACGAGTACGCACCCAGAGGAGTCTATATTTCTGAATCAGAGTCATCTTCATTGGCTAGAAGCCATGCGTATGGATAACATATGACGGAACTAAGGTCTTGTGGTTACCCCCTGACCATTGACCGCAAACGTTCAGTGCATTGACTTTATCAACCTTGGCTGTCGCCATCGGCTGTGCATCCAGTGCTGTTACGTTCTTAGAATCCTCGAAGCTGAATCCCCTCACTGATCTTTGATTTCGTTGTTTGCTCGCTATTCCCCAATTTCATTGCTACTCATTTATACTGCATAAAGTCTTGAGTCAAGGTAAAACAGAATAGAAATACAATACAAAGGGACAGAATTATGAAGAGAAGTATGCAAGCACGATTATGCCATACGAAAGGACAGTAGAGTGGCAGGTTAACACTAGTTACAAGTGGAATGCGGCTGTAAACCGGTGCAAAGTGGTCACTCTCGGGCTGCGAGAAAATACTATTCTAATATCACACCATTTCACGCATCATGCCCTTAAAGCTATTAGAAGAACCCTATAGTAGTCTTTATAAAAGCCCTCATGACGCACCCACCCTATGCCAGTATGTATAGGCCAATAGTGGTGTCACGGATGACATGGCGACATGACTGTGCAGTATACCCTGCCCCGGGTGCATAGACAACCCAGTCATCAGACGGCAGTCTCGGCGTCTATATCTGCTGCCCTTTAAAACTAGAATTGTTTTGGCATTAGACTCTGCGCCCCCTAACGAAGAAGCATGTTCATAACAGAGATACCACGCTGTTCGACTTCTTTATTATACTGGACAGTGGCCACATCCTCTGCAACAATCTCTGATGTTTCTTCTATATGGAGTACCATGCCTCGCAATCTAAGGGTGCCACTGCTACCCTCACAGTCTCGTTGTATATCCTCTGGCAAGCCGGTCTTTTCTTCTTTCATGGGTATTAGAGAAGGCTGCACGCTGATTGAGGACGAGTATTCTCTCTGGAGGCTTCGAAGTATCTCTCTTTCTGCCATCCCGTGCTATCTCGACGGCTTATAGTCGACATAGCGGACCAGCTCGAATATATCTGGACAATCCGTGCTAACCTCGACCCCGAGGATAGTCTGGCCTACTACATAAGGGAATATCCTAGCATCAAGTTGATATGTGATTCGATGACCGAGTCCGAGGTGTAACAGTCCTGCGGTTACCAAGAGAATATATAACAACGGGGATAAAGGCGCGTCAAGTTTAGCAAGCCGAGTATCTCTAATATATACTATAGTAGTTTATCAGAATCAAGCCTTATGTGCTGACAAAGATCGAATTCTGTAGTAAAGAGAACCGATACCAAAAAAAAAGTAGATAATTACTTATACGTTGCCGCGATATTCTACAGCCTCCAAATAAGGCCAATTCCGCCGAACAAGAGCTTTCTTCCTGGATAAGCTGGCTCCCACTATAGAATCAGAAGGTAATTGATTGATAGATATAAACTTCAAACCGCGTTTTATATAAACAGTATCTAAATAGTCCTCACGCTCAGGAGCAGCTCCCATAAGGTAATGCGGTAGTAGCGTGGTCGGTATTTTCTTTAAGCTGTGGGCTAGACTGTGGACCTAGCTATCCACCAAGTCCAATTCCAGGTCATTTGTCCATAGGCTTTTACCTATATCGGTTGGAGCCACCGGTCTGCTTAGAGAGGACAGCAAAAGACGTATGTTTATCGGCATCGCCAACGACACTGCCTGTGACAATTTGAAAGTTGGGAGAGCGGTCGAGCGTTTGGCCTAGCTTGGATATGACAGAACGGGTTTGAACGAGGGCAACGCTTTACTCAGCCCTAATCCCAGGGTGCACGACATTCGAGACCCGGCTGACGACTACGATTACCAGCACAATCCTCTCTACCCTATTCTGTGTGATCCAGAAAAGATAGATGAATATTAATTATGGAACAGCACTCGTCTACATAATCCATACGACTGAATACTGGAACCCTTCTCGAACAGGTTCGCCCAATTGTGCTTCGGATCTGGAAAGCAGTAACAGTCGTTATTGGAAGGATATTTGCCTTTCTTCTTTCGCTTGCCTTGTAGAACGGTATATACACCGTTTAACAGCTCTGACTCGGCCAATGACCACACAATGATAGTAACTGTACATACAATCATAGTTAAGGGTTCGGACTGAGACCCACTTCTCCGAAACCCTAACCTAAGAGTATCCCTAGTAGGGGTTCCCTCCTGAACTTTCAGGTATAACCGGTGGTAACCTATAATGTCCGATTGTTCTGGTCTAGGGTTTTGAGTAGATCCACGGCCTGAGGCTACATAGATCCCATTCGGCTTTCGGCGCCACGGAAGACCGTCGAGATCCACGATCAGGCACTATTGACAGCACCATTTTAAGATGCCCCTTTTTTTTTCCGATGGGCGTCTCTTCCGCTTAGTCATGGTTTCCATCGTATCTGATTGGTTGATTCTGCACATAGTCAGCGGAACCCTAACTATATCAGCCCCGAAAACCATGATGTAATAGATCGGACTCTAACTTTAGAGCTGTAGGACGCTGGAAGGTAAAGAGATCGAAAAAAAAAAAAAGAAAAAAGGTTTCAGGACAATAAATAGCACTCCTCATCCATCTGGGCTTGGAAAGTGATTGTGCTTACATCACTAGACCCTCTGCCATGGCAGCACCCTCACCCTCCCCAGCGGGAGGTTCCTTCAAAGACATGCGCAAAAGCTTCCTGATCGCCTTGGGCATCAGCTTTGCCCTCTTACAGTTTCTGTTCCTGTGTAATATGTGCTATCTATACGGGACACAGTATCGCGACAGCACCCGTTTCCACAGCTTGAAGATTCTGTACGTTGACTACGACGGAGACGTTATTGGCCAGTCGGTGGTCGATGCATACGGCATACTACGCAGTGACGAATTCCCTTCGCTGATACAATCACCCGCCAGCAAATATCCGACTCCAAAAGACGTCAAGACAGCCGTCTGTAAAGGCGACTACTGGGGCGCAGTGTATGCCCATCCTGGGGCCTCGTCGAACCTATCCGCTGCCTTGGCCACGGGCAACGGCAACCGAACTTCCCTCACGTACATCTGGAACGGAGCACGCTACCCGGCCTTTTCGCAGAGTGCCATCTACGCCAGCATCATGAGCCTGGTCCAAGGATACGAATATCCACGAGCATCCAACGAGACCATAATGACGATCATAGAAGCTCGAGCGATTCGAAAGAAGGCTTTTACCTGAGTGAGGAGCTACCCCGGATCATCTAGAGGTTTTGACCTGGAAGAGGGTTGATCTAGCAAATCTTATTAGGAACCCACGGCTACACTAAGATTGCTACGGTATCTAGCCGGCTTAGAAGCCTGATGCACCCAGTCTTCAGCGGCGCATGTCTCAATAGAATGAGAGATATGTTGATCCAGTTATTATCGCTGACATGAGCGAAAGGTATTAGTTCTCATAGCAACTTCAAGGCTGGTACCACAATTAGAAGGGCTGACGGTGCTGCCTAGGAACTGTATATTCTGCCAATATGCCAATACTGTTCCCATTAACTCCCGGATGCGCTAGCGAAGATTTTGGTGAATCAGAAATCGTGCGGAATTCGGTGCCTGTCAAATTTGCACCGATATATCATCGTGAGTGGGAATGAGCGACATCGCATATCGTCGTTGTCCCAAGCGGTTTTCAAGGATGTGGAAGGCCGAAAATTGCCCCTCAGTTACGGTGCGGGGACGGATTTATGATAACAAAATGAGTTAAGCGTGGGGTCCAGGTTAGGTAGAGACTCAAAAGGATGGGCGGCCTCCGACATAAGGTGACATTTAAGAGCTTTTCCGCGGTCAATACGAACATGTTCTAAATCTCGATGAAGACGCCATGCGCCCTAATCTAATATCACGCAGTACTATTACAGTGGTCTAGCACATTCGGACCCACTCAGGAATTTCCAACATTTAAGATCACATTCCCACCACAGGTCGCACACTTACCGTCATTCCCCATTCAAAAGGAAAGAACCGACAATATGCCCATTCAAATCCGCTATGCGACCGAGTCCGATAGCCCGGATTTGGTCCACATAAACACCGCCAGTTTTGCTCCGGGTCTATTTTACCAGAATGCATTTGCCAACGTTGACGTTTCGGCCCTACAAACGTTGAAATACGCACGAACTTTCGCAAGATTCGTGGATCCCAAATACCATCTCTTAGTTGCAACGGACTCAGAAACGGACCGTATCATCGCTTTCATGCGAGTGGTTATTCCGCTTCGTTATCAACAAGAGTCCCATTCATTTACAACGCTATCTGAAAATGCGAGGAAGATGGCTGCTGAGCCAAATGAATATCTACCCGAGGGGATTAACCAGCGCGTCTATGCGTGTTATTTGGATATGCTGAAGAGCTCAAGAGAAAAGTATCTGGGAGAAGATGATATAAGTACGTACCCTAGTTCCCCCTAGCTTCTTTCTTCTAGTCTAGCACTTCCAATCTCCCTTTGTCTGTTCTCTTCGGCTTAGGAAGGCTAAACAGCACTATAGTCCTGGACTTTTTAGCCACAGACCCCGAGTATCAGGGGAAAGGAATTGGTAGCCAAATGTTGAAATGGGCTACGCAAAAGGCGGATACCCTGAACGCACGAATGTTTCTTGAAGCAACAGAGGAAGGTTATCCGCTATATAAAAAGTATGGATGGAACACACTGGAGGAAATCGTTCTAGACTTCGCGCCATTGGGGGGGCATAGCAAGGGAATCTACTATATTATGATCCGAGATCCAATTCCTGATAATAATCAGCCCTAACTGACCGTGTGCTGTCATTATCATAGCTTAGATGCAACCTACATTGGATATCGCTGAGAGAAGAGTAGTATAGCAAGTGCTTAAAGTCCAGTGTATCAGTATTATCTATTCAAGTCGAATCCACGGCGTATCCTAGAGAACAGATTCAGGTACCCAAGGGCAAGCCAGGCGTGTTCCCTTACATAGTATTCAGAGCTTTAATGGACGAGACTACCTATCAAGCCACATCCGAGTCCCCCACGTAGCCGCTTACGTGCCTACCTATGATCCTCCTCCATCTCCATCTAAGTGGCTTATCATGATACCCCCTGAGGAGGTAGCCAAGACTTGGAAAGTCTGGTAGTCAGCTGCTGGTCACTTGCTTTCTAAGCACGCTCACGCCGAGGGCTTGAGAGAACCCCACAGGGAAATACCCACAGTGTCCCGTGCCTTTCAGGGAAAGGCATTTAATACATCGTCAACTGAACAGGTGTTCGCTGGCAGTCACTACCATAATGTGTCTCTTGAGGAGCTCTTGTCGGGAACAACAATCAGATTAGCATTATAACGAGCATCGCAAAGCCAATGGCGGTCTCAGCAACTATTGCCGGTTGATATCCGATCGTAAATTATGCCGTAAGAGCTGAAAAATAGTGGTCGTTTCGCTGGTCATGTGCTTTTTCGCATGCTTGAAGTCCGGCTATTTCGTGATCTACAGGTTTTGAACAGATGTTCATATGAGAGAGGTTCGCCCAGGGCCCTGGTAACTGTGGAGTACTACTATCCCAGTTTGCGGGGATACGGCGTTCGCCAGTCCAGGTACAGTACCTATTGCCTGCGTTGATCACCAGCCCCAAAAGCCTCCCACAAGAGTTAGGGTTCTCCTACCCTGTTCAGGCACCACTGGGCAGGGTAAGTTTATTAGATTTTCTGTCGCATGTACACGTAACTCGGTCTGCAGCAACAATGTTTAGGTGGCAAATATAGCTTATCAGTATCTTTTACGGTAAGACTGATTTTACAGCGATCGATTCAATCAGCATTCACCATCGAGTTTGCCAAATGGCGTAATGATGCCCGGATAACAATTCCAAGAGCTTCTTACCGGTGAAAGCGGGGATGAGTAGGCGTTCTCGATCTTGCATGACCCACGGATACCTGCCCGCTCGATTGGTCCCTTGATCTGCACTGGGATTGGGTTTCATGGCGCTGGTAAAGCTAGCTCGGTTTGGCTGTAGAGCAACACCTGGTCAGTGCCGTCATTGGGTCAGTGGCTGAAGCATGTATTTTATTCAGCAGGCTATACCCTTCTTGAGAAAACTGTATGTCGTCGTCCATCTCCCCATCTATCACAATGCAGGTACTGTCGAAGCTTATAAAAGCTCCCCAGCGAAGCGGGGAGCTCTCGTCAAATCGAACAACCCCACTCTCTGATCTCCGGTATTCACAATACCATATTACCGACTCTTCCTTCGCGCTAAGCGCGATTTGCCGTCTATGACTACGCGGGCTGCGGGTCTTCTTGGTGTCGTTACATCCTTCCTCGTTCTCGCGTTGGGAACTGTGGCGTTGCGATGCTACGTGCGTATACGGATCAAGAGGAGTTTTGGGTTGGATGATGGCCTAGCGGTTGGAGCATTGGTAAATTGTTCATCTTTGACCCGGGGTTGTAGACAACACATCGCACCGGCCCTCGTGGAACCATGCTGATATTTGTATCTTCGAGATTTTCTTCATCGTATCGGCATGTGCATTACTGGAAGGGGTTCGAATTGGTAGTTTTGGCCACTCCTGGACGGAATTAACGCCCGAGGTCCTCCTCAAAGGCTTGAAGGTAGACTGACATCAACCCAATACTTCCATCCACCACTCATCATTGGCTCCAGCTTCTATTTCTCTACGAGACTTGCTATGTGGTCGCAACCACCATGGTCAAATTCGCCGTGGGTATATTTCTCCTACGATTTTGTATCGAGCGCTACCATAAATGGATTATTTATGCCATTCTCATCCTACTCACCTGTCTCACCATTTTCATCTTCATCTTCGTCCTCATCCAATGCCGGCCACCATCATGGTTCTGGAACCAAGCGATCAACCCACATGGCAGTTGCGATGGGATGGGCTTCATCAAAGCTGCCTATGTGCATTCAGCCATTACAGCCTTTAGCGATGCGGCCCTTGGACTCCTGCCGATCCTGATTGTCCGAAGTCTGCATTTACCCTGCTACATCAAGGTTCACGTTGCTGTGCTTCTGGCACTTGGTTCAGTGTAATAGATTCCTTTCAACGTCTTGAAGAAGTAAGATGCTCACACTTCACCCTTGTCCGCAGTGCCTGTTTTGCAACAGTTGCGCGCATGCGTTTTGTTCACCAGCTCACCGACCCGAAAAATCTATTCTACTATACGGGTGTTATATGTTGGTCTTACGTTGAAGTGGGCGTTGCACTCATTACCTCGTCTGCGGCAACGCTCCGCCCCCTTGTGGACCAAATAGAATGCTGTGTTCCGCTATGGCGACGCTTGAAGTCCAATCAGTACACGTCGAACGGCTCGAATCACCATGTCACATCCTCGACAACCTTCGAGGAGGCGCTTCAACAGCATAGTCCAAGTATGAGTCTTCCCCCTATTACCCCTTTATCCCAAGTATAGGTGTACATACCAAGGGAATTGAAGTAGATTTTCTCTCTTTTTTACGAAGATCGGTGGCGAAACGTATAATGGTAGGGTTGCAACCTTAGCAGTCGGAAACTTTTTCAGTTCCATAAGCTATGGTTGCTTTTATATATTCCTGTAGGTGTTCTCAGGAATACGTGGGGTAGAACCTTGGAAGGAAGACAACCTTTACCGCTTTTTTCAGTCGGAACCCTTCCCACACTTTTTTGTTTTTTGTCGTATTCTTTTCCCCTTTTTCCTTTCTCTCGCCTCCGTCTCCGGGTTCAACCTTCTGCTAAGAAAAGGAGAACGGGAAAGCCGGGTGGAGTCCGTGACGGAGGTCATCAAGTTAGCTCGCCCGTGGTTTTCGTGGGTCCAACGGGGGAAAAGCCGGGGAAGCAGGACGGAAGACTCAATTGAAATGAGTGTGATTATGTTCGGGGTTCACGATGATGCTTCACTGGGACTTGAAGGTGGATCTGTCGTCATTCCCGTATTTCACATGTGATTGCGGGTTGGCGGAGAGGAAAAAGGAGTGCCCCCGATTCGCTTCTTATCCACAATCTTGCGGGTGGGTTGGTTTCGTTTTTGAAGCTCTCACAATTCCCACTGGTGAGACCATGTGAAGTCGAGGGTTCTTAGCACGTGTCAAGCCTTGTGTTGTAAATGATTAGTTGGTGTTGTAGATTCCTTTCCTCCGCGCCTCTCCTGCTCACGCCGACGTGGCTTTCGGGTTGCAGAGCGGAAAAGGGAAACGCGAAATTGGGCCATGTCATGGAATTCGGAGGATAAACCTACTACTAATCATAAATTGCTTCTAGGGTCAATTCTACGCCGACTGGACTGGGATGACCTCTCGCCAGTTCAGATCGGTCTAGTCACGTGCCTTGCGCCACGCAATGTGGATCTCCCAGCGTATGGGGAAGTTTTTGACGTGCTGCTGGGGTTTAAAAGATTGATGGCTGCGATCAAACTGTATCGCCCCGTCTTTTTGTTCTCCGATCTTATACTATATGACCAGATAGAGATCGGGTGTGAAGTGTGTCCGATGTAGATACTCCGGTAGATACTCGCGCTGACCCTGCAACTGATCGTTATCAGATAACAAGTTTCAGCAGGGCAGGCCAATCATTATATACGCTCAGACTTTGATCGCTGTTGAACTGCTGCAGGCCCTGCCGATTTCGGGACAGACCCCTGTACGCAGAACCAGTTAAGTTGCCTTAGTGTTACATCCCTGGTAGGTATCGACAGGCCTAAAAGATGGCTCGGTATCGTGAATTCCGATGGCTCGTCGGCCGAGAAAGTTACGGTTACTGACCTGTCCGAAATGCCTTGGGAGGGTTTGCCTCTTGCCGGTGAAGTAAGGCAGCAAGGCCACCCACAGACCACGAACAGCCGAGGCTTCTGCCCCATTGGGCAAGCGCGACGTTCACCCTCGGCCATTTTGCTCTTTGTCAAGGTTCTGGGGCATTTTCCCCGTGGAGTCTTCTTCCTATAAGTCATCCACTTCGCCCCCTCCCCCATCTTTGTGCCCAGATTGGTTTCCCCTAGAATTCTCATTCACTCCTCCCATTCAGCCATCGTTCATTTCCCATACAATTCTCACACCATGCCCTCTCCTCCTCCCGCCTGGGTCCAGGCGTTGAAGCCGGCTGGCCCGCAAGGCTCCGAGCTCCTCGCCCAGGAGCGCGCCCAGTCCAACGTTGATGTTGACAAGTTGGCCGAATTATTACACACCAAGGAGGCATTGGACCGACAACAGCATATTCTGTCCATCTTGGAGTCCGAAAAGGTGTTTGATAAATCAGAGAACTACACCTTGGGCCGCACGGAGAAGATCCAAAGAGCGTTGGGCAAGGCGAAGCGCCTGCAGCAATTGGCAGTGCAACACAAGTGGTCTCAGGATGACTACTACATGGCCAACGACCTCTTGTCGGAGCCGACTCCTTATGGTCTCCATGCCAGTATGTTCTTGGTGAGTTACACACTGCAACGCTACCATCCGATACTAGCCGACGTCCGACCGCTAACAGACCTTCAATTAGGTCACTTTGCGGGAACAGACCACCCCTGAGCAAAAGAAGCTCTTCCTCGAACCGGCTGCGAAATACGAGATCATTGGATGTTACGCACAGACGGAATTGGGCCATGGTTCCAACGTCCGTGGCTTGGAAACAACTGCCACATGGAACCCTGACGACAAGACTTTCACAATGCACTCGCCTACCCTGACTGCTTCGAAGTGGTGGATCGGCTCACTGGGTCGCACTGCCAACCACGCCGTAGTCATGGCTCAGTTGTACGTCGGAGGCAAGAACTATGGCCCCCACCCATTCGTTGTCCAGATCCGTGATATGCAAACCCACCAACCTCTGGAGAATGTCTACGTCGGAGACATTGGTCCTAAGTTCGGTTATAAGTGAGTGGTACCTTTTCCATGTATAGTTCTTCCTCGCATCAGCAGGATACTGACTGAACCAGCACGATGGACAATGGTTTCCTCCTGTTCAACAAGGTCAAGATTCCCCACGTTAACATGCTGGCCCGTTTCTCGCGCGTCGATAAGGAGACCAACAAGTATATGCGCCCGGCATCTCACTCTCTCTTATACGGTACTATGACCTGGGTCCGCTCCAATATCGTGCTGCAGGCCGGTAGTGTGTTGGCTCGTGGCGTGACCATCGCCACCCGTTATTGCGCCGTCCGTCGGCAGTTCCAGGACCGTGATGGCGGTAAAGACGCGGGAGAAAACCAAGTCCTCAACTACAAGATGGTCCAGGTCCGTCTCCTTCCTTTGCTCGCTTCCATGTATGCACTCCACTTTACCGGTCGCGGTATGATGCGGCTTTATGAGGAGAACCAGAAGCGGATGAAGGGCGCTGTTGAGGCTGGTCAGGACAAGAGAGGCGCAGGCCCTGAGCAGTTGAGGGCCGGTGCAGACCTGCTGGCAGACCTCCACGCCACTTCCTGCGGTCTGAAGGCACTCGCGAGTACCACTGCCGGAGAGGGTCTCGAGGTGTGTCGTCGGGCCTGTGGTGGTCACGGGTACAGCAACTACAGCGGCATTGGACCGTGGTATGCGGACTACCTTCCACGTTGACTTGGGAGGGTGACAACTATATGTTGACACAACAGGTTGCAAGATATGTAAGTCGCTAGCCATTGCTCTTTGGTCAAGTTCACGTGCTGACTCTTCTAGCTTTTGAAATCCGCACGCGCCGTCCTTGCCGGCAAGGGAACGAACAACGACACATCCCAGATTCTGCAGACATATCTCTCTCGTCGGGAGAAGGGTGCTTCTTTTGACATCCTGGAAGAGGACAAGGACATCGTTGCCGCCTTTGCCTGGCGTACCGCACATCTCACCTTCGAGGCCCTGAAGCGCCGAGACGTTGAGAAGCGGTCCTGGAACAGCCTGCTGGTCGACTTCTGGCGCCTGTCGACCGCGCACTCGCAGTACCTGGTTGTTAAGAACTTCTACGAAGCGGTCACTTCGCCCCAGCTCACATCCGAGCTGGACCCCGAGACTCTGTCCTTGATGCACAAGCTCTTCCGCCTGTACGCCCTGCACACTCTGGAGCGTGAGGCCGGTGAATTCTTCTCGTCCAGTGCCGTCACCACCCGCCAGATCTCGCTCGCACAGTCGAACGCTGTGATGAAGCTTTTGGATGAGATCCGCCCCCATGCAGTCCGTCTGGTCGATGCCTGGAAGTTCCCTGACTGGCAGCTCGACAGCAGTCTGGGCCGCTATGATGGTGAAGTCTACCCAGACCTCTTCCGCCGTGCCTGCCAGAACCCGGTCAACGACCTGGTATTCGACCCCTACCCATGGAATGAGAACGTGCTGAAGAACAGCGCACCTAAGAGCAAGCTTTAATATCTTTGTTTGTTGTAATTTCTGGCGATATACTCTTTTGATATGCATTCATGTACAGTTTAGGTTTTGGGATGAATTTGCTATGACGGGGTTATAGATATAGACTATCTATAGATTAGAAATATAGACCCTAGACAGATTTTGGTCTACAACTGTATGAGTATATTCTGCAAGTCTTCTATAGTTATGGTTATTAAGAGTACCGGCTTAAGAAACTCTGTGTATAAAAGTATAAGTAGCATATAAGAGTTAACTATAGGAATTGACATACAAGTAGTTAATCGATATTGTTATGGTTAGTAGAGAAATAGAAAAAAGGATTTAACGATAAAGAGTATTTCGTAAGTAGATCTCTAATAAAGACACCCCGGTATCTTCACTATCAGGAGTCAGTACTAAAAACTTTAAAGAACTAGACCTACATCCAGGGCCAAATGGGAAGCCGCAAAACAAAAAAAAAAAAACCTAAAGGTGGAACAGATGCAGTGACCTGTCTGATACAGGAGGTGCAGGTTTATCAAGCTTGGGATCAACAGCTGCTAGTGGGAGCCGGAGCCGGAGCCCTAACTATGGGGTGTAAGATGAGGGTTTCATCATGTGGATTCGTTCTGCAAGGCTAGTGAGACGCATGCTGGAACTAATACTTGTCCTAGACGGATATATATCCGTCGCTGGGTGCGGTAGTCTTTTCTAGCAGATTGCAGCACACAGCCCGACGGCTGGGAGATGTCAGGTATCTATTCGATATGTCCCCTAGCCGTCAAGATATTACTAGATAGTAAGAGAGCTGATCGGGCTGCCAAGACTGCTGCAGGTGAAATAAGGGCCTGGGACTCACATAGATGTTAGAGATACCACGTCCCACGGGGCACAGCAGGTCATTTACTAACTGAGTAGAAACAATAGGTTCACCCGAGCAAGAGTTTATATAAAACTCTTATCGAGGCAAGAGCTCTACCACCTAGACAACAAAAGATAGCTTCAGAAAGTCGCCTCTTGAGGGATCAGAGAGCTAGCTACAAAAGCTCTAATAGTCGTCTGAGCAGCAACAGATATTGGTTGTTTCCCAGGGGAAGTGGCGGAGGAACCAGTTAGGGTCTCGGGAGATGGTTTTAGGGGCCTAGAACAGCTATCTAAGGCGTGTCTAGATGACGCCCAATAGATACAGAATACCGAGGAGGGCACAGCGCAAAGGCCCTAGCGCGGATAGGCGGTTCGGGCGAGGAAAGGAACCAGAATGAGCATACAGATGACAGGCACATGCTCCTACGCTGTGGGAGGATGTGCCTGTTATAGCTAACGGCCCTAGATGGACGCTAAACTTGACATAATACGTAATTCGGTCATATTATTGGGATATAAATAATTATACAAAAATGATTTTCTCGATCCAAAGGTAGCAGCTCTGGACAAAAACCCGGTGGATCATGCATCTATTGTTGCCCACCTGTCTTTGAGAATTCGTATCTCATACAGTCTCGCACAAACTTGCCTCCTCTCTTCCAGTAGTCATGACCATTTGCTGCAACGTCACCTATTGTTCATTAGCGTCATCATGGCAAGCTAGCTGAAAGGGAAAAGGAAAGATACTACTCACAGTTATTGATGATGACGTTCAGATTCTCGGTGCAGGTATCAATGGCCGCCTGATGCTTTTTGGCTTTAAAGTTGGGGGCCGCAGGACAGCCGCTTCCCTTCGTGTACTGCATCACAAGCGACCAGGTATTGCGCTCTCCAATGCCCTTCACCGAAGTAAACTGGACCCCGTCGTTGAAGTCAGTAAATAAACCCTCGCACATTTGCTGAGCGGCGGTGCTGATATCAGTCAAAGTAGCATAATATCGTGAATCGCCTTGGGGATAGTTGTCAATGTCCGACCGGCATGTTAGGACGCCCTGCTGGACGCTCCTGGTCGGGATTGGCTTTGGGGTGGCGGTCGTCTTTGTTGCTGAGGTAGCCGTGGACTTGCGGTCATCAATGGTGGTTATGAGACCAGACCCAGCACCACCATCGGAACCTTGGTCTTCGTCTCGAGAGTTCAGGAGGCAGGTATCACTGACACCGGTGGTAGTGGCCGAGGCCGTGGCGCGGCAGCCGGTGTGGACATGACTACTAGTGGTGGTGCAGGAAGTGGAGGAGGGATTGATGGTCGAGCATGAGACCCAGACATCAGTGACGGTTGCTGTCGTTGTACATGTCTGGGAATCGTCGTCGTCGTCCTCAGGGTCGTCGTTTTTGTTGTGGCTAGGGCCCGGATGAGGGTTCGGGAGCGGTTTTGGGTCGTTCGAGGCAGCGAAGCCTCCGCCACCGCAGCCGATGAGACATGGGCCATCTCCACAGAAGGATCTAGAATGGCATCCGGAGCCACATCGGGCACGGTTGGTGCATTTTGGACCATTGCTGCTGTCTGAAGCCGAAGTAAACGTGACAGGCGGAATTTTGGTGTCTCGGGCTGATTCAGATACCCAGGGGTAAGGCGGGATGGTAATATCTCGTGTCACTGGTGGATGCGAGACGCCCTCCTCCGACAGGGGGTTCGGGTCATCCGTAATAACGATTGTCTGCGGAGGAATACGATACATAGGATAAATGGTTGTCGTAGGAGTTGGGCTCGTGATTGTTACCGGCCACAACGGCAAGACACTAACCGTGGCTAAGGTATCGATCAAGTTAGTGAGTGCATTTCACTTCATAGAATGTGTGTAGAACAGGGGAATGACTTACTCGGAGGGACGGAAATCCTGGTCTCTTGCAGAATATGGCTAATACTCGAAGTAGTTACCACTTGGCCATCCGGCAATGTGGTAGTGACAGGAACCTCCCATGCCACGTTCAACGTGGTTTGGTAGCCCCCTTGGTCATTATCGAATGTGATGACTGTCGGGCTTGGGAGGGTAACTGGAGGGAGCACGAGAATGCAGTCTGAGCCGCAGCTGACTGCTGGGTTTGCGTCCTGCCAGATCGATCCATCCACGATAATCTCTGTTGGCCGGTCATCGTCGCCATCGTCATCGTCATACTCATCATCACCTTCAGAGGCCAGTCTGCAGGCACCTGGAGGGCAATAGTCTCGACTACACGCGAAATTGCAGAGCCCTTTGAGCAGTTCATACTCATCTGCATCACTGGTGTCTGGGACGCCTTTGACATCGGATGGGGGTGGTGGAACGTTCAAATCACCTACTGTAGCGCACCAGCAGGTGCTAATAGGGCAATAGCCATAAGCACAGGCAAAACTGCACAGCCCGGCATACTTTTCTCCATGCTCACTCTCGCCCCCTGTGCAAGCACGGGCGGCAAACGGGGAGCTGGGCGGAATATATGGTGGCGACGGTGTGTCTGAGCACGCTGATTCGGGACAGTACCCAAGGTTGCAAGCGAACGAGCAAAGCCCTCCGTAATTGGCATCGCCATTTTTGGGATATCCTTTCTTGCCTGTGGCTTTTGGCTTCTTCTTTTCGGCACCCATCGCAGTGCAATAACATGCGCCTACCGGACAATATCCATACTTGCAAGTGAACTGGCACAGACCGGCGAAGTTTCCAGCTCCGGACCCTTTGATACAAGTTTGTTCGGAGAGCTTCAGCTTCGGTGATACAGCTTTGATAGTTGATCCAGCAGTGGCAGATCCCACCCACGGATTAAAATTGGCCAGGCCACTGACGCACGTGTCTGAGATGGCCTTGCCTTTGACAGTAAGCACATCTTTGCTATTTCGCGAGATAGTGACTATTACCTCGCCAATCAGATGCAGATTGAAGGGGAAGCTGCCATGGTAGATGCCGACACCGCCATCTGGCTCAAACTCCCAGCGGCCGTCATATTCAAGGCCGCCGATACTGACGGTAATGGTTGCATTAGAGCCGAGTAGTGCGGAGAAAAAGACTTTGTCGTCCACCAAGGTGTACGCGTCGTACTCGATCTGGAGTTGACTTGCCGTATTTCCTGTTGTGCCTCCACCAGAACAGGTAGTTCGGGGGTTGGTGCGATACCAGACGACCAAGTTCTCCTTTGTCACCGACGATGTCCCCGTCTTATACAAATCAATGAGATACGGGAGCTGTGTCCGCCATCCATCATGAGGCATATCGAGCACGTAGTTATAGGGCGCCCTCCCTGTGAGAAACGCCACGTATGCCTTGTCGTTGAGGGGACCAATATAATGCGACTCGCCGTAGTCGTTCCAGGAGATTATCTCGACCCACTCCGGTTGTAGATAGGCAATTTCCACCCAGCGATCGTACCAGAGAGAGTCCGAGTGCCAAAGCCAGTTCTTGTCATACCCAGGCATATTGGTATAAAACCACGGAGAGGCTGGCATCATATATGGCTTCCCTGACTCCTCCAAGTACTGGATATACGATGCGTCAACGTAGGTATTCATTCGTCCCAACCCGGTGGGCCAGGCTGCCCACGAGAACAAGCCATCTGCCACGCCCCCTGCAAGTTGAAGAGCCGGCTTAGCGCCCAGCGAAGACCAGTCAGGGACAAAGAAGCAGCCAGTAGCAGCCTTTATGGCAATCCAGTCTTCGGCATTGCCAGGCCCCTCAAAGGTGGACACAAAAGGCTTGCCCTGGTAACGGTAATGGGCCGAACTGGAGGAGTACTTTTGAAGCATCGCGATGACCTCTGATTGCGGCCATGGCCCATTTCCGGCGTAATCGAAAGAGAAGAACAACTGAAATCCAAGGCTCTCGGCTGCCTGGAAGGCATTCCTAACAGACCGTTCATTCGTTGCCTCGTTATGGGCCATGTTGAGAGCGAAAGCATCAATATGCGCCTCTTGTGCGAGGGTGATATCATGCTTCCAGTCGGACACCTCATAACGTTCGGTATTACCCACCTGAACATGCAAGTTAGAGAACATTGAGAGATACAGGTCACGGAATTGCCAATTTATTTACCATGAAATGGGCGAATACGGCTCTGGCATACGCTTGAGGAAGAAAAGTAAACAGTCCAATCAAGAGGACAAGACGGCCCATGCCGCCTGAAATCAGATACTGCATTGAAGCAAAATGTAGTCAAAGGCCTTCAATGAGAATAGGAAACGAAGTAAGGACAAGAAATATAGAGAATGACTTTAGGCGGTTGCCGACATGCTTTTGCTTGCCTGGTTGGGACTTTTGTTTTGAATGAATGAATGACGACGCGGTTCATATATCATGAATTCTGAAGGAACTGAGCTACCTTTATATTTTCAGGATCCCTCTCTCAGCTTCACAGATACGCTTCCCCCTAATCTTGGATATTGTCATCCTCGGCCGGAAGAGGAATTTGAGATCATGTTGGGCAACAAGACTAAGACTGCGCTACGATGTTGGTTCGTTATTTCAACTCCTGTGGATATTCATTGTCACTCGAATCGGGCAGCCCACAGCTGGACAGATGAAAAGCTCTACTACAGTACTACCTTAACTGCCAGGCGGGTATCTAGGCCAGGTTGGATGAGGCATTTCATCAGGTCATTTGAGACCGAGTCAGGTATAGAGAAAAGCATAGAGAAGCTAAGACCCATCGGCCATGGCTGTTCCACCGGGAGGAAGAACTAGCATGAACTACTTCAGGGCCATGTAACCTCGCTCGGAGATGAATCGATGAATGCCAAGAAAGCGGAAATTGCCCGTGGATCGTTAAGCTCCTCGGGTGATGAACGCCTGTTCGATGATCCTGCACCGTGCAGTGCTCTCTTGGCATTTGTAGGGTTCAAAATTGCGGTCAGCATATAGTATCTGCATAGCTATAATGAATCTTGTAGTATGTATTACGAGTAGGCAGGAGGCGAAGAGGAACACGGCATGCGCTCACAATATGCCATTCGGACACAGCGTGGTAACCCTACCCCGTTTATTCAAGTAGTACCTAAAGCTAGTGAACTATATGCCCTAGAGCGCCGCAATGAATTTTTTGTCCGCCCCACAGCACAAGCGCAGCCATCCGTACCAATGATATGCCTCACTTGATGCTGTAGTAATGAACCTGTATAATTATGCCTTAGAAATTCTGTTTCACTGTCATTTAAAAGACCCCTGCAGTATTAGTCACGGGAGCCCTACTTTGGCCCCGAAACAAGTTCCCTAACTCACCGTCCACTTGTGCAGTTCAACGTTTTGGTTCTAGCAGTCCATACTGCTCGTCTAGATGGACAGAAATGGGCAAAGAACAAATAATTAACTCCTTGTTAGCACGCGTTAGGGCCGATAGCCATTCCTCTATGGTGCTAATCGGAGCGGGTTGGTGAGGCAATAAGTTACATGAGAGTGCACGAGTCGAGCCAGTCTTTCATGTTCCCTGTTAGTATTCTCCTCCACCTTGGCAGAGAAACGATGATAGAGGCATTAGGATATTGATAAAACCAATCCAGGGGGGACTGGGAGCTACGGGACGAAACAAGAATTGACCCACGTGAGATGGTTCGTAGGCCATATAAATACCCAGCCAAAGCATGATAGATATGGTATTGCTACTCAGATAGCTATTCAATAGCTTGCGCATTTCAGCAAATTGCCTCTGCGAAAATGGCGAGTATATCGCGCCTTTTCCTGTTCTTTATCTCTGTCTGGTCGACCCTTGTGGTCCATCTCGGTCATGTCTCGGCTCGCTATATTCCTTCTCTAGTCCCCGGGGAAACGTTTCCTTCTGCAGATTTCCTTCTGTCGGATTACAAGAATGTATCCCTTCACAAGCGCGATGGAAAGCCCCCTCCTACCTTCGAGGAGCTCATACGCAAAGGGGCTTGCCATCTTTCCAACAGCGAGAGCCTTGACTATCCCCAAAGGGACTTAGGTTCCTTCAGAAAGATGGGGCAATACTGGACAAGTAAACCATACGCTGTTGGGAATAGCGGAACCACAGAGTCCTTAGAAGTACTGGGGGATGCACTTAGTGCACTTGGTTTGCCAACGAAGCTCCCTCCGAATAAAGGCGACATTTGGGAGCAGGATCGAGACTGGGAGGAAGACGGAATTAATAAAGCTGTATGTACTTTGCGCAACAGAGCAAACTCTTGCAGGTATTATCATTCATAACTGACAAGGAGGTGTTCCCAAGGCTACATACGGCTTGTATCGAAGCGTGATGAACCCAGCGAAAGGATTCATGATTGCGGAGGAGAACTGGAGTCCTTGGGAACAGACGAAGGATGACAAACGTAACCCAAATTCGGACGGTCAAAGACAGCCTCCGATCACCAAATGGTCGGACGTTACTTTCCTGGCTTGGGACCAGCTGGCGCGAACTACCAAGGAGGTTAAAAACATCAAGTATATGTTTCGCTTCCACATTATCAATGATCTCACCATTGCCACGATCGATACCGCCCTTCAAAGAAAGGGGGAAACGATCGAGGGATGGCCGGGTACTACGTTTGACATGACCACAGATGAAGGCAAGGCCATTCTCGCTACGCCCAATGGTGCCGGGGTGGCCTGGTGGCTTATCGACCACAAAGAGCAATTAGGTGTGAAGACAGTTAAATCGGTGACTGTTTTCAAAGGTAGGGGGATAGGTAAAGACTGGTACAATGCCGTCTTCGAAATTGAACCGTTCTCCGGCAAAGGGAAAGGAAAAGGAAAAGGGAAAGGGAAGGGGAAAGGGAAGGCTTGATACCTTGGCTGAGTTTGCTACAGGGTGGTCCCCATATGATTGGGCGCAAAATAATACCAATTGCATTGTGTGTGAATATGCCTGCTGGATGAATTATGTGGATTCTTACTACGGAGTATACGGGGCTGCAAATCATCTGAAGGACTACTAGTAGGGCTAATCCTACGCTACGATCCCTAGTAAGGCTACTTTCGGAAGACTAAATCTCTCTAGCCCGATCGAAGTAGCCTGCCGTGACTACGGTTTCTTTAGTTTATTTAGTATCAAACCCACCAGGCTTGGCACCAACCGGGTTTCATCGTAGACAGCCTTAACTCTCCACAGTATTAAAGGAGGCGTCCACCTCGCTCGTCAAGCACTATCACCTTCCTCTTGTATACTCAGTTATGTTTTGTTTCTTTTTTCCTTTCTGAAATAGCCAACACAAAATGATAGACCCTTTTCAAAAGCTGCCGGCAGAGATCATCCTCCAGATTCTCGAGTCTTGTTGGGACTTCACAGGCTTAGATGGGCTACTGCAAATCTCATCAAAGGCCAACGAGGTCTTCGAGACTTACTATCCCAGCATTACCGAGGCAGTCCTGGCCTCGTGTTCCATGACATCAGGGTTCAATGGCCATAAATTTCGACTGGTGGTAGCCATCCAGGCTGCAGCCATTGGGCCGCGCACATTACAGAAATTCCTGCAAGACAAGGATTGGGACCCAATGCCACCAGTCATGAAGTCCATCTTTTGGTCACTGGAGTGCTCGACCCCTATTCGACAGGCGATCAAATCAGCTGCTAAGGTCCATCGTCTTGCTTGTGTCTGTTACGACTCATTCATCGAGGAGATCAAAAAGGCCAAACCAGCCCGCCCCAATGTGAACGAGGACGAGATACATGACTGGCTTTGCTTCAATGTACCAGTGCGATTGACAATGCCGTTTTCGCCTGATGCTATCCACCATCCGTCCTTTGTCGAGCAATTTTGGCTTCATCGCGCTCTCTGGGCATTCGAGCTTTACTCATATATTTACAGAGCGGCAACAACGCGCTGGGCCTGGTCCTCCAAGAAAGTAGGTCGATACACTGGCACATTTCTGGTATTTTCCAATCAGATGAATTGGCACGAAGATGAGCATCTCACCATCACTCAATGTATGAGATGCCTGTCACGCAAGACGCCCATCCAACTCAGCTCTTACTACCCATGGCTGATTGAGCTGCCGTCCCCGGACGACCTTATTACCAATTCCTGCTGGGCATTACCAGACCCGGTGGACCTAAATGATCTCGGGAACAAGGTTGATCGCTCGTGGGGGAGGGGCCCTGGGTTTGCAAAGTACGCCGGCCCTGGAATGGAAACCTTTCGTTTGCTTCGTTCTAGTTGTCGTGTGAACCCTGATAGCCCGTTATTTCATTGCAATCTCCGAGTTTTTCGAGGGTTGGGCGTCGCTTTCTGGGATGAATGGCGATTGTATAAGATGGGACTACAAAGGAAAATGGGGTTCTTCGCACAGCCGAGACCCGAGCACCCGAAACCCATCACGGATGCCTTGTACACCTGGTACAGCTTAGTGAAGGATGAGGATTTAGTGGACAAAAATGCCTTCACTTTTATAAGGCGCTTCTCTCGATATGTTAGATAATCAACCATGAATATTATAAGATTATTCTTTGTCTCTTACTATTATTCTTGCATATTAACTATATTTAATATTTTAGATGCTGTTATTTACTATCCAGTACCGATACTGTTTACCTGTCTTGTCTTCATAAGATCTGCAGAAGTAGAACAAAGACGCCACTATACCACTGGCTTAAAAGTTGATCTTTCAGCCCATCAAGCACTTGCTGTGACCACCAACAAATCTTCTCTGTCTCCTTGCTGTAGAACATTAGTTGCTTGATATAATCCAAGATGTCTACCAACATCCAAAATCCCTGTTCTTTGGTTATATAAACGCTGCGTAGCACCTCTTTATTTAATACAATTTTGCAAAGAATAGATCCCTGGAATTATAATTATTATAGACATATTTATTGTCCAGTTAATATTGTAACTAGTGGTAATGTAACTTAAGTCCTGCCGAACCTTGTACATTGGGGGTTGTTTATCAAGACAGAGGATCAACGGAAGGCTGTAACGCTACCTCGCTTGTATCACAACTTGAGGTGCACCACAACCGTTAAGACAAACGAGCTTCAGCTTTAACGATGATTACGCCTGCTGTGCATGGAGGCCTTATCCTCGCCAATAGTATACATGCTGTGTAAGAGTCAAATTTGATCTAAAGTTTGTATATCATCTCAAATTCTCACATCATGATAGAGCTGTATCTATATACAAAACCGGGGAAATATCATCCAACCACTAATGGCCTACCAAAGCCTGGTTCGCAGCGCCGTACCGGTTGCCATGCGGCTTTGCAGCATCAATGATTTTCCTCATCTCTTGCTTCTCTTCCTCCGTCAACTCAATCTCCCTCGAAGCCCAATTCTGCTCCAACCGAGTAGCCTTCGTCGTGCCCGGGATCGCGATGAAGCCCTGCGCAGCGACCCAAGCAAGCGCAATTTGACTAATCGAGCAGCCCTTTCGAGCAGCGAGCTTCTTGATCTCCTCCACAATTGCGCGGTTCTTGTAGAAATTCTCACCTTGGAACTTGGGGCCTGGCACAGAAAATATTAGCAGGTGTGTTTGGCATGGGAACGGAACTGGGGAGATCTACTCGTGCGGCGGAAGTCACCCTCAGCAAAGTCGTCCGGGGTCTTGAATGGGAAGTCTTCAACGAGCCACCCATGGCCCAGGGGGCTGTAAGCCACATAAGCCACGTTTAGTTCTCGACATGTATCGATAAGACCGTCTGTCTCGTGTAGTGTTTCGAAGGCGGAGTACTCGGCCTGGATGGCGTCGATTTTGGCAACTATGACCTCCCGTCAGAATTACCAGATCAAGGGAATGAGACGGGAAAAAAAAAAAGACTGACTGGAGTTGGCTTTACGGAGCGTCGCGGTCGAACACTCGGAGAGACCGATGTACTTGGTCTTGCCGGCTCTGCGGATTTCATCCAGTGCCGGGATGGACTCCTCCAGGGGGGTGTCTGATGTCGTTAGCTTGTTGGGTGGATTAACAATCGGGGGACCCTTCACTTACTGGGATCCATCCGATGCAAGTAGTACAGATCCGGGGTGAAACCCAGCCGTTCAATGGTTCCCTCGATGTACTCCTTGATGTGCGCGGCGGAATTGGTGACGCCGCCACCACCGAAAACATTGAAGCCGCATTTGGAGGCAACTGGTGTGTGTGGAATGTTAGATGGTATTTTATAAGACGACCCGGGGATGTGAACTGACTGAAGACTTTGTCACGGACGTTATGTTTCCTGATGAAGTCGCCGAGGAGCTTCTCGTTCACACCTGCTTGATAGACGACCTTTGCTCCGCAGGTTAGACTCAATCGGTAGTATTCCAAACAGGCTGGATGATCACTCACGGCTGTATCCCAGAATGTACATCCCAGTTCGATGGCTTTCAGCAGCACGGGCTCGGCTTCCTCTAGGGACAGGTTGCTACCCAGGCCGAAGCTCAGACCCATCGCACCAAAGCCTGGGGTGGGCACCTCGAGGTCGGCGAAGGGGAGTGTTTTGACCATTTTGGTTTCTTGGGTTGGAGGTTGGTGGGTCGGTTGCTACGAGGTTGATGCTAAAGGGTTGATGTTCTTTCGTGTGAGTTTATCTCCCGAGAGTGGGGGGGATCGTGGGCATATTTATATTTCCAGAGTTCTTCCCAACATACGGGCTCTCGCAGTCCACAATCGGTACTTGACGTAGATCATACCATGACACCAAATGTGATACAATAGAAACGATATCCCTCCCACCAATGAAATGCCCATCTTGACGCGGTCGATTGCTGACACGGCTTTACTCGCTTATATCCGAATGTCCGCTAAACACCGCTCGTTTAGCGCGCTGACTGCGGGCGTTGTGGGGCCCCGATGATGTTTGCTTCCTCCGCAAGCGACAGACTTGGTTTTTAAAGAGCGATGGAGGACGGGTAAACCTCGCTTCAACTTTATTTCGACGGTCGGTCTAGCATATAGACGGCTGGTATCGTTGTCCAATACGAGTAACATGTAGAACAACCCACACTCTCACACAGACATACTCACGATTGATCTATTCTCATTGTTCCGACTTCTCAATTTTGATGGGTACATCCATGCAACAACACCCGGAAAGCAATCGGGGTGCAGAGGCAAACTAGTCAGCAGTCAGGTACAGGTGACAAGGCCTTGCCAGGGATACCTGGGTCGGGGCATACGCTTTTGTAGTTTTGTCGGTCTTAAAATGCTCGTGTGTTGATTGATTTCCGAAGTTCAGTGTGGGGTATACCTGGGAGGCACTTTTAAGCCTGATTGACGTCTGTCTGTGTTGGTCTGGGAGACTGTCCCAGTGGAGCATAATGCTTGTTTGCAGCCGCTGGTTCTTGATTTAACCGGCAGGGTTGGAATGGAATGTAACCTGCTAATGGAGCCCCACACTGTGCGTGCTGAGATTGACTATGGGGCGTGCTAGCGTAGTCCGTAGTATTTCGTGCAATATAACCAGCAGTGTAGTGGTGTATATAATAATCGATATTATACTGTCTAAGTCTATGTACATCTTGTCATACCTCTAAATCATCACGTCATAATCTAGTCGAAGACCGACGACTTGTAAACCGACGGATCGATATAAGGAGTACCACCACGTCTCGTGAAGCCCCAGCGAATCTGGTTCGCCATGGAGATCTCAGTATCGAGGTGCTGGGCGAACGTCCAAGCCAGGCCGGGGTCCTTCTGGAATCCACGTCCGACCAGAGCCACGTCGATGCCTTGCTCCTCAAGCAGCTGGTTGGCCTGCTTACCGTTGGTGATGGCACCCACGGCGGAAACAAGCATCTTATCGCCCACAGCCTTCTTCACCGCCACGGCGAAGGGAACCTGGAACCCGGGCCCGGACTTGACCTTCTGCGCGGCGTGCACACCGCCGGAGCTAATGTCGATCAGATCCACGGCACCCTGGGCCGCGAGCGCCTGGGCGAACTTCGATGTCTCGTTGACGTTGAAGCTCTGCTCGGGGAGGACCTCCTCGAGCCAATCGGAGGCCGACACACGAAGGAAGACGGGCACATCAGGGCCGACGGCGTCGCGAGTCAACTGGGCGATTTCCAAGGGGAGACGAATGCGATTCTCAAACGAGCCGCCATACTCATCGGACCTGTTATTGGCCGCAGGCGACAGGAAACTCGACAGCAGATACCCGTGGGCATTATGAATCTCAATGAAATCCGTGCCAGCGGCAATAGCCCGCTTACAGGCTGCCACCCACGCGCCCTTGAACTCCTCGATATCCGCCTTCGTCATGGCCTTGGGCTGCGGGAACGAGTCAGCGAAGGGGATGTCGGAAGGACCCTTGACGTTCTCGGGCCATCCGCCCACTTGCTCGGACGCGACGACGGCACCCGCCATCCACGGCGGAATGGTGCTGGCTTTCCGGCCTGCATGCGCGATCTGCACGCCGATCTTCTGGCCCTGGCTGTGCACGAATTCAATGACCCGCTTCATCGGCGCGATGTGGCTGTCTTTCCAGAGTCCGACGTCCTGGGGCGTGATGCGGCCCTCCGGTTGCACGGCTGTGGCCTCGATCATCATCAGTCCTGGGCCGCGCTGGGCAATTCCGCCCAGGTGCGCGACGTGCCAATCGGTCATGTGGCCATCTTCGGCGGAGTATTGGCACAATGGGGCCAGCTGTTTGTTGTGTTAGTGTGGGGGGGTTGAGACACGAGTGGCGTGGCATAGATAGGACTTACACCCAGGCGGTTCTGGAAGGTGACGCCGCGGACGGTGAAGGGCTGGAAGAGCTTAGGGACCTTCTGGCCGTTGGTCTGGGGGTTGGCTGCTGTTCCGGCGGGGGGGTTCTGGGCGGGAGTGAAGTAGGAGATCCCCTGAGCCGGCTCGACGTAGTCGGGGGTGTGCATTTTGTATGTATGGAGGTAATTATAATTATGTATGTGGTCTTGTAGTACAAGGATGTTGACATGGAAAGTAAGCACTTTAAATACTACACTCTGTACCTTGATCGAAAGCCTTCGAAGTGTGCCCCACAGTCTTTGATTTCAAATCCCCCGCCGCAGTGGGTATACTTCGAGGCGACTTGTCACGGCAATATACCGAGTCTCTGGACATGATACCCAATCTTAGTCAGTTTTAGACTTTTTCCCCTTTGCCGATAAGCCGTGTGCTGTGCCGATTGGACGGTGGGTTGGGGCTTTTTCCATTAGTTCGATCGTGGTTCCCTTCCTTTCTACGGGGCTTGTCCACGGTTTGAATCTTTCCAGGGCTTTGAAGATGCACACTTCAGGCGATTGACGGGCGGTGAGCTTAGTCAGAGCGCGGAGGATTATTCAGCAGTCGGACGAATGATTGTGGGAAAGTCTCCGAGGTCACGTGGATCGACCGTTGGTTGGAGGCGTATAGGTGCACGTGACTTTATATGACGTCGTACTATCGCATATTTTCATCAGTCTTGAGGTCAATGGCTGTGTCAGTGGTAAAGGTAGTAATTGGGACCAAGTGCTGTGGTCTGCTAGACGTCGCTGATTGGGCCAATTTGTATTGGTCACAGCCCTTGTCCTCAGACTAGGTAATGATCGACGTTCGTTTCCTCTACGCCCTGCTGGTATAGATAGAGGGTACGGTACGAGACAGACGGTTTATCGTAGCTTTTCATCGTTACAGAACCAGTGTCTTAAGAAATACCTGATATGCTGGACTTGTGGAACTTGAGAGCGTTGGGCAAGGGAAACCTAGCCCTCGAGCCACCTCCTCTCAGGCTGCCGTAACCGAGGTAATCACGCGCTCTCCCACCGAGGCACGTTAGTGTATATCAAAGATGTGAAACTGTACTTCACCAACGTCACACAGCCACGTTTGTAAAGCCAATATCGCTATATTAAGAATTTTGGTATCGTCATGGAGTCTGGACCTCGTCACGCCACTGTGGACCGTGGACATATCACGAAGCCTGAGCGGCTGGAGAATACATATACTTCCGACACCAGTCTTCAACGGGTTCTCTCCTGTGCGTCTAACCACCATCATACTGTGTGGGATTTAAGGAATGAACTAACCAGCACAGGGTACCTTCCATCGCAGAAATTGGAGCAAGCTCAATCACAGCTGGTGGAGTTGGGCGAGGAAGCTGTGTCGGACGAGATTCGGGAGTGGAGCGCGGATGCTGAGAGACACCAGCCATATGTGAAGGGATTCAATGTCTGGGGTCAGCGATATGACTATGATCGACTGATCACGAGCGAAGGGTGGAAGCAGCTGGGTAAATGGGGTGCTCGGCACGGGTAGGTTGTCTGTGTACCTCCACAAACCACCTATTCACTAACCGGTCAAGTGTGGTGTCGCTGGGATATGAGCCGACCTACGGGGCGGAGAGACGTTTGGTCCAGTATGCTGTGTGAGTTATCCTAATTTAGCCTGTCGCTTTCTGAACGCCGATCCTGACCCGCAGATAGGAACTACCTCTATTCTCCCTCATCCGGGCTTTATTCTTGCCCCATTAGTATGTCTGATGGAGCCGCGCTTGTTTTGAACCAGGAGCGCAAGAGCCTACCCCCAGATCACCCCTTCCAGACGGCGTATCAGAAGTTAATCTCCACGAAGGAGGATTATTGGACTTCCGGCCAGTGGATGACCGAAAGAGCAGGAGGCAGCGATGTTCAAAACACAGAGACTTGGGCTACGTACTCGCCTTTGTCACATAAGTCGAAGGCCTCCAACGGTCTCGACGAGGGTGACTATCTGATCAGCGGGTTCAAGTTCTTTTCTTCCGCCACCGATGCAAATATTGCCCTGATGCTTGCTAAGACACCGTCGGGAAAGCTTAGTACGTTCCTTGCGCCGCTGCGGAAGACCATCGTTGGGGCAGACGGCAAGACTCGAGTGGTCACCAATGGTGTCCGAATCCATCGTTTGAAGAACAAGTTGGGAACCAAGGAATTGCCTACGGCAGAGCTGGAACTTAAAGACATGCGCGCGCACCTAGTCGGCACCGTCGACCGTGGTGTGATGGCGATTGCACCGTTACTCAACATTACTCGGACTCATACATTCATCGGGTCGCTGGCTGCATGGCGACGTGCCATTAGTATTGCCAAGAGCTTTGCTAAAGCCAGAACAACGGTCGGCGAACCCTTGTGGCTCATTCCCATGCACTTAAGCCTGCTAGCAGACTTGGAGGTGAAACATCGGGGAGGGATGAATCTCGCCTTTTTCACGGTTGCTGTCATGGGCGTCGTCGAAAATAACGGGGTCTCCACTCCTGCGGCGCACCTGCCCACGAAGGGCAAGGAAGCTCAGGTGGTGTTCCGGGCTTTGACAGCCATCGCGAAAGCAGTGATTAGCAAGAACGCAATTGCAGGGATTCAAGAATGCCAAGAGGGAATGGGCGGGGTTGGATACATGGATGAACCGGACGAGCCGGAGTTCAACATTGCTCGACTGCTACGGAACACTGCGGTGAACTCAATTTGGGAGGGAACCACTAATGTGCTGGCTAGTGAGCTCGTTCGCTTCCTTGTCAAAAGTGATAATCTGGCTGTCTTCTCCGCCTGGTTCGACCGCACGTTGGCGTTGATTTCGACGCCTGAGTTCGCTGGCGCTTTGAAACAAACATGGTCTGGCTTCCTTTCTCGGGTTAAAGCCACCAGCGAGCCACGGTTCATTCTGGCGGATGCTCGACGAGTCATGTTTACCCTTGCCTGGATACTCAGCAGTGCTCTCCTTGCTCTGGACGCCGAGCGAGACGGTGATGTCGTTGCGACCGAAATTGCACGACGGTGGATCCTGCTCGGTGAAGGCGGCGTTGGTGACATGGTTTGGCGAGACGTTATTAGCGTGCAGCATCCTACGGACGCAGGGCCTTCGTCGATAACCAACGAACATCTGCGCTGGGACTGTCGCATTGCTTGGGGGGTGGAGTTGCCAGCAAAGCAAGTGTCGGGCCATCGGTCATTTCAGGGGAATGGCTCGAAGTTGTGAGTCGCATCATGCATGTGGTTGCGGTTACCATTATCCGCCTTCTGCGTCACTCGAGCGCTAATCTCGGGGCCCACATTGCATAATTGTACATACCGTATAAAGCGACTCTAGTGAACTGGCCCAGGCCCTTGTCTTGTAAAAGCTGAATTCCACCAGCAAAAGGGAGTAACCGGAAGGCCAAAACAAAGAGAAGGAAAAAAAGGAAAAGGGGGGGGATATTGAGGCCGGTCTTGAACTCTAAAGCTCGCAACGCCTGCTGACTCTGTCGGGCGCTTTGTAGACTAGATCGTCGCCCTCATGCGAATTCCTTGATTTCGCGTGGCATTAGGCTGTACGATAAACTTCCGGATGGATAATAGATCGATGTTCACTTGAGTCTGACAGCGGGGAAATTCGTGCCGAAGGGTTTCCGAACATCCTTGAAGGGCTGTGGATCGATTGATTGTCTGGTGACGAAGACTGGGGCATGGAAGTTGTCGTAGCTCGGCAAAGGGGATTCCGGCCGTCATTCGCAAATTAGTTGCCTTTTGGGGCACCAAGCGGTAAGCCGGTGGGGAGTCACGGGACGACGGGTCTCAACGGTCGTTAGCGTCTCCCTAACGATTTGATGGGTTTCCAACTCTCTTGATCAAGACGCATCTCTCTACCTAGTCTGGACGTCCAGCCTGCATGAATTCTTCCAGTACGGTTGGTCAATGAAGGAGAAAACCCACCGATTCCGCTGCGATTGGTGGACAAGGCAACTCCACCTCCTATAAAACAACAAGAATATAGAGACTAGCGGAAGGATCGGCTGCAACGCTGATTGTTCGGCGAGACAAAAGCCACGCGGTGTAACTCAACTAATGTGGAATCGCACTCCGGCTTGGAAGATCCCGCGTGGGGAAGGGGCCAACTGTCACTGCGAGCGAGGAAAAGTTTCAACGGTCGCACGTTTAACACTGTCAAAACCCCTGTCTTTGCACTCTGTATGCATAATTCCTGTTGTTAATGACCCTTTTTCTGTCCTCTTAAAGCGCAGACCCCAGGCCATTACAGGCACGATGGCCTTGTGGCAGGATGAGCGGCAACAGCTAGCCGTTCCTGAGTTACAAATACTAGCGATGGATCCTGTGCAGGTCGATGTGAGTTCATGCCACCCGGAGTCATGGTTGAGGCAAGTTGCGGTGAGTGTAGTGGCTGACACCGATATACACCAGGATGAGCCATTCGAAGACTCTATCTATAACGATTCGTGAGTAGCTGCAACCGTTATTGTTTCACCGTGCATCGATTGTAAGCCTGACGAGATTTCTAGCTTAAACACAGCTAGTTTTGTCACATCATTAAATTCCAGTGTTTTAAATTATAAGTATGTGGCCTATGACTGATCCCAACTATAACGGCAGGTCTGATAAGGTGACACTCTAGGTACGAGGTTGGTCAGCCGATCCTGCCAGCAACATGAGTTGCTGACTCCAACGCTAGAATGGCCGTCGTTACCACGCATTTCGCGAAGGAACATATTTGGTAGTATGTGTCTCTGGTCACTTCCTGAGGTATCATCAGGTATATCTAACACCGGACAGCCGAATGATGAGGAGGAGCAAGATCGCATGGACTTGGCCCACCATGTATATCGCCTGCTTCTCGGAGGCGGTCTCTATCTTGCTCCAATCAGGAATGATGTCCAGCGGGTGCTGGACCTCGGCACTGGAACCGGTATCTGGGCAATAGATTTTGCTGAGTATGCACATGGCACGGCATTCATACAAACCTCTCGCAGAGTTCGATTGCTGACATTGTGTCCCTAGTGAGCATCCATCGGCACAAGTTATCGGAACGGACCTAAGCCCTATTCAACCTAGATGGTATGCACTACCCCAGCGTGCCTGGACCTTTTTAACAGTAGTAATTGTTAGGGTTCCGCCAACTTGCACATTCGAGATCGATGACTTCGAATGTGATTGGTTATATACCAGACCATTTGACTTTATTCATGCTCGTGAACTGGAGGGCTGTATAGGCGATGATGTAAAGTTCTTTAAGCAAGCATTCAAACATCTAGCACCTGGAGGATACTTTGAAGTGCAAGCAGTCACCTCGCCTTTTCTTTCCGATGACGAATCGTTAGACAAGGCCCCAAATGCCAAGCAGTGGATGGATAATCTTGTCAAGGGTTTACGAAAATTTGGCAAACCGGTTGATAATGTCGGTGGCTGGAAGGATAAGCTAAAGGATGCCGGATTCGTCGATGTCTACCAGGAGGTCCGCAAGGTTAGTAGTGTCTATATTGACGTATATAATATGTATGGTCTCAATTGTCACTAACCGGCAAATAACAGCTCCCAATTGGACCGTGGCCTAAAGACCCTAAATTAAAGGAGATCGGAAAATACCAAGGCGTCCAGGAGCTTCAGGTCATTGACTCTTACACACCCGCTCTCTTTTCACGCGTCCTTGGGTGGAGCCACGAGGAGATCCAGATTTTAATGGCAAAGGTCAAGCGTGAGTTGAGGGATCCATCCATCCATTTATATCTGCCGGTCTATTTCATATATGGAAGGAGGCCCATATGATTACGAATCGCGATTTTAAATATTACCATTGTCCTTGATCCTGCCTAACCCTTGCTTCTTCTGTGTTGGGTCACGGCTTCCCCTATATTTTCTTTGATCGGGTATAGTAATGAACGCTTCCCTTCTTTCCCCTATCCTGCACATTTCATATCATGGCTGTGAGCGGAAATAAAGGCGTTGTGCGGTGGAGCAAGAATTTCTAGTGATACAATCTCATTCCTTTCTGGTTGGGGGAGGGCACTATTGTTCTCTTGTCGGGCCCGGGCTACCAAAGTTTGTGGGTGAAGATATCAAGACCGGAAGATGCGGAATATGCACACTTTACCACATGCCACGAAACATGTCATGGCTCTCTCCTAAACCACGCAATTAGCATTCGTCATCATCATCACCACAGCTCTTTCGAAGATCGTCGGGATCTATCACAGTTCTCGAACAAACACTCTGTCTTGGCGTGGCCTTCAGCGATGGAATCAGATTATCATACTGTTCTAGAAGATTGTGATCATCACCATGGAGCTCCTCAGCTCTGCGCACGCACGAATAGGAGGAGGTCTAACAGCCGGGCACCACAACTAAAAAGCCTTCTGTGTGCCCCTTGACGAGTGGTTCAAGTCACACCTGTGGGTATAGGCCCATTGCGTCAACGCCAAGGGTGGCACTGCTGGGGTTTATCTTGCATAGCATGGTGCTAACTATGAACTTAAGTGTGGCATTTCTGGCCGGTTCTTACGAGACTGGGACCGAACATGGGTAGAAAGATTTACAGCTTGGCTGAGACAAAATGGGGATAATGTGGGGGACGTGATTGAAAGCCCAGCTCAGATTCCCCAACTTTCTCGCACGGGCCGTTTATTGTTGAAGACTACTATAATCCACAATTAGATAAACGGACCATATAATTGCCGATTTGTGAAGTTGTCCCAATTGTCCGCGTACGACAGACAATGTATCAAACGAGAGTATTTCTAAGCCGGCACAATATCTTTTCATCGCAGCATAAACCAACATTTGCTAGCTCAAAGGCACTGCACTACTGTGCTTGTTTGATATAATATCCGCAATCAGCCCTCAATCGCCATGTTAGGCAACAGTTCTATGGCCTCTCCACCGACGAGATGCCGAGGCTTGGCAGCAGCGTCAGGGCTAATAGCAGGTTTGGTACACGATGACTGAAAAGATGACTGCCTGTGACGGCCACCTATGATGCATGACCTCATTGTTCCTTCGAGGTCAAAGGAATTAAGCTTGTTTACAGGATTCTGCAGTGTACATAAGACGAACTCCCGCATGCAAAGGGACCTTGGGCTTTACCAGATCTTGCCACAGCACAGTACCAGTTTCACCAATCATTTCCCGCTCAAGGGGGCCTTGTGGCAATCTAGTCAATTAGCCAGTCTCATCTCCGAATATTTCCTAGATACCAATCACAGTCGCCTTTAAGAGCCATTTTGATTGACCCAATCTTTGTCTTCGGCTGAACCTTCTCGCCCTTCAATTAAGGCACCTGAGCCTCGGTTTCGGGCATAGTGACATCGGCCATGCCCTTGGACCCCACATATCTTGTAACCTCAGGGCTGTAAGGGCGAGAGCCAAGGCTTGGCTGGCTTCCAGATCTTTTACTGCGACGAATCCGCCGTCCTTTTGCCAAGTCCGCCATGGCGGAACAGGACTCTGGCTCTGGGCGCGAAGGAACCAATGAAAATCAACAGTACAGCGGAGGTTTAAAATATTGGACCCAAATTATACTGTCATTCTCATGCCCCGGCTTCCCCCATAACAAGGTGGTGGTGAAACTCTGGTCGAGGATATCCGATTATAAAACTGGAGACGTCTCCCGGGGCCACCAGTCCGGGGTAAAACTCACAATCAACTACAATTCACATCTCCAACATGTCACTTCCGGCGGAAAATGAGAAGAACTCGGAGACATTGTTCCCCAGTTCTGAACATATTCAAGACTCATCCGGCTCATCACCTCATGCCGCTCTGGACAAGAAAGCACGTATACGGTATGAGCGTGACCGAGCGAGCTTTGGGAGCAAGTTCTTCAAGTTCTTCGGACGGATGGGCGACTTGCCCGAATGGAAAGTTGGTGGGGAAAAGCTCAATGGTAGAGCCCTGAACTGGTCCATTGGATTCATCGCTAGCTGCGGGTTCCTTATGTTTGGTTACGATCAGGGTGTACTGAGTGCCCTCCTCACACTCGATTCCTTTCAGGAGGTTCTCCCGCTCATGACTCCTCGCGACAAATCAAATGATCTTTGTTGGCTAGATAATCCGACTAATATCGTTCCCCATCCCACGTACTGCACGGGCGATGCAAATACTCAGGCAGCAGGAGTCGCCATATACCAGATCGGATGCTGGATGGGTTCACTCGTAATTCTAGCTTACGGTGAACGCTGGGGAAGAAAGTCGAGTACATTCTGGGGTTCTTCTATTATGATTGTCGGAACGATCATGCAAGCAGCCTGCTTTGACTATGGTTTATTTGTGGCAGGCCGTGTCGTTGGGGGTATTGGCAACGGCATGGTAACATCCAGTGAGTCTTTCCCAAGGTGTCTTCCTCTAAGAAAATAATGCTGATCGAAGTAGCGATTCCAACATGGCAGTCTGAATGTGCTCGACCGCATCAGCGCGGTGTTCTGATCATGCTCTCTGGGGCTCTTATATCTGCTGGTGTTATGATCGCATACTGGGTGGATTATGGGTTTTACTTCTTGACTGGCTCTGTCCGCTGGAGGTTCCCACTGATGTTCCAATCTTTCTTTACTATTATTGTCATGATCGGCTTGCTATATCTTCCCGATTCCCCTAGATGGCTCACTATGCAGGGGCGCCATGCTGAGGCTCGCGATGTCACTGCTCGACTTGTCGGAAAGTCAGAAGACCATCCAGAGGTTGAAGAAGAGCTACGCAACATCAATGAAGCGTTGGAGGTCCAGAGTCGCGGCGGTAGCTTCAAGTACCGCGAGCTGTTCACTAACGGACCGTCGCAGAACCTCCGTCGTTCTGCTTTGGCCATGATCTCTCAATTTTTCCAACAGATGTGCGGGATCAATTTAGTCACATACTACGCCACTGTTATCTTTGAAAACTCTCTCGGATTCGGACCAGAAATGGCACGTCTTTTGGCCGCCTGTAATGGAACCGAGTACTTCATGGCATCACTCATAGCTCTACCACTCATCGAACGGACCGGTCGACGGAAGCTGATGATAATCGGTGCCTTTGGGATGATGGTCTCGATGGCAATTCTAGCTGGTACTGTATCGACGGGAGAAATCATGGAAAATGGAGCACCCAGGCTCGAGACAAAGTATGGCGTCACGGCCACTGTGTTTTTGTTCGTTTTCAACTCATTCTTCGCTATTGGCTGGTTGGGGATGACCTGGCTGTATCCCGCTGAGATCACAAACCTTCGCATTCGCATCCAGGCCAACGCCCTGTCCACCAGTTCCAACTGGATGTCCAACTTCCTTATTGTTATGATCACGCCACCGGCCTTTGCAAATTTAGGGTACCAGACGTACATCATTTTCGCCGTCTTCAATGCGGCACTTATCCCCTGCGTTTATCTCTTCTTCCCTGAAACCAAAGGCCGAACACTTGAGGAGCTGGATGTGGTTTTCGCCAGCGCTAATGCTGAGGGCATCTCGCCTGTGAAGCAGAGTTTGCAGATGCCGAAATTGGCAGGCGATAATCTGGACCGTGAGTTAGCGCGCTACTTCGGCACCAGCAGTGACGAAGAGACTTCGAGGGAGAAATAGATGGCATTTGTCTCGGGACTATAAATTGGTGGTTTGTCCTCACTTTAGAGGAGTAGCATTTTCTTTTTTATTCTATTTCCGCAGTAGAACAGGTTTGCCGTGGTATTGATAGAGACATGGGATCCATGTTGGCGAGAACCGCAATGTGCATATTTTCTTTTCTGAGCTCTTGTTGATAGGCGTAAATTGGAATATTCAAGATACAGCGGTACAAAATACCTATATCACCTACACCACGCCCCATTCAACCGCTTTCCCCACTCCGAAGCTTTACACCCTGGACTCTAAGCAAAATCGCCCTCATAACCCATCAACCCCGTTCCATCCCAACACCCAACATACTCACAATCCAACCCCCCAGCTTTCAAAATACTCGTCTCCACCCACAAATGAATCCCCGCGCCCCAGCCAACTCCCCGCCGGGCCCATAAGACTTCAAAAACTCCTTCCTAAGCAACACATGCACTTTACTCATCCTCCCCATCCGCTCCATACCCTCCATATCCTGAAAGTAAAACAGCTGCACCTTGCGATTAAAACTGAACGCCTCGGGCTCCGCATCCCGAAACTTCCCACTCCGCGGGTCATAACACATTCGCTTGTCCAGAAGCCCCTTTTCCGAACCCGCAGACTGTAACTCACTCAACCATCCCGTAGCAGGCGCATCAAACTTCTCAAACCACGTTTCCCGTTCCGCAGTCGTAAGATCCGAGTGATCCTGCCCTTCGACCACGAAGCAGAGATTCTCGGGGAAACGGGTCAAACGCACCCGACCCTGTCTGATCCCCCCCGTTGCCTCTGTCTTCTTCGGCGCCCCCTTCAACGGACTAGGCAACCTTCCTTCAGGACCAGTAGCAGACGCCGTCGCCGGTATCCGGTGATAGTAACACCCCCAATACCCGGACTTATCCAGAACGGAAGTATAGGATCCCAGACAACCCATCCCAATGTTCAAGGGCTTGTTTGTGCTGTGCTGGGTTCTGTCAGATGCCACGGTGATGGTCTCGCGGTATATGCCTGCGTCGTCCGGGAGGGCGTCCCAAAAGGTCGTTACGGGGTCGCTGTGCCACCATCTTTCGTAGTCGGCCGTGCTGGGCCAGTAGGTTAGTTGGATTGTTGTTGTTAAGGGGCCCGGGCCTGGGTGGGTTAGGGTTGTGGTGTTTTCGGGGGGCAGGTGTGGTGTTAGGAGGGCAGTAAGCTGGGTGCTTAGTGGGGAGGGGGTGTCTTTGGCGTGTTGTTGGATGCCGAATATAGTGTAGACAATTGAGGGGGGTTTGGGGGGCGTTAGGGCGTACATTGTTGCGATTGCTCTTGGTCTTTTTGGGGAGGTTGGGATGGAGTGGGTGTTGTGGGTTAGAGGGTGGTGGGACTTGAATCTTCGGGTTTATGAAGGTATTTATGGGCTTCTCTCACTGTCTTACTTTTCAACCTGGTCTTGGACAGCCTGCTTACTCGGAGATGATCGATTTGTAGAAGACCAGTGGCAATATTGGCTGGGTTCAGTCAAAGTGATCGACTGTGAACTCGTGCAGAAACTACCTTTTCTACGAACCGTAGAAACATCTTACGACGGCTGGCAAGGGTTACTTAGGCACTTTATCCGCTTAACCATCCAGCAATTCGTTTGCAGCCAGATATACTTTGTCCGATGTTTGATAGAGGGTTAAAAGCAAGTCACCTGATCTGTATGCAAGTCTCGGGATCCATGGAACTTGATAAGCCAGAACATTCATGACGGGTCTTTTAAAGTTAGTTGGTCGGTCCAGCCCACGCCAGACTGCTTATGCCCTGCTTCGGAACCATGTTTTATCTTTCGAAAGTCAATGTGAGTCGCGAGGCTTCTCATCTTCGAGGTTCAAATCGACTGCCCGCTGATTGGACCGTTATTGAAAGAAGTATCACCTTACACAGAAGGTGCCTCATTGGGAGTTGAAATGGAATGTCCAGACCGAATCCTCGAGACTATGTTACAAAGAGGAACGAACAAATACACAGGTTGCGCTCAAGGCTCTAGCTAAGACTTTCCTGGATTTCTTTGGGGCGTATTAGCAAAGTAAAATCCACACAACTCATCGGGGATCACCATCAAGGCAATAAAGAATGAAACCCCCGTTATACGAAGGGTGTTATGTGGGCATTGCGGTAAAACTCGATGTTAGAAGAGAGCATTCGTCTGGCCGTGATATCCCAGTTCGAAATTGATAACAGTATCCAACGGCCCCTATCAACATTGCCGAAGGCCTCGTTTCCCTTCCTGAAGACGAGTCAAAGACCTCCGCTGGTTTGCGGTACATGTCATCTGCCGATAAGAAACCCTCCCAAGAGATCTACTCGATTCAGTGGCGTCGCATCTCGTATACCACCAATCCAAAGAGATCTTGAGAACTAAGGAGAGAGTCCTCTGATATTGAGACTTCGCTTGATGGTTGTTTCGACTAACTTGGATCCCCATATCATGTTGAATGTCAACATTAAGCTCGGCCCATGCTTGCGGCGGGAAAAGCCACTCCAGCCTACAAGGGTTGCAGGATCCGTACCACCCCTTCAGCTAGTGGTTTAAAGAATATAAACTTACCTATAGATTCGATCCTTCTGTATTTGCTGCAACCGTAATATCTTGCGCAGACCGTACAGATCTGCCTACAGCAATGTCGAAACCAGATCCAGATCCGAGGGACAGCTGAGAGAATCATATGGAACCGGAGGCAAAGGAAGAACAAACATCATGTTACCATGATAGCCAACTTAGCCTCTATATATCAGAGACATAAGGTGCGAAACATAACTTAATCCAATCTATAATTTATTCTTTAACCTAGTAGTTCCTCTACAAAAGCTCAAAGTTTCTCTAAACTGTGCAATATATTACTAGTTATCTAGATAGAACCTCACAGATCGAACCAATTAGCCCTTTCTTTCCCTATGAGCTTTTGACGGTATATAAGTAAATCCTTATAATAACCCACTTTCACAATCATCTATACATCCAGCAAAATCAGTCCCTCTTGCGTACATATTTGGTATGCGACCCCGTCGCAACCATCACACGGTCCCCGTTTTCCTTCACCTTCTCAATCTCCACCGACACGAACGCCAGCGTTCCTCCAACTTTCAGCGCCCGCCCTGTAATTTCCAGAACCTCCCCCTTGGTCGCCGACGAGAGATACGAAACATGTAAATCAGTGCTCACGCCAGTATAACTGGTGCCATGCGACACGATGGCCATGCCCGCCGCCCAATCGACGAGACATGCAGATAGCGTTCCATGTAGACCCCCCTTGGAGTTGGTGTGGTTCTCGGTTATGCGCAAAGTAGCGTGGATGGTCCCCGGCGAGGCCTCGGTGATTGTGATATTGTCTAGCAGGAGGGCGTAGATGGGGCTGTTGGCGCGCTGCACATCCCAGACATCGCGGACATGGTTCAGTGTGGTATTCATTTTGTTATTTTAATTAGATAAGGATTGCGGAAGATGTTGTATGAGTTTTTGTCTGGCTGGGGGTTGCTCTACTCTTTATTGGGGCCATATCGGACCGGGGTCGATCCGAACCGACCGGATAGGGTCCGTTTATCGGCTGATCCGATGGATGTATTTAAGAATTATGGCAGGTATGAATATTTAGCTTAATAACGGAAATGCCTAATCTATAACTAACCATCTATAGACGGAGTTACCGCCCTTAGCGGCATTTAAACGGTATACCTCCATGCACTGATACATATACGTATCCCTATACTCACTCTCCTCCTATGCCTTTGAACACAGACTCAATGCCCCAGGCAAAGAAAGAACCTGAGCGGGGTATCCGTTTACCACGTACATTCGTATTTACATAACCAAATAGTACCACGATGTAAACAATTTAATTTAATTCAGTATTTCTATACCATCAAGGGAAACTGGCACATATATTCATCTTCCGGATCCACCTCGAAATCAAACCGCACTAGATCCTCTTTATACGGAAACATGTATGTTGAAGTCACCCTAGAATAAAAGGAGACACTTAGCATACCAATCCCCAAATATTCGCGCTCAAGGATAAAACATACCAGTGATGCTCCTGACTAGCCTGGTACTCAGCTAAAGCGGCTTGATTCTCGTGATAGCTCACAAGAGCGATCTGGAATCCTTTGCTGCGCTCGATAGGGTCGGTGACACTAGGGCCCCCGACGATGAGTCTTCCGGCTTTGACGCAGGAGAGTGTCTTCAACTTTTTCAATTCGGTGACAAAGGTCTTCCTATGCTCCTCACTGACATCGGAGCGGAACTTGAACAGCACTGAATGAGTGGATTAGAAAAAGGGGGCCAGTCCTGGAAGCTTGAGGTCTAACTCACCGATGTGGATAAGGGTCATTGCGAAGAACTCAGTTGTCTATAGAATAACTAGATAGATAGTAATTTCGACTTCATTTGTGTAAAGAATAGAATATGCGGGTTTAAATAAACATGAATCCGGCGTAGGATTGCTGTTTTCATGGTCTGCGGATGGAAGCCGTCGGTGCGGATGCGCTCCGCTCTCCCAAGTAGCGGCATATACAAGACGCCCCCATACTAGTGTTTGGGTTCAACAACACCAAAATAAAGCCCTATCCTTCATCATATGGGTCTGACCATAGCGATGGCCAACGCACAAAATAACTTGCCTACCAATGTACAGGTCATCGAATGGACAATCCTCCCACGCGAATTTCGTCGTCTACACCTCTCAAAAAATTCAGCCAGAAACGAGGGAAACCGCTTGACTCACTTTTAGAAGGACCAATATACGCCTCCGAGTTGGATCTCCTTTTTGTCACCGATATCCCATACGGCCGGATCTTTTCCATCGACTCCAATGTAAATTGTACCCTTGTCACGGAGTACGATGGCGAAAAACCAAACGGACTAGTGTGGAACCACATCACCAAAGGCCATTATCGCCGATTACAAGCAGAGAATACTCGAGCTCGATCCCGTCAGCAGGGAACTGCAGACCACCGTAGCATGATTCCAGGGCGAGCGCCTGAAAGGACCAAGCGACCTCCTTGTCTCTGCCGACGGCGTCATATACTGCACTAATCAAGGGATGACTGGTCTTCAAGACCCAACGGGAAGAGTCTTCCGTCTGTATCCTGGCGGACATTTGCAGTTGATCGTCTCCAATGGGCCGTCGCCGAATGGGCTGGTTTTGAGTCGGGATGAAACGGCCCTGTTCGTGGCAATGACATGGGATAATACCGTGTGGTATGTCCCCTTTTCATCGGATGGTCACCCTGTGCCTTAGAATCAACTATCTGGCGTTCTGTCATCCAAAGTCTTGTAGAAATTATATACGAATGAGAGCAGGCCCGTTATAAAATATTAATGCCTACAGAGGATTAACTCTCATAAGGGCACCCGCACAGCAGGCAATACAGTACAGCTGATATAATACCACTACTGCTGTATGAGGTATAGGATATAATATGAGTGCATTCCCACCAAGAGAATAATTGCCTGCCTGTGGAAAATAAACGGAAAAATGCCGTAAGTATACCAGACTGGTGGAATAAAAAGGACAAGAACACTACCGTAATGAGTGCAAGGGTTCCACCGGGTTGACCAAAAGTCTGGCTACCTGTAGGCTATTTGACGAGTCCTATTCTAGATTTAAATATATTCTTCTACTTCTCCTGTCAAATATAAAATACTATATAAATTACTAGTAGTGAGATATCCTTTCAGGGAGAAATAGTAATAGGACTAGATGATCGGCGTTTTAGTGCGCCTCTAGGCATACAGTTCCATACGTGGCAGTGACTAGATTAACCCTAGCAGCCTCCTATAGAGAGACCACGCATTCCCCAGATGATAAACCATCACCCACTATCACAGCTTCTTTTCTGGCTTGCATTATCTTTTCCTTTCTTCCAGTAGCTGCAAACTAGGGCGATTCTTGCCACACTAAGATTCAGCAACAACAATTCCTGGCTCTAGGGTTAGGGCCTGGAACCTTCCCCAGGGGCGGATTGTTTAGTAAGCATACCCTTACCTCGGGTCTTTCATATGAGAAGTTGCAAATCCACCTATGGGCATGGCAATGGACTACCTAGTCTAACACCCCGCTTCGCACCATCTTTCACATTCTAATTTTCACGGGGTCACTTAGAAGCTTACACGTCTTGGCAACTGTGCGCGTCTCCGCTCTCCAGATCCCTTCCCGCCAGCGCCCATGGCAAGCCATAAAGGTCAACCATCCATTGGTCCGGAGGATCCTCCCTCCCAATCGGAATGTCCTACTACAGGGCACAGTGACCATGACACAGCCTACCATCCCAACTACAAGTGGAATGCCTGTACGACCTGTCGGCGGATGAAGTCTAAATGTGATATGGAAAAGCCTACCTGTGGAGCTTGCTCTAAATATAACCGGACATGCGCCTACGAAACAACGCGGAAGAAAAGTGGCCCAAAGAGAGGATATACGGCTGTCTTAGGTTCTCGATTAGGTAGGTACTAGAATCGGCGAAATCATGTACTTGGGTTATCCATACTAATATTGCTCGCTCATTGAACAGCACAGGTGGAGGCACTGCTGAGTACCCATATGCCTAGCATTGCAGGGAATCAAACCCCTTCTGCCATTCTTCTGGATCAATGGATAGATAGCGCCGCTCAACCTAATATGAGCGATACTAGCTCTCATCCAAACTCGATGGCAGAAACTGACTCCTCGCCATCAAGCGCCACCGAGGGGACATATCCAGGACCCAGCGTTGGGATGGGTATGATTAGTTTAGGGTTAGAGGAACCTCTCCCAGATAGAGATGTTATCGATGAGCTGCACGTCGCCCAATTCCCGTGTCTCCAAGTGGTATTCTGCTAATGTATACAGGAACCGGATCTACTTCGAAGATGTGCATATTTACATGCAGATTATACATCATCAGAGGCACTTGGCTGCGTTGCATCATGCTGCCCATGCCCAACCTCCGATTTGTCTCCAATACATGATCTGGTGCCATGCAGCCCTAGTCAGCGAAAGGTATAATCATCTACATACAACGTTCTACGAAAGAGCCCGCAAGTACGCCGAGGTGGATGAGATGAAAGGCTATGGCGCAGGGATCCTCTCATTAGCACATGCTCAGACATGGCTGCTTATCACTGTATACGAGTACAAGATGATGTTCTTTCCGAGGGCTTGGTTAAGCTGTGGAAAGGCATCTAGGCTCGCGATTATGCTAGGGCTGCATCAGCTAGACAGCCCGAATTCCCAGGTGAAACAGTGCTTTATACCTTCTACCGATTGGGTGGAGAAGGAAGAGCGACGAAGGGTCTTCTGGACGACCTTTTGTATTGATAAATTTGCTGTCATTGGAACGGGATGGCCTGTCGGGGTCGACGAGACGGAGGTAAGCCTTCCCTAACTGGTACCCAAAAGTGAGTTTGCGTATTAAGGTGGGCAGATCATGACAAATCTCCCCGCGAGTGAGGAAGCCTTTATCGCTGGCAAGTCAGAACCAACGGCACGTCTTAATGACGTTTTGAAGGGTGAGGGATTGGCAACACTGTCCCCTTTAGCAAGCATCGGCTTCGTGTCATGCATCTTCGGCCGAATTACAAACCATCTTCGTCTCCCTCACTCGCAAGATGACGATAGTTACAGCACTGGAGGCTTTTGGCAGCGGCACAGATCTTGCGACGAGATTCTCCTCCAATTTTCTCTGTCAATGCCAAATCATCTACGTCTTCCCAATGGGATGGGCAATCCCAATATTATTTTCTGTAACATTGCCCTTCACACGGCCGTTATATGCCTTCATCAAGCTGCGATCCACAGAGCGGAGTGGAACAACATATCAGAGTTTCCCATTATTGAAAGCATGCTAAGGTGCAGTGCTGCGGCTCAACGGATTCTGGAGATTATAAAGATGGTTGGCCCTATAAACATGAGCAAGGTAAGCTTTCTACTGCTGAGTTGAAACACTTCGTAAATCACTGATGGGGTTTAGGTGAATCCTTTCTTGTCATTCTGTGTCTATGTGGCAGCACGCGTATACATTCAGCATCTCAAGCTTGATCCTGAAAATACAGAAGCCCACTCTGCTTTCCAGTTTTTCCGTTCAGTTATCCATACCCTCAAAGCTACAAATCCTCTCGCTGAATCCTTCCTCTTCCAGTTGGATGTTGACAGTCAAGGGGGGTCTTTCGAAGGCCTTCGGCTACCGACAAACAATTTCCCTGTTTCGATGCTTTCCCCTAGTAACCTATAGCAGGACAAGGTTTGTTGTGAATTTCAGGGTTTGGTTGTACGGTGATCTCTTTCTTCTTTGGAACTTATATTTAATCTATACCTTCAATTGATCCCTGCTTTGCATCGCGTTGCGTCCACATAATCCTTCATCTTTTCACACTGAGGAGCCAGCTTCCAACATACGTAATAGCATAAGCATGTCATGGCCATTATACTCGAATACACATATCATTAACACATTCAGAGTAACAGCAACGAGATAAGATGTATTCCGTTCTCAACCCTCTTCTCTCCGGCACAAAAAGATTCTACCCCAAAGACCAACATATTGATCAGCCATGGCTTAAACCACTCGATGTCCAGGCTCTACCGAGTTATTAATCAACCCTACCATCGTATTCACAATTCCTCAGATCAGCCAAAAAATCCCTAGAAGGAATGCAGATCACATCCCCTTATCAACCCTGGCCACAGGGTTAGGGTTGTCGCCAGGCCCCACAAAATAGTGGAGAAAAGTAACAGTCGGGGCAACAATCTCTCCGATGCAGCCCTAAGGAATCTTAAATTTCTACCAAAACTATTTATTTTTCAAGACTAGCCAAACCTAGTTTACGTTGCGGGGTTGAATATACACCTAAATTGGCAGGGACTCAGAATATTAGCGCGGTTTCTCCTCGTGGCGCCGTTCGGTCTTTACCGGAATGGGTTGTGTAGACCCTTTTATGGTACTTTTCGTGACGGCAGGTTGGATGGTCTTCTGGTGCTAGTCTTCTTGTCCTGGGTTGACTGGGAATATTCTACTGCGGTTATCTAATTCTTGATCTATGATTTCTACAGTGAAGCTGTTCCTAAGGGCAGATTTCTGTGCCTTGTACGATTGCATTACATTGTCCGTAACTCTGCAACTCAATGAGTATATTAGGTATTTGGCCACTGCCGAACTATCTTTGTCTAGAACGCTCATGTTGTACTGGGGGACATTACCCATGAAGAGCTATAGACAGACAAGTTTGAATTATAGATTAGCTAAACTAACTACCATACAAGACATTGATTCGCAAGGCTGTTTAGCAAAGCGCTCAATGGGATTGAGACCCATGCTCCAACTGGGATCGAATGGAGGAGATAGCGTCACCGACACAGACAGCACAGTTGTTGGACTAGTTATAATTAGCATTGGTAGAGGACGTCCGATCATGGCTAAGCGTAGGACATACCTGGGTAGGAACCAAATCAGCGACAGCGCTGCTCACGCACTGAAGGTCAGAGGCAATGTCTGAGCCTCCACCAACGATAGCAGCACTACAACTCTTGACAGCTGGAATGAGTTGCTGAAAGCAAGCTTTGACAGGAGGTGTTAGCCTTCGGTTGAGCTCACAATCATGGTGCGACAGGGAACGAACCAGGGATGTTGCAGTTGCCTGTAACTAGGAGGGACTCGAGTACCGGTCCGGCATCCTGCACGATTTTGGAGGCATTGAAGGCTTGTAGGATATTGTGCAGGTCGGGGGTCTCCGTTGGTGCGGCCATCGCGGTACTGGCACATAGCGCCACAGCAAGAGTAGAAACGCGCATGATGAATTGGGAATGGATAAGATAGTGTGGTGAATGTCTTTGCTTGTTCTCTGGAGAGAAGGTGGGTTGGGTGAAGCCGTTTTATATACCCTTGGGCCTTGACCTGGACCTGCCCAGCAATGCTTGTGTTCACATTTGCTTGTGACCAGCCCACGCTGATCATATCAGCTTTGGTTGCTGAATGCTGCACGTGGTGCTCCTTTTGGAAGTGGATTTAGTGGATAGCATTGTTACTGTCCGTCGAATAGTAACAATATGAACAGTGACAAGGTTGTCGGGGAACTCTCGGTTGTTCCTCTAAGCCTTGTCTGGCCCTATCTCTATGAACGACTTAAAGGGGAATGTGGGCCAGCCGGTGGGCCATCTTTCCCCAGTACCCCTGCCCACTGCAACCTCATGTTTTACAACTAGAGTCTAGAAGGAACTAATAAGTGGAGTACAAGAGATAAGAGACCCTGTCCTCCTGATTGTCAAGAAGATATGATTGTATATTACGACTGAGCCGGATATTACGGAATAGGCACTTGATGATCATCAGCCTGGACTGGTGCATTATACAGCGCATTCTATACGAAACCAGCAAGGCAAACAACTGTGGGGGGGGTTCAGGGATTGAACCGGCCATCAAGCAAACTCCTTTTGCTCCACTCTGGCAACTTCGGCTTCAGCACCCTTCTCCTCATTCATACCGCCCGCTTTGGGCTGAACATCACCCTGTAACAATCGCCTGGCCATCGGAATGATATCCCAGATAGTAGGGGCTTCTTTGAATGCTCTGTCAATCAGTTCTAGGTTCCGATTCATGGTCTCTGCAAACAAAGGAAGCACAATCAAAGGAACAGATGCAGATGTGGCGGTAAAAACAATGTAGTATCTCCATCCAATACTATACAACGCAACCAGTGTGACCACGGCGATGATAAAGTTCCAGAGCCAATGGCTCGCGGTAGATATAGAGGACATCGCCGCTCGCGGGTGGGCAGGGGTTATCTCAGTGCAGTACAAGATTTTTCCTCCCAAGAAGCCGATAGGATACAGAAATTGAATACGAATATGAAGACAGCGGCAACAATTGAGGCGACATGATTTGAAGCAGAAAAGCTCGTGGCAGCGGCCATAGCGATCATACAGTTCGACATGCCAGTCCCACTTATGACGAAGATCCACCTCTCCCTAAACGGTCGACTGCAAAAGAATGCTATAAACGAGCGGCCACGATTGCTGGGATATCGCCTTGTAGGTGAAGGTTATCCTCTAAGATACTCGGTGTATTGATTGAGATCAAATTTCCGCCGACAAGTTGTTAAAGTGTTTGTGTTACAAGGCATGATGTAAACCGGTCTAAGAACCGGTTCTGATCGTTCGTGCTGAGTATATCCTTAATAGACACTTTTGGACATGTCTCAGATGAAGCCCTGATTTAGGATATGCCGTGTTGAACAATATCATCATCCCTGGACATGCCATCGAGCTTGGCGAGGGTTTCTGTTGCGTCCACGATGCAGTATTTCTGAATCAGCCATGAGGAGATTCGGGAAGCGTAAAAATGAAAATGCAGATAATAGAGGAGAAGGCAATGAGAATTTCCAGTGAAACACGCCACTACAGTGGTGGTAAGGGGTCCTTGCTGATGCCTAAGTTGATCTAGTTGGACAGGAAAAATCCCATACAGATGAAGATGCCAGCGGTAATGGCCCTACGGCCACGGTTACCAGCAGAAGAGCTTTCCGCTTGCTACACTGGCACAATAACACTCAATTGACTGACCCTGACACCCAATATGATACGATCCACGGTAAACTGAGCAAGTAAAAATGCCGTGTATTGGAGATTCTGGCCAGCTGCCGCGCAGATTCCAGCAACGAAGATGGTCTTTCGACAGCTGAGAGCATCGCTTATCACGGTGCAGGACAATGCATCAACAAGGGCACCTAATTGCAAACAAGCATTGATGAGACCCTAGATGGCTGAATTCTCTGCATTTTTAGCTCCATATGTGTTACGGTGTCAATCTGGGGAAAGTAGTGGATCACATCCGGGGAATCGAGGAGCGCCGAAAGTCCGGCTTGGTTGTAACCGTACAGGATAAAAGCTGGGGCTATAACAAGAAATATTTGTGTGTACTGGATGGTCCTCAGTGTGTTCCAGAACATAGTGCACTAATTTAGCGGAGAAGCCAGATCTGAAAATTGGGAATGACATCGAGTTGTGGCAAGATAGAGGGATGTGACTTGTTGATATATCCCACGACGCGGGCTTCTTATGTGAGCACAGGAGATGTTCTGGCTGCATAACGGATTCATAGAATTTTCCATGGCGCGTCTCTGTAGGAGCAATTTGACTTAATGGTAATTGATGCAAGTCAAATCAAAGTCCTGTGGATGGCATCCGCCATCTACGGACGGCGCTTCTACTTTCCTTCTTCTTTGTAACCAATAGTCCCTCTGGTCATGCTAATTTCAGCATTATGAATGCTTCGATTATTAGCATTGCAACTGAAACATTCTTTAACCCAAGCATTCCCCTGTTTTTCGAATTCAGGTATATAGATTTTCCATAACGTCTACACGTAGACCTTCTAGCTGGACGGTCTCTAATGGGATCTCTACCCACACCTGATTAGCAAGCTATATAGCAAAAGTCCATGTTTGACAGTTCCTTGGAGTAACCTTCTTGCCAGTACTGCACCCTGGTACTTAATCCAACTTACAAACCGGAGTGGGGGGCGGGAAGGAGAGATTAATTAGTTGGTTCCTCTTATGGTGAGCGTTAAGATATATATATTTCCACCCGCTGTTGGTCGTAGATATCCTCCCCTATCCACTCCAGTTAAGCCAGCCTTTCCCCATAAACTCCTGACTGCGGTTATGGTGAGGGCACGGGAGGCTAATGCTGGTAGGCTGATCAGGTCTACATCTGATAATATCGATATAAGCTGTGTGCCATCAAGGTATAGTGGCGACAGTGTCATTGTGGCGAGTCTATGAAATTGAGCTCGCAGAAGCTCATTGTACAAGGGTTGGGGAAAAAGAGTAACTGGAAACTTATCTTATCACTAGTAGCGTTCAAACACTTTTGGGAGGCCTTTATTTTATAAGCGCTGGCCTTGGATTGACAGGTGGGAAAATGGCTTTGAAAGTATTGGATAGAAAGTGAGATTTCCCTTCATATTGTTTACTTTATATCTTAGAAGAACGAAGCAGCATTCATCAACCAGCGGTTGTGTAGTGTAATGGTTAGCACCCAGGATTCTGATTCCTGTAATCCCGGTTCGATCCCGGGCACGACCTGATCTGATTTCTTTTTGTGCATTCTTGCCCCCGCCCTGGATATCAGGCCAACCATTAATTTTTTTTAACTTTAGTTTTCAAGACTTTTTTTACTCTGTCCCGAAAGTCGGAAAGGGCCGCTCCGCATTATCTCCGCCTGCACGCAAATCTACTGTGTCCAGTTTGCTGGACGTCGGCCAGCCGGCAAACCACATGTATCCCGCGTTTGCCACGAGCCCTAAGCCGAGAAGCAAAACGGCATTCATGCCCAACCCGCGGGCAAGTTAACTGCGATAATTTACAGGTGTGGATCCCCTGTCGATCAAACTCAATCTGTCCGACAAGGCTTCTGTCAGGGTCTATGTGTCTATTGCCATTGTGCCCGGCGAAGCTTGGCCGATGGCTACCAGATGGGCGTACTAGGGTTCGTCTGCAGATTGATGTGTTGGTCTTCGGCTCAGTACAGCTAAATTCGCAGAGGTTAGTTAGCCGCTATAATTGATACATCTTAGGCTGTTTACATGTCGCTATTCTATTGCTCGTCTCGGAATACCCAAGTGACACGGCAGACTGTCTCTTTCACAGTGGTACGAACACCGCACTGGGTAGTTCTTGCTACTCTATTGCAACAAATAAACTTCAACTTTAAGCACATCATACAGGATCTGCATGAAGGCCTTTCGTTGCTGCTTTGACCTTGCGAAACGATGCCAAGAGAGGCGGCCGATGTTGCCCGACCCGGCCATCGGCATCCGGCGAAGTTGGACGGAGTGTCTCTACTATGATTCATACGGTGGATTCGTACTCAGCATATGACAGCGAAAATTTTCACGATGAAGAATCGGATAGAATGAAAAAGCTGAGGAGATAGCTGTTGAACAAGGGTATGATTGGTCCAAGCTCTGTGACCTCTCCTGGAACCCGATGGTGGCATACGCGGCCGTTTGATAGTGGGAATCATTACTATGGTTTGGAAATGCCTTGGCCGCAAAAGAGAGAGGGCCAGATTTACATGAAGGAAACGTGGTTCTCGTTGGGAGAAATCATATAAAGCTAGACATAGTCCAAAGAAATAGCACTGTCTTGTTGCATAGACTCATCATTACTTCTAGACTTACATATAGACTTGATATTACATACTGAATGGACCAACTTGAGCTTGTACCCTCTCATCCCGCCTGGTCCTACCCAGAAGGTGGACTCCGGGCCAACCTCGTTGTCCTGGGCAGCTTCAGCTCTATCATGGGTGGCCTGGGTTTGATGAATAGTATCGGTATCTATCAGGCATGGATCTCAACGCATCAACTATCCCACCTTAGTGAAAGCCAGATAAGCTGGATCTTTGGCATATACAACTTCCTCGTCTTTTTCTGTGGTATCCAGATTGGCCCGGTCTTTGATGCCAAAGGGCCCCGTCTCCTTATGCTTACAGGCTCGATTCTCCTCGTCCTCACCCTTGTCCTGGTAGGATTCTGCCAAGAGTACTGGCACTTCCTAGTGGTAATCGGTATTATTGGCGGAGTTGGAACCTCATTCATTTTTATTGTTCCTGTTGCAACTATCGGTCACTTCTTCAGTGTCCGCCGAGGTGGTGCAACTGGCTTGGCCATGTCTGGTGGGAGCATCGGCGGCGTGATCTTTCCGTTGGTCTTGGAGTATTTAGGGCCTCGCATCGGATTCGCATGGGCAACAAGAGTGATTGCACTTATTACCCTTATTCTCTTAATCCCAGGATGTGTCTTACTCGAAGCTCGTCTTCCGCCGAAGTCATCTACCGCCACCTCCCTGCTCCCCGACCTTAAAATCCTCAAGGACCCGGCCCTGGCCCTCACCACCCTCGGTGCGTTCTTCATCGAATGGGGCTTCTTCATCCCCCTCGAATTCATCACATCATATTCCCTGACCTACGGGATCTCCAGCCGCCTAGCCTATCTGATGGTAGTGTTCCTCAATGCCGGCTCATTCCCTGGTCGCTGGATACCGGGAATTCTGGCCGATCGAATTGGCCGGTTCGAGATGTTAACCCTGACGAATATCTTCTGTCTCATCGCGGTCTTAGGTGTTTGGATGCCGGCCAATGGAAATGTCGCCGCGACGGTTATATTCTCCGTGGTGTTTGGTATTGGATCGGGAAGTAATATTAGCCTCGTTCCCGTTTGCGTCGGCGAACTATGTCCCACCGAACAGTACGGACGGTTTTATACAACTGTTTATACGATTGTAAGCTTAGGGTATGTTCCTGTCTCCTTCTCCTCCTTCTCTGGCTTCATGAATACACTGCTGACTGGCTTAGGGCATTGACTGGAGTTCCTATCGCAGGCGAAATTATTCGTCGGTGTCATGGGGAGTACTGGGGATTGATCGCCTTTGCTGGGTGTGCTTACGCTGCAGGCTTAGTATGTTTTGTCGGCGTGTTGTGGTTGAAGCGGGCGAGGGGGAAGAGCACTGTGTAATGAGTGAAATGCCTGACGTATAGAAATGATTAATATTACAATGAAAATTCATATTGGAAGTATTGGGGTAGCGAGCATATGAACTATAAAAGTATCTAGAGTGCTTGAGAGTAAAATAGGTTCCCCTGTACTGCTTTAGTACCGCTGCCTTCCCGTCCGATGCTTTCGGGAAGCCGACTTTCCTCAAGGTCATTCAGAGTCTTTCTCCCGATACTACTTGTCTCTACGCTTTATCAGTTGTGGTGTATTCTTGAGGCCATTAGGTGTTGTTTTGCCTTGAATAGCTTTGTGGCGTAAAAGTCTGTCCATCGAGCCCGACAAGAGGACAGCTCTACCTTGTCCATTTTGAATGCAAACCAGTTCTTTGGGATAAATCATGGGCTACGAACGAATTTGAACTGTGTACGATAGGCCTTGGTATTGTAGAACACTAGTAACTGCGCGGTAGTTGAAGCACTTTCTCGCTCACGTAATTCAAGATCATCTCTCGGCTGACCGGTGCAATTCGGGGCACAAAACACTCTCGCAGATACCTCTCCACATCATACTCCACCGCATAGCCCATTCCTCCATGGCTGAGAACTGCCCGTTCGCATGCCTTGAATGCTGCTTCTGCGGCAAGATATTTGGCGCTATTACACGCCACTCCCACAGAGTGGAACGGAATCGAATCGTCCGTTTTAGAGGTATCGTACAAACGCGCCGCGTGGTATGTTGCCAGCTTAGCCGCTTCTAATTGCATATAAGCGTCCGCTAATGGATGCGCAATCCCCTGGTTCTGCCCGATCGGCCTCCCGAAAACTACCCGGTCGCTTGCGTACTGAGCAGCGCGTTCCAAGGCAGCGTATCCTAGACCCAACGCTTCACCGGCTAGAAGACATCGCTCCGCATTCATCCCGTGAAGGATGATCTTGAATCCCTCGTTCTCTTGGCCGATCAGGGTATTTTCAGGGATCTCGTAGTTGTCGAAAAATACTTCGTTGGCGTCGACCGCGCGGCCTCCCATCTTCTTGATTTTGCGCATGTCCAGTCCGGGCTGGCTCCGGTCCAGGTCGATACAAAATAATGATAGACCTTGGCTCGACTTCTGTACTTCTTCTAGAGGCGTTGTTCGCGCTAGGAGGATCATTTTGGAGGCAACCTGGGCACAAGTAATCCAGATCTTCTGGCCTGAGATTGAGTATGTTTGCTTCGTCGGGTTCTTTGTGGCAAGGGTCTTCAGCTTTAACGTCTCCAGACCGGTGTTCGGCTCTGTCACACCAAAGCATGTCCGCCAGGTGCCATTGATGATTTTAGGGATAGTCTCTTCCAGTTGTTGTTTGGTACCGAACTTTGCCAGAGGTTGTGTGGCATACACATTTGCATGAATAGATTGAGCTCCGGCCATTCCAGCACCGGACTGCGTGATGGTCTGCATCATCATTGTTGCTTCAGAGATACCTACCCATTTGTTAGCATAATGTCACTACATTGAATTCCTTCATTAGATGAACGTACCAAGCCCAGCTCCCCCGAGCTCTTCGGGTAGCGCAATCCCTAGCCATCCGTCCTTAGCCAACGCGGCGTGGAACTCCTTTGGATCGCGTTCGTCTTGGTCACATTCTTGCCAGTATGTGTTAGGAAACTTGGAACAAATGGCTGAGATCGCTTCCCGAATGGTTAATTGCTCCTCGGTAAACCCCGTCAATTCCATCAACGGCCGTCGAGCGGAGGTGGAGAACCTTGACCGCGGTGTCGTCCATGATGCTATCGGGCTGCGTGGCAGCACTCGCCCAATAGCTGGACTGATTCTAGACGATAGTGTTTTCTGAGCGCAAAGTCGAGACATAACGAATGGATTTACAAGTTAAGCGATCACTAGAGATGTGATTGGGAATTATAAATAAACGGTATGCGCGGTATGCCCGGCATAAACCCGCTCATCGGCATGGCATATAACCGCCGAATAACCGCTTGACCCCACCGGTCGATCAGGCCGAGGTAGGTCACTATTAAATTGAAGCGTCCTTTGAAGGACTGATCTAAAACAGAGATCTTGTCCGTCGACAGAATCTTGTCCAGATAATTGTCATTAATCTACCCCAGAATGGCTCCCTTGCGACCGCTATCCCAGGCGTTGGGTCTTCGGCTCCCAGGCGCTCGCAGCGTTTCAACCCAGGCCTCACCAAAGGGACCCCTCTCTGGCATCACGGTGGTTAGCCTTGAGCAGGCCATTGCAGCTCCATTCTGTACGCGGCAGTTGGCGGATCTGGGGGCTCGCGTTATCAAAGTCGAGCGGCCTGGTGTGGGAGACTTCGCACGTAATTACGACACCCGGGTCAATGGTCTTGCATCGCATTTCGTCTGGACAAATCGGTCGAAGGAAAGCCTCGCCCTAGATCTCAAGAAGCCGCGCGATCATGGGGTCCTAATGCGCCTGCTCAGTAAAGCAGACGTCCTAGTTCAGAACCTGGCTCCCGGAGCCAGTGCACGGCTAGGACTGTCGCATGAAGAGCTTAAGATAAATCATCCCTCACTGATTGTGTGCAATATCTCCGGGTACGGACCAGACGGCCCCTATCGTGATAAGAAGGCCTACGACTTGCTTATCCAAAGTGAGGCAGGCATGCTCTCTGTTACTGGGACCGCTCAGGAGCCTGCTAAAGTAGGCATTTCAATCGCGGATATTTCTGCCGGAAGCTACGCGTACTCTAACATTTTGGCGGCTATCATCCAAAGGGGAAATGACCCTGAGAAACGTGGGTGTAATATCGATATCTCTATGTTGGAGAGCATGGTCGAATGGATGGGGTTTCCGCTGTACTATACCTACCAGAACGCATCAAGACCGACACCCACAGGAGCCTCGCACGCTGCGGTCTACCCGTATGGGCCGTTTGAAACCGGGGATGGAAAATCAGTCATGCTTGGTATTCAGAATGAACGGGAATGGGCCAATTTCTGTGAGAAGGTTCTGTCTCTGCCTGACTTGGCGACGGATGAACGGTTTGTCAACAACTCCCTCCGATCGCAGAATCGTGATGCGCTGAAGGGAATCATTTGCGAGGCGTTTTCGTCTTTGACAGCGGAGAGAGTGGTTACCCTCCTGGATGAGGCTGCCATTGCCAATGGTAATGTCAACGATATGCAGGGTGTTTGGGAACATCCACAGCTCAAAGCGCGTGGTCGGTGGACTGAGGTTTCTACCCCGGCTGGGACGGTTCCAGCCTTGCTGCCCCCGGGATTAACGCAAGGGGATCCTGGTAGATTCTCGGCCAGAATGGACGCAGTTCCGGATGTTGGAGAGCACAATGCGGCGATCTTGGCCGAGTTGGGGATTGATGATGATGCGGGGGAGGATTTATGATGGAAAACCAGGCTAGCTAGCAAATGCCGCTCGGCGTGTAGAATTTACGCCGACGGCCAACTGCCAAGACTCATATAGCCGACTTGCCGCATTTACTTCGCGCCTCCCTCGTTGTTTCACCCTTCCTTGTGTTCTTCTCATGCCAGCCGGGTATTCCATTTACTCACAACTATAAATCGTACTATCATATCATAATGACGCCTGGAGCCGACTTGGGTCGGTATCCGACTAGGAAGCGCGCCCGGCAGGCGTGTCTTCATTGCAATCGGCGCCGCATCCGCTGTAATGTCCTTGAGACGCGGCCTTGTCACAACTGCGTCTCTATGAATGTTCCCTGTGAAGTGGGGGTCTCCAAGCGAGGAAAGTAAGCTTGATCTACATCCAATGGACCCATATTTGTACCGAGGAAGTAGACAGGCCAATATGTCACAGGTATCCTCGCAAGAAGGCTTTACGGCAGTCGGGGACTCCTCACGAGGAAGATTCCATAATCTCCGACTCGACTGTTTCCGCAGACCATAGTATTTTCCGGCCAGGTGACAGTTCACTTGTGCATATTGATGCATCAGATTCTCCCGATCAGCGTCATCGTCTGGGGCAACGCGGCAGCAGTGCGACATATAGTCGGAACAGCCTTGGAACTTCCTGGATATCCCCTGGAGATACGACAACCGTTTCTCAGCAGACTGTGTTCCTAGGAGAATCAAGTCCCCTGACATGTGTTATTGACGAGGGTCGGCGGTCGCCTGAGAAGGGTCCGGCGAACGCTATGCAAAATACTCGTCTTCACTACCCCATCCCAGAAAAGCTGGACGCTAGTAGTACGCGCGACGAAGCTCTTCGCGCACACAGGCGAAAGGTGCAAGCACAGCTCCATGCTGACGGTGCATTCTCCTATCCCCCAAAAGACACTTGTGCCATACTACTGAGCGCCTACTTCACATGGTTTCACCCATGCTTTCCCATTCTGGACCGCTTGGCGGCCCAACAGTCATACGTCCGAGGCGATATCTCTCACCTTCTGCTGCAGTCGATGCTCTTCATTGGAGTTAGTCTTTGCACCGACGAAGACTTTGCACGCACGGAGTTCTCTGTTCGATATCGAGCTAAGTTCCTCTTTTATAGTCGGGCTAAGGCCATCTATGATGCCGATTGGGAGTCGAACAAAACGACCAAGCTGCAGTCATTGTTCTTGCTGAGCTCTTGGCGCGGAGGCCCGTCTGAAGAACGTGATACACGGTTCTGGCTGGGAGTCGCCATCAGCCTGGCTCAAAAGCGTGGCATGCATATGATGTTGGTATCGGAACACTCCAGAATTGTGGCGCTGCTGATTCTCCTAGGTCCAAACTACCCTTCTCGTCTGGGCGGGAAGAAAAACTATGGAAACGCATATGGTGGGCCCTTTATGTGGGTATTTGCTGTACCCTCATTGTATAACTACTCTAACATGAAGGAAGATACGCGATCAGCAGAGTGCAGCGGCCTTGGGTCTTCCACCTCGGATACGAGACGAGGATTGCGATGTTGCAATGCTTGAGCCCAGCGATATCCGTGAAGATGAAGCAGTGGATGATGCAGATGTGTTTGGAGCACAAAGAGATGAAGATATAGTCTACCCGGCGCAAATGGCCAAATTAGCCAGGATATGTATGTCCCCTTCACTGCCTTTCTGGTGCCCACGCTAAGAAGACAGTGCGAACTATTGTCTCGACACAATACCTTCCCGTGCAGTCTGATACCGATGAATCATCACGCACAAAGTTACAGAAAACACTATGCGAATGGGAATCATGCTTGCCTACAGCCCTAAAACTAGAAAGCGCAGCGTCCCCGAGAGCTATGTTTTTGACTGGGTTGTTGCACATGACGTACAAGTAAGTGGTTTGCGTCATTGGCTTTCCTACGAAAGCTTTCTAACTTTTCAGTAACTTGTACATTCTCTTGCACCGATCATCCTTCCTCAATTCTTCCAATCCCCCCGTGGATGAAGCAGGCCAGGTTGCGCTGGATGCCGCCACGAGGAGTACCAGAATTATTGAGGACATGCTGTCTCACAACCTTGTCCAACACGGGCCTACCCATCTGTATGTTTCATTTGCTCTTACGTGCTATTCCCCAGCCACATGCTAATGTAATAGAATCACCCATACATTCTCAACGCTGTGTATCCATACTATCCACTGTCGACGAACTTCCGGAACGGCTAAGAAGTTGGCAGAACACCGCGCAAAGCTCTGTCTCCTTGGACTCCAGGAGCTACAGAAAACATGGGATATAGAAAATTGGGTACTGAATCTCTTCTTCCGATGCTTGGATGATAGCACTGCGCGTACCCTCCGGTTGACAGACATTGTCGCACCACCAGGCCAGCCAGTAAACCAGATTGAGACTACCGAGAAAAACGCCCATGCCGATCAAGCTCAGGATCTACCCACCCCGACTGAGGCCATGGATTCTATTCACAATGACCCCACACTAGCGCCTGCCCTACAACCTTCTCCGAGCATGGAGAATGGGGATATTACAGCGTCCAGTGAATGGTACGGATTGTTTAACTTTACAGATGATTTTACGGATGTCTTGGGGGCATCGTCATATCATGATTCGCTCAACCTGCAAAATCTGGAATTCTTATACCGATTCTTGTAACCTTGACCCGGTGATTGATTCAAGGAAGGATCCGCCAACATCATGAACGAATCATTCAACCTAAAACACTTCTTTGTGTTTTTCTCACAGTGAATGTCTCGTCAGACTGGTGAACTGTAGGGTTCTAGTAAGCCTACCACCTATGGAATGATTCGGGCCTTCCTGAATCGATCGAATGCGGTATACCACGCTCCCTGCACATCTCTTTCCTCTTTAGCATCTCCCCATGTCTGATGCGCCTTAGTAAGATCCAGCGGTCTATCGAAATCGAATGATGATACGAGGAAGTGAGGGGCATATGGAATGCTTATGTTATTACCCAACACATGTCCGGTCTGTAGGTTGCACTCCTTCTCCATCGCCAACCATTCATCCTGATGTTCATGAAGAAAAGCCGCAGGATCCGGGCCAGGTCCGTTGATGGGTGCCACACCCTTCAGCCCGAAATAATGGCATATGATAGGCCATTTCACGGACCAGCTCGTCGGTTGAACGTTGTCCGCTATGTTGAAGCTCTGTCCCGCACTCATTTCCGGGTGCAAACTGGCGTGAATGGCGAACCGGGCGATGATGTCTTGGCTGCTGTCATTACTCTGGATTGTCCAACTTTTGGTTCCTGGAAACACCACTTCCGCACCCTCGCCATGGATCCTGCGATATAAACTGAGATACAGAGCGATCCATTGCGCGAGGTTGTATAGAGTATTGTTCGGAACGAATCCAATGATGATGTCGGGTCTTACGTCGCAGTAAGTCCAGTTCTTGCCTTTGCATAACTCTCTAAGGAGGTTGTACTGATGGGTGTAGAATAATTGCGAGCGATACGGCTCCGAGATTTCAGGATGAGTCTCCTTGAGCGGGAGATTGTCCTTGAAGGGGAATTTATCAAGGAGATGCACACCGTACGCCTACATTATCATGAGTCAATATCCATTACCTCCTGGAGATTAGTGTTGCCAAGTCCATTCTACGCACCTTTACGCCTGTTGGCAAGACCACAACCCGGAAGTTCGGGCACAATTTCTCAAGTGCGAGCACGGTCTTATTCAGCATACCAATGTTCAACTCGATCTCCTTCTCCGGCTGGGTATCCATGACGTAAGCACAGAAATACACGACTGTTACCGTTCTTAAATGAGAGACTCGATCGATTAGCTGCTACTTGAGCGTTCCTTGGGTGTTATGGATACGATCCAGGCCGGATACCAAATACGGCTTATCTGTGATCGGCCATTGCGATTTTTCTGGGTCGAGAGGACGATTCGTAAAAGCAGTGATATGATCAAAGGCCTTAGGATCGGGATAGCCCGTGGCGAGAGCGTTCACAAAGGCCCATCCGTTAACTCCAGAGGCACCAAATACAATGGCATGTCCGCTTTTGGGGGTAGCGATGTCTCCCATTGGGTTGGATAGGACGTTTTGGGGTCTTTTTTTTTTTTGTAATTGTAGAGCGCTTGTGAATGTTGGGAAGTGAATGTGGACTTTGAAGGGGAGGGGGTGAACGAAATTTACCCTTCTCCGACACTATAGTAGCTGGCTCCAACCTCCACTTGAGACTGCATATTGTGAGTTGTTCATAGAAGTTTGATAGGACGTTGTTGAATGTATCTCAGCCCATTGTGGGGACTATGTGCATACAGCGTTGCATCACGAGACTGGGACCCCTAAGTCCTTGGACTTCGGAGCACACAGAGGAGCGGTACCCGTTTTATCGGTTGAAGTGTGAAACAATATCTGGATATTTACGACAGTTCGTAGGTAAGTATATCCATGTCGTCAACCTATCAGACAGAGGTGGTATCAAGATGCCATGCATGATGCCACCAAACACAATCTGGCCCCACTTTGTTGCAAGGCAGTCTTGCCGATGCGCTTAGAATCTCCGAGGCTTTTCCGCTGTCCATGTCTTATCTTTGACGTATAACCCTATAACCATGGGTGAAGCGTTTAGTAGCAAGGTCCATGAACTAAGGCACGCGTGCTATACTGTCAGTAGCCCTCATATATGCCAGTCAATATATCAGGTACGAAGGCTATTAAGTGCACAATTTCCCGGGTGTGCTTAGAGAAGATTTTCTGACTGTGTTATGGTTAGTGGTTGATAGCATAATCTTCCTCATAGCGTACTTGATCAAAGTGCTTAGGGAATGGTCCGATTTATCAAGACAATCCACGTCGGGAAAGGATACGACAAAAAGACAAAAGTCCACTATTTCTATCTCGAGGCCACCTGGGGCACCGTCAGGTATATATATATCTTGGCCCGGTCTTAACCCCAGACTCATTTACATCAGGGTTCTCATAAAGTATTGTTATATACCCAAGGTGACCAACCGGATAGCGAAGGATACCAGTGCATTGCATCGGTGTCGAGACCCACAGATCTGAGCCCCATATCCCGTCTACCGGGTATCAACGGCAATGGTCGAAAGCTTACACCCCAGAGATCCAATACTCCGGCCCTGATTATTGACATCGGCTTTCGGCTTTTGCTCACCGAGATCAGCTACATGGTGATGGAGGTATCCTTCGATAGCATGTCCGTGATGAGGCCGGTGTGTGTGTCAGACATTATACTCTAAGATTCTTGCGGTGGCGATTGCTGGTGCGACAACGCCATACAGGAGCCACTTTCGGGCACCGAATTAACTCCGATTGCGCCTGGTGCCATTCATCGTCCGATATTTGGCCTTCGACGGGTAGCACGGATGGACTCCTCTCTAGGACCAATGCAGCTATGCAACGAGAGATTGCCCAGGTCAATGAGGTCCTGAGATGGAGGCCCCAGCCATTGGGGTATGCATGTACTCATCTGACGTGTGAGTTGGCAATGCGTCGGGATTGTGCTGCCAAAAGGGTGGGAAAGCTTACCAGATTGATCGCCGGACCTCATTCCAGCAAGGGGCATTGTGTGCCAAAGTGGACCATTCTAGAACGCTGCTCTTCATTTAAACTTGGTTCACCGTGACATAATGAGAACGGGAATCTTCTTGTTATTCCCGACGTCGGGAATAGAGTGGAGCTTCCGCTATCAAAATGTCCTCCATTGTTAGGGTTGACTCATTCCCGACCGTGGGATCTTTTTCATTTCTATAAATTCATCCCCAATCATCTGTGGTGGTTGAAACCTCTCTGGTCTATATGAATTGACTTTAACCTTCCGTGGTTGTTCTAGAAAAAAATGCCTGCCTCCTGTCCAGAGACCGAGGTTCTACCTCAGTATAGCTTCACCGACGACTACAGCGAAGGAGCTCACCCACAATTACTGGAAGCGCTTCTGCGCTCGAATTCCACCCAACAAGTTTCCTACGGCTCCGATGAATACAGCAATGAGGCTCGCCGGTTAATCCGGGCCCGACTACAAGCTACCGAAGATGAGGTAGCCATCCACTTCGTGCCCAGCGGCACCTCCGCCAACCTGATCAGTATCGCCAGCTGTCTACGGCCCTACGAGGCCGTATTGACCGTTGACACGGGCCACATCGTCGACAAGGAGGCCGGTGCCATTGAAGCCTCCGGCCACAAGACCATCGTCGTGCCGGGTGTCAGAGGCAAAATGACCCCCGAGAATCTGGACCGGGCAGTGCGCCAGAACCAATTCTTCCCCCACAGCGCTAAGCCGCGTTTGGTGTATATCTCCAACGCCACCGAGCTGGGAACCATCTACACGAAACGCGAACTCCAAGAACTGTCGGCCGTGTGCAAGCAGTGGAAGCTCTTACTGCTCATGGACGGCGCCCGCATCGGTGTCGCCCTCAGCGCGCCGTCCAACGACCTCACCCTGCGCGATCTGGTCGATCTCCTCGACATTTTCTGGATCGGCGGGACCAAGATGGGCGCACTCCTGGGAGAGGCGATTGTCGTGCGCAGCCATCTCGCCGAGGACTTCATTTTTCACTTGAAACAGCGCGGAGCCTTGCTGGCCAAGGCGCGCATCATGGGCGTGCAATTTGCAGAGCTGTTCCGGGAGAACCTCTTCTTTGATCTGGCCACGCATGCCAATGCCATGGCGCAGCGTATCTCCGCCAACTTTGAGAAATTGGGTTATCCGTTGGCTGCGCCGACGGAAACGAATCAGGTCTTTGTCACTTTGCCCATGACGTTGGTGCGACGGCTGTACGAGCGCTTCCGGTTCTATACCTGGGATCCGTTGGATGAGGAGCGGGCTGTTTTTAGGCTTGTTACCTCGTGGGCGACGGATTCATTGGAGGTGGATAAGTTTAATGCGTGGGTTCAACAGTGGACGACAGTATGATGGCATTTTCATGAGCGACCTTTGCATGTTCTCTTTCTTGATGCTGCATTTTCTTGTCGGGTTGGGAGCGCATTTGAGCGTTATAGATTTTAATATGACTAATATCTTCATGACTGAATTTGGTGTGTATGAGTTGCCAGTATTCTTGATGGATTTGCAAGGATATTGTGGCATTTCCCTCTGGTTTTGAGGACTACAAGAAACCCTAGAAATAAGGAAAGAATCTATACGAGCAAGCCATTAATCTTCGTATGCTCCCAAATTGGATATCGACTAGCTACAGTCGCCATTGTTAGCTCGACAGCTTGTGTTCGACTGACTCCTTTTTGCCCAGTAGTATTCATCCTTTTGGAAGCTCGTTACCGAGCTATACTTAAGCAGGTGAACATTCCTTAGCATTAGCAATACGAGCCACGTGGCCCTCTAGCAAGGTACGTCTTATGGCCACAGTAGCTAGAATGCCAAGCAGAACGATATCGAGGCTTTATATGACGCGAGACTACCTCTACATCCGGAAATGAGTGGCATAAATTGTGAATAATGGCTAGTACATTTGAACGACTACATCCATTAGCCCCGAGCTACATAAATTTCTACTACGTTTCAGATATAACATCATGCCAATTCCTTACCCAGCTTCTCCAGATATTGTCGCGCGGTATCCACGACAGCATCCTCAAAGGGGCGGAACTTTATGCCCAACACCTTCTCCGTCTCACTTGAATCATAGGACATGGGCAAAGTAGGCATATTTCCACGCTTAAAGGTCCCATCCGCAACCGCCTTAGGGAACGCCTTCGCAACATGACCAAAGGTACCGGAGTAATCGATGTTGATACAAGCACCGAAATTGCCAATTGTCCCCGGCCCTGGCTCTAGACGTAGTACTTTCAAATGAATGTCCGCCAAATCATCGATATGGATGTAGCCACCATGCACCGGAAAGGGAAGTTCTGTGCCCGTTATACAGGCCATCAGGTATCGATTGGAGCTATTCTCATCGAGGACCCCGTGCGCAGTAAGCTTCAACTCGTTACGCCCGTAGACACAGCCTGGCATGATATTTGCCACGCTGAAATGGGGTTGATTCTTTTCGATAAATGCGTCGGTTTCAATGACTTGGGTGATTTTGCCCAATGCATATGCTTCAAAGAGGTTAGAGAAGCTTTTCGGAGGAGGACCGGGTAAGTGGACCCGTGTGGCGGCAGTCACTGTGGTGGATGGGTCGGGCATTGGGGGCATGTTTCCGACAATTGAGGATGTGATGACGACCCGCTTGATGCTTGGTACTTGCAATGCTGAGGTGAGAAGACTGGACATGCCCTTGATTGTCGGCTCCCATACTTGTGTGACTGGGTCGAATCCAGGCACTGGTACTGGAGAGCCAACGTGGAGCACGTATGTCACGTCCTGCAGGGCGGCGTCGAAGGCGCCGTCTACCGTCATATCGGGCAGGATAATGGACGAAAGTCGGTCACCAGGACTGAGGGCCAGGATGACGGGGTTGGACGTGACTATCTCGGCCTTTTCTTTGGAGCGAGCTGTGAAGCGGACATTATATCCGTTACTGAGTGCTTCCAAGAGTACGCGAAAGCCAATGAGTCCGGTAGCACCGGTGATGAGCACCAAGGGGGCCATTGCGTGTTTTTATAGAGGCTGTAGTAGGACATTAGACGTTTGCTGGGGAGAGGGATATAGAATGACATACACACGCTGTTCACGCTTTGCTGTAGATAATTAGTAAAGAAGGGTCAACATGGCCGTCACATCGTCTCCTCCGTGTATTTATACCTACTCATCCATTTGGGGGCGTGGAATTCTCGTATGATGGATTCGAGGTTTGCGCAAGCAACTCATCCACTACATATCATAAACCTTTCCTTTTTCAGTCTAGTGTACCAATAGACAGTATGATGATGATTGGCTACTTCGTCAACATTCACCAGGTTATGTTCGTACTGGAAACCACCTGGCAATCCTAGCTTGAGCCCTAAATGACCATGTTATTGGAATACTGTGCTGTTTTTCTTCTTAAACACCTCGGTCTATTTGACCGGCACTCTTATTCGGTTCGTAGTGGTTATATCCTCATAATCTAGATCGGAGGTCAAAGCTCCGGATAGGCGTAAGATTGATCGACATTCAACCAACCATACGTGTATAGGCAATTCCCTGCACTAGGTCGAGGTCGATTGACCGCTCCTCACATACTACTTCCATTTCTTCCAGTCCCTGGATGGTCTGGCCATACACCCAATTCGCGGCCATGTCGCCTGTTAGCTTTGCTGTGGGGTCATGGGACTTTTTGGCCTATGCAATACTTTCCTCGACGTGGTCAATAGGTATGATTCGTCGAAGAACTTCAATTCGCGTTGGTTGACTGGTCAGTTCGAGGCGCAGAAGCTTTGTCTACGGAAATGCGGTGAAGCAATGGGAGTTAAACATGAGGACCTGTCGAGTACGCACCACGAGCTTGTCGACGATCCACGAACATGATCGAACGTTCATCATACGTAGAAGTACACAGGGGACGATAGGATCGTGGAATGAGAACGCCAGTTCGTTACGAGATCATTATCTATGCTGAGAACAGTACCACTATTTCTCCTCTACACCGTACGGCGAGCTGGTATCATTGTGTACTAAATATAATAAAGGTCTCATTAACCTAGGCTGTTTAGATTGTGTCTGGTGACACGATCACAGCTCTTATACCCTTACTGCTTGCTTTAGGAAGCGGGTTAAATAAATCATGATCATATCTAACATCATCTTCCGTAGTTTCGTATAGCCGCATATGCGAAAACACTCGCATTGCTAAAGCTGCAAGGACAACATGCAACTCGCAAAAGGCGAGGCTATGGAAAGGGATCAATTAGGATACCGGTTGCATGTAGGCCCAAAGAGAGAGGGGTTTAACTTACTTTATACCAACGCAAGCCCGAGTACCTTTGGAGAAGTTGAATATAGAGCGTTCGAGCTCCTTATTCCGCTGCATTCTATCATCCAGCCATCGTTCAGGGATGAAAGAGTGCGACTCGGGAAAAACACTCTCATTATGATGCATGATCATCGAAGACATGCCGATAGCGTAACCCCGTGGGATCTTGTAGGTGACCGTGGTCGGTGCTTTGCTACCTGTAGCGACCCATTCGCCTCGATATACCAAATCCTCTTCGGTTGCAACGCGTGCAGTGCGTGCGGAAACGCCGTAGGATAATCGTAGGCCCTCATAGATAATTGCGCCCAGGTATGGGAGCTTCTCCAGAGTCGTCCAAGGGGGAAGTTGTCCCGAAACATCAACCACTTCATCGATTTCCTTCCTCAGCCGTTCGAGCTTTTCGGGATTTGCAAGAAGATAGTATGTCGTGACTGCCAAGGCCCAGCCGACGGTCTCTGTGCCGGCAGCAATCAGAGATGCAGCTTCGTCTGTCAAGCGGCGTACTGACTTCTCCTCGGCGGGTAAGTCTGACTCAAGTAGTGAACCAAACACAGTCTGCTCCTTGCTTGTGATTCCTGCATCGAGGTCTGCTTTTGTTTTCTGGATGCTTTCTGGCATGTCGACCTAACAATAGAGTTCATAGTTAGCCAGTCATATTGCATCTTCCATTTCCGGAACGCACCGTGAGTGTTTTAATTAACAGCCCCATGTCCTCGGACAGATGCTTAGAGATACTTGTCTCCGTTAGCTCATAATCTATACAAGACTCTTCAAGCAGGACAAACCCACCTAGAAGCAGCAATAGCCAAAGGCTCCAGAAACGGAAAGAAGCGGAAGGCGAAAACAGGAGTGAAGAGCGAGAAGATAGGTTTCCGGAAATTCGGTTCCCAGGAAGCCTGATCCAGGAAACCATAGCTTTCACCGAAGCAGTAGTCAGAAATAACATCCGTGCTAAAGCAGCTGTAAGCGGACGGGATATCTAGTGGATCTTTCCCTTGGGCTAGGATCTTGTCACAGAGACGTTGGGCGAGCCTGTGGATCTTCGGTTCAAGCCGTGAGACCTGTCCACGCGAGAAGAACTTGGCTATGGCAGTGCGTCGAACCCGGTGAATGTCGTGATCAACGGTTGAAAAGATAGCATGGGCCATTCTGGTGACATGATTAGATATTCTCGGAATATAGAGAGGTAGGTACTATATGCTTACGCTCCACTGCCCCTAACTTGGTGGAGAGGCTTGTTGCGCTTTCTGCCGCCTAGAGGGTATATCTCCTCCGCAAAACGAACATCGTTGCAATGGACCTCATTGGGACTAATGCGAACAACCGGACCTGGATATAGGTTAGTACCGCTTGCAATCTTCAAACCGGGAGGCGGGCAAACCGTAAATCTCATGAAATTGCTGGATCTTCTTCGTGTATTGGCCGAATTTTATGACGTCGTAGTAGAACTCAGGGAGGTATGTTGCAGCTGCCAGCCTTGGTCCGGGTATATGACTCAAGGAGTGGAAAGGTGAAATATTCCATGCTGCATTAAGGGCCTGGTAAATTAAGTAGGCGACAGCGAGAGTGGAAATAAGCCATGTAAACGAAAAGTTAACCGCGGTATCTTCGGAGTACAGCACTAGAGCTATGTAGTTTTTCAGTGCCATGGTAGCAGGGCTATTACGCGGGGGATATCTACCAGAAAAATGGAATACCAGGAAAGACTAGATTTCGGCATTTATATTGCCAGATCAGTCCCCAGGTCACTAATATACTTATCAATATCATTTTTCTTCTCGGCACTTGTTACGCTTGCCAAGCCTGAACGTCTCGGCAAAAGGGGAGTGCTAATATGAACAAGTTACGTCGTCAGGACTTGGAGGCCTAAAAGCTCCTATGGATTTGAGACTACGATCAACACAGCTACTTGATCATGAATCATGCTAGGCACAGCCGAGATGGTAAGTTGGTGAGTTGGCGCAAGCGAAGATCTTGGGCCCTAATCCTTCCACCAATCTAACGGCAGTCAATACCCTATCTACCTCTAGCATTGGCCGACACACCTTCGGATATGCAGCTAATCCGCCGCTAAAAATGACACGGGCTGCTACCTCCTTGGCGGAGAATGCTCCCCACGGAATCATTATCCCGGGCAGTATACCAGTAGGAATCATAGCATCTTCGACCTAGCGAGGGGCCCAGAAAAATAAACCCCAATCAGATACTTGGTCTAATGCACAGGGCATAGCCGCGTTATATACCGGTACATCTTCCTGTCGAATCAATTGTTCGTTAGAATCCAAGAAAGGAAAAATATAAATTAACCACACAAGCGTGCGCTCGACGAACCCAAAGTCTCATGGCGATCATCTTCCGTCAACCATATATTATCCTCTTTTTGTACTTTTGTGAGAAGTTCGACTTGCTGAAATATGTTTAATGCTTCATGAAAATGGCTGCTCTGGATGTGATAGATTCTCCATTTCGATTGAAGATACTAGTAGTATGGCAAGTATTGAAGTATGTAAAATGTATGATTCGGCTAGGATATATATATTCCTACTAATCAGGTAGAAGGTGGTTTTCTGCAGCTAGTCCATCTATATCACGCGCCAGCTCATGTGACACTAGACAATGGGCTTCTTCTTGGTGGTCTCGTAAACCAAATATTGAGAGTGAAATGACTTTATGGCATTCTTACTATATGATCTATGAATCGAAGCTCTTCCAAAGTCACCTGACTTGTGTGGTTCGGACCGAAGGGGAAGGCGGTCCTTCAGACCTCGAACCATGAAATTGCGACCAGGGAAAGGGGTTTCGGCTTCGGATGCTGCAGGATCGATATATATATATACCGAAACGGACTCTTTTTTGATAAAAGAAAGCTGCTATAGCGTGAGAGCCTGGTGTAGTTTGTGTACGAATTTTGCGATTCAAAAAAAATCGTTATTGATCAAGGTATTGCGCTGGAAACTTCGGCCTTGCGAATGATACGCGATTTAGGGGTGAAACTCGGAGCTTGTTCAAATAATTCTGCCAAATGTTTCGGTGGCTGGCCGACGGCTTGATCGGGATTAAGAGCCGGCGTGACTAATGAGGACTGTGGGATTACTCATCATTCCCGACATTCCCGACACAGAAACCCACACTACCTATCAAATACTCCCGACAGATCTACAGAATGCCAATGAGATACTCCGATAATGCGGCTGTCGATATCCTGTGATTCTTGTCGGTCAGTTGTGATAAGATAACCCCCAATTTGAGTAGATTAATAACAATCTTGCAGGCAATCAAAGGTCAAGTGTGTCCATGACGGTCACCCTCCCTGCCGGCGGTGTCAACGCCTCAATCGCCAGTCCTGTGTACTCACAGACCCGCGGTCGTCGCCATTGCGCCCTAGACGCGACTCATTGCGTGTTCAGTCAAAGACAAGACCGACTTCAAGGTCGGGAGCAGAAAGCTGTCCGGTGAACGGAAGCAATGGCAGGCAGTGGTGCCCAGTTGCCACATCTTCCAATCCAATTGCTTCAATCCCCTCATCCGTCCTCATCAGCGTCTGTGATATCTATCGCAAAAAGTTTCCCGTGGCCAACTTTCTTCATTATCCGTCTCTGATTGCTGAAATATCCACCAATCCCTCGTCGGTGGATTCGGTATTCGTGGCTTCATTGCTCGCCCTTTGTGCGCGGTTCCTACCGCAGCATCATCTGCAACCAGGAGAGATATACGCTGAATATGCGCGGGTGCAGTTAGCCCATCGGGCCTTCGAAGGTGCTTCTCTTTACTTGGCACAGTCTTTGGTAATAATCTCATTATACGAATGGGGGTCAGGCCGCCCTTATAAGGCGTGGATGTACAGCGGTAGGTAGTATATAACTTACATATTCGTTTGTGTTGAAGATTGCTCACACACATGAGAAGGAATGGCCACATACATGATTCAATCGCTCCTGAAGACTGCAGACGACAGCATGGAACACAACCCAGATGAGTTTCAGTCCTCCCAGATTCAATACGAACAGCTGGTCCGCACGTACTGGTGTTGCTTCGCCCAAGACTGTGAGTTGAGCTCGGGTGCCCGTCAACATTTCGCCCTATCCTTTCGCCAGATATCGGTACCACTGCCCATTGGCGATCATGATTTCAATTTTGGTCGGCGAGCGTCTCGTCGGCTGATGCCTGCCAACCTCACCCGAGACTCCCCTCTTTCCGCTGCCATGACCATTGATCACGGCTTGACGATCGTGACTCGCGGTTTTGACATTTTTGTGCGAATCCTGCGTTTTGCGAACGAAAGCCGTCGTGGTCGGACATCATCATCATTGAATACCGAGCTATCGCCGCAGAAAACGTGGGAAAGTCTCAAGGAGGAATTGGATGAATGGCGATCCCTGCAGGATGTGACAGTCCGGTATCCAAGTACCAGTGCCCAAGCACATGTGGCTCTGGGATACGGGGAACTTTTCGCCTACATCAACCTGGTTTATTTTATGAGGCATGCATGATTAGTCAATGAGACAACCGTTGATACAGAGGCTAACTGAGTCGTCTAGCATCCTATTTCTTCATCGCGACCGCGTGCTATCGAGCTTGAAGCTTCTACATGGCCCGAATCATGATCCGCGAGTCGCAACAAGCTTGGAAGAATCCACCTGGTGCGAGGCCGCGATTGAAGAGCTGTTTGAAGCGGCCCAGAACATCGGTGGCATCCTGTCAGCCCTGGAAGCATCCGGTGCGTCCGTGATTACGCCTTACGCAGGATTTAGTGTCTTTGTTGCTGCTCATATCAATATGTATGGCACTGTGTCGCCACGAGGTTACCCGGGGGGCCAAGAACGGGCCGAGCGAGAGAAAAGAGGCAACTTCGCATACCTCGAAAGACTTTGTGACTTCTGGCCAGTTGGCCATAGCTGGGTAAGTCTATTTGGACTCCCTCGTATGTTTAATAAACTAACCGTTAGTAGTGGCGGACTGTGCAAGAAGCTAGCAAATTCTACGAGACCGCAAAAAGTAACCACGAGCAGACAGCTTCCGGCGACCGTCCGGGCCATCTGACTCTAGCCAGCACACTGGATGAGTATGGTGATATTCGCTGTTCACGTCCGCGCCATGACGTATCTATAACGCGTAGGCGAGATGTATCTGGGAGGGACGCCGCCGTGACGCAGAATCATGGACCAACAGGCTGTCCAGCCCATTCGAGCATAGCCTTTAGTGAGCAGGTCATGTTGGATCCACATGAGCTGGAGACGGAAATGATGCAATGGCCCTTTATCGATGAAACGTGGTCGTCCGGATTTGATACTGGATTTGAGGCTGCATGGCCGAACCCGGGCTAGTCGATAAAAGGTCAAAGCTGTAGTCAAAGACCTGCGTCAAGGATGGCCGGCATCTGGCCTGTGCAAACAACTGTCTTATGCCACCTGGTGACCTGGAATGGTTCCCGACCTACCGTGAAACAGGGCTTGGATTGGCACCTTTAACACCGGAGATTCCGGATGTGACAGACAAGGGTTGTGACAGAGAAAGCGAGTTCCAAGGTTGCAATAAGCTCACAGACCCTTTGCCGGGGTCTGGTGGGTCGTTGGCAGCAGTCAGCTCCCAAAGGAATTAACCTTGCATAATCAACAGGGATGTTTAAACTAGGCCTATGCACCTAGTGACCGGCGTGTAACGCCTGCGCGCCAGAGGTGGCGCGCCTTCTCGAATACCCAGTACAGCTACATCTTCCAACTATGCTATAGAGGCAATTAAATACCACGTCAATTAAGATTGGTGCATATCATCATAACCAGCTAGACACAGGTCTCTACCAACTGCCATCGGGGAGAGAGCAACGGCATGCCACAAGCCTAGGCCAGCTCCGCCTCAATAATTCCCTGTCCATCTCCCTCACGGGCCCAGAACTTAGTCACCTTCAAACCGGCAGACTCCAGTAAGTTTGTGAATCGCTGGCGTGTGCGCTCTAGTCGGAGCAAAATACCATCACTGCAAGATCGGTCATCCCCTCTAGTGCTCGCGCGTTTTTATCCGGGATAATATACTCCTCCATAAGCACCTTTGAGTAGCCGCGTTCCATGGCAGGGATGAGATTCCTGATGATGAGGCGCGCCTTATCGTCCGACCAATCGTGGAAGAGGTTCCGGAAATAGTAGACACGGGCAACTTTCATCGACTTTCGTCAGTAACCACACGGTATTTGGTAATGAGCAGACGTTTACCTTTGATCGGCTGTTCTTGAGCGAAGAAATCATATCCAACCGCATCAATGCCCTTGCCCTCGGGATCAAGGGCGGACCGTGCCTCCTCAATCACCGTGGGCAGATCCTCTAGGACCAGCTTACCGGGAGCGTCAGGGAACCGTTGCTTGAAGCCGAGCAAGTCATGTCCGCGACCACCCCCGATATCCACTAAGAGGGTCCCATCTGAGCCTTTGTGAGCACTAGCTAGGATCTGATCGGAGATGGGGAACCAGTCAGCCCAGTGAGGACGATCAGCACGCTGGCCTTCCATGAAGGCGTTGAAACGGGTGAGGGCAGCGGGATTCTCGCAGAACCAGGCAAAGCCATCCTGCTTGAAGTTGTGCGCATATTAAAGCGGAGCAAACAAGGGGTCTTCGGGGTTTTTGTATCCGATCACCTGGAGGTACTCGGGAACTTTGCGGATACCGGGAAGGAACTCGAGGAAGCTTTTATTCTGTTGGTTAGTAATGCTCAAATCGAAGAGAGGGAGAGAGTGGGCTAGGAATACATACAGGGACTCAACGATACCAATTGACGTCCGCTGGGTCATTTCTTTGGAGAGGGCCGTAGGGAGATATTCACATGGCTCTGGCTCCTCGGCAAAACCATGGGCTACTAGGACACGCATCATACGCTCTATTGAAATAGTCGGCGTTAGTCAAAGTGATTGCTTTTTATGTGAACTGTGGAGTAAACCAACCAACCAACCAACAAAGGGTCTGCCGGCTTCAAGGCCGCAAGCTCGTTTAGTGGCACGGGAGACGTGGCTTTCGCCAACGTTGGCAACACCTTCAAGTCATGGGCCACTTTCACGGCCATGACAACTGTTGGCTGATTGAATTGACACAGTTAGGTTTCCTACTGAAAAGTAGTACTTGATTAAAGGAAACGTACAGAGTAGGCAATTTTCAAGATCGCATCGCGAGGCTTTTCCAATGCGCAGGCCAATCCGAGCGCCTTCTCCTGGGCCTCAGCCCGAGAGGTCTCCGTGGCGTCGGACTGATAAGCGTCCAGCAATACTTGAACGTCTACCAGGAGCTTCTTTATTGTGTCGATGTCCATGGTGTTCCTCTATGGCCAATGCTAGAATTCTCGCAGGGGTTAAAGTTGGAGAGCAACGACGGGCTGTTCACGCACTGCAACACCTCTATTCATATGATAAATACGGAGTACTCTAATGGCCTGCAATCCAACCCATGTCTATACTATGAGGATACTCTATGCATGTGGCAAGCTCACCTGCCTGTTTCACTATCTGAAAGTCGTCTCACGCGATGCATGACGAGACATCGAGACCCGCAGACTTCTAACGTTCATTGCATGCACCCGGCTTGTTGGTCAACCCATGTCATATGCGGTGGACGGTTCACAGTATGACCTACGCGATAGACTCCTGGGATACTTGATTGCCTGTTTCACTCCATGTAGTAGGTTCTGTTGAGACTCCGCATTATACAATGAGCCCTAAGCTTTACTGAGACCCTGTCTTGACTGCTTGTCTGTGATTCAAATTGCTGAAATGTAAGTACAGCACTCAGGGGAATTGCAAATTCCGAAGGATTTAGAGCTTTGCACATTCGGTGACCCTTTGACAGAAGTGGCTACCTAGCGAATAGTCCCAAGGAAGTGGTATTCTGTAACGGGCCCACCTGGGATCGTCCACGAGAAGTCGTTGCCACGTCAATGATGGAACCATCTTAGGGTGTTGAGGTTCGCGGGCCAGGACGGGATCCACCGGCGGATTATCTAACAAAGGGTCCTAAGCTAACTAAAACTAACTAGTTATATATCAATCAACCCTGTCTATAGTGGAAGTTGATAAGGACGGCACGGGTACACGACGTGTCGATCAGATCAGGATCCTCACCCCTTTGCCCTCGACTCGTTGGCTGGTCCAGGGAACATTTGTTAAGGTTATTGATACTATCGACTGCCACCTGCCCTAGCATGATCTACCAAGACTATTGGCCACCAAGTGAACCGGAACACCATGGCCAATGCCCTATATTGACCACTATTATAACGTGGTAGCCACTACTGGATTGCCTTCCGTGATCCTTTCGGCCACCATTGTACTATATCAGCCCGAACTAATGCTCCGGCGAATCGCCGGGGAAAGACAGACCAACTTCCGATACGAAAGAAATGGACCCGTGTGACCGGCCCCCTTGTGGATCAAGTTTCTGCTAATAGTGATGTGGGTATAGGGTCTCCACTAAGACTTTAACCCGAAGATGTCCTATGGCGGCTCGACATTGATCTCGCGCTGGTGGGAGACGAAGTAGGCTGCTATGACTATTAAGACAGCGTTACTAAGATACCATGCCGTGTGAAACGAATCATGACGATCATGCCAAGGATAGCACCGCTGCAAGAATCCCAGGAGTATGGGATGGCAGATGATGATGAGGATTTGTGTATCTTCTTTAGTGATTCCAAATCAAGGCCCGCCAGCTGAGCACGGTCGCTTCAATTACCCTTCTTGTGTAAAGGAGGGTCGCGCTGCACGATTGACAGACTTCGGTCGTTCCATATATTCTGGATTAAGTTTCGGCGCAGGGCAAATTTGTGGATCAGCCTCGAGTTTGTACCTTTTTATGGCACGTCAAACTATGGCAGGGCTTTTCTGGGGTTCTGGTTTCTTCGGGATACTACCTTTGAATCCCTAATTTTGTAATTCTAGCGCAGTAGCCCACAGCGACCGCTCGGCAAGCTCAAGATGGCCAGACACGGCAAATTCGATAGTCCCAGCCACTACTCCGTGCATTAAAGAGGATAGGGGTGTAGGTACTCCGTACACTTTGTCCGATCTATCTCTATCTAAGTTTCTCCTCTAAGGCTGTCTTTACTTTCCTATTTCCGTCAACAATATCGAAAGGCAATTCGGTTATGCCGCCCATTTAGACCGGCCCTGGCCCCCCCCCCCCCCCCCCAATTGCCGGTACACCACGGAGTAAACCCCACGATCGTACCACATCTGCACTACTTTGTCGTTGGCACGAGAGGAAAGACCTTGAGCATGGCCTACAATGTAGTGGCAGAGCTCTTTGCTGAATGGGCCATCGGCATGGTGGTCATAGCAATTCGGTTGTATACTCGGTGGTCTATCGGCAAGAAAAACTTTTACTGGGACGACGGCTGTCTGGTTCTTGCGATGGTAGGCTAGGTTCCTTTTGACCCGTGAACGATCGATGCTAATGCTTCATCAGATATGCTGGACTGTATTTACCGTGACTTTGTACTACTGTACCGGTACGTCCCCGGTTTCTCGGTGTCATGTCAGATGGTTTTAACAGTGGACCAGATGTGTATGGGTCTAATATCGGCCTGAATGAGAAGACAGCAGAGTTGATTCCGGATGAGAAGGTCCCGGCAATCAGAAAAGGATCAATATGTGCATTCATTGCCTGGATTACCTACATCTGCATGGTGTGGGCCTTCAAGGGCGTGCTCGTCTTTCTCTACAACCGGCTCACGTATGTTGGACTGTGGAATATCCTCAACTCAGTGATAATGCTTACATCGCCAGGATGGGACTTGCGCAACATCGATTGACAACGATAGTGGGGTTCATTACAATCTGCACGTTTCTCATATCAATTTTCTTTCACTTGTTTGACTGCATGCCGATACACAGGAACTGGCAGGTGAAACCATATGCTGGAGGTAAGTTAGCTTGCTTACATGGAATCCAGCTTAGCGTCCGGCTAATGATGGAATAGACGAATGTACACTACGCCCATTGAACTATATCCTCATCGAGGCTATAAGTGTTGTGTATGTTATTCTTTCCCCGGTGGCCTTCCCCATTCCTCACGAACCAGAAGCCATTAATTGCTTTTTCTTTTGTAGGAATGATCTGGCAATCATGTGTGTCCCGATTCCACTCATTCTGCATGCCAAGATCCCCCTGTCCCAAAAGATTGTGCTCGTCGCCCTATTCTCCTCCGGTATCTTCGTCATGATCTGCGCTATTCTTCGCGCCTATCTGTCCGTTCGAGACATCAATCATCTTTCCACAGCACTCGGCTGGGCGTCGCGTGAAGGATTCGTATCGGCATTCATTGTCTGCGCGCCAGGAATCAAGCCACTCTTTACGCGAATCGGATGGTTCAAGTCCTACGGCTCCTCGAATAACAACGGCAACAACTATGCCTCGACCCACAAATCACGGACGGGGAGATTCGCCTCCCACCAAAGCCGAGAGTTCAGCACGCTCAATTCTACCAACGAGGCTCATCCGTACGAGATGTCCTCCATGGCGTGGCATGACCGAAGGCGGGATTCGTCCGGTGAAAGCCAGGAGCATATTATTGAAGCTATGCCACATAAGCGTGGTGATAGCCCTGAACATGGAATCGTGGTAACGACGAATGTTACGCTGGCTCATGAGGTCTCCCCTACGCCAATACAATCGCCAGGGCGGCGTTGAAGCTGATGGCCCTTGCTTGCTGGGCGTATGAACACTGATTTGGAACCTTTCCTTTCTTTTACATTTATTAAATATTTATTGGTCGCTACCGGCTATGTATTAGTTGCTTCTATGGAAAGAGTATTATGAACTCGTCTCCACGGGATTGTTGTACTGCACCGTAGCCTGGCCGACTGGGGCAGCCACTCGACCTAGCCTGGAAGTCTCGCAGCCAGGTACGTCTTTGATTTCTCTTTTGTCGAATATCACGGCTTGTCCTTTGAAGGAAAACGTCTCCCTAGCAGCATTGCCTACGGTGTGCATCGGGGACGTTCATGCTCGGTTTGGTATCCATAGAGCGGTTGAACTTACGCTCAAAGACTGTTCACGCGTCTGGCGTACTATCCATGGGGTGGAATGGAGCGGTTTGGAAGCATGGTTCTTGCCCTTGCCGGATTAATGGACGCTGGTAGTCGTACGGGGTGGGTGGTAGTTGGAGGTTGACAGACCATCTTCGAAATTACGTGGGATACGTGTATAGTACAGCTTTCGGGAGACTGTCCCGCGGTTATGTGACAAAGCGTTATGCCAATACCGTCGGAGAGTATCTTGTCGACACGTTTTAAGCGACTTAATTCATAGACACGTTAACATTGAAAGCCTTTTTGCATATAACACCATCCATACAAAAGGATATGATAGACCAGCCATAATATCACAAACTATCACTCCGCTCGCTGCGCCGCGCCGCACTGACGTTCCACGTGCGAGTCTCCCGGATCATCCCTGCTTGACTCGACTGACTATCGGCGTCCCATGCGCGCGCCGCTGAGATTGTGGTCATATTGCCCTGACCGGACCCGATGGGGACGAGCTCATGATGGCTGTGCGAGTGATTCGGTTCCGTGTGTCGCGACTGATCGTCCCGGCCCTCCGACCGGGGGTCGGAGGCTTTGGCGGACGTGTGCTGATACTCCACGCCCTGAATGCGCAGGCCGTTCGACTTGAGCTGATTCAGGAATGGTTTCAGCTGACCCCAGCAGGCGGTGACGATACTCGCGCACTGGACCGTCTCGACGGCAATGGCCACCCCGTAGTCGTCAAAGCTTCGATCGGGGGAGTTTGCGACGTCGTGGATCAGGACGAGCTGGGCAATGGATGGGAGGATGACTCTATAGATAGACGGGAGGGATCAGTAATGGTGACGATCGGTTTGCTCTGTGCTGAAACGGAGTCACTCACAGAATACGGGACAGGAAGATCGTGGCAAACACCATCTTTTTCTTGAACGACGCTTGGATGCGACTGATCAACACCAGCGCCTGGACGATGATCATGATATCGGTCACGATGTTGGAGGCGCAGAAGTAGTACTGCCACGCATTCTATCCGCTAGCGTCAGTATGGGTCTCAACTGGCGTACCACGTCGGGGGAGGTATACAAGATCAATGCATGAGCCGCTAGTATCCCAAGGTCGCGAGGCTTGGCACTGGAAGGCGCTGCCAAAGACCGCGACAACCGCCCAGACGGTCAAGAGAACTTGCAGGACGGTCGCATGAACATGGTCTCGAGTGACGGGGGTCAGGTTCCGGATAAATACCGACAGCGATAGTTTCGAAAAGTAGAGACTTAGAGTAAACACCAAGAAACCTGCGTACTGTGCCTGGTTGGGAGACAAGGTCCCATCAGCCATGGTTCTTCCTTCAGCTGCTAGCGAATGCGACCGATTCCGGTCTAGAGCACACCTTTTGAATCGCTTCCCAATGCAAACCATCAATAGCCCCAACGTGATCACCATAGCCGTTGTGGACGGCGACTGACATACTGATGGATCCTCCCATGGCGAATAGCTATCTCAGGTAGCGAGAATGTGTTAGCCCTATGCGGTGACCGGTCCACAGCAAAGTCCGTCAGACATACCAGCGAGACCATAATCAAGTAATCATCGCTGGTGAAGCGATGGAACATCCATAGCTTCGTTCCCAGCCTTGTGAGGACGCTCAGGACGGCGACCACGAGGAGGAACCAGTTGACTACATTGAGAATGGGGGCTCTGCGATCTTGATCATGGAGGAAGCGACCCATGGATGCGATTCCAGGCGATCTGGAGACCTAGAAAGTGTCGTCCCGGGCGGTGGATTACATTGACCAAGGGGCGATTACTGTGGGAGAGTGAGCGTCTCCGGGATTACTTGTATAAGTGGTTTGCGCTGCTGCCACAATGCGACTGCCCTCAGGCGCATAATCCTTCACTCCCCCGTCCGCCGAGCCAAAAGCATTATGGGGTCGGTGAGATTTTGGGCAATATCATTGATTGACCGTCAGACGTTTGTAGCAGGGGGGGGGTTATTTGACGGTGGAAATTAGGTGGTTGTCTCGATATTGCCTTCTGAGTAAGAAAGTGATAGAGTTTGATGGGCTGGGATGGTTTCGCCGTCGCGTGAGCTGCCATTGCCGAGTTTCCTTAAACGCATGTCACCATCAATTAATTTCGACCCACGGCGGGCACTACCGACTGCCTTACCACGGGGCAAGTCGGAAGGGAGGGGGGGGTGTTAAAGTTGGTTACATTGGCTGAAGGGGCCAAGAAGCATGGCGTGTCCATTGGTTTACGCCGGCGGGAAATGGGGTTCGGGCTGAACTTAATCTCCGCCCGTGACCCGGAAGGCTTATCGAGTCTTATTTTCGATGCACTGTTTGGTTCTGGATGGATACACAATGGACCTTCTATCATGTTTGCATCTATCAAAATCAACACCAACCAAGTACCGGGTGTTTTTTCTTCCTCTTTTTTTTGGTATGGAATGGCACGTTTGATGAGCGAAAATGTCTCAACCCCTCGTGTCTGACAGGGATTGAAATTGGTTGTTTAGCGTGACAGGGATTCTGTCCACTGAACGCGGTCTGGCCGTTGGCCCTGGCAAGGATGGCTATCAACTCATTCCTCTCAATCCTGGCGTGTTAATCAGAAATTTTCACACCGGTGCACGCTAGTGGCCGTCGAGCGTCAGGTCCGAGTAACCTGCGACCTTCCAAGTCCGCTCCCACATTAATTTCCCTGACAGTGAATGTCACCCTGATCATGTTGCGAGGGGAAATAAATCATGGCCACAACAACTCTCCCATGGGAAAAAAAAAAAAAAAAAAAACCAACCGAACCTTCTCCTCCTGTTCGTCCTATCCACCGTGGTAAGTGACCTGTCCCAAACGCTTCCTTCGCGCCTTACTATCCATCTGTTATATGTGCGATGTCCATCATTCAACCCAATCGCAATCACTAATGCACGGATCAATTGCTCTGTCACACGGACTAACCCGATTCATCCGATCCTTGGGTAGATTCCTCTCATGGTGACACCCATTCACAATGACCTCCTTCGAATTGAAAAACCACGTCCCCGCCAACAACGAGGTCCGCATCTCGAGTGGCTATTCGACAAAGGATCGCGACAATGCCGAGCTCGCGCGCTTGGGAAAGAAACCCGTTCTGAAGGTGTGTCGCCAGCGTCGGAAAGGCCATGATGTTAGAGAAAGAAGATTAACGATCGCTTCCTATCGCTAGCGAAACTTTGGGATCTTGTCGAGTCTCGGGTTTAGTTGTACCATTCTCGCCACCTGGGAGGGGCTTTTTGGGTAAGTCTCGTGTCCCATGGACAACCGATGGTGAACACTAACGCGCGCACGCCAGGACCTTCCTCATCCCTTTACAAAAGTTTGTGCCTCCTTGATTCCCCGATCCGTTGCCATAGAGCGCGAGATACTAAGAAGAGATCAGTGGAGGTCCAGCGGGCGCGGTCTACTCCTTCATCTTCGCGTGGACGGGAACAGCATGTTCCTTCACCGTGCTGTCAGAGCTAGCCTCGATGTGAGTCGGAATCATTGGCAATCGATTGCGTCCGGGACGAAGAAGCTGATGGTTTGGCAGGGCACCGACGTCCGGAGGGCAATATCACTGGTGTGCGATGCTTTCCCCGCCAAAGATCATGAAATGTCTGAGTTACATCACCGGTAAGGGCCCCATCTTTTCTACCTCAATCACAATCGCAAAGGCTGATCGTCAATTGGCAAAGGCTGGGTGACCACCATTGGTTGGATGTCTGCCTTTACCAGTGCCAGCTTCTTGGCCGGGACGGAGATTCAGGGCGTCGTGACCCTTGCGCACGAGCACTATGATCCCAAGCCATGGCAAGGCACTCTGATCATGTGGGCGTCGATATGCTTAGCCTGGCCATCAACATCGTCGGTGGAAAGTTGCTTCCCAGATTTGAGACCTTGGTCTTGGTCGTTCACATCCTGGGGTATTTTGCGATCCTGATCCCCTTGACGTACATGGCCGACCACAAGTCCAAGGAAGAGGTCTTTAAGGATTTCGTGAACAGCGGCGGTTTTCCCACGGACGGGCTAGCCTTCTTCGTCGGGATGACCGGGTGTGTTTTTGCCTTCGCCGGTGGTGATGCGGCGGTCCACGTATGTTCTGGAGTGATTTGGAGTGGAAATACGAAAGGCTAACGATGGCAGATGGCGGAAGAAGTCGCAAATGCCACGGTCGCGATCCCTCGTGCGGTTCTTCTCAGTGTTCTGATCAACGGCACCCTTGGGTTTACCATGTTGATCGCCACTCTGTTCTGCATGGGGGACATCGACAAGGCCCTCAACACCCCCACCGGGTATCCCTTCATTGAAATCTTCTACCAGGCCACCGACTCCGTCTCGGGGGCGCTCGGTATGAGTTCGGTCCTCCTCATCATTGCCGTCTGCTCGGTCATCGGTATGCTGGCAGCCACCTCGCGACAGTTTTGGTCGTTTGCCCGAGATCGCGCGGTGCCCGGCTGGCGCTTGTGGAGCAAGGTAGGTTTGATGCCGACGAACCAGTCACTTCGGTGATCCACCCACGCTGACCCTTGCTCGGATTAGGTTTCGTCGAGGACATACACTCCGACCTATTCCATCCTGCTTACCATGACCGTCGCATGTCTGCTGGGACTCGTCAACATCGGGTCCGATGTGGCTCTGAACGGTATCATCTCCATGGCGGTCTCCGGCATCTATCTTTCCTACCTCATCGTCGCCTCCCTTCTCCTCTACCGTCGTTGCACCGGTCAGATTTCTCTGTATCACGACGGGGAGGACATGCTGGTCAACGTACCGGGGGCGAAGTTGATGTGGGGACCCTTCCACGTTCGAGGCATCTTTGGTACCTTGATCAACGGCTACGCTGTCATTTACATGACCATTGTGGTGTTTTTCAGTTTCTGGCCCACCCAGATGTCTGTCGACAAAACGACGATGAACTTCAGTGTGGTCGGCACGATCGGGACGGTTATCCTGGCGTTGATCTACTATGTCTTCCGGGCTCGGCATGTGTACACGGGGCCCATCGTCGAGCTGCATCGGTGAATAGGTTGTTCTCGGAGGATCCGATGTACACCAGTTGCAGTGAAATAACATCTTCTCTGCCTGTCTTAATATGATGTCCAAAACTGATTTCCAGCCCGTCTTACATTTCATAGGAACCACTCCTATCACGAGATACGAGGGCAACTTGAATATAATACATCTTGTTCATTAGGCTCTTTGTTTTTCTCTCTTCTCCCTTTTGTACCTATACATGTGGTTTACTACTCCATATATCGGCCAGCACCGGTAGGTGCAGATGATCCGAATATATATATATCCGGACATGGATACAGTGTACCTATGTTCCAACAGCCTTAGGCCAATCAAACTTGGCGAACTCAAGATATCTAATACGAATCAACAGAATTCTGCCAGATTTACATAACGCCTGTCAGCCAAAAAAAAAAAAAAAAATGTAATACAAACTAACCGCGCCGAGGACGCAGGAAGGCGAAAGCAAAACAAAAGCGAACTCTAAAAGCTCGTATTTACACTTGGTTCCAAACATTGCGATCGACATGCATGGACACATGCTAGATTGAGCTACATAACACGACGATCCCCCTCTTGTTCATGCATGCGTCTCGGTATAAGAACGTGCTATCCTTTTCGACCGATGGTGGTCCCCACCTAGCTTTGTCGGGTCAAGCGATGAACTATGGAGAGCCCCAACAACGCATCCCTAATCCAACCAGACAGTTCACTGCAAAGAATAATCGCCGAAGAAACATTGTGGCTATCCGCCGACGAGAACAGCCGGACGACAGTCCACCTGAGCTCGCGACCTCACTTTCCAACCTTAATTGCGATTAGACTCCCACCGGGAGTAGAGGAGGGACCCCCGAATACAACTGCATGGCTACCGCTGAACTCCGCGGATGATTCCTACCGTCTTGGATTGGTTCATTTACTGATTGGAAGTGGAGCGAAGCTGGGAGCTGCCGATGGTGTGGACGTGGGTGTCCGGGGGTGTTGATCAGTCGTGGACGCCGCTGCGTGCCACTTCGCAGGATTACTATCGGCCGCTCTTGGATCTGCTCTTTGGGAGTGATTTCATGGTCAACAATGAGGATTCACGGGTGTGGGAATTCCTGAATACAGCATCGGTACATGGCCATGAGGAGATTGTCAAACTACTTATTGAGGACGGGGCCTTTCTTCCATGACTTCTTTCCCTCACATTCTATGTCAGTCAGTCTCTCTGTATCCGCGATCATGAGCTTGAGCCATTCAGCAACCGACTGATACGATATTCTAAGCGATAGTGATGGTGAGTCTCATGACGTGCGATTGAACATGTTGACTTCAGTCGTCATTTACCGGATGTATTTAATGACAGCGTTATTCAGTGTGTGGTGTCCATCTTATTCCACATCAGTCTAGGAAGATATCCGGCTGTAGTCCAATCTTGATCCGATGCGCTGATCGTATCTGTATGAACCGCAACGCATGTCCGTCGTGCTGTGATAGTGGATAATCAATTACTACTCATAGTTCAGTGGCTGTCGAGCAACTATATGCTCAACGAGGTTATACTGAGGGGAGAAAGTGACAGAGAGACTGATACAACTTTCTACCGTATCTTCATATACCAAGTCAAGTATGCCACCTGCCGCAGATGCAATGTGTTGAATGGAGTATGGGTACATATTACCGAACCTCGATCTATCAATAGCATACAAAATAGATTATGTCAACAAATTTACACTAAACATTCACGGCTCGTCCCCCCTCACACCCGGAGTCGGATAGCTCGGTCCATACGCAACATGCTCCAAGCGGATAGACTCAGCTGTCTCCCTCCGACTGTGCCGGATGATCTCCCGCGTACTCGATTGGCGCGAGTGGGGACGGTCAGTGCTTTCCGGCCGTGAAGAGGTCGACTGATTATCCGAAGCTGAGTTGTTAGCAGCCTGTTCGGCAGCCAGCGCCGCTTTGCAGCGATGCCACATGGCAAAAGGCACGATAGCTACACAGGCGACCCACCACGAGAACATGATCGGAAGGGCGCGATGCAGCTGGTCCTCGCATCCGTCGCTCCAGATCTGGACGAGCACCTGGTAGAGCTCGTGTGCTGGGAGGGCGTACCCCCAGCGATAGAACCCGGGGCTGAGTTCAAAGGGGCTAATTGTGCTCGCGACGTTGATGATGGCCCACGTTAGGATGCAGAAGGGGAGGAATTGCATGGGGATAAACGCGGTGAGGATGTCGACGATGAGGAAGTTGATGTGCATGTACAGCCAGATACTCATCCAGGAGAGCACAAACTGATTGCTATTGACGTCCCAGGACTCTCTGTACGCCCAGATATATCCGGCCATGCATAGCGATCCGATGAAGGTGTAGGCAAGCGAGACGCACATGCGGAGGAGACCGTTGCGTTTCGGGCCGAGTTTGGTGTACAGGTGGAATTGCGCCGAGATGCCGTTCAGGGCCATCATGAAGAAGAATTGTTGGATGATCGGCATCACCATCGAGACCGTGTTGTATAAGACTCGGCCGCCTTGCTCGGTTACCTTGATGTTGATTTCGGTGGCTTGGATGGGGTCGAGGAAGGCTTGCAGGCTGGCTGGGTTCTTTGATAGAGGGGCAGTGGCGAGGACGTCCGATGCGTTGCGGGCGTAGTATGCCGACTTGGTTACTTGGTTGCAGGTTTAATATCTAAAGGTCACACATAATTCGACTAAGTCGATATCATCTCAGTGTGTCACCGAAATAGGAAGGAAACGTTGGGACCCATAACACTGGACATATTTCTGTTTTACTCCAACAGGTAAGTTGGAAAAGCCTCACACGCATATTAGAAATAAATAAAAACCAGTCTTCTGGAAATCGGGTGGAAGGCCGCGGTTGAGATTGTGGAAACTGACCCAAAGCGTTCTCTCGACATCCCATGCATGACCACTTCTCGAACCAAGTGGCGTTTGAGTTCGTGTCGACTAGTAATTTGTAGGCTGTTGGAGATTCTGATTAGAAAATTTAAGGTTACGCAAAGACCACAAATAGAACTACTACTTACTACTCGGATCGCCAGAACGAACCTTGAAAGATAAGGTCGTCGACATTTGGGTATGTAAATACTAGTAGCAGTAGAGTGATCGGTGGAGATCGGGGTGAGAAGGGGGCGTGACTTGCGGGTCAATTGACGAAAAGTACTAGAATATTACTATTTCATTGAGTCCTGACCACGAGCGGACGGAAAATGTGCCAAACATGTGGGGTAGGAGCATGATCTTGCAAGATCCTCCTCGACCATCATTTTCGGTCGCTTTATCCAATCTTGAAAAACTTTTGCATTGACGATACAGAGCACAGGCGACATTTATCCACCAATCCCGTGACGGCATTAAGTGATGTTGTGTTGCAGGACACAACTATAAATACTAGGTTTCTCCAGGCCCGACAGCTCTCATGCCATTCTTGGTAGGAATGTCAACAATATAGATCTGACTGTTGTCGTCATGTACAACAATCCGATTATTCCCGGATTTAATCCCGACCCTTCCATAATTCGCGTGAAGAATGACTTCTTCCTCGTAACCTCTTCCTTCGAATACTTCCCCGGAGCTCCGATATACCATAGCACTGATCTGATACGCTGGACCCTGATCGGCCACGCACTGACCAGGCGCAGTCAGATCCACATCCAGACCCCCGAACCTGGTGGTGGAGTTTGGGCCACCACCCTACGGTACCATGGCGGTGTCTACTACATAATTGCGGCCAGCTTTGAACGCTATCGCCCCCAGGATGATGATCGTGTTTGGCCGCGCGGGTTCTACGTGAAGACAGAGAATATCTGGGATTCTGATTCCTGGTCTGACCCGGTGTTTTTCGACCAAGTCGGATTTGATCAGGATGTATGTACTCCTCACCCCTCACCATGTTCAGCATGCACGTCTGTTCTAAAAATGATTTCTCAAGCTGTTCTGGGACGATGACGGCACGGTGTACCTATCATCGACCTATCGCAAACTGAATAGAACGCCGAATGCAAATCTGAAAGACTTCGCCATCCATATCGCTACTGTTGATCTTGCCAGCGGGGCTTCTACATCCGAACCAAGGCTCATCCGAGATTCTACCTCCGGCGTCTCTGAGGGATCGCATATATTCAAGCGCGGGAAATACTACTATCTTTTCACCGCCGAAGGGGGTACAGAAAGCGGCCATTGCGAATGGGTGAGCCGCAGTGAGACGGGCCCGTTTGGTCCGTGGGAAGTGGGACCGAGTAACCCACTCTGGAGGAATGGGATCAATGACGACGTGCAAAATACTGGGCATGCAGACTTGGTGGAAGATGCACAGGGAAGATGGTGGGCTGTTTTCTTGGGTGTGCGACCGGTGCGAAAGGATGGTTACTGGGAGGAGTCTGTTTTTGGTATGTACCTTTGCTGATTCTTTGCTTGGAATGTGCTGCAGAACTAACTCAATGGCTATGGTGACAATAGGGCGCGAAACATTTCTGATACCCGTTGAGTGGAAGGATGATTGGCCGGTTTTCAATGAGGGCAAAAAAATCTCTCTCCAATCTGAAAGTCCACACCTTTATGAGCACCAAAATCCCGTAGCATGGAGAGATGATTTCTCGAGTCCAGAATTACAGCTAGGCTGGTACCGCAAAAGTAAGTTGGCAAAAGCGTGTTCACCGATATTAAACTGAGACTGATACTTTTAGACACCCCCATAAGAACAGATTACTCGCTTGTGGAGCGACCAAACCACCTCCGTCTACACGGAGGACCATATAACCTCTCCGTCCCCAGTTGTCCGACTCTATTTCTTCGGAAACAAACTCATCACTACTGCACGTGGGAAACACAGTTATCTTTCAATCCTCAGTCACCACATACAGAAGCTGGAACTGTTGTCTGGTGGAACTATTTCACTTACAGCAGTATAGGGATTCGGCACTCCCCTACAAAGGAAAGGGCACGAATTGTGCGATTCCGAGCGGCTGGAGGAGAAGTTATTGATCGGGAACTCGAAAGCGCAGTGTCGGATGTCGTGTTCTTCATTGAATGCGGAGACCAGTATAGGTTTGGTCTCAGAGAGGTGAACGGCGCTCATTCCCAGATCCAGTGGCTAGGAGAGGTTCAGAACAGCACAATGACTCAGTCGCCGCCAGTCGGAGCACCTTTTACCGGGATGATGCTCGGACTGTATGCCTTCGGAGAACGGCAACGCTGCTTAGTTCCGGCCGACTTTGCATATGCCGAGTTTAGATGATCGGTTAACCTCATGTACAACTCACTGTATGCTACCGACCTTTCGCTTTCGTATTGCAATCTAGCCTCTGCTATAGCCCCTCGTCAACTGGATAAACAATGTTCTACAATAGTTCCTTATATCGGATGTCTAAGCCTCGGGACAAGATTTCTCGAAGCTTGCGTTACTGATGTCGATGAACTCGCTGGCTCAAGCCTCACGGGACTGCGCATTAAGGAAATCATGTTTGGCTGTTGACTTCTGAGTCTGGTACCAGCCCTCGTTGAAACTATGAGCTAGGCCATTCGGGTCACTTGAGACTTTTGCTAGTATCACACCTCCTCTAGATCTGTACGACCATAATGAGCCCCCTCATCCTTGGTAGTTTCCTAACTCTTTCCTTCATACGTAGTCGCACATCGTTCCATCTTCCTTTCCTCTCTTGAATACCCACATATTTCAATACTTTCCTTAGACCCACTTATTAACTAACATTGCTGTAATGAACTCTTTTAATTCATCTCGCTCGCTTTATATCACTAGCGCAGGTAATCATGAAAGCTCCTATCACTGTGCTGGTATCACGACCTTGATTAGCACGTCTCTTACATCGGAGCTTCCTCGGAACATACAGTTAGAGTTCTTTGATCATGGTACTGATGATCGTGATGCCGGTGGTGATTCTACCTATGGAGGCGACCCTTTAAAAGGAGATGAAACTACAACTCTGGCCACCCATATCACCGACTACCATTATGAAAATGGTCGTCGATAACATGCGTTTCATGATGGCGCGTACTGGGTGGGTCTAGGCTAGTGACGGGGTTGGTATCAATTTATCCACTAAATCTTATGATCTTTTAGGGTCCCAATGATGAAATGGCAAATGAGCAGTAATATGTGGCGCACCATCTATACTTACTACTAACTCTGGATGGAAGACTTCACTTGCCACCAATTGAAAATGCACAAGTGGCACCTTGTGATTTTATGGAGTCTTACACATAGTCTGATAGCTTCTAGGAAATCCTGGATGTGGGTACTGGTAATGGAGTATGGGCTCGCATTCGTGCTACGTGCTGCTAAGTGATGCGCAATATTCCGTCTTTCTTGTGATACTGCAGAGCCATTTATCATTCTCCAGAACTACTAGTGGCAAGCCACAATCTACTACCTAAAATCTGATAGTATTGGGCATAGCTTAGCCTCTGTGACAGTGACGCCTTAACCGAATACGACACTACTTTGATAGGAAGCGCCTTGGCAAATACGGAGCTGTGGGCTCATGTACTACCAGGCAGTAGTAGGAGCTTCCGCGCGACCACTCAGACAGCACAAGTTGGAGCAAAGCTGACTCGCTGTTGCCTAAGCAAGGATAGCTTGCTGCAGGTGACGTTGCGACAACGCCATCCAAAACAAATGGTAGCTTGCTCTGAGTCTCGATCTTGCCAATGGCCTTCGGCTGATAATCTCTTCCAGCTGGCCGGTACTAAGAGCTGAATTTCTATTGTCAACGATAGTTCTCAACAGAAATAATAACAAGGCCTTTAATGTATTATTCTCATTTTTTGTTTCCGGCTCGCGTCACCTACTTCAGCCTTCGTATGATTCACGTAGGGTGACGTACAATCAGGCAGATAATCAACTCCTCGAACCCTTCCAGAACATTACCTAGTATGGTGGATATTGGACTATGTAAAGGATGCGTTCCACTAGTTGAAGCCTAGTTGCGTGCTAGCCCATAACCATATTCCCAAACAAGACTGAGTGGAGACGAATTGCCACGTTAGATGAACAGACAAGTCCGCAGCGGAGAAGTAGCGAAACTTGAAATCCACCATTTCTTGTGTATCTAGTGATTACCGGCTATGGGTTCTAGCCCTGTCTCTAATTATAACAATGATATCACAACACCGCCTTATCCCCCTGAAGCATTTGGGCGATCGACCGACCAGAATCGATTCTTATTTTTGGCTGGGATCCACTCGGGATCGATGCCTAGAGTTAGAAGAGGAATAGTGTGAGGGCCATGCCCCACAGCCTTAGGCCCATCGCAGTAACGAACACGAGTACGACCGGACTAGGTTTATTCCCGCCGATCAAGCAGTCCTCCCTTCAGATAACTGTGATAGAATCTTTTATGTATATAAACACCATGTTCAACTAGATCATGATGTCCCTTTATCATACCCTCACGTTCCTACAGGATGGCCTCCAAACCTCTCCAGCGGTCGAAGTCGGATGACCTCGCAGATATAGTAGACGCCCCTCCACCTTATACACTAATCGCCGAGGCAGGATCCAGCACAGTACAAGGTATAGTGGTCTGGCAATTACATAACTACTATTCACTAACAAAGTAGATGATGGCCGCATTGATGTCGACCTAGACTCTCCCGCGGCAAGAACCGCTCTCAAATTCATCCCCCGGCTCAGTGAGGACGATTTAGTAAGCCCACCGCCAACCTACTCGGGGCCAGTGCAATGCGATATTAAACTCAACATTGTGATCCATGTCGTGGGGAGCCGAGGTGATGTTCAACCTTTCGTCGCACTGGGGAACGAGTTGCAAAAACATGGCCATCGAGTCCGATTAGCAACACACGATGTGTTTGAGTCCTTCGTTCGGAAGTCGGATTTAGAGTTCTATCCGATTGGCGGCGATCCTGCCGAGCTCATGGCATTTATGGTGAAGAACCCGGGTCTAATCCCGAATATGAAGAGTCTGAAGGCAGGGGAAATCACACGAAAGCGGATGATGGTCCGAGAGATGCTGGATGGATGTTGGAGGTCTTGCATCCAGGATGACCCTAGCACAGGGGCTCCATTCGTGGCCGACGCCATTATCGCAAACCCTCCCAGCTTTGCACATGTCCACTGTGCACAGGCCCTAGGTATTCCTCTACACTTGATGTTCACCATGCCCTGGACTTCGACATCGGCATATCCTCATCCGCTTGCCAATTTGAAATATTCAGGGACGAACGCGAGCTTCGCAAATGCCGTTTCGTACGGAGTTGTAGAGTGGATGACTTGGCAAGGGTGAGATTAATTGTTCACAAAGTGGAGACATCGGTCTAATCTGCTGTCTTTAGACTTGGCGATGTGATCAACGACTGGAGGGAAACTATTGATCTCGAACGGGTTCCGCTTACGGAAGGGCCGAGCCTTGTGCAGACTCTCAAAGTGCCATTCACATATTGCTGGTCTCCGGCCTTGGTGCCCAAGCCCAAAGATTGGCCATCTTACATCGGTACATTCCTCCAGCCAATCTTTATTGTGCCCGACTAACTATCTAGATGTCTGCGGTTTCTTCTTTCGTGAATTGCCGATATATACCCCTTCTTCTGAACTAGATGCATTCCTCCGAGACGGTCCACCACCGGTGTATATTGGCTTCGGTAGCATCGTCATCGATGATCCCCCGCGGCTCACTTCTATTCTTGAAGAGGCCGTCCGAGCGGTCGGCGTGCGAGCGATTATCTCACGAGGGTGGAGTAAGCTCGGGGGCTCTTCATCAAAAGACATCCTGTATATCGGTGACTGCCCTCACGAGTGGCTTTTTCAACACGTGTCTGCTGTGGTGCATCATGGCGGTGCAGGGACGACCGCATGCGGTCTACGCTTCGGAAAACCCACCGCCATTGTCCCCTTCTTTGGAGATCAGCCTTTCTGGGGTAAGATGATCGCGGCGTCAGGGGCCGGTCCCGAACCAATCCCACAAATGTCTTTGACAGCTGAAAACCTCGCTGAAGCAATTCAGTACTGTCTCACTCCTCAAGCAAAGGAGGCTGCAAAAGACATTTCTATAAGAATGCAATACGAGTCGGGTGTCAAGGCCGCTGTCGAATCCTTCCATCGACATCTGCCATTGGACCGCATGCGCTGCCAGATTATTCCCGACCAGCCCGCGTCGTGGATTTACAAGAAGTCCGCCAAACCTATCCTTCTCTCCAAATTAGCCGCTCAGATCCTACTGGACCACTTGCGCATCGAGCCCAAGAACCTACAGTCGTATGATACCACTCGTCTCAACTCATCTTATAATCCAGGCTAACGTAACAGACACGAAATTCGTCCTATAATCATAACAAATCGCAGATACGACCCGATCACGAGCACAACTTCAGCAACTATAGGCTATGGGACAGATATGCTAAGAGCTACGTCGGATATGTTCATAAAACCGTACCAAGAGCTGAAGGGTCGATCTGCGACAACTCCGGCAGCAACTAGAGCCGAAGATTCTCTCTCAGAGGTTGACTCGCAAACCACAACTGCTAGTGGGAAGAGCAAGGTAGATTGGGACGCCACAGGAGCGGCTATAGGCGCTGGGGCAGCAGGATTTGGCAAGTTTATGAAGCACGTTTACAAGGGACTGATCGTCGACATTCCCTTAGCTGCTACGGAGGGCCTCCGGGCCGTGCCACGTCTGTATGGTGAAGAGGTGGAAGAATATGCTGTCCGCGACTGGAAAAGCGGTGCTATTGCAGGTGGCAAGAATTTCAGTCAAGGGATGCGGGAAGGTTTCACCGATATATTCACACAGACCCAGAAGGGAGCCAAGGAGGAAGGTGCAGTGGGAATGGCTAAGGGGTTCCTCAAAGGAACTCTTAGTATCGGTACTAAAGTGCCATCAGGTAGCTAGCCCTGTCCTTTTTCACGAACCTTGCTGACCCGGGACAGCTGCACTTGGCCTCGTGGCCTATCCAGCCCATGGGATAACCAAGAGCCTACACACGGTGATTAGGTCAAAGACGAGGAAGCAAATCGTCCAAGCGCGGCTTCAGGAGGGCCAATATATAGCGCGCAAGGTTGCGAAGCCTGAAACTGATCATGCCTTGGTAATGCAGAGCTTCGATGCTCTGAAGAATGCGGATACAAGCTGATCATTCGAGGCATTTGCAACGGGAGAATTGCAAGACCACCAGGCGTCGCATTTTGAGCATTTGAGAGCTACAGAACATCAAGCATTTCACGGCCATACCCAAGAGAGTAGCGTCACCATCACCTACTTCTCCCAACCAACGGACAGTATAAGTATAGATAGAATATAAACTAATGGAAATACTTCGGAACCACTCTCTTCACCCATAACCAAGCAGCATCCAGTGGCTCCACCATTTCCTGCGGCCAAAGCCGCTTCTCCATATCAGTCAAGCTCTGTACTAACTGCATATCACGACTAGCCCCGCCGCTAATTGCATTTGCATTCTCCCTCTCTCCATGCCACCGGAGCCGAAGACGGCGGGGAGGGGGTTCATTCGGGATTATTGTTCTCTGTGTGTGGTATTTGGCTTGGTCAAGATAGAGGGGGCTATCTTTTGCCCGCCGCCCGTTCCTTTCATGACACTGCCTCATCTGACTGACTGTCGCAAGCTCCTCCGCAGAGTCGAGGAAGAAAACACCTCGGAGTGGAGCTTTTCTTTCATGGGGTGCGGGGTAATACAATCTATTGATTGATAACTTCCTCAAGGCATCGACCTCCCTTCGGATAATTGCCGGACTTTTGCCGATGAGACCTAACCGGCCTGGCTTGCAAAATGGATATATTATCGCCGCTACGCATTTTGGGCTCCGGACCAATTCGAGCCGTCTTAGTCTTTACTGCAAACTAAGGAGATCTACCCAGTCAATCTTATGCAGTACCACGAAGCCACTTTTTGAATCCAATCCCCTCAGCACGATGAAATTGAATGCTATCACGAGTGGTGCAGTTGCTAGCGCTATTCTGGCAATCAGCGCCTCCGCAGCCCAGATTACCAAGGGCCTATCGAAAAGTGAGAGAGATAAATGAGAGCATCATACCAGAGAACGTTGTTTATTAATAGCCCTCTGGGGCAGATGCGCAGGGACTTTTTGACTGGTCTATGGAAGTTAATGACTTGCGTTGGGACAGTTCGTACAAGTACATCTGGTATGCCGATAATGGACCTTGGTCAACTCGATTTACAGCTTGGCATACTGCTGGTCTGCTGTACCGAAATAAAGGGCAGGATCTGACCAATGCAAAAGCGGCCATTGAGAACATGTAAGGCTACTTCAACCTCCAGTAAACCCTCGACCGAATGACCTCAGCCTATCTGGAAACTGATCGCTGCGTCTTCAGCCTAGCATGCCAGATGACTGAGAGCTATGAGTCGGCCTGGTACGGCACATTCAAGCGTTCACCGGACGAGCCGTACCCTACCCCGGATTCTGAGCTCTACCCGCCAGATATCTACGTAAGGATTTTACCATGTCCTACGCAGAGGCATGTCGGGAGTTGCAAGATGATCTGCTAATACAGAAACTCGTAGAATACGTATGATCCAAATTGGAGAGAGTTCATTGGGACGCAGCTTGTGCAGATTGTCGAGGAATTTTCCGATTTGCTCGGAGACCATCTCGTATCGCGCATTGAAGATAGTCTGGAGATCGCCACTGTCGGATCTATGCGGCGTAATGGGTCGTACCCGGAGGGTGACAACTTGACGCCTGCTTACTCCAACCCTGCTATCATGCGCGCGTGGTACGTTTCCTGGATTGGCGCGCGTCGTAATAATCAGGTATGTGATCTAGCGACAATAAATGAACTAGTTCTATGATTTCCAAATGGCTGGTATTAATGCGACACATCAGACTTTCATCAGCTATGCCAATGATCAGGCTGACGCGATTTTGGAGCTCTTCAAATCCACTGGCTCAAATGTATTGTCCGAATACAATGCACCCACCTATTACGGAATGGATGTATGGGCGCTCGCTGGTGCTATCAAATACGGGCCCTCGAATGCCACCATGACCAAGAATGCCAAGGTTATCCTAACAGACTTGTGGGAAGATATCGCGGCTCATTACAACCCTTATCTTGCCAACATGGCAGGGCCGGTAGGAATCCCCTCGCAACATACACAGCACTGGCAGTCATCTAACGAAACGTTGTCAAACAGTATGATCGAGCCTATACACGCGATATGACCACCAGCTCGGCTGTTATTGACTATTTGTGGTGGGGTCTATACGGCTATGGCAACGGACCGCAGCCTAACAAGCTCGAAACAAACCTGTTATACGACGTCACACAGGGCGCAGCGCTGGCCCTCATTGTGGATGTTGTTGCGGATCATATCTCCAACGAAAATAACTCATGGCTCCAGTCCCGGGAACAGTGGAGTGGGGAGCGTATGATCACGAAAAAGGTCCCCGACGCGCTCGGTGCCGACGCTGAGGTCCGAACTGTCACGTCGTGGATCAGTGCTCCGCTCATGATCGGGGCTGAACAAGTCAATGAGACTGTTAATCGGGGCGAGCAGTACGTTCCGGCCATTGTCCAGTGGCTAGTGATCAGGACCACACGCCCTACCCGTACATGTCCTTTTTCACCCTCTACCCGACGGCATCCACGATTGATGCCGTTGCCGCACCCAACAGTCTGGAGATATCCTACCCCAACACGACTCAAGAGGGGTCCGATATTTTCACTTTTGCACTAGCACAACTGCCACCAAGTTGGACTCTGGTCAAAAAGAAGGTTGTTAGCGGTCTCGAAGACTTGCCTTGCCTCGATGTCACCATCAGCGCCGAGGGGCTGGAGAAGCAGCCGGCCATTTACGGCACTACTATTGAGAATAACCGGGTGTACAACATCTCCTACATTGTGCCTTCTACCTTCACGGGCACGCCTAAAGTGTCGTTCAAGTTCAAGTACACTTGTTAATACAGGACTGTATGTACACGCATGGCCATAGTTGCTAGTTATCACTTCTTAGCCCAGAAGTACATGCAGAAGAAATATCTCTTACAGCGAAGTTATTCTCCGAAGCTTTCTAGCATACTGTGGGGAAAGACGTTGGAGAAGGAGACGAGCTATACTATGATCTATTACAATTAAGCCTATTCTCTGCAGATGGTCAGTCTTCGTTCACGATTTTCCTCCATCTTAGCTGCCTCTAGTTTTGGAATACCGATGGTAGAAAACACTGTAGAAACCATTGATTAGAGACTCTGCTGCGGCCACTTATTATCGCAAGTAGCCACCCCCTATAGACTAGGACTCAAGCACCTCGTACACTACTTATAGATACATAGCTGCAGTATCATTACCACTACATAAATCGACTCGATAGAGCGAAGTAACCTCCGGAAATACAGCTCAATAACCAGTCCAATCAACCGCAGTCACAAAACTTTTTCCCCAGCAGTGGCATTTCCAAGCTACAACCAATCCCCCATTGCCAAATACATCCGACACGGATCCTAATCACTCGAATCTGGGCAAGTGATATCGTTACAGGTTTCAGTGCTAGCCGAATCAACAAACTTCGCGATCTTCGCATGGAAGACCAGTGAGTACGGCCCTCCATTGCTGCAAGTATGACTATCCGACCAGCCACTGCCCGGAGCCGGTGTCAAACAACCCGAGTTCTTTGTGAACTTGCCCGGGACGCAAGCATCCCCATCCTTTGGCGGGGTTGTATGTTCCAGCGACACGCCCCCACAAATCACATCCGCGTGGCCTTCAATGACCCCATAATCGGCCCCGACGTGGTACACCCAGCTGACGGTGTTTCCGCTGACGGTGACGTCCACGGTGCCGATGACGATGGTTTGGCTGAGCACCAGCTCAGCGGAGAAGCTGCTCGTCACGCCCGTGAAGTACCAGCCCCAGTGGCCGCACCCCAGCGCGGTCAGGGAATTGGTCGAGCGGCGTAGGCGCTGCCGACGGCGCAGGGCTTCTTGGACGAGGTCGAAGGGCAGCAGCAGTTTGTCTCGCAGGTGGTTGTCTCCTGGCATGAGAACGTGATGGGGATGTATTGGAAGAAGGCGCCCACGCCTGTGCGAGTCCCGCCGGTGATCGAGCATGTGTCGGAGGCGATGTCCACGTTCAGTGCGAGGTTCATGGTCGGGGCGTGACAGAGGTCCGAAGGAGGCGGGGAGATCTGGGACTCGATGTAGCTGAAGGGCACGAAGCACTCGAGGGTGGATGGCGTTGGCTTGCGGCACCAGTCCGGGTGGGAGTGGGTGACATCGTAGAGTCCAGGAGGGCTGGTGATGGGCCCGTCATCTATGGCAAGGTGGTAGTCGGTGAGTGGCTGTTCCACGTTGTTTTTGTCAACGATAGGGCCCGCCGAAACCTTGAGGCAGTCCTCGTTCGAAGTGCTGAATACGGGGTAGGTGTTGCATTTCACGATCTCGAACTTCGCGGTGGACGAGTCCAGTTTGTCCGTGTCGGGGTTGAAATTCCTCCCGCATTGTATGGGTCCGCTTCCTGGCGCAACCTTTGTCACGGTCGTTGTGACTTGCTTCTCGCAGCACTGGACGGACGCAGGGCAGGCGGCGTCACGGGTGAACAGAGCCCGGCGCGGTGCTCGTCGTGTAGGCGGCGCTCCTGGGATCGGGAAGCCAGCGGAGGCACAGCACTGGACTGCGTTGCCGCCTGCAGTACAGGTATCGAGCGCAGAAACTGTAGCAGCAGCAATCGTAATCAGGAGAAATTTGAAGCACATCGTGTTGGTTGGGTTTGAGAGATGGGTTTGATCGGACACTCGAGCAGAAAAGCTTGGAGGGTAAGTCCCAATTCCTTCAACTGCTAGGAACGGAGTAAGAGGAGGGACCTATATATATGCTGCTGTGGAAAGGTGTTTGGCAATAAAGTGCCACTGATCCTCCAATAAAGACCCTGCTAAACGTGCAATATCACCCGACATGCAGATTCATGATCTCACGACTTCAAGACGCCTGAGTCGACAGGTTGGTGGGGAAGTCTAAATTAGCTGTGTCTCGACTGGAGACAGTCAACCACTGGTACCATTCGACTGTAGAAATGGATATCTAGGATCTTATGACCACAAAAGCTAAAAACCTGGAGTAGAGGCTGGTCTCTGGCCATGGACGAAAGTGAGTGGAATGAGCCTAGCCCTCTTGGAGATGGGGTGTCCGGCCTGGCTAGATATCCTTTTTTTTTTCTTCTTCTTCTTCTTCTTTTTGGGATGGGGGGGGTGGCTTCTAACTGCTAGTCTTTTGTCAGTCCAGATCGGCCCGTAACTAGATAAATCACGGTAAGTTCCACACATAGCTAATTTTAAGGCTTAATTTACACTTGCAGGAGCTTGATCCCTTTACCTGGATATCTACGGGCCTTTCAAGGAGAAAGTATCGCTCCACTAGGTAACGGAGTAGTCCTATCACCAGAGAATACCATTGTTGCCAACATGTTCCTTGTTGCTGTAAACCTGCGTGGATGAACTGGCATACTTGCAGGTGGGTAGCTAATGACATGCATGGCATTTGCTTAATTGGGGATCTAAAGTTCAGCCTAGCCGCATTGGCTTTGTGATATTGCTTAGGCGCATGAAAACAAAGGTCTAGAAGGACCCACATGAGGTTCACACGGGCCTTGTGGCAACATTTGGTCCCAGAAGCAGTTCGAGTGGGCGAACTTGCGGCTACCAAAGCCGTGTTGGCTGAGGATGCATCTCACGTGAGAGCTATATGTCACTTTCGATCGAAGATTTAATCTACAGCGCTAACAGAATGAGATCGGCGAATCTGGCACAGAGGCAAACCCCGAATTCTAGGCCGTTATGCTGCCTGGGGTGGCAAAAAGTGATGATATCTTCCATCGCGGTCTCAAGTTTCTGTTTTTGCTAGCTTATTGCATCTAGGTCAGCGTTTCTGTCTGACAGGCCTAGTAGGGACAGTATTCTATGTTTGAAATATCATACCCGTAAAGGATGGAAAAATAAGATGATTTGCTGAACGTAATCATAGACCGCGGAAGGTTGTGGCAATGCGAACGTCCCTCGCAATGTAGGTTATCAAGTAAGGCCTGGTCCGGCCGTGGCCTCTTCACCCCAGCTCGCTACTTTTTCATACATATAAGTCCATCTTCACGGCGGTGGCATAGTCACGGAAGGGAAGGAGAGTTCAAGTTTTATATTCAGTGGGCATGGCTTGTGTTGCGTATGGTTACATGCCTGGATAGGGACAGCCTACTGCGATGATGGTCCTACCTTGGAGTGGTCAATCTGTTTATTTCCGCTGTGTCCATTGTTCCTGATATTGCGATGAGATGCAGGTGTTGATGCAGGCCAGGTTCACTATATCCAATCCCCAGTAAACACCGAACCAAAAACGACAGTACTGCCGTTCAATACCATACCATACCACAGTGAAAAGAACCCGCCAAGCCCACACCCACTTGTGATCATTGGACAACCCAATTTCCAGCACAGATAAAGTGGCTCCGGCGCGTAAGCAACGTGCATTAGCGCCGGCAATAAGGGTCTTAATGATCTCATCGTCCGATCTCTCCCAGGACCAGACAGTACTACTAAGTACAGACAACTGTACAAAGACTAGACAGAAAACGGTCCCCCCACGTCTATTCATCCTTCTCCCTACTCCACCTATATACACCACCCTACATCGTACACCCCAGCGTATAAATAAATAGAACCAGACTAACTAAAGATACCTAAAGATCAATTTCTCCCCCCTCATCGCCCGCCACCGATTCGTTGAGACCAACAACTCCCCACACCCGCCCACCACCCACGGCCACTTCCGAATAAACTCCTCGCTCACCTCCCAATTCGCCAGATTCTGCGGATCCCCCCACACCAGCAACCCACAGCTCTCGGTGCTCATATCCCAGAACCCCATGATATCCATGCACAGCTGGTCGTCGTCGAAGTCGCCGGCGCGGATCAGATTGTCGCGCATGCGCGGGTGCGGGAAGAAGTCGAGCCAGGGGTGGTGGGGGATGGATTGTTGGAGTTGGGTCGGGCGGAGGGCCAGTGGGATGGAGGCGGGGATGGTGAAGCCGGGGCGGAGGGTGGTGAAGGGGGAGATTGCGTCGTCATGCATCCACTCGTGGTGCTTGTGCATGCCGAGGGTGGACATGATGGAGGCGAAGGCGCGGAAGACGTTGACTTTGGCGAGGGTGAGGAGGTGGTCGGAGGTCGGGGAGCCGAGGATGTAGCTTTGGTAGGCAGTTTTGCTGAAGAGGTCGAGGAGGGCGGCGGTTTGGTCGGGGTTGGGACATTGTTGTCGTTGGCTGGTGGTTAGGGCTGTTGTGGGTGGGGATTGCGATGATGAGGATGCTGTTGTTGTGCTGGACTCGGCTTCTTCCGGTTTGATAGTCACGCCGAGCTTTTCGGCCCGTCGGCGTTGGCCTGTGTGTTTTTTTTTTGGATCCGTTAATATCGTGTTGCTTTTCGTCCGTAGCATACGTTTAATCAGGCTAGGGAAGGTGTGTGAGATTTTAGGGTGTATACGCACGATAAGCTCTCTGGTTGATCCGGTTCTGGCGCCGTCGCCGTTCCTTCGAGTCCGTGAGACCCTTCCAGTCATCGGGACCTTTTTTTTGGGTCCGAATCGGTATCAGCTGTTCCGAATCGCGCTTGGGGTGCTCGCTTGCCGGCGCCATTGTTGCATGTGGTGGATGTTCGGGGACGGACTACTATGGAGGCGTCAGTCGACGGTCTTATGCGTTTTGCTGACGCTCCTGGTCTGGGTCGGAGTTAAGCCCGGTGGGGTTCTGTCCTGTGGTGGCTTGTTCGTGTATGGTTATTACCGGTATGCCGTACCGTTATTGTTCGGGCTGCATAGTTATAGGCCTTAACTGATATTCAAGTATTGGCAAGGGATCGATAAGTATCAATCTCATGCTCATGCTCCAAGGAAACAGCATTGAACCAGCAAAGCAACCGGAAT